GCTTGGAGTTCTTTTGTGCAATGCCATGTGCCAGTTAATCAGAATGATCCTCTTAGCAATGTTTTGTGGAAGAACCACAGAATTACGATTGGGAACAATTGCATTTTTTACAAACACTGGGCAAACAAAGGGGCAAACTTTGTGTCTGACCTACTTGACGATAAAGGTGCTTTTTTGAGCTTGGAACGCTTTATGTTAAAATTCAGTATTAGGACTAACTTTCTAGAGTATGGTGGAGTTGTCAAGGCCGTCAAAAATTCTTTTCGTGATCTACTTAAAGGGGTTAAGTCAAATATTTGCTTTCCTTTTATCCCATTTAATTTTGAGATACTTTTGTCAGATAAAAAAGGTTCTACCCGTATTTATCATATTTTAACTTCAGGAAAAAAGGTTGCGAGTAAGTTCATTGACAAATGGGAAACAAAATTGAGTATCAAATTCCCTGCCACTAAGTGGTCGGTTTTCTGCAGTATGCCCTTTACGATTACTTGTGATACAAAATTACGATGGTTTCAATACAGATTGGTCCATAGAATCCTGGGCGTCAATTCTTATTTGGTAAAGATCGGTAAAGGGGAGAACGACTTGTGTTCCTTCTGTCATGTAGAAAAGGAAACTCTGATTCACTTATTTTGCACTTGTGAGATTTCTTTATCGTTCTGGTCTCAAATTAGTGTTTGGATTAAGGAGACTTTGAATATTAATGTGTTTGTAGATTACGAGATGATTTTATTTGGCATACTTAACAAAAACTGGAGCGCCCTTAATTTATGTCTTCTCCTATGCCGTTACCACATTTACAAAATGAAGATGAATGGTAGTAAACCGTCTCTTTTAGTATTTAAGAATGAGCTAAAACGATACTATGTATTGGAAAAATTTATATTTATTACAAATGGTGATCTTGCTAAATTTAATGCGAAATGGGATCCATTCTCTCTTTTATGTAATGATTAATATATTATTTGTTTATAATTATTGTAAAACGCAAGAGAAACGTTTCTTCTGAATAAATAAGTTTCCCCTGAGGAAAAAAGAAAAAAAAAAAAAAAAAAAAGAATCCTTTTATCCGGGGTCAACAACTGTGTCAAAGTTACTCGACCCTTACACTTCCACGAGGGGCTTGTCCATTTTGGACATCAGCTTCGACTTCTGACATCGGCTCGCGAATCCTTATGGGGCCGAGGATGGCGGGATCGTTTAAGCCTGCGATTTTCCAAGAGGTATGGCATGGGACTCTTCATGCCCACCACACTTGCCAATCCAAGTAACGCGAAGGTCCAGCACCGTGAAATGGAGGAAACGAGCCTAGCCTCTAAGACCTGGTCCCGGAGCTGGTCGGCATATGCTTTGATCCATTATAATGAGATACTTAGCTTGATTTCGCGGACAGTCATGGATGGGGGCGCTGTTCAAAACCAACGCCATGGTGAATGCCAGAGAATAGGTGGCGCTATTCGCTTTCAACGGGACGTAAAGATAAACAGCCACTCGCGAAATACAGGGCTCTCGTAAAAATAAATTAACACTTGGGCCATCAGCCTGGGGGTTTGGTCAGTATCAAATCAGGGCATAAATGATTATAGTGCGCATGCGCAAGGTATACTGCCCATAGAGTGGTAACAAGCATTTCGATGGACATTTGAAAAAAGGTGTTAACATCCGAAAAGCTGCCACCGCTGCAATGCTATCACATAGGCCTATTTCCCAACTTTGTGTATACCTTGCCTTAAATCGCCATGACGATTATTCCCCTCATTTGATACAAGTGGCCTACATTTTTGGCCGAGGCTGATGGCCTAACTGAGAAAACGCCCCCCCCCCCCCGTAGCTACACCGCTGCAACCACAGTTGGGCTTATTTTTGCTTCAAAGAGGAGAATCCACGCAGCCACGGAGTTCACTGGGCCGCGAACCAGTAACTATGGTTGCACCGAGTTGACCTCTGAGTGACGTCGCGACTATGCCAGTGAATTGCTAAAGGGTGCAAGCCTGCTAATAGGCCAAAAATCCGTCCGCCAAGCTCATGAATAAAAGTTATCCCCTCAAAATATTCTATATTAGAGAGTTTTGAGAGCCATAAAATTGGGGAATTGAAGAGATATGGTAATGAACCGCTGGCCCGGACTTGGGGCTTCCAATCCTGAGCATTTTGGATGATATTGGGCTCGAAATTTGCGCTATTTTGCCATGTTGTGGAGGGATCGTTTTTTCAAAATGGCTGCTTTTCCGCTTTGGGGGAAATAGGGGTCGTCTTCTTTGGGTGAGAATATCTCAAAAAGTCAATGGTCAACCCCCCCCCCCATTTTTTTTTTAAAGATGACACATTGATCATCATTTTTCTGTGCAGCCTGAATACCTGTGACAGTTCTGAGTATTTAAAAGAATTTGAAGTATGCGCATTTAGCACTAGTGTATATGGGAAACATTTTTGTTTGCTGCGCGGTAACTGATGTTCGGAATTTTATGTATAAATGTATATCAAAAGATGCACAACACTAGAGGCTAAAATTTTAGTCAGGAAAGCTCGGGTCGGGAAAACATTTTTTGCAAGGGTATCGCGGAAAAATCGGATTCCGCCTTTTCCCTTTTAGGGTTAATATGGTCTCTATCCATTATGGTGTGCAGTAAAAATTCCTACGATCGCCTCCTTCGAGAGTTATTAATTAATCAATATCACCGACAACGGCTTCGAGTCACGCTAATGAATATGCTAATATGCGCTTCGTCATTGCTGCCGCAAAATCGGCCAACGTTGAGAACCCACGTCAGTTTGGTTGGCAAAAAAATCCTTTCCTGGGGTAGCACAAGCATTTGCAACAACAGAAGTTGAAATTCGGAAGACACTTAGATGATAGTTGCAATGATGTCGCAACTCCACCGACGAAATGGAGACTGCCTTTGAGTTTGTGATTTCCCATGATCTCCTTATAGATAGATCGCGCGTTTACTCTATTTAGTTTTCGTAAGATAAAAAAAACACATTAATTTGTTAGCCGTGTGCCGGACAGCCTATTGGCACAAAACATGAACATGTGCATTTACATTTTGCATGAACAATATCGCAGGTATGAGGACCAAGCCCATGTCAGTACAAAAGTAAAAATTGTTGGGGACAAATGGCTCAAAACGTACCCTGTTAAACAGCTGTTTATTTTCCATAAATATGATTTTCACAATATTATCTGAAGAAATAAATCCAAGGGAACAATACATTTTACTTGCAGTGCATTTTACGCCCCCGAAGTTTATTCGTCATCTCCAATGCGGAAGTGGTTGCATGAAATTCTTGGTGGATACAGCTTCCATTTTGACATGATCATGAACAGGGTGCGCGATATACGTAATTAGGTATGAAGATTATTTTTTTATTTAATACATCTGCAGAGCGTTTTAGTCTCCCAAGTATGTGTCAGTAAATAATAGTTTCAATAACTTCCCTGCAACTTTTTTTTGCATTTCTTTTCGAGATATTGGAGATATTTGTTTTTGGAGGTATTTATTTGATTGCCTCAGTTGCAGTGTACGTAAACGGAGCCCATAAATGGGCTACAGTCAAAAAACGTGCTCTAAAGAAATTGTACAGAAAGATTCTAACTGGTAATCCCAAAACACTCCGGTCTTAAGCCCAAGTGAATCCTACAAAAGTTTTGGGTGCTAGTGAAAAACCCGCAAGAAAACTAATTAAAGTTCTTTTCACATGTCTTCATTTTATCTGTTTAAGAAAATATATATACATGTACCCAATAATTAATAAGCCATGATATAGGTTTTCATGGCTATTTTAAAACATTTTTTATTCAGATTCACCAACTCTTACAATCAATTTCGTCCGAAAAAAATGTTCTTTTAACCCTAAAGGGGCCGGGGGGGGGGGCGAAAAGTAGGACTTTTTCCGCGATAGCCTTTAAAAAAATTTTTTCGCGACCCGAGCTGTTATGACTTTTTAGCCTCGAGCCTTGTGCATCTTTTGACACCAAAAATATAAAAATCGGACCAGGGGTTGTCGCGCAGCGAGATTTTTTCCGGCGCTACGCGCCGTGAAGACTGAATTTTCCCATATACGTCATGTACACAGAGCAGAATTACCATTCATACATATGAATAATTAATTAGCCATAATTTCAAAACTCTTTGACCTATAGTCATGCAATTTCTTGGGTATGTTCATGATGAGTTGCTCTATGCATGTACCGAGTTTCAAAAATTTCGTCACTCGATGGCCGAGATCTTAGGGGCGGGGGGCGGAATCCGCCCCCCCCCCCCCCCGGCTGAGAGATGGTCAAAATAACCCGGCCCCTTTAGGGTTAACAAAACAAATTTAGTCATTTACCATTCAATTTCAAAGTTTGGTCACCCTATTTAGTCACCGGGTCAAGAATATTCGTCAGTACGGATTAGATTCGTCTAAGTTGTTGACAAAAGGCAGCATTCAGAGATCAAATTCGTCTTAGACGAATTCGATTTCTGAATAACACGATTCAGGGTAAACGAGACGAAATCGAATACACCGGGTGGAAAACGTGTGCTCATTGTTTGAATATGTTTGGACTAAATTTGAAATGGTCTGACAAAAGACGAAATTAAACATTGGAATTACACTAAATCAATGTTGCTGGACCAATTTTAATATAATAATCGGTGAATTCGAACAAAAAAAAAATTAAAATAGCCAGGAAAGCCTATATCAATGTTTAGCCACGATTTGCAGGGATCATACGGTCAAAACTATATGATATTTCTCTGTCTCTAGTAGACGTAGAGACGTTTTTAAGCCACACAATGCTTGCTTGTGTGGAAGCCTTCGTGGTTGATACGATGTGTTCTTCTAAGATTGAGACACTTTCTTTTTCCAAAATCACCAAAGAAACTTACTACTTCGAGGTAAGAATTTTTTTTCTGAAGGTTGTATTCCTGTGGCGTCACAATATGTGATTCAACAATGGATTTTCCATATGAGCCAGATGAGTGTTAGACCAAACGGATATTAGTCTATTCGGAAATACATCCGGCGGGGTCAGATATGAGACAAGTGAATAATTATTTTGTTCTTTGGTATGCCAATGCGCTCGTACAAGAAAAACACAATGACTCGTATGGTGGTGCAAACTGTTATCCTCATTATTTCGAATCGACACTCAGAATGAACACTTGGAATGCCCAGGTCCACATGATGAGGTTTCTGTTGTATTGTCTTTTGCTACTTCTTACCGTCGGCATGAGCAGTGGGGATGACTCTGCAGAGCTACTCGCGGGTGAGTTCGTGCCTGCAAACGGTGCAGACCCACCCGGCGGTCTCCTCGTGAGTAGCAAAGAGGAAGATGATGACGATGATGATGAAGGCCTTGAGGTGAATTCATCGGAAGAGGACCTCGTGGATGGGCCTACAGGTAAACTCAAGGGCACAGGCGTGCCAAGGCCCGGAGAACTCGTAGGAAATGGGGAACCACTAGTTTGCGGAGACACGTCCGAGGAGAACTCCCCCAATGGTTGCGTGAGGGAAGGTGAGTCTTGGAAATGCGTTTAGGGAGGTGTAGGCCTGGTCTTTTTGTGACCGATGATAATGAATTAATGGCTGACCCCTTTTGAACAATTTGCTTAATACAGACAACATTTGCTTGGTATAAAAAGGTTAGCCACCGATAAATGATGCGATTCATCTCGGGACTACTTCTAACTTTTCTTTTTTTGCTTTGAGGTCTTGAAATCCTGCATAAGAGGCTTTTAATTGAAGAGAGTTATTTTTCAAGTTAGGCGGTCTAGCCTGAAGTGCAGTCGGAATTGGAGAATAAAAATTGGTGCCTAACTCACAGAAACAAAATTGGCCGATTTTCCGGAATTCAAATGACGGTCCCTTAAAAATACCGGCTTTGTTGTGTAATTGCCACTGGTACGGTTCCAGTCTGAGACCTCAGTCATGTGGCGATACGTGGGATAAAGGGGTCTCCCACCCTTCGCGTGTACCCGTACCCCCGCCCTGCAAACAGGACGGGGTACGCTGATAGTGAATTCACGCCCTGATTGGATTTTGCGTGACCTGTGACCTGCAAGTCATCACGGCCACGACCCTACAAGGAACTAAACGGCCGTTAAGACTGAGTAATTACTCTTTTATTCCGAAAATGTTTTTTTCTTTTTTCGTTGAAAAGCGTAACAATGTAGGAAGATTTGTCAAACGTATCTGTTTTGTAAATGTTCAATTCTCGTCACTTGCTCGGGCTCCGTTTCGAAGTCACGATGGGTCAAATTGCATATAATAAGCGCGCAAAATTTGTCCACATGGTCCGCAATGCCAAAAAAAACACATCCGGTATAGAATGCGTGCATTTCTATGGAAACGTTTTCTGATATCATTTCCGCGCATGTGCATAATGCAGTCTTAAACAGCTGCAGCCAGATGATACATAGGCCATGATAGTAACCCAGAATGTCATTCCCACTTTCTTCACAAGACTCTGTGACGCTCATTAGCGTATCCAATAGCCTTTAGTCAAGGCCCACGCGTCTTGATCCGGACACGTAACGCTCCCCGAACGCTGGCACGTAAAAAGGCGGCTGCGCCGCTCGCTGGATAGTCAAGACGCGTGGGCCTTGACTAAAGGCTACGTGTCAAAGCGCCTTGTTTGCAGGGCGGGGGGGGGGGGGGGGGGGGGGGGGGTACGAGCGAATCCCCCACCCCACAGATATTTTCTCACGAACAATTTTGTCCACAAGTGCCATTTTGTTCACGTGTTCTGATATTTTGTCAAGAGTGGCCCCTATTTGTTTTCTTACTAGGAGTCCCTTTTTTAACGCCCTGCGAACTCGGCGAATGTGCCGCCATGACGACCGCCACCTAATGTCCGATAGTGGCCATGATCGTCAGCTTTAAACATCCCCATAGAGAAATGGTGTCCGACCCCACCCCTACCTTCGGCCCGCCTCCAACCCCAACCACCTCCCCCTCCCCCACCCCCATCCCCACCCTATTATTTTTTTGATTCTAGGGATGACCGGTGAAAAAAATTGTCTACCTTTCAGTGCGGATGATCCAGCCAGTGCCCATTTTATGTCAATCCCCCAATCAAAGTTAACTTGCTACGCCACCCTGGACCTGGAGATGCACCGATAGGCCTGATGTACATGTACCTTGGCATTAGTGCTATTACTTGTCCTTGTCACACTAATACTCTGCACCGACAAAACTACTTCGGCCACACTCACCAAAATAAATCGGTAAACATTCATTAAATTCTCTGAAAACTAACCAGTTATTTTACTTTATAAAAAGCTTATAAGTGACTCCGTATTAAAAACAACTGACACTATTTATTTTTTTTACTTATAAACCTATAACATCTGAGCTAAGCCGACACTTCTTTTCCTGAACGCACCGGATATTATTGTGAGGTGCTGCAAGACCAGTAGCCACGCAGTGGTTGCACACAGACCACCTCGGACAGTCATACGCGGAAAAAAAGAAAACAACTCGATATTGTTACAGACATATTTCCGGATTAGGAAGTCACTGGAAAGCCTATCAAAATCTCCACTCACTGCATTATAATGCAAACGAAAAAGAGCCATTTACAAAGTACGCTTTCTGTAGTTTGAAACACCACCTTGAGCAAGACGCAATGAACGTGCCCAGAGAGGGAAAGATGACAAAACATATATTGGTGTCGTGTGTGTTTTTCTCGCTGTTTTCGGTGTGTGTGCTGGCGAACGGCGAGGACGACTCGAATAATGGTGAGTGCAAAATAGCGTTGCTTGGGAAGTTCTTTCCTCAACAAGCCAATATGGAATGAAAATGTTCTTATTGCCCAGTATAGCGATTTGCAGAGGTGTCATTGACGAACCTTCCTCTAATGGTCGGACGTTGCAAGGTCAGTGGTATCTGGAATGAAGGACATGCTTCTACCCCAATATTTTGGCAGGTGTGTCAATGCCACTAATAGTGTTTTCTTTGCGAATACATTATAAGTTCCATTTTACATTTACGTTGTTGCCAACATTCTTATTGCACCAGTTTGCAGGAACACTCCGGTCCAACTTTTTTATAACAATTTCCGCTCTGAAATGAGTAGGCATAGGGGTCACGCATTGAAACAACAAAATGGGCTAAAACAGCGTAACTTTCTGGAAAATGTGGCTGAGCTAGAAGCCCTCCCTGTTGTCGTCCAAATCGTCACTTATTTGGCGTGGTATATTCTGGAAACCCATTGGGTCCGTCCATACGTTCGAATGAAATACCGACTTTTAAGACCCCCTTCCTCGTGTTGGCATGACATACGCGTGGTTCCACCCTCCTCCACACACGCAAACACACCCATCACATTTGTATCCTTGTGGAGACATTTCTTTGTTCTCGCCGTACGTGTAGTAAAGTTTTCGAGTTTGAAAGTGAAGTTTCAAAATGCTCTTATTTTAACCAGAATAAATTTCTTTGGCTGAAATTCGGACTTAATATCCCTTTTCTAAAATTCTTCCATTTGCGACGGATTAACCCACCTTGGAAATTTCTATTTTGGAGTAAAATCCAATATATCTATTTCGTGAAAACCTTGACATCTATAGAAATTGCCCTGTGGAGACGTATACAATCTTTTGTTCCTTATTGTGGATATGTCTCCACAAGGATACAAATTTGAGTACATACATAGTCATGTACCAACCAGCACACAATACAAGTACATGATAATGCATTACGAATGTGATATGCTTGCCGGCTAATTCGGGTGTTTCAAAATGCGGTGCGCCACCAAGAGTTTGTCACAATGAGTTAATTTTGCCCAGTGCATCGTGGGAGATGGTACGACCAAAGCGCGGGATATTTGAATATTTGAAAAAAAGTTTGTCCGGTTAGTAGTTTCGTAAGTGCATGATTCGAGCATCTGTTTGCTCTTTTCTTTTCTTTTCTCTGTATCAATATTGTGTTTGTGTAAGGTGGCAGTACGCTGTGCCCCAATCTATAACAAAATAGCTCGTTCATAATGGACCATGATTTGTCGACCGTAAACTTGAAAAATTGACTCCCTTGGCAGGCTGTCGTCTTTTTATTTGCGATTGTGTAGTTACAGAAGTAATTGGGCTTACCAAACTAGTAAGCGACATTTAAAACCAACAAGAGAGTCATGGATAGAGGATGCTTATATTTCTGTTGGATTTTTTGGGATAAAGCGATGACAAAATGCCAGACGAAAAAAGATTACAGTCCCCGTAGCGCACATTGAATGCTGTTAAAAGCCAAAACTTGTTTATTGGGGGCGTGCACCTCCCCCCCCCCCCCCCCCCCCCCCGCTAGGCCGCTGCATGGATCAATGTAAAATGATAAGAAGGGCTTGATAGCTAGAATCCTCCTTACGAGTTCGTAATTATTGTTAACTGCGACAGACATTAAGATTCTAGACTATAGTTACCGTCTTTTAGCTCAGCTACTTAAAAATTCAACCGGTTATAGCGTTATCCGTTATTTTATAATATTTCAAAAAGGAAAATCAACACCAAAATCTTGGGCAAGCTTGTCCTACATCAGCGAGGCCAAAATGAGAACAACAATGTTATCAATTACGTTTGCTGTTGTGTCAGTAATTAATTTTGATAAGCGCGCAAATTTTGTCGGGAATTCGCGTAAAGGAAATGTGAGTCAGACCGAACTCTCTGGAGGTGACGTCACGGATATAAATCGCGCTTTCCATCATTCACCAGCCGGAGCATCCCGTTTAAGGTCTGCTGATAGAATTTCGGTGAGTTGTCATTTTTTTAAAAATTGTTTTGGACGAACTTTCTCGGTTGCAGGAATGAAATAATAAGTCATTCACCTAAACGATATTCGTGTCATCTTGGTGTTTAATGTATGAGTACTTAATGTATGAGTATTGTTTTTTTGTTTTTTTTTGATCTACACATCCGTATTTTACTAATTGAAAATTTAATGTCATTCGATGATCAAAGTAACATTGACGTTTTCAGTGTGAAAGTTTCAAGTGTATTGGAAGTTATAAGTAAAGTATATTCAATAGTCAAAAGAAGGCCCTGAAATTGTTAATGACCTGGTAATGCATTATTGACAGATAAGATACATTATTTTTGTGTTTAAAAATGTACATGGATACTTTGCAGTGTTCGCAGACACTGTCAAATACATAACCCGCATTGGATATTTCACCTTGCTGTGTTACTATAACTTTATGCCTATAATAATTGTCTGTACATTTTCCCAGAGGGTTTTAATATAATTTCTTTGTCTGATACTTGGACATTGAGTAATGGAAATGCGGACACTTTTCGTGTTGATACTCAAACGAATAATCCCTACCCTGACGGCGGATCGCATTGTTTTTCCTTTATAAGGTGAGAGTTAAACAGCAATAACGACCGCTATGCGACTCCATATCATTTTGGTTTGTCTCGGTGTGGCCATTCTACGCACTGCCAGCAACGCAGAAGGTAATATTGTTCTCATGTTTTTACCTTGATTTTGATTGAAAACTGAATGTTTTTGAATTGAAATATAATCCGGCTGTCCAACAATTAAACACTCCCTTTAGGAATAATCAGAGAAGTAAAACTAAGAATGTCTCAGAACCAAAATAAGACGTACACACGTAACATGAGTAAGGGAGTACAAGTACTTCGCCCTTGAAATATATTGTAAATTATGATGGTTTTCTGCTGTAAAGGGTCTCTGTAAAAAAATGATATATCTTCACATTTGGTTCATATGTTAAGGTTACACTATAGGCCCAGTCGTTTGTAAAGATCCGTCATTGTGGTCGGATGTTTTGTTTCCGGTATTCATGGCATTTCCTATGACTACGTGCTTTTTGCCTACCCAAGACCTTGAGTACTGTAACCAACAACTTGGTTAAGTGGGACTTTGTGCTTGACCCGTAGGCCCATGCTGGCAATGGGTAAAAACTATAGAATCGGGTTCATTGACAACAGGACCACATCAGCACACCAGAATGTTGTGAACAGAATGTATTGCGAACAATTGAGGATTATGGGCGGCATTTCATAATAATGACCTGTCATGGGGGGGGGGGGCTGGTGGGGCCGGGCCCTCCTTGGCGAACAATTGCCCCCCCCCATTGCAAAAGTCGTACATGTGTATGTATTTTCACGGTGGTGGGCCCACCTAGTTGGTACTTTGCCCCCCCCCCCCCCCCCCGACGCTCAGGGCTGGACGGGCCTGGGTAATCGTGTGCTCAAATGCAATGTTTATGAACTAATCACCACGCCCTGAAAATAATCACACGAACAGGTTGTCCCCCAAATAATCTAACAGTCGAAAACCAATTAGTAAAGGTATGTTGCATGTGGATTTGGAATATTTTCAAATTAGCTTTTAAAGTTAGACAACCAATCTTCCATCCGAACTTTATTTCAAATCGATGCCCGGGATTGAACAAACGCAGACTGCCGCTATGGCGGATATGTTTCATCGAACTCGAGGGTTGAGAATCGTCTTGGGCCACTTTCCTTGAAAGTGTGAAAGCGCAGTTAGAGAAACACCCAAAGGATTGAGTTCCTTAGTTCAAGAGTAGCTTGTTACTTATTATACCGGCTTGGATCTGTAAACTTGATAAATAAGAAAAGTGGCCCAAGTGGTTTTCAAGTTCCGTATCTTTTGAACAAAACATCCAAATGAAACGAACTAAAGATCATTTGAAAGATCAATAAGTATTCTACTCTGCAGTATATTAGACACAGTTTTGAATACTACTAGGTTTTTTGGTGGGACTCTGACCAATGACTCGGAAATTGATTCTGGCCTTCGACCAGCAGAGCCTCAAATAGTATAGTTTATTATATTCAACGTCTTTGGAAGAATCAGACATTTATATTACATACAATTGTTTGTTTTCTTTTCAGCAATGAGAATCAGAAGGGAAGAAGATAACTCGATATCTTCGGAAGAAAATGACAAAGGTAAACCTGAAACTAAAGTGAACAATTCAAAATCATTCCAAAATTTGATTGCATGTTGTGCACAAGTTCGATAAGTTACCGGTAATTATTTCGTGAATGGATATTCCAATCAGTTGTCTAATTTGTAAGCATCGATTATTATTCTTAACACATTTGTAACAGCATTCCTTTTTTTTTAATCAGAGCGTGATCGTGAAGATGATGAAGATGATAACGACAGAGGTGAGTGTTTACTTTGTATACCAACTCAATGATAAAGCCTTTAGTAAAGGCAGTGCGTAACGTCACAACCACTCTCCTGCAGTTGGGGAGTTAAGTCGTGTAATTGAAATTTTACGAATTGTTATTCAATTTCATATTTCATCATGCTATATTATACTGAACCAACCTTTACATTTTTTTCTTGCCCACCCCATAAACAGAGCGCACGTATTGTGTGCGCCACGCCAATGGGAAAGTTCGGCTGTACGGCAGTTTGTGTTCCATCCATCTTGAACCGCACGAACAATTCAAGATTTTGGCTCGTGACAGTTGCGAGGACTTGAAAGTTCGTACCTCGTCTTCAGGGCCAAAACACATTCTCGTCAAAGCGGAACACGGTAAGTCCGTCTGTACTGATGATAAACTTGATCAAGGCTGCGGGATAGCGGCTCAACAAAATGTCTTTTCTTTAGGGCCCTGTCACACTTCTGCATATCCTAATTCCTTATGAGTTGCGCATTGACTTTTTGTAAGTTGTATGTACGCAGGCATATGCATGGGACGGCCCAGTACGCTGGATAGTTTTGGGCATGCACAAAACTACGTTGCGTACGCTGTTACGCAGGTCATAAGTTATAAATACGCAGCGCATCGGTCCCGCATCGGTCGAGCGCGGTACGAGTACGCTATGTGTTCGTGAGGGATAAGACGTTCATACGCGGCAATACGCTGATCTTCTATATTGGACGTATACATAGCGACGTATTGCACGAATTAGTACCGCTCGTCCTGCGAGCGGGCAGCGCATTGTACTTATTCGTAACTTATGAGAAACTCACAGATGGCGAACTCGCGCACTGCATACGCAACTCATACGCATCTTATACGCAGTGGATGCGCTGAATTCGTTACTTGTTCGCTAGATGTGCGTCGCACATATGTCAAAGTAATCAAAAAATTTCGACGTTTTTGATCGTACGGCTGCGTATTGAAAATTGTTGATAAGGAACTCATAAGGAATTGGGATACGCAAAAGTGTGACAGGGGCTTGAGAGAGTAGTAACTAACAAACGTTGACAGTGCTCCTATAATTATTTTCACCGATTTCGACCAAACTTTGTCAAAGGTATCAGTAGCTCAGCTCCAGATGTCACATGGCCAAACTGGGGTCAAAGGTCATCATAGGGTAATTGGGGTCAAAAACCTGACTTTCTTTTACTCGATGCACTGCTCCTTCCGGGAATTACATGGCACAATCACGTGACTCATGCATGAACACGAAGCTTCCAGATCAGATCCAGCTTTTTCTTTAATCTGTTTAGATGACTAATTGACCGATAATTAAATTCGACATCAACTAGGCCTACTTGATTGTTGACATAACAAATCCCATTATAAACTGTAAAGACCACTTTGGTTGCACTCATGAAAAGTTATGAACTATTCTAATGGTCGAAGTCTGAGAAAGAATTTCTTTCACTATTTCCCAATCATTGCTGTACTCGCAACGTGAAACAAAATTTGAACATTTTCTCAAAAGAAATGTCGTGGCAAGATAAAAAGGTCATACACACCAAATTCCATTTCTTTTTTTCTCTCCATTCAGTTGACCCTAGCCACTTTCTGTGCGGACTGAAGGATGAACAATATGAATGGTACTGCAGTCCCTGTGCAATAGAGCGCAATGGAGCCATTTACAAGAGGAAAAAGGAAGGGAGATGTCCGCAAAGTTAGTCAAGATTACACATTTTATTTTCTGTCCATGTACCGAAATGGTTTACGACACTGAGCCTGACACTGCAGGTTTTGAACACACACATGTTGAGAAGCGAACAATCGGGGACTCCCTATATTGTCCCTCTTTTGTTTGTACTAACTTTTAAGGAAGCCCCCCCCCCCCATATGTTTTGTACACGATTCTAACTTGGGGACCTTTCGGGAATTGGGACCCTATTGTCCTCTATTGTTCAACATATGCAGAAACAATCTCAGATCGGTCAATTCGCATGATGTCTATCACTCTGATTCCCTACAACCACCCCACACACAAGTTTGTGCAACCAACCCTATTCACAGAGGAATGTCCATATTTTTCTTCTGACGATTTCTCAAGTTAAGGTCTTTGGCAAGTGCCTAAAAACTCCATAAACATAATCAAGGCTGTCGTCCATTGAATGACTGTCTCCATTAAGCTTGATGGCATTCCTGATGTCTCCATTAAGCTTAATGGAGCTTGAAGACGCACCTTAACAGTCCTGAATCCTTCAATTTTAATATGATTGTTCACACTTCCTTGGGAGTTAGGTTTAATGACACACGTGATGACACACGTGCTTGTCTACAATCACACCAAAAACATGTGCATGTACACACATTGTTTGGTTACTGTCATCTGCGATTATAATTTTCGTCTTTTTTTTCATTTGAGAGACATGATAGGCTAAATCTACCTTTATTTTTTTATTGAACTCTGAACATTGGATGTTTTGTCTTTCTTTTGACATACAGAGACGGCATGTAAGCCATTACCTGGAGGTATGATGCCAGGAGATGGGATGTCAGGCAATGAACCTCCATGGACCGAACCTCCAAGCCCAGACCCCCTGACCAATAACACACCCCTTACCACTCCGAATTTCCCAACCAAACCGATTACCACCACAGGAACAACACCAACCTTTGGGCTCTCATCAACCACCCGTAACGTACCTCTGACCACCCAGCAGTCACCAACTGAACCCATGAGCCAACCACCCACTACGCAACTTTCAACTAAAGAACCACCAAGCACAACACAATCTCGTGGAGAAACATACTCCCCATCCTACCGACCCTCAAGTGTCCAACCACCATCAAGCGAGACTCCTGGTACCCCGGCTCCACCTATGATCACCAGCCCTTCACCCCCTGAATCGACTCCCACTAATCCTCCGATAGAACCACCATCAGTCGGACCTCCATCACCGGAGCCCAGAACGACCGAAACCCCGATAGTGACGGGAAAATCCTCGCCGGGTCCTCAATCCTCAAGTGTCCAACCACCATCAAGCAAGCCTCCTGGTACCCCGGCTCCACCTGTGATCACCAGCCCTTCACCCCCTGAATCGACCCCCGCTAATCCTCCAATCGAACCACCATCAGTCGGACCTCCATCACCGGAGCCCAGAGCGACCGAAACCCCGATAGTGACGGGAAAATCCTCGCCGGGTCCTCAATCCTCAAGTGTCCAACCACCATCAAGCGAGCCTGCTGGTACCCCGGCTCCACCTGTGATCACCAGCCCTTCACCCCCTGAATCGACCCCCGCTAATCCTCCGATCGAACCACCATCAGTCGGACCTTCATCACCGAAGCCCGGATCGACCGAAGCCCCGAGAGTGACGGGAACATCCTCGCCGGGTTCTCAACCCTTCTTCCCACCCCTTCAGCAGTTCTGCATTCCTAAGTCTCAAGGCAGATACTTTAATTGCCCATGTCCGCCTGAGGATCCACCTGTGATTAATTTCAGACTTCCAAACATCCTCAGTCGAAAATTACAATTTGAATAATAGTGCTAATATAATATAATATACCTGTCGCTAATTTCTGCTGTACAATTACTTCTGTATAAAAATACACGTAAAAATGAAATAGTCATGCGCACCGGTGACCAAAATACAAATATTAAAAGGACCTTTACAAATAATATGAGTACATTATAAGGAAGACGCATGCGGCCCGGAAAAAAAGAACAACTTGTTATTAATTGGGCAATCTGTGGGCAGTGTGCTTCTCACATAAAAAAATTGGAGATCTGTGGGTCAGTTTAAATAACCATCAAAATATTAAAATAAAAATCTGCAAGTTTTTGGGAGCCATGATACGCATCCCGTATGCTGATTATTTCTCATGGCCCCCATCAGTGTTACGTTGAGGTTATCTTGCATTGTTTTGTGTTGTATAACACGGTTGGTAAGATGAATTGCCCTTCACGTCATATGGCCTGCTTGTCATGTAAATGGCGAAATCAACAAATAATTGCGTCGTTATAAACATCATGGAGTAAAGTTCAGTAAAGAAATATTTGTATCTCCATAAATAAAAGAACTAAGTTAATGTTATATTTTTGTTGGTTGCTGTGGAAACCAGCCGATACCTCAAAGTTAAGTCGTGAAGCGTGTACGTAGTTGTCCCTGGATTTCACGAGTGATGAGGATAATCCCTAACTTATGTTTGTAACCTAGCTTTTTCTAAGATTTTAGGGAAACTTTGAAATATTAAGCATACTTCTGATATTAGGCAAACAGTTTCGCAGCTCCCGATACAAGCCATTCCAAATCACACGTGCAACTTTTAAAGAATCCTGGAGCGGAACGTATCGCTGTAACTTTTACACCGCCGATGACACTGTACACTAATTCGTTAGCTGAAGATTTCGCTTTTTGTGTCATGGCAACTTTTTGGGAGTATTCAGAACAATATCGGTACACAGATTAAAAGTGTAGGCAATGTGCGTGTCATGGCCTAGCGGTTAAGAGCACCGGACTCATGCTCTGGTGTTTCAGTGGCGTGGGTTCGAGCCCGCCGGGTGGACACTTGTGCCCTTAAGCAAGGCACTTAACCATTATTGCTTCGTCCTTCGGAGGGGACGTTAAGCCGTAGGTCCCGTTTGCTGTGTTGAAGAACGTACAAGAACCCAGTGACTCTTATCGCTAAGAGAAGGGGTTTGCCCCGGCGTTTCTGGCCTCCTGTATAAACTCCCACGCGGAGTATTTAGGAGAAGAACCAACCCAGAACCAATACTGAGTCTTCAGCCGTTTTCTATAACAAACGGATTGTACTTGTTTGAGTATGACTAATAAATTAATACTTGGCCGTAAATTAATATTAAAACAATTATTTGATCAATTGAATTCGAGGTGTTTTTTTGCTCAAATTTGACTTAAACTCATCAATTATACGCCTTGAACTGGAAGTTTTCATAGTAGTAGGCATATGACTTGTCCCCAATAGCTCACCATGAGTTTGTTTCAATTATACACGGATCACATTTCCTGAATCACATACCATGAATTTGTTAAATTTCAAATATGTATATGACTGCCAGGGCCGGGGCGATGCAGGAAGCTTGAGTTGTGCATTGGTATGGAATGAGAGAAAGAACAATTGAGACGAATTGCTCAAACTCGGCTGAAGTTATCGCTGTTTGATAAACAGTAGTGACCAATGTCTTTTTAAAGTAATCACGGCTGACGAGTGGGACAAAATATTTAATAATAAGTAAATGATGGAAAATGCTTCATCGCTTTGCTCGGAAGCTATAAAAGGGCCACTGCAAATAAAAAGAACTCGCCGGTGAGTTTTTTAGTTTCAGTCGTTATGAGGAGATGGTGGTTTTGGCGAACATTTCGCCGCTGCTCATCCAGGTTTTCGCTGCCACAATTTATTGTCGTACCGCGTGATTATTGTCTCGCCGGCGTGTCGTCCCACAACATAGAAATGAAATATTTTCATCATTGTTCCAATAATTATGTTGTCCCTCTCGACATCCGCCTTATATTTAATGGTATACAATGTGGATTCTGTGAGTTTTTTACCATTCCATCTACCAGATCACCAACCGAATTTGAGTAATTTGACCAAAATATTCATTTGAGGCAAGATATGTAAGGGAGAAGAACGCAACGCTCACTTCTATTGTGTTAATCATTGTGTCCCGGACCTCAGGAATTTTTTTGATATATCTAGCCAAGGGGGTGGTATGTAACATTATACAACACCTGAACAAATCCCCGTCATCTGGATCGTTGACCACATGCCATTGAATTATTCGTCCCAACGCACAACGCGCGCTCGGCGCGCAGCTCACAGTGCAATGGAAGTTCGGCACGCTAGCCCTGAATAGAACTTCGATTGCACGGTTTCAGTGCTGCCGGTGGTGGCGCTGTGACACAAATCTATTTCACAAAATGCGGACGTTACGCCGGTTGTTCTCCTAACAGAGGATGAAATACATGTATCAGAACTTGAAGGTGATGCTGACGCTGCTAACTCAAAGAAGCAAATTAAATACGCTGCCAAACGATTAGACAAATTTGCAAAACATACAGGAACATATTTGAAGCATTATACTGATTCACAACTGAAAAAATTCTCGTCGCGATTTTACTCAGGACTGATAAGACTAAACGCGGCACACTATATCAGATGACATGGATTTATTCAGGTGTTGAAATAAAACAAATAATAAATGTTTCACATTCGCCTCGTGAAGTGGAACATTTCATCTGTCACCTCATGAAATTATTCTTACCATTGCACTCATAAACATTCATTATTTGTATAATAGTCTAGGGAACATTCCATCTGTCACTTCATGAAATTATTCTTACCATTGCACTCATAGTCTAGGGTATAGGGACACTGGGGGTACCCCCTCTGTCTCAAATCGTGCACGGGTATCAAAATGTTATAATTAATATGCATTATATCACCCAAGAAAATCCTTGTCATTTGATTAGAGGATTGTAGGTCACGCGACATTCATTAATCGAACCATTGCACGTCTGTGTCATAACCGTGCATTTTTTGGTTCCATACACCGTGCATTTTCGTCCCATCCCTTTTGATCCTTTGCAAGCCGCGCGCACGCTAAGACGTGCAGCGGCGCCTTGCGCTATTTAGACCATATCATGCGCTATAGCAGTACAAAACTTGCCTTTGAAGTTGATGCAGTTGCCATGATGATTTTTTTGGGTATTAATTTAAGAATTTCCGAAGTTAAATTTTCATTACTGTCAATGATTGGACTTTTAAATCTTTATAGGGCCTAAGTCTTGAACAAGCTGGGAAAAAAAAAGAAGTTGATATAATATACAATTTAGTGACTTTTGTCTGTTCTTAAAGTTTTATCCTCTAATCGAATGACAAAGATCTACTTGGATGTTGTATAAAACAAATAATGAATGCTTCGCATTCGTGCAATGGTGAAAATATTTTTCATTCCTTGAAAGATGGAATGTTCCATTCAATCTTTCAGCTCATGAAAATATTCTCACCATTGCACTCATAAACATTCACTATTTGTATACCAATGCACTGCCAGCTCATGCTTGTTGCCTTTAATGCTTGCTTTTGCGCATGCGCGCATACATTTCAAGTAAGTAGAGAGCTGATCAATGAAGAATTTAAAATCAAATTTGAAAAGTGTGCTATCACGGATGCACCTCCCCGTCTTTAAACGTTGACAATTTTATTTAAAACATTATAAAGAAAGCAGATATTTGAAATTGTTTAAAGAGGGGTTTTGAAGACCTTGAATTTTCATTAATCTAATTTTCTCGCTCTCTCTCTTTTTTTTTACAACAGAGGGACTGTGTGTTTTCCTAACCAACAAGAAAACAAAATGGTATTGCAGCCTCTGCTCCGTCGACATGACGAGTAACCATATCCAGAAAATATTTCCTAAAAACGACAAATGCAAAGGTAAGCAGGATTCCACGTTGCAATGTATTTTCCTTTCTGATGTTTAACAATCATGCAGGACCGTAAACATTGGCCGTTTCACGCTTGCCGCCATCCTGGGTTAATTGGAATAGCCACGCTAGCTCTATGGTGGCAACCGTTGCCAAACATTTTTTTTTCCCAGAAAAATTTGCTGACGGACGGACAAATTAGTTCTGGAAGGTAGCAAAGGATTTTTTTCCTGGTCTGATGAAGATGGTAGAATTTGTACTTCAAATTTACTCACTTCTACTTGTTTCCTACGCTTGTTAACAGATAAGCCTTCCAATGGCTGCAAGTATCCTAACCCGGACGTAGTTCCTGTTACGCCAACACAAGGTAAGCGCTCTGCCGAGAAAAACATAGCCAACCCCCCAACCCCCACCTTGCTGGTATCATAAACCGTTGAGTGTAAATGCTTGATTTGTGAGACCTTGTATAATAAACCGTTAGGTATAGTTACTGTCGGTACCACGGTCTTAAGTATTTTATGGAACTGAGTGGGCAGATTATTCTCTGTGCATTATGCTCATCTTAAGCCGGGAATCGCTATCGAATCTCCGTCTCCGTCACGAGGTTTCATAGATACTCACTATTGACCAATCCGGGCACGCAAACCATCACGAAGGCCCCCCTTCAATGGCCAAAGCATTTGCTATTGCTCAGGATAATCCGTCTTGAGGCAGTTGCTTTGTACAATAGCTTGCACAGTGGTTTCTCCATCGAAGGGGGCCCCGAGAATGTTCGGTGATCACGTACCGGTACCCGGATTCGTCTGTGGTCGACAAGTACATTATTGACACTTGCTGCACCAGACTGAAAACCATGCGGCCTGGGAACCAAGCACATGACCCTTTCAGGCTACCGTAGCTTTATAAAGCTACGTCTAAACCAGTTCCTAATAGGATCATTTCGCTCACGTGACGCGGCTTCTGCGTTTGATTCCGACACGTTGTTGACTGCAGCATCAGTCGGGGGATTAAAATCTGTGCGGATTTAAAGCTCATACTAATTTCGTTCTTTCGAATGTTTCATACAAACGAAAGAGCTTTGAAGTGTTTTCTTACAAATAAAAGCGCTTTGAAATGGCTGTAGAAAGCGGTATGCATTTATAGGTAAATGTATCCTACAAAGTGGTGTCACGGAGCACGCGCAGTGGATAGACTATACGTACGAACGTCCAGTACGATTATGACATCTGTCAGGACCACTCAGGATTAGAAAGTGGGCCAGCGAGTAATCTTCCATGGTGAAGGATCAAGCATCAGTTTGAATAGGTGCTGATAAATAGGTCGAATTAAGTAAATTTTATGGGTTTTACGTTACCTCACCCTATACATGTATAGAAAAGCATTTCTTTCTTCAACCACCCATATAAAGATTTGATTGACTTTGATTGACCATAAAAAAAGTTAGGCCTAAAGAATATTTTTTTCTTTGCAAATACAATTTTGATTTTCTGCAGTTGACACCAACACGCACGTGTGTGGGAAGAAAAGCGGTGCATTCCAATGGTACTGCAGTTACTGCTCCGTGGAGAAAAACAATGCAAACTTCAGGCCGCGGAAAGCTTGTCGGCGAAATAATGCAAAAACAGGTATGTGAATGTCACAGGTTAATCTCAAGCATTGTCTGAGGACCTATGTCGGTTCGTTGTAAAAATGACGGAACTTTGCTCAGAATAAAAATCACACAGATAGCAGAAATTAAAGTTGGTCCTTTCCTCTAGAAATTCACTCTGTTATTATTTCATCAACACATCATAAATCTTCAATGTCAACAGTGATTGGTCAAGAATCAATTATAACACAATCATCAAAAATCCAAAATATCAACGTGTGACTTTTCAGTGGTGTAACGTTTCAAACAACAATGCAATCCAAACAATGGAAAAAATCAGAACAACTGCAACAAAAGTTAATTTGAAAGACCAAAAAATATCAAAGGATGTGAAAACAATATGCAAAATCTCAGATCATCTGAATCCAAAGAAAGAATTTGCAAGTGTTCAAAGTCAACAAACTTCAAATTTGGTGTAAGCCAAAAGTCAACAGTATGCATAGGTTCAGCATGAATAATACAACAAGCGCAATGAAGTCAAACCACTGAAACATCAACACAAGGAATTATAGCAAACATCAATGAATACATCAATAAAATACAACAAGGAGATTTTATACAATACGTATAATTATAAGGTCTTAGCTGGGTTCAAAGCGTCGCGTTGGAACTCGTCTTGATTTGCCGATGCGGTGTCGTACTCAGATGGGGTCCAGGTAGAGCAGCAGCGTCCAGGCGAAGTCCAGCGAACGGTGGTCCAGACGGAGAGGGTGGCGGTGAGAAGCAGGAACAGGCCGGGCGAAGAATCGAACCGGGTCGACTCCTCAAAGCGTGACCTGGGGACTCCGTGTTCTGTATCACAAAGCACGTTTGCAAATGATGCGAGGGAAAGTGTTAGGAACGTTTCTCACAAGAAATTGACTTAGTGAAGTCCGCAATCGTTCCTAGGCTAACGTATCAAAAGTGCTAAGGGTAGCACTCTAAGATATTCTCGCATCGAGGTCTTCTTCGCTTCTGAAGAATTGAGGTGGAGCAGGGTTTAAAAACCCCTACTGATCACGCGCTCGGACAGGTTTGGGAAAACTTTCCAATTGGTCAAAAAGCTAAAATAATGATATCATCTTCGGAAAAGCCAATCAGAAAAGGAGTAGTGGGCTAACATTCTTGAGGGAACGTGGCCAGCTTGAGATTGACCAATCTGGTCCTCCTTTTATGACTCAATGGTCAGCGTGATCGAACTTCCTTGAATTGAAACAATGGAAGCTGTGAACTTTGGAAGGAAAAACTTAGATTCGTGGGGTGACGCAATGTCTAAGATGTCCTTCTGAACAGGACGTGGTCAGCGCGGAGGAGGCCCGCTTACTAAGAATTCCAACCACACACCGTGGGAAAGTGGACAAACATCTTGTCGGACCAAATTTTAAAATGGTTCCTAATTTAACAGGGTCCGACATGAACATTTATCCATTAAAAAAAAGGAATTGGAACCCCTTCCCCCTTACAGTTCAAGCTTTGCGTGCTAAAAGGTAGGCATAGTGCCTAACAACTGAACCGTGTCATTCAATCCAGAGCCCGTAGGGAGAGCAGTTAACTGATGGGGCTGCCCTGGTCAAATAAAATTATAAACAAATAAATAAAATTGGAAAGTTGCCTGACTTTGTCGTGGGGGTTGCCAGACCAACTTGCAGGTGGGAACCAAATCCTTGCAGTAACGATAAATCGGTGGGTATGTCTGAAAATCTCCTTTTTTGCAAAGGGGCACTGTTTATAAAGAAGTGTTCTTTTAGTTAAAGTAAATTAACCCAACGAGAAATGTACATTCCCTTCACCCTACGGATTTATACAATAATATAAATATGTGGAGTGACCTGGCCTCGTGGTCCGGGGTATTGAGTTCGTGGTTTGCAGGTAATTCTGCAGGTTGTGTGTTCATTTCCAGCCTGGGGTTATGGTGCATGTGCTCTTGAGCAAGGCACTTTTTTGTCACTCGTTGCTTCTCTCCACCAAGGAGTAAAATGGGTACCCGTGAACGGTGAAGGCAGGAATGGTAATTGTGATTGAATTAGCTTCCTTGCACCTAACAGGCAGCAAAGAACTGCATACTTCCCAGGGAGCCAGCGGCGGCGGAACGGGTTTGAAACTGGGGGGGGGGGGGGCATCACCAAAAAGGGGCACTTGCAAACCCGTGCTGAAATGTCGACACGTTTTTTTCACCGGACACTTGGCCTCCGTAAAATCAATGATTATATGCTAAATATGCATTATGTGCCCATTTTCAGGGCGTATTGTATGGGTTTTGGGACTTGGTTTTCATATTCCTCGTTCATATCAAAAAAATCTATACCATTATGCGGAAATGGTTCCATGCTTCTAAGAAATAGTAAGATACTTTAAGGGCATTTTGTTTTATCTCGAGGGGGCACTTTAATGCTCGAGGGGGCACATTTATGGCCGCAAAAGGGGCACTTGGGCAAATCTGGGGGGGGGGGGGCAAACGCCCCCCCCCAGCCCCCCCCCCCCCCCCGTTCCGCCGCCCCTGCAGGGAGCTGAGATGGTATAATGTTCAATTGGCCCAATGATCTAATGTCAAGCGCTTTGATCTTTAATAGTTAAAAGCGCATATGAATACCCTATGATATTATTATTATTATTATCAACAAAGAGATTAGAAAAAGGGAAAGGAGCAAATGGGGTCCAGAACCCCCACCCCACCCCACCCCACCCCTCACCTACCACCCCCATCGTCACGATCAGGTGTAGGCCTACATTATAATTGCGCCAGTAGCTTTAGCTCCCCCTCTGAGAAATCTAGTTCAACCTCATTTTTTTTTATCTCCGAACAGATACACTCTGCATAGGCCAACCCCAAGAAGACATCCCGTCCACTTCTCCACCGGACCTGCCGACCACCGAAGCTCCCACCACCAGTCCTCGCACCGTCTTCCCGCCCTTGCAACCCCTCTGCATACCCGATTCCCAAGGCACTTACTCCAATTGCCCGTGTCCGACAGATTACAAAGTTCCCAAGATGAATTTTGCCTTACCGGATATCGTGACGAGGTCGGGTAAGCCTTCTCCAATACCCGACAGAGAAAACCCACAATAGAAAACTGTACCAAAGAGAACCAATCGTATACTGTGACACGAACTAATGGCTAAACTAAATTTCTTCCATTTAGATAATTTCTGAGAACGGAAGCACATTATAAGCTGCTTCTTGTGTGTGTGCGTTTACAAACACTGCCTTGTGGGGTACCGGAACAATGGGAGGTACCCCACAAGGAATGCCCACCGACTTGCGGGGTACCGTTTTGGTACCCCACAAGTTTTTGACGAAATGGATATATGAATTTTGCTCAAAAACTAGGTATTTCCAAGGTGGGTTGATTTGTCGCAAATAAAGAAAAGGGATATTAAGTCCGAATTTCAGCCCAGAAAATAATTCTGGTTTAAAAAAGAGCATTTTGAAAAAATGCAAAATTGCACAATTTTAGTACACAAGAACAAAGGAAGTACCCCACTTCTATTGGTGGTGTGTGTGTGTAAAGTATGATAATTAAGAAAGAGAATCTGTATATAGATAATCGTGCTCAGTAGTAAGTTCCTTATAATTGTATTTATATTATACAATGTAATACATAGTTGAAAAAAAACAGATAATACAAGTTTGTTTTATCTGTTAACCCTATCAAGAGTTGGGGATGGCATCTTAGATTTTTTTGCGGAGAGGGAAGAGGCATGCACATGAACCCTAGCAGGAGATGCCTTCGGCACGCCTTACTCATCCCCCTTCATATCAGACCCCTCCCCTTTCCTAAAAGCTGGATCCGCCCCTGATTTTATCAACAATCGGAACTTCAGGGCCCAATTTCTTGGCTCTGCTTTGTACCGTTACCGAAAAATCCCTGCTCACTACAGCAGAAAATTCCGTGCTTACAGTAAGCGTATTTCATGCGTTAGCAAGGAATTTTTACTTCTGCGCATGCATACATCCCGTAACTAAGGGGACACCGGGCTTACGGGTTAGCACATAATTTTTTCTTCTAGCTCGATTAGCTCAAAATGTGTGGTCGTAAGCGCGGAATTCTGTGGTTAGCAGAGCCATGGAATTACCGCTAAAAGGCTCTTAACAAAAATCTTTTACGGTATAAAATATTTTTGTTCAACCAAATTCTCCGCAAATGAAGTACTGATGGTAAAACGATATGTATCGGTTTTCTTAAATTAAGTAAGAACAGGCAACATTTGATTTGATTCCAAGAATGTATAGCAGTTCGACACTTGACTTGTTTTCAAACCTCAAGCGAATGTTCGAGTGGTTTTGAAAAAAATGAAGACATGTTATGGAACTATTAAAATGAATATGACACTGTACTTGTATTTATTTATCAAGTTCGAAGAAGTTTTAAACATTTATAGTTTTGGGTCTCTATGGTAAAACTGGTAGTGCGCCACCGCGGTACATGCACCACCCCCACGTAATGGGAATAAATCACGAATCAACTTGGCCAAAACTTGACGCGTGCAAGAATCTTCAATGATCAAAGATTTTAGAGGAGAATGAAGATTTTGTTTAATAACTCGTTTCATCAAAAGTCACCAATTTAACTCGGAGTTTCAAAGGCCGTGCTTTGGGACCTCCCACTTTTTATGGGACAAGCTCCTCCCTCCTTAATCCGGTACCGAGTAAGGCAGTGCCTGTTGATGTGAAGCAACGGATGTGACTCACACGGTATAATATCCCGGGAAATGTTGATACTATTGAAGTACTTGGAATAAACATAGGTATGGTTCCACGAAAAGAAAATGGTCATAACCATATATCCTATTTGCACTTGTACGCGATCGTACACAATTGTGGGACGTGGGTGTTTTATTCTGCATCGGATGGTTTGGAGTCAAGATAAACATACTTCTATTAGAGGTAGGTTTTGAATATGAGAAATAATAAAGTCAGCCGTTTACCAATGCGGGAAATTCGGTTTGTGAGGGCGTCAATTTCTGGAAATATTTCGAAATAAAATGAAGAGTGACACTGGCCAGGAACGCTTGCTTAATGGTTGACTTGGATTTCCGGGATTTTGAGGATGAGTTACAATCGGATATGATAAATTAAGATGTGGACAATGCTTTTACATTCAGGAAGCGTGATCTAACCACTAGTTAGCTTACATTAGGTTTTTGAAATATGTTTGTTTTTATTTTTATTATCATAATTATTGTATTTTTATTGGTTTTTTTTTTTCTTTTTATCTTGTACTTTGATACAAACTTTTGCTTCATGCGCTGAAACGTAATGAAAACCAATAGCAAATTCGAAAATGAAACTGACTAAATATGAAATATCCCATTTGATTGTAAGTAAAAGGAACAAACATCCTGTTAAACCACGGCACCTTAAGTATGCAGTCCTTTGGAATTACCATCATTTTTTTTGCGATGGTTGGGACAAACCCTTTTCCAAATGCTGCCCCACATTGACGGACTTTTGGGTTTGTAATCGGTAACATATCCTTGAATGACAAACTGGGGATCATATTACAAGTGGGTTCAAGTCAAAACGTGTGTTAAGAAACATTTTGAAAGAGAATGCTTTTAAGAGAAACCTTGCTATGCGTCGAAAAAAAAATGAAGATGCATTTTTACATTTTTTTTTAAATGGACATGGCCGAACATTCAAAGGTTAGGGGTTTTAAATAAGCTGCTCTAAATTGTTAATATAATTTTTTGAATCGCTAGTCGGTAATTTTTTTTATATATAATTTTTTTGCAAATGGTGTGGGCTAAATTACATGTTGTCAGGAAATTTGTGTTCTACACAAGTTATTTAATTGTTGATTTTTTGGGGTAATAAATAAATGAGCCTGCATGCTGTTTCAGAGTTTTACGAGCACATTGCATATGAGTGAAGTTATACTGTTTTGCTCTATTCTTTATCTTTATAATGAAACAAAGTTGAACTTTATAAACCCGGAGTAATGAATCCGTTGTAACAGGAAACGCATCAACGGTCTAATGGAGGGAATGAGGGGCCTTGTGGGCTCTGAAACGCGTTTGTTTTATGAACAGATAATAGTTGGAAAATCTTTACAAAATGAAAGATTTTGTTCTCACAACTATACACCTTGAAATTGTATGATTTGCGTTTAATTAGCGCGTTAATTTCAACATTTTGATCATCAAAAATCGAACTGTTGGAGCCACAGTCGTACGTAATTCTTGTCACACAATGTTTTTTTCCGAACCGTTGCACTGAAAGCATACTGTCATTGCGAGGTATTTACTGATCAATAAAAAAATTGGTTTTCAAATTCCAAACCCGTTTCAGTCGCTTACTTCTTTATTCCTTTTTTATCGCAGACGATCGATAGAGGGCGCTCATGAGATTACCGTATTATTTTGTATACCTATTTAATGCTATGTGCCACTTTTGAATTCCAGTTATGAAACAGGCGGGGGCCCAATCCTTACTCGCAACGCTTTGTCTTTTCCCTCCAATTTTTAACATTTTGATATCCAGTTCGTCGTTAGTTGGTCACTGACAGATTGTTGTCACTTCCCATTGAGGTTATTCAAGAATTAGTCCTTGCCAGTGGCCCTATCCTTGAAAGCCATGACGTCATTATTTTCCGGTGCATGGTCTTCACAGTTCAGAATATGGGATGAGTGGGTAGGCCATTAAGGCAGATCGATAAGTTAGGATGGTATTTGACTTGTCGGTTATCAGTGCTGCACTTTTGTATCCGTTTCTGTTTTGTGGTCGTCACAGACGAAATGGAGAAGACCTGCCAGCAAATCCCATTTTCTTTACTGAATTGTTCTTGTGAACACTTATATGCACCGATGGGGTATACATTTTAAACAATAAGACCGGAGAACTCGGCTAAGCACTTCTCATCATAAGCAATCAAAGAAGAAAGCCCTCCCCAAGACTGTTTTTGTCTAACTCACTAACTACTGAGCACCTCTCGCTCAAATAACGACTAATCAGTACAGAAAATTCCTTAGCGATACAGCCTTACTCTTTAATTGGCACAAAACAGTGATAATGTGTACGAATGTATGCAATTTATGACAAATGATACCGGGAACAGTTGTGCTTTTGTATACATGCAAGCTGTGGTTTACACTCACCTTGTGCGAATACAAAACAGTGCAACTGTTTTTTTCGGTACCATTTTGTCATAAATTGCATAATATTATTTTGTACGCACCATCAATGCTTTGGGCCAAACAAAGAGTATGGCTGGATTACTAAGGAATTTCTGTACTGATCAGTCATAATTTGACAGGATGTGCCAAGTAGTTTTTGAGTTAGACAAAAAGTAGTCAGGGTGACTTTCTTTTTTCGTTGAGTGTTATTGGTTGTCACTGTTTTACTTTGGACGAGCCAGACAGCACAGCAACGGAAGGGCTCCACCATCGGCCGAGCGAGGACAGTTTGGGGCATCATGATGGTTTCCCTCCGTCGCCTGGTGACGTCACTGTGGTTTGGTCAAGTACTTCTGCTCTTTTTGGTGGCTACGTGCACAGACGGCAAGTATCAAGCACATGCACGCCACCCCCCCCCCCCCCATGTACCGATTTTACTCAAACAATATGAGAGGGAACGCAACGTTAACGTCCTTAAATGCTTTGAATACGAAATGGTAGGCTAATTTTCAAATTTTCGGACGTTGTAGTCTGTGAGACGGAGTAAAAAATTATTTTACTGTCACTTTCACCCAATGTTTGCGATTACTAAAACCATAACGCCGGCTAATCCTTTCTCTACACGCAGGTGCACAGAAGCAGGATGAAAGCCAGGAGGATTTCCCTGCATCCATGAACGGAAATGCTTTGCAGGGGGAAAGCAATGAGGACAATGAATTGGTCATGGGTGGCGAGGCTGATGGCGATGATGAGGCTAATGAGGAAGACGGGGATGATGGGGATGACGATGATGATGATGAGGAAGACGACGACGATGGGGATGATGATGATGATGATGATGGGAGTATATCAATTGAGGTAGACGGTGGCGGAGATAACGAACAAAGACCAGGTGGAACGATTACGGTACGGCCAACCAAACCGGGCAAAACTGCTATTTCCCCAGGTGGCGAGGACGATGGAGACGAAGGCGACAGCGGTGAAGGCACCGGGGGTCCCCCATGTCTACCCAAGCCCCCGCAAAATGGCTGTCTAAATCGGCACACTGACAATTGTTTCCTGAATGGCCGCTTGATCGACGTCCCGCAAATCCCGCCAGTGACCGAGGAGATTCCTTTCATAACGGCCACCACACTGTCCGTGGGTGAGCAGATCACCCTTGCTCTTGGGGTCTTTGGGATCATTGCCATTACGGGCGGTGTTGGACTGTGGGCCTACAGGTCATTGGCGAGTACTCAGCGAGCTGCCCATGTCGCTCATAGGAGAGGAGGGGACGGGCTCGCCATGGCAGCAGGGGAAGGCACAGAGGATTTACTCAGGGCAGAGACACCGGCTAGTTCCATGACAACAGTCGAAACTACAATTTAATGAAATGTTTTTGATGTAACTGACATTAAAATACGTGGACGGTTTTATCGCGCGTGTGTGCTCTCCGCCCGCCTTTATGGGTCCGAAACCTGAACACTACGCAAGAAAGAGCAAGAACGATTTCAAGCTCAGTTCCACATGCAGTGTCGTCGTCGCATACTTGGAATCCGATGGGTTCGGACTTCATTTCCAACGCAATCATCCAGCAGCTTACTGGGCTTGGTAGCATTCTGTCTGAGATCTCAGGGAGGCGACACACCCTTTTTGGTCATGTTCGGCGCCTCCAAGCTCCTGCCCCTGCTTGTCTTGCCCTGGATGCTGATGTCCAGTTCCACCTTGGCAACGGCCTGCCACCTGGACCAGGCCTCGTGGTCATCCCGGCTTACTTAGCTTAAGAAGGTTGCGGATGCTGTGCAGCTGTCTCTTGCCCATGACCGCGGAAGTTGGAGGTCACTATATACGAACCACCAGTGGCGCACCCAAGGTGCGGCCAAACATTTTGCGCAAACTTTTTGATGAATTTTAACTTTTAAACAATTTGAAAAAAAATAACAAATTGTGACCCCCCTCCCAAAGCCAAGTCTTGGGTGCGCCACTGCGACCCACTGATGGTCAAGTGCAGCAGTAGTAGTACCCTGTGCTGCACAAGTGTACTACCTCAATGGTGAAAACTAAGTTCCCTGACCTGAAGGTCTCCATGCTGTATATTAACAAATCAGTCATACGTCAAGTAGCCGTGTCATTTAGAAATAGGACATGACGCAGCAATGTCAGAAAAGCTTTTCCATTGTTCAAGTGGATGATTGAGGTATTATAAGATGGAATTTTGCGTCGGGGAGATAGCAATCAAATTAGGTTTTTGCCCTTCACCGACATTTAAACACTGTATACTCAGTGTGTTACCTCCCGAGTGAAAGTTGGAAAAAAATCACTCGGCTGGGACTCGAACCCACGACCTCCTGCTTTCTAGTGCAATAACTAAATAGTGCAATAACTAAATGTCTGTGGATTTTTTTTGGTTAAAATTCTCATTCAAAACTGAGTAACTTTTATAATCTACAACGTGTGTAACTCTTATTTTTGCATATCTTTGTATCCTAACTGGACCATTCAATCAAGGGAAATACATTGGTATTTCGAAAGAAAAGAACAAAGCAACACAATTTACAACACATTTAAAAAAAAATATTGCGAAGTGACTAGTCACTATTGTAAAAATTTAACCTGTTGAACTAAACTTCCGTTCAATCGATCACGCGGACAGCAAGTGAAATTCAACCGCGGGAGTCTGTGACCAGACTAGTCAGTGTTTGGTACCAAGACGTTCACGTTAAAAGTAAGCATGGACTGACGAGACACGCTCTATCGGGAAATAAAAAAGCGGACCTGTAAAAGCGGTTGTTAGGAAAGCTTGATAAACAATTTTAATTTACGTGTTTATTTTTTACCTTGAAGTACCTATTGTCATTCATGTATCACAGCATGATTCTTTGGAGGGAATAATGTTCAGCCTGTAAAATCATTTTGTTTTGCTCGCGAATGGTGAGCATGCAAAAACTTTCATAAAAAAGCGCCCTCTATAATTATTGTTACAAGGATTTGCAATCCCTACTTCATCCGAAGATATGTTTTTAAGTAAAGAGTGGAAAAGAATAAATCACTGATTGTTTTTAAATATCGTTTTTGATGGTGCATTTGTTGTATTTATTTGATTACTTTATTTCGATTGTTTCATTATATGCTTGTTTTAGATGCCAGGATTCGGTTTTTCTGACAAAGTCAGCGTGATTCAAACGATTGGGGGTTGGGGGGGGGCTGCAGAGTTTGGTTGGTTGTTTTGCTGGCTATTTGCAGGTTTAATAGTATGTTCATTGATTGGTAAGTTTGTCAAGCCTTCGCCCAATATGGATGTGTGGTTAAGCAACTTTTCGAGTCAATTGGTCAATAGTACAAGATGTGTAAACTCAAAGATGTAACATATCGATTCCGTTATCCACGAAGCCCAGTCTCCATGGTTGGCTTCGCCAGGGCCAGGCTCTATTACATAGACTATAAAAAAAAGACTGCTTCATGCACACAACTTTATGCCAAGTATATAAAAAGTAAGTAAGTCAAAAAAGTACCAACAGCTGTCCCTGTATCTGGACATAAAATTGATGGGTTCTCTAAAGTTAATTACTACATGTACAGGCGTGCATCCAGAGGGGCGGGGGGGGGGGGGGTGCGTGGGGGTCAAAATCCCCCCAGCTCTGACTTAAAAATGAATGTTTTCAGAAAACAGAAATATACTGAAACATAATGCAAACCCCCTCCCCTCCTCCCCCTCCCCCCTCCCCCCAAGTTGGGTTACGGGTGTATTTCTACACTATTCTGTAAAGTGTTAATGATCGTCGGATTTGAACAGCGCCCCCATTGAAAGTATGGTTTTTGCCCCCCCCCCCCCCCCCCCCAATTTACGGAGGCCAAGTGTCCGGAGAAAAAAAGCTGTCTACATTCAACATTGATTTGCTGATGACCCCCCCCCCCCCCCCCCGCAAAAAAAACTTTAGCCTGGATCCTACCCTGTGTATGTATTATTATCTTCAAACACTGTCCCTATCAGGGGAAACGAAACTATCCAATCATTCAGGACAAAGGTTTTCTAGACACACACATATCTGTAATCCGGTTCTAGAAAATACTGATGCATCTGGTCTTTAGATTCTTGTTACCACCAACGTCCCCCATCAAAAGGGCACGATGTCTGTGAAAGCAATCGCAAATTGCGTACTTCCCTATCTCCGACGGCCTCAGCACTGAGCTGGGACAAGGCTCAAAGTGTGTAGGTTGTGTACAGTTGCGGTATTGGTTTACCGCGAACTTCGGTGTTCCAGAGTTGATGAACTGGACTTGATACAAAACTGACCACTGCTGGTGTTTTCCCCCACTTCCAATGTAAACTGGATCAAATTCTGGGATCTTGTTTTCAAAGTGAGGTAAGTGATATACAAGTCTTTTTCATTAAATTCAACATAAGTTTGATAACTAGCTCTTGATATATAAATTCCACTACAATTTCTGATTGCTTTGAGCGCATTTGTGGGCAATGGTTCTGTGGTTTGACTTTCTAGGGGTGCTCCCCCAAACAAAAAAGGGGGACACCGATTCGCCAATCCCTCTAATGTACTTACAAAAAAAAACATCCTGTCTTATCTATGACTGGCATGAGCACTTTCGTATCAACGTAAAAGAACAGGCAAATGCCTGTGATACAACAACTGCTCAAGCTAGCCGTGTGCCAATAATTGTACAGTTTTTGTATGGTATTTTTTTCTTCAAGTCTCAGAGGGAGTTAGCCGGGGTTCACATCGCGCGCCGCCGTAGCCGGTCTCGCAGCCGGAGTTGGCTGAGGAACGAGCGCATGTATAATGCGTCATGAAAATGTACACGTAGGCTAGAGAACCGTTACGTCTGAATGTCAAATTCACTCAGTAGCGATATGTGTATAATGTACCCAATCCACTGTGAGTCACTCCGCCCGGGCCCGATGCGTGATATATACGGGATTCCTGTGCTGTACAGGGCGAGTCAAAAAGAAAATGGCCGAGTTAATATCAAACAATTCAAATTAAACAATAATTTTAACAAAAAACAAGAGCGAGTGCACGATAAGCTCTGACAAAAAAATGGAGTTAAATTTCAGATTAACGACGATCATTGTTTCTGCTCCACTAAATTTGAAAAAAATAGTATCGTCACGTGACGTAGCGCCTTGAGCACCAATATTGGTGGAAACGTTCGCCATATAAACACACGTTATAATTATAATTACACCGGTACGATGGGTATATACACGGTAATCGTTCTCGTTTTTAGAAAGAAATACTTGCAAATGAGCAAAAGCCAATGACTTTCTTTTTCCTCAATGTAGTCCTCTGACAGACAAAAAAATGACGGGAACCCATGGGACGATATTTCCACTACTAGGAATTTGGCTGGTGGTAATATGCTGCATCTACATCCCCTGTGTAAGAGCTGATAATGGTAGGTACCGTACTGAATTGAAAGATTTTTCTCAAAAATTAATTATGCTTCTGGGGACGAAACAAAAGTATTCAGTATTTGGATAGCAAAGATTGTGTGCTTGTAGAAGTTAAAACAAAACTTTAACTATGTATTTAAAATTCTCTCAACCCTAACTCCCTAGGGTGTGTGCAAAATCGAATTAAAATTTTAAGATTCAGGATTAAAATACGTTATATAAGATTGCAGAATCTTCATAGTGTTGGAATACGCAAATGATTCATTGTGTAATCGTGAATTAAATACTATGCGTATATTTTTAACCCGTGACCTTTTCCTTGCAACCTTTGTATTGCATGATCGGGCAAATGCACTTTACGACTCCCACAAATGACCCATAAAATTAAGTGTTCCCCATGAAGACTTCCTCCCCTACCAAAAATAGTGTCGCTAGAAATAGAACACTTAAACAAAATACTTAAAACTACATTTTCGTCTTCACATGATATCTGCAGATGGCCCTGCCAGTCAGCGTCGCCTGTCGTGCAAGCAAAGTCTCCGTCGATGTCAGCGGAACTCGCACGGTGCGATCACCGGTGAAGTCTGCGGTTCTGACGGCCGCACGTACCCGAGCCACTGCTCGCTGCTGTTCGCGGCGTGCAGACGGCACAACAGTCCGCAGGGACGCGGTAGATCTCCCTGGCCGAGCCTGGTCCACGCCGGAGCGTGTCAGGATGACGCATACTACAACGTCCGGAATAACACAGGCAGGTTGACTAATATGAATGCATTACAGATCTGAGTGTGTAATTATAGAGATGAACTTCGCACTAATGGGGAAAGCCAATTTCGCAAGAATGTGGAAATTCTCATTCACACAACCATAGTCTTTTCTGTTTTGTTTTGTTTGGTTTTTTTGTCGGGGGGGGGGGGTCATTCTTTAGTTTTGTTTTAATATAGGGGATTGAGGCGGGCTTTGTTGATTCTTGGGGACGTTTGGGAGAAGTTTGCGTCAGGGTTGTACTATATGCCCCATTGTGTACCAACGCAGGTCCTGAGTTCGTGTTCCACACGTGTACGACTTTGAAAAGTACGAAGCAGCTTTTGTTGATAAAAGACCAAAACAAAACCAACAACGACCACCACAACAACAACAACCACAGCAACAATAAAAACAACAACAAGAGCCATGGCATCGCGAGGGAGGGGGGGGGGGCAAACGGGGCAAACGGGAAAAAAGAGGGGGGAGGAAAAAGAGGTGCAAAGCCATAATTGCTGTTTATTTGATGGGGGTAAGGCAAATGCTCTCCTACTCACGCTCGGAAAAATGAAAAATTGAGAATATAATGAAAAAGTTAAGAAATTTTGGAGAAAAATTCTGGGAAAAAATTGCTTTGCCCCCCCCCCCCGGGAAAAAAATCCTGGCGACGCCAATGACCAGAGCAACAACATCAGTAGCAGCAACAGCAACAACTAGTGATTGACAAAGACATCCGATGAATGCTTTGTAATTGATGCCACATTTCTCAGTCAATAGATGAGGATTTGATAGAAATGAGTCTTAATTAATAGGGGTTATGAATTTAAATACCATTCTGACTCCCAAGCTGTGGATATTGGTACAATCACGGATTATGTATAACTATTATAATGTTTTTCATTTGAACCCGGTATGTTCCTCATGCTTCTTAATAAATTATGGCTTAAAAACATCCATCCAGATAGCTTCAGAAACGAAATGTCAACATAATTTCTTTGATTCCTGTCCCACTCTTTTGAGACAAAGATTTGGTTTAAAGGGAATATACAACATTTGCAAACATCGAAAAATAAAACTACCAAGTTTTTACGAAATACCTTACTAGGATGTTGGTATATGACAGTCTCAAGCATCTTGTAAAATTATGGCACCTGGTGTGAAGTCATTTTCAAGAAAATTGTATTTTTGTATACATTTCCAACGGTGGTCGGCCGACCAGCGTTGGAAAAACCTAACTATTTTTCAACTACTGCTCCAAATTTACCATTTTTCAGTCCAAATTTTGTTTGCTATTGATTACGTGTTCATGAACGGGTGCAGGCCAGCTAGACTGGTTCCCTTGCCTTACAATTTTCCATCATCTATACATTGATCCATTTTATCTTTTGTGGAGTCAGGGAACCAGACTACTTGAACATTTTTGTTTTTCTTGGTTTTATCAACCTTTTCGTACACAAAACTTCAAAAATGTCAGTGTAACAATATTTGATCTATTATACTAACCCCTCAAATAGTTCATTTCTGAAAATTACAGCAAAAGCAAATGATGTACATTCCCTTTAAAGGCATATGGTTCATCTGTATTTATCCCAAGAAATATCTGCATTTTTTTCCTCAAAAGCTTAGGGGGCCTACTGGTGCTAAACACCCCGTGAAATGTTTCCGTCTGGCTGGTTGTCATTGAGATGACATCGAGAAAAGTATAGGTGATTTATCAAAGTGACTGATTTTGACTGAAATAAAGAGTGCTATCGGCCAAATCTTGTTTCGTGATCAAAAGGTTGTGCGTGGTTCTTCAATGTTTGCTAGAATAATGCAATTTGCACTAAGCTGAAACTTCACGATAGGTTAGGTTTGGAACATTCTTCTTTGGATATTGAGCGGTGTTGATATAACGAATTACAAAATGCATGAAAAGCAAATGATCCTATATAATTACATGTAATTCAATCGCCTCGTATGTCTAATTGATTTGTGACAGGCCCGAGCGAAGCAGGAGGCAGTAACGATGGACTATTGCCTTTTGGTGAGGAGGAGGAGGAAGAGGAGGAGGAGTGGGAGGACCAGGAGGGGGAGAGGGAGAGGGAGAGCGAAGACAAGTCGAGTGAGAAGTCCAGCGAGGAAGACGAATCCCGGGAAGAAGATGAGGACAATGATGGTAAAATAATGAGCAGTTCCAAGGTTTTGTTAAAAATTACAACTGCAAATCTAGCCGAAAGCTGAAACGATCAGTGTTCATGTCGTAGCCATTGTAATTAGATTCAAGAACTAGAGTTCTACATGTCGTAGCCAAAATAAAAAAAAATCAGTCAGATTTCAAGAACTATAGAGAAACAATTCATAACAAATACCAAAAAAAATAACAAATAACCATTACAAAAAAGTTGTGTTGGCCAGTGTGCATTCGTAAAGACATCTTTTGCGATTATAAACATGCATAATTCCCGTTTTCTTTTCACTGTGGTCATTGGTTGTAAACTTTTTTTGATGTATGACGTTTAGGTAACCCGTTCAACCCGGCCACTAGACCACCAACTGTTTCGTCAGCCATGACGTCAAAGCCCCCGGCAACAACTGTTTCCTCCGCAACGGGTAAGGTTGTTGAAAAATATGCAACAGATATACCACAGATTCGGGATGTCGACTTTTATGTGTGGGCTTATGATTGGATCCATATTATTTATCATGCGAATTTCACGATCACATTACCTTGACCCTCGGCAAAAGTGACGCTCAGCAACAGTTTGTGGAAAAAGACGAGGGCATCATCGGAAGGTCATAATTGGTAAAATGGTTGATATTCAAATTCGTGGGTGAACATGATTTGATCAATCGCTTTGAACGCAGTTCTAGGAGAAAAAAAACCCGGAACGTGTCATCCAATCCGTGTTCAGTTGAAAAGTTGAAGGAATACCGAGACCTTAACTATTTTTCGTAACAAATCCCCGATTCGTGTCTGACATCTTAGGATTTTCCGCGGCCTCAGTTCCGAACCAACCCATGCCTACCCAGACGGACCGCACCACAGGTCGGACTGACCCCACCCAGACGGGTGCCACGACGGTACCCCCGACGTGCGCCCCGTCCTGCCCGCTGGACAGCAACCCGGTGTGTGGAACGGACGGCGAGACGTACAACAGCCGATGTCTGCTGGAGGCGCACGCTTGCCAGACCGGAGACCAGTCTCTCATTGTAAGCATGTTTTTCTTCATGCCCAGTATTTGGGCAAGTCAAGGGGAGGAGAAAGGTGGCTCAAGGAAACATCTCGAAACACAAGATTCCATTGTCCATCTCCGTACTCTCCTGTTGCCAAAGAGTACAAATGTGCTCTATAACTCTAAATCTTACCGAGCGAAAATTCTCTACATCCCACTGAAACTAGGGTCGAGACGATTAAAGGTCCATGTAAAAAAGTATTTTTTTTTTAAAGTAATGCTGTCCTTGTAAATGCACCTTTGTGTCCCATTGAACCTTATTTTCAATTTTCATTCGTTGGCATTTTGGTGCCAGGCGCGGATCCGCCCCCCCCCCCCAGCTCAGTCAAACAATTATAACAATTCATGAAAAATAATGCGAAACCCCCCCCCGCCACCCCCCCCCAAAAAAAATAGTGGTAATAATGTCCACCTCTGCACAAAAAACGGACAGAGGCAACTTGGTTGGGGGGGGGGGGGGTATCTGTACACTATTCTGACTATTCTGTCATGTATAGTGTTAATAATCGTCGGATTTGAACAGCGCCCCCATAGAAAGTATGGTACAAGCCAAATGAGGCATTAAAATATTAACTAAATAACAGTCGTCACTAATCATTCTCAAGAAGTATCAACATGAAAGATATGGGTCTAATTCAATCTTAAAAGGTTAACCTGTCTAGTTCCAGCAGAGCACAAATAATACACTTACGCCTCTCATTGCCCTTTGTTTTAATGCAATTTGCTAACAACGTCCAGGTGCTGTACGACGGACCTTGTATCCCACCCGGCGTTGTCGTTCCCCTCCCGAGGCGAGACCCGACCACGCTGGCCTCCCGCCGCGAGCCCCGGCCCACCCCGGCCGACCGTCCCGTCCGGGAGCGTCTCTCGTACTGCCCCACCGAGGCCGAGTGCTCGATGCTCTACCTGCCGGTCTGCGGCTCGGACGGCACGACCTACTCATCCTGGTGTCACCTCCGTCTCGTGGCCTGCAGAACCCCCGGTGAAACGTTGACCGTCAGTCACATGGGAGAATGTCTAGAGAGCACCAACACTGGTAATGAGAAAAGAAAATGTAGGGCCACCTGTTATTCAGAGGAAAAATCCCTCCCATTTTCCCTTGACCCAAAACCTGGAAAATTATGTTGTTTTAATCAAGTTGACACGAGTCATCACATTCACAAATCATAACGAGTTACATCGCAAGCCATGATGTTTCAATTCAAGTGACAATGTATTCCTCTGGTCACTGTTTATCTTTTGATTTGGGATGTTATGGACTACAGTTCAATTTTTGAACTTATTTATTTATTTCTTCTTTACACTGGGTGGCCCATTCAGTCCTTTTGTCAGAAACTGATCTCCCATGGGTCCCAGTAGGAGTAATAAACTAACAAAACATTATTTAAACATTAAAATGAAATAGATAAAATCATATACATGCGTGTAACCTGTATTTAACATTGCACAATAAAACGTTATTTTAAAAACGGAGAGCTTATGAAAACATTGAAAGCAACTTATGAAAACGTTGACAATTTTTGCGAAGGGAAGAAAGCTGATATCATTTCTTCGATCAGTTACAGAGATGCCATCTTGTGGACAAACCAACAATAAATCTGAAACAAACACCATAACTTATGCACTTTTTAATTCAGTGTCCAATACCATTTCTACGTGACTCATAATTATACTGTCAGTGCCCATGAACTTCAATTTTGTGCCCTTTTTGTCGGACATCACCGTTTTGCTTTTCTGACTAAATTTCATTACACTACAATGTTGGCAACATTTCCATGGCAAGTGTGATAGTTAACTTAATGAGATTTTAAGCTCATCGACAAAAACTACGTTATTAGGTAGCGATGACAAGGAAAGGCGAAAAAAAGTGTGTTTTTTTTTGGGGGGGGGGGGACTGGCCGTAATCCTTGTGCCCATGGCTTCCACAGCCTTTATACGGCCCTAAAATTGGCCGAATCACTCGTCTGGTGTCCTTTGAATTTCCCTTCTTAGCAATAATATATATATTTTAATCTATATTTCAGGGAGAAAATCGACAATAGCTCGGACAATGCATCATTAAGCAATACTAATTGATGAACAACAGGTCATTCAACCATTATGAACGAAATCAACCATGATTATCGATGATCAACCAGATTAAAACGTCGTATCGTTTGCTTTCATTTTCAATGCTTTCTGCAGGTTGTGGAGAGCCCTGCCCTGATGTTTTCGAGCCTGTTTGCGGTAGCGACAACATGACGTATCACAGCCTGTGCAGCCTGCGTCGGATAACGTGCTTGCGAGGGGAGGATTTGCCCACAGCACACGGTGGAGAGTGCATCCTCCCAGCCTTGGGTGAGAACGATTGCTCATTGCATTTTCTGTTACTTCAGTATCAAAGACTTGAGTCTTTTTGTGACTGGCTCGGGTTTTTTTTTTGGGGGGGGGGGGGGGACTCAGACTACTAGGAGTCGGGCGTAATGACTTGAAGACTCGGCACGAGTCCGATAACGTACACGAGTCCAACTGAAAGTGACTGTTTGATCATTTTCGGCACCCGTTCAGTGATAGAACAAATACATACATGGGGAAAGTACCTTCGTGTCATTTTCAAACGATGACGAATCGTGTCCATTTTCTTTTTTGGGAGGGGGGGGGGGGTACGGTTAGAAAAAGCCCGATGACAGTGTCATTATGTTCCTTGCACGTCGTGTCCTGGCGTTATGGACTCACATCCTCCTGTACGTGCGTGTTGTCTGTGCACGTTATCATGCTCAATGTGGTGAATTACAAAATGTATTTTGACTGATCCTTCAGTTGCACCAAGCTGACTCTTAATAGATACCTCAGAAAGTTCTACCATGGCGTGGGGGGGGGGGCGCAAGGGGGCACTTGCATGCCCCCCCAAAAAAAAGTATAAAAAAAGTGAGAGAAAAAAGGGGGAATTGAACAAAGAGGACGAGGGGCGAATCTGTTAATTTAATGTATTTAAATGTATTTCGAACAACATACAACATGGACGGTTTTTAACAAAGCGTCGAGTGATGTCTGGCACCCGATCCCGATTTTTCCACACCCGGTGATTTCTCGCTTCGGTTCTGGAGAGTGCTTTGCCCCCCTCTAGAAAAAGATCCTGCCGATGCTCATGAGTTCTACGTTTTCCTGCATTTTTTTAATGTGGAAATCATTGAAAACCTGAGCCTAATAATGTAGTTCCTGTGCTGTTTCCTCGCCTATTTTTCCCTGCAGTGTGTCCACTGGTCTGTCCTGGGACCAATGACCCGGTGTGCGGCACGGACGGGAACTCCTACCCATCTCTGTGTGTCATCAGACTGGTTGCCTGTCGCTCTGCCGACGAACGGGAGAAGGAACTGCGGATGGCGTACCGCGGACTGTGCATGAACGGTAGGTAAACAGCGGAACCAGCTTTGACCGGTGGGGGGGGGGGGGGGGGGTCGTTGTCATACAGAATTGGTTGGCAGGCATGTGCTACTTTATTTCTGCATGATTTCCGGGGGGGGGGGGGGGGTGGTGAACCCCTTCCCCCTTCCCCACCTCACCCGTAGATCCGCCACTGGTATTCTGATGAACGTAATATATTCGCTTAGTAAAACAGCTTACAATGCAGCCAAAATACCGTACATGGATATTGTTCTTAGCTAATAACTGCCTTGCGTGAAATTGTACTGTTCAGTAGCCGAACTATGCATTTTGCCCCGGACCAGGCATTTTTGGCGGGGACGGACTCCAATCAGATCAGAGGGTTAAGATAACTAGAAATGCTTCCCGCTCAAGGACCGCTGGCGATCTCAAGAAGCGAGGTGTTGTGGACCTGTAGGTGGGGGCGCTGTTTAATGCGGGCGGGACTTGTCACCAACAACACGGTGGGCTGTATTTTTATGTTCTGCAACCAAGTATAATCACACGCCATATTCCGAATGAGAGAAAGTTGGGCGCCGTAGGCTGGATCCCTATATGTCCCCCCCCCTCCTCATCCCCTTCTTATCCCTGCAACATTTGACCTTTCTTTCTTTTATGGTTCCTAATCAAATCCTCCATTTCAATGAAATGAATTTACTGTTTGATATCCTATTTGTGGATCTGGAGGAGTTTGAAAAAGAAGTAAAGCCCTTCGCTCGTACCCCGCGCCCTGCAAACAGGACGCTGGGAAGGGCTGATGTCTCTGAGCTCTCATTGGATAGATTTAGCGTGATGTGACGTAGCACGTAGCACAAACTCGCCGCATGCAGGAGCTGTTTATCATACGCAGCGTGCGCGCTGGCTACATGCGATGCATGCGCATGCCATAATAAGTTACCCAGAATGCCATGCGTACTTCCTACACAAGATTCTGTGAAGCTCATCAGCCCTTCCCATTGCCCTGTTTGCGGGGCAGGGACACGAGCGAAGTAAAGCCCAGAACCATTCAGTTAATTGAAGGATGCGCATGATGATCACTGACTTTACTTGGATACAGAAAGAAATATTTGCCAGCGGAAAAGGGGGCCGGAGGGGGGGGGGGGGGCTAATTCAGCTTTATGCAGGGAGAAGGCACAGCCCCCGACATTGTCAGGCTCTCCACATACGTGGGCTTTAGAGTTTGACAGACGAGGAAGTGCCCAAGATTGCCAGGGCAATTCCACCGCTGAGGGCGTATCCAACAGAAAGAGCCAGTTCGTAATGAACTTTCCTCAAGTGTCGTATTCACTTTAAGTTTATGGTCCGGGGTGCAAAGAAATTATGCATTTTATTGGGGGGGGGGAGTCCCAAAATTTACCTTCATTCATGTATAGAGCAAGTTTCCTTACTCTATGATTAACGGTGTAGTACCATTTGTATACGGTAGAGCGCAATTCGCAAAAAATAGATACAAATTACACTTTCGCCGGACACCTCATTGTTTTCATCTAAGAATTTCAGTTCAGCAAAAACGATCTTTTGTTTATTAGGATTTTACCATTTTTCAACATAGAAAACAATTTAATAACAACGCTTTTTTACGTTAAATCTGCCATGGTATAAACAACTGTTTCGATGAGCAGATATTTTATGGAAGAATTCAAAATCTTAATGAGATTAAAAGTTGTCTTATTATTGTCGTTATCGACATTTTTTCCCCCAATCTTTCAATTCCAGAGCCGTGCCAGAATAGTTGTCCAGAGCGTGAATATGCCCCTCTCTGCGGATCCAACGGGCGCACCTACCAGAACGAATGCTTCCTGTGGCTTGAGATGTGCCGTCATCCGGACCTGGTCAGATTCGACAAGGACTGCAATTTGGCTATTCCATAAAACAAAAACTGACTTAAACTGTAAATCGTCAAAGTCACATTAACTTGAGGTGGATCACGTGACCGACGAAGGTGGCAATGTTGTAAAGAAAATCAAATACTGTAAATACACGTTTTACAACGACTGTTTTACTTTTAAAATAAATCATAGTCCACTTTTTAACATTTACATAATTCTGATTGTAAAAAAAAGAAAGGTCATCGCAATCAACTTTTGATATGTTAGCATACTTTGGTTTATGAAAATTGAATTATAATAATTATTCTTATCGTTATGTATGCAAATGCGCCCTCAACCGGCGGTCGAATGCAAACTTTTGTTCTAGAGCCTATTTCACAAAATAGGCTGTGCAGCAAAAAACTACTGGACCGAATCGGAAAACTTTGGTATCATAATTCTTCAACTTCTTCAAAAGGATTCTCCATCAATTGGTACAAGCGGTTTGAGTCTCAAGGAAGTGGAAGTATGCCGTTCCTTTTTTTTTTCTTTCTTTTTTTGACCACCCTGTATAGAGTAACGAAGTGTGACGCCATTTAGAACCAGAAAGTGTAGCGCAAACGAATGGAGTACGCGTGCGTGTTTGTTCACGGGCTGAATAGGGTGCTAATGTCTTTAACACACATTTTGTGCGCCTGATGTATTCGCTTCGGCACTCTATAACCATGGTGTAACATTTCCTTGAGAAAATTTGCCAAGCACGTTTTTTTTTCACTGAGTAACTCCACTGAGTTTCCCTGCCAGAATACGACAGCACGCCGATAAACCTTGTGCAGGATTCCCCTGTTCTGTATATCCAGAAGATGCAGACGTTGCACAACACTTCCTTCCTCAAGGGGCCCGTAAAAAACAACATGCAGATTTGTAGACGCAAAGGCGCGAAGATACAGGCGGTTGTTCAGAAGAAAAAAAAAGGACATGAGGTACCGTGGAATGTCAGACTATGGAGCTATGTGTTCGCGCAGTCAGTGATCTTTATTACCGTTCGGCTGTAGACAATGCAACAGCTGTTTGAGCTGATATCCAGGGTCCTGAAATAAAGGGGGGGGGGGACATCGCGCTTAGCCAGGAGCGTGCCAGGAGGAACCTTAACCCCTGGCAATTATATACATTTGCTTGAACTCAAATGATTCATTATGAAAGGTGAACCATGGATGATATCCGCATATTTGTGGGTGTTCTACTAATATCTTCCTGCAGATTTTCTTCAAAATGTAAAGCATCGGGCTAGAATTTTCAGATGGATATTACTGCATGGTTGTCTATGCTGTTATTAAAAAGTCGTTCCTCCAAATACTCTTTTCTAAGTCTAATTGACAGTTAACATTTTATTTTCTTTAACATTTCCTGTCGTTGATTTCTGTCGCAGAGTGAATGTACACGTAAAACTATCGTAAGCCACCATGTCAACATTTAAATGGTATTGTTTTCCTTATTGGAGCTCTGGTGCTAATTGTTTGTCTTTTATTTTTTGTTTGTAACATTGCAATTGTATGAAAATAAATGTGTATTATTTTGCATTTAATGTTAAGACATAATATACCTGTGGCTTGGATAATAAATCATGAGGATTCTGTTGACTTGAAATTGATTCAAAGAATGTCACGTTAATGGTCGACTTTGGTAACACCCCCCCCCCTGCCGCTCACCATAGGCGATTTCAGTCGACCAGGAAACCACACACACAACACCCTCATCACAGATGTGATAACTTACTGTTTTTCAAAAAGCTGGCATGAAGTATATTTTGCCGCTCATACCCAGGGGCGTAGCACGGTAATTTTTATTGGGGGGGGGGGGGGGTTGGGGTTGAAAAGGGCACTTGCACATCCGTTGTGAAATGTAGACAGTTTTTTTTCTCCCTCCGGACACTTGGCCTCCGTAAAATCAAAAAGCGGGGGGGGGGGGGGGGGGGGCTAGTACCATCTGTTGAGGGGTGCTGTTCAAAACCGGCAATTATGCACACAAAGGGCAAATATATGGTGCCTTTCTGGGCGATACATGTGCGAAATTCTGAAAAAGGCACCCAAAACGGGGGGGGGGGGGGGGGGGGCGGGGGGGACATGCCTCCCTCCCGATGACGCCCATCATACTTTGTTAAAGTTGTCAGGGGGGTGGTTATCATAATCGTTCCCTCCCCCACTTTTTTCGTCCCCGAATAAAAATTGTAGTCCTACATTTGATTCCATAGCTCAGAAAAACTGTTTCAATGACTCAAAACACAAAAACGAAAAGCTTTTGCTAAAAACAATTGGTAAGTGGTCAGAAGTTGCCTCAGATCACACCACGTCCACAGACCGACTAGTAGAATAGTAGAATCCACAATTTCCCGGGCCCCTTAATTAAGCGGGCCCCGAACCCCACACCTTCAGGGCTTCGCGCTTGCATTCGTTCTGTATGCCCCCCCCCCCCCCCTTTTTGAAAAGCGATTGACGGCCTTGGAAAGTATTCCTCCATGCCAAGACCTTCATGGACAATACTGATGCATGAAATATATTTCACGAGCATCAATTCATGAGGTCATGTATAGCTTTGGCGATAAAAGGGGGCCACAAAAGATGGGAACATGCCGACTGATGGCTCCATAAAAAAAGCACGGCGTACTCGGAGATGTTGATTCTGGGCTGATTTCGCAATTGAAAAGCGTAGGTGGTTGAGTGCAACCTGCAAACAGCGTAATCTGCTTGGTTGTTTATCAATTACTAAGGAAGGGATAATACAAGCCTGATGTCTACCGGCTTATCTAGCTTCTCAAGTCGCCAGCCACTCAAGGCTGTTTGTCTAGTTCATTGTGTAATTCCACCACAGATATGAAAATGTGCTGCACAGATTTGCACTGAAGGGGATTATTTTATTTATCCTTAAGAAACTTTATTTCTAACATTGTATGCTTGCTCTATGAAAGACACGCTCATAGATTGCGACAATGTAGGACAACATTTCCTGTAGTGTCCTTCCTGTGATATTGCCGATGTACGTATTGAAACTTGCATTTTGCACGTTTGTTTTTCGTTTCAAGCAACTGCTAAATAATTCAAGTATAATAATAAAGTTTATGACAACCTGTTGAAGTTATACATTTTGGGAAACATAATGCACATGTGTTTTTGGGCCTCGAACTGGATTCCGATGCTTTTGACGCACATAAAAAAAGGTGGCCATTCTTGTATCATCCAAGGCACTTCCCATCACCTATCTGCCATACTAGGAGGGTGATGTTGGGAGGGGGGGGGGGGGGCTGGGCATCCTCAACCCAGTGCTTGCCCAAAGCAAAGGACTTTGATCAAGCAAAAGATTTGTTCGAAAAGTTTTGCATTTCAACCACAGAGGTTGCGTATCATGGGCCTACAAAGCGCACATTACGCGTTACTGATGTCCGAATTCGTCATCGAGGGCTTTGACCTGCATGGAACGTTCGCCTTCCACCTGTTCCTTGTTCTATGTTTAGATCATTTCCAGGCTCTGAGGTTATGCAACCATAGAGCAACCTTGGAATGATGTAACCTAAACTTTGACTATTAACGCATCATTCCAAGTCAAATCGGTGTGCATGTGTACAGTATACTGCATGTACATGTACTGCTGGGGAGGAATCTGCCCTGATCTTTTCACCTTTTTTTCAAATTTCAAGGCAAAAGAGTTTTTCCCCACTGACCGTGCATAGCAAGTGTCAATATTGTATACCTATTTCTCCATAGTATACCGTTGTTTGAAAAAAAATTTGAAATAGGAAGCAGAGGCGGATCCTGGAATTTTTTGCAGGGGGGTGGGGGTGTCAGGCCCCTTCAGATTTTACAATGTCCAATTGTTGCGAACAGGCACGCAATTATTATTACCATGGTATTACTATTACTGTTATAATTTATTACTGTTTTGTTTTTCGGTGTCAGAGCAGGGGAAGGGGTTTCGACCCCCCCCCCCCCCGCATCCGCGCCTATGATTCTATGAAGATACACTTAGGTACAATTGCTTAACTATGCTGGGCAGCAATTTGCAGATTATGTGGATGTTTCTAGGTGTATATTATGAATTTCAGTCGCCATTTGAAATACAAGACTTGGCCAGGGTTGAAACTTCAGCACTGAACCCTCAGTATTGAGATATCGGAACGACCTTCGTTTCAGTTTCAACAACAGGGAAATCCCCAGGCCCAAATATCAAATAATCATAACAAATTATGACATGCCACGTGACTTTTCCCAAAATTTTGGGAAAAGTCACACGACCTGCAAGAAAACTCCAGCTGTTTTAGTGTTTATATCACATGTAACAGTTCACGTGATACCGAAGGGTTAATTATAAAATTCAGGCAAAGCTATTCAGGTTGCTTTTTTTTTTTAAAGCAAATTCAGTGGAGAGCTAAAAATGTACATTTGGGGGGGGGGGCGGGTTTTTTTTTTGGGGGGGGCATTCTCTTCAGCTATTCCTCGTTGCGTTATATACATCATGCTCATGCATAGACCAACTCCAACATTCTTTTCTGTTAACTTGTGTAACAACAATGAAGGAATTGTGTAACTTCTCATATCAGGTGTGAAATTTTAATTGACCTTCCTGTTTGGTGAGGAGTTTGCTTTACTTTGTATGGGTTTGACTTCTTCCATGGGGATTACAAGCAAGGCGCTAATTGGAAAGCATGCACGCGGGCAGCGCGTGATTTATGTCTACCGCGGGGGAAGAGAACCGAGATCACCACCTAAACTTTGCCAGCAGCAGCTGTGGCTGTTTATTAGCGTGTTACATAATTCTTTCTCCCTGGTTCCTGTCTGATGCTTATCTCTCCCGGCATCCCATCTTGCCTCGCCTGGGGTTCGAAAGTCCTTGGTTGATCCCCCGACCTGAAAATCATCAGTTCCTCCAGGAGTGCTCCACCGGTGCGGACCCATACCCGCCGACCAGCCCGGTGACATACCGGCAAGTAATCTCCTCCCATCGCAACGTATCCAGGAGACAAGCATCCTGAGCAGCGGAGCAGGTGAGTTTTCAGGCAACTCTCTTACTTTCAAAGAGTGACGCTGGGACCAGATGATTTACAGTGTACATTACCCCAAAAAGTATGTTACAAATTTGGAGAGAAAAAATACTCCAGCGGAAACGCGAATGAAAACTTGAATTTTACCACATGCTGTAGATCGTCTTCTCACTGGTTTACACTGGATATTTTAATGAATATCGTCGAATTTCGAAGTTAAGATGATTGCTCCTTTTTGCTGTGTTTTTAGGGTTGGTTGCCGTGTAATTTGCCGTGTTTATAATGTTTGACTTGCCCTTCATGTTGTTGGCTGTTGGAAGAGAGTCGGATCATGCTTGAAGGCATGCAGAAAGGTCTGAAGGTTTTTTTTTTATTTTGAGCACTAATACAGTATTTATTTCGCTCTGAAAGTACAACGACACTTGAGGTTATGCGAAATTACATGAAGTAGTTTGCGTTGCAGTTTTTTATTCTTTGCAAATTGTTCATTCGATCATTCTGCTTCCTAAAAAGTGTCCGAAAATTTAACTCTTTTAAAACTCTCTTTTAAAACAACTGTCAAATACCCCTGCCGCTTCCCCTCTTTGTAAAGGGAACCATTGTAAAGAATATTGACCTGTTCTCTTAAACTTGTCACTAAGTTACCAAGTTCCTATTCTTGTGAGTTCTACTATGGCGAGGTCTAGGCTAGGCACACGTAACACGTCTGTCTCGATAAAAAAAAGTATGAGATTTTCCCTTCGGTAAAAAAAAGGGGAAATTTGTAATGTCTTGGCCTTTCATTAAGGGTTGGTCTTATCGTCATGAAACTTGACTGGTGGGAAGCTAGATGACATCAAAATGCAAAATCGAAAGTGACGTCAAGACATGCAAGATGACGTTATCAACTTATTTTTAATATTATTTATTATTATTTTTACTAGCTCAATATTACTTTTATAAACTTTCAGGCATGCAACTTTTCCTCGGATCAGCTGATTTCCTCTTTTTTTTACTTCCCATGCATGTGTGCCATTGAATATAGAAAAACACTGTACAAAGTCTTGGAAAGATTTGAATTTCCTCTTTTTTATGACTTCCCAGTTGCATGCCTGAACTTTGAACACAAAATTATATTTTACCAGACTGCACATCGGCAAAAAAACATAAAGTTATACAAAAATGATAATGCGGAAAAGCCCTATACCTCCAGTTTAATTTGATTTTTTTTTCACTGGAGTGGAATATCCTTGTTCTATCGACCTGCCCAGCTTTTACTCTGAATCGTGCTAGCAATAGTAGCATGGCTAGGGTCCAGCAATTAGTGTAGGTAGAGCCATGGAGGAAGGAGCAGAGGAATTCCAGTATTACATAACTTGACCACATGGCGGGGATCGCGTGGGCAGCAAGGCCCCATGCATGTGCATGAACCTTTGGGCATTATCAGAGCAGTTATATAGTTTAAAGCTGTTTTAAATATTCGAAGAGTAAGTAATTTAATTGACAAACTGCGAGGCAAAAAGGTTAACACTTCTTATTATTCTCAAATGAATATTCTCAAACGAAATTACGAATTTTATACATTCTGTAGTAGAACCGGAAAGGTAAAATCATGAAACATCACACTTAATTGTTTGGTTAGTTTTGGGTTTGGAGCTGGACGTATTTTCGACAACATAGGGTGCGTTAAAAACAAAACCATACCCAAATGTCGGGACCATTGGTTTAGTGACGTTCTGCTTGTAGCACTTTCAAAATCTAGGAATATAAACGCTCAATGTAAGAGCTTGCTTTTACTACAAGAATCATTCAAATCACTCGTGTAGTTTTCAAGTTACGACTTACGGACTTTTAAACACAACCACCATTGTAAAGTTCTCAAATCTCCTTTGGGAAGATGGCTACCTCCATGGTTTGATAGTGTGTCGTTACAACAAACGTTTCTGAAAAAAAATCTAACACTGAAAATTTCGGCCTGTAATTGCACAAAACTGGAAGTTTTATATTGAGTGTACTTTTTGAATGTAAGCCTATTTGTTTCATGCATTCAAACTCGAATTCGTCTATTAGGCCAAAAAAAAAAAAGTCTCCGGTTTCTGGTATGAGAATACCAGAAAATGATCGAGAATAAGCTATGTGGCCTCTCTGGACTCCCATCTATTTGCACTAAGTCTAGTCGGGCACCATTTGCAGTCATCAGCCTACATTTTGAGGCAAAAAAATCATGTAAAAAAAAAAAAAGCCGCGTCGCCGCACCACTGACTTTTTGGGCAAGCTCCAAAAGACAACTCGTACCCGAGACAACTCGTACCCGAGACAACTCGTACCCGAGACAACTCGTACCCGAGACAACTCGTACCCGGGACAACTCGTACCCGGGACCATTCGTACCCGGGACCACTCGTACCCGGGACAACTCGTACCCGAGACAACACGTACCCGTCTGAAAATAAAACACTGTGCAGCGTACTCGTATCTGTGCCTTACTTGTGCCGACTGTTATCATACTTATTTTCAACCAATTATTATTCAATTATTTTATTTCCGTTTTTCATTTTTAAATAGAGAAGAAGTTTTTCATTCAAATAGGTCTCTCTGTTGTTGGCCTGAAGATTTTTTTTTTTAATACTGTTTTATTTTCATTCCGTTTCAGAAACTCTGATGCAATCTCTTTTTGGGATGCAATACTTATTTAGTAATGCAATAACTGAAGATCAAATAAGTTACGAGCAAACTCCGCCCGTTATAGCCCTGCAAACGGGAACACAATGACGCGTGAAACATGGCATCTCACGCTACTCACTAAGCTAACAATTCTAATTAAGTGACTTTTGAATTATTTCACATAATTATGCAAAAGACTGACACGCTACTGGGATTGTTGATGGTTATCAAAATTAATGTTTTATAAAAAGTGTAGAAGGTGACATATATAACATTTTTATAATTTTAATGAATCGGTCCACTTATTTTAGAAATAAGTTTTCGCAATAAATGAAAATGAAGATCAAATAAGTTACGAAGCTCATGATTGCTATAGCTCCTTCCGCGAATTCGGCGAACTCCGCGATCATCGGCCAGCTGTTAGAATCTCTCCAGAACAATCTCTTGCTTGTCACCACTGGCAATTCCCCAAAACTCAACGGCTTTTGTTTTCCACATCTTCGGATTTGTCAATTACATCTAAGGCCAAAAAAAAAAGTCTCCGGTTTCTGGTATGCGCGCGCGTCGCCGTAGCCATGCGCGTCGGCAAAATGAAAAAGTTTTTTTTTCAATGAAAGATGATGTCTCAAAACCGCCAAACTCACTGGTTTGACTGGAATTCTGCTGCTGCGCAATTTCAACGTGTTTTTAGATGGGGTTATGATCGAGAATAAGCTTTATGTGGCCTCTCTCGACTCCCATATATTTGCACTAAGTTTAGTCGGGCACCATTTGCAGTCATCAGCCGACATTTGAAGCAAATTTGAAGCCAAAAAGTCGGGTAAAAAAAAAAAAAAAGCCGCGTCGCCGCACCACTTTTTGGACAAGCTCCATACCAGAAACCGGAGACTTTTTTTTTTGGCCTAACTAAAAAGGAACAGAAAAGTAAATGGTAAGAAAAGTACAAGGTACGAGTCGTCCCGGGTACGAGTTGTCCCGGGTACGAGTCGTCTCGGGTACGAGTTGTCCCGGGTCACAAATTTGGGGTACGAGTCGTCCCGGGTACGAGTTGTCCCGGGTACGAGTTGTCCCGATACCCCTCCATACCAGAAACCGGAGACTTATTTTTTTTTGCCTTAGCACTCTGTTTTCCTTCCATGACTGAACGTACACAATGAACATGTACGTGCCTACATGAATTCCCTAGTCGGTAGTGTAAAAAGGAAAATTTGATATGGTGCAAGTTTTCATTATTTTGATTCCGCGCACGAGTTCAAAATTAAGAGGGTACGACTTGACTCGGGTACGAGTTGACTTGGGTACGAGTTAACCTGGATACAAGTTAACTCGGGTACAAGTTGACTTGGGTACGAGCATACCTGGATACAAGATGACTCGGGTACAAGTTGACTTGGGTGTAAATTTTGGGGTACGAGTTGACTCGGGGTATGAGTTAACCCGAGTACGAGTTGACTCGTTACCCCAGGGAGATGTCGCATATTCCAGTATAGGTCGAACCAGTATAGTGTAGGCTGCTTCTTTAATAACGGAAACATTACACAACCACGCATTCCGTTTGATTATAGACCTAATATCTTCAGGGATTTTTGGTGACATCAGAGACATGCGTTGTCCAGGACATAAATGTTTTTGAAAGTCGACACTTTGCAGATCTTGCCATTAAAGCCGCGGTAGATAGTTTTTTTTTGGTCCCCGGGTTCTAGATAGAGAATTACACTTCTTCGGGTTGAATACCATCACCCATTTTGAATGCCATGATTTTAGTTTATGAAGATCTTGTTAAAGTTGGTGTTTATCAGTATTGAGATTGAGACGGTCATCTGCAAAGAGCCGAATCGTTTATTGTATTCGCCTAAAATGTGATTCCTTATTTTTGTTATATCATTCGGAATTGCCAATATTGATAATATCCTCCTTGGAACGACTGACAACCATTCAAGCAACCTTGTTCTGTTTCCTTGTTCTATGCTTACAGTCAACAAAATCTTGCATGACGTTATTTTTAAATTTCACGTTTTTGACTCTTCATCTTTCACACCAAGCATGCGTAGAGTGAGGCAAAGCCGTTTCATCGAGCAGATGCGAATGTAGCCATAACTGACCGTTGTAGGGAATTTCAAAAATGTTTGGCGAAAGTTTCGTCTGTTATGGATCAGTGTATGTCTTTTTTCGGGGGAGGCGCGGGGGGGGGGGGGGGGTTCCGGGACAACGTCATAAACCTTTACCATGGGTCCAACCAAGATTGGTGTTGGTTGGACCCATGGTTAAGGTTGGACCCACTCTATGTTTAGTAAGTCTTTTTTTCTCCAGATATCTCTGCCAGAATTTGTATCGCGCCGTTTAGGTTAATTTGTTTTCGGCTCATGTTTTGCGTGCATGTTTGTTTTAACACTAATTTAAAGGGAAAAAAATAACGTACTCCACGTTTCAAATACATGTCATGTACAAGTACATGGTGTAAACTGAGCATGGCCTTGACGTGAACAGGGCTTTGGAAAATAGGACTTATGAAACCCTTTGTTAAACGGATGACGTTACTTTTACAGTTATGCACCTCATATTCCAGGGGAAAAACTGTCATCGTATTTTGGTATCACTTGGGTCGAGCTTGTATGTCCACGGATATTCTTCAGCCCACTTCCCGCGACACCCCCCCCCCCCCCAACGAGGAGCAATAGACAAACAACCTATCAACATTCTTCGGAAATACACACGTGCTTTTGTTAAAAAATCTGTCCAGGGAAAATCCAAAGTGAAACCTTTCGCTCAATTAAACAAAGCAGATGTAGACAACTGGCATTGAGTAATTATATACATCATTTTCGTGAAATTTTCATCCTCAAACGTGTATGTAGCGATGCTGCCACCCACTCTACACCCTTATAAAATGTGTTGTCGAACCCTAACGTAACCTATGAAATTAAGGGTCAGCTTACATGTTAAACAAAAAGAGGTCCCCTTTCTTTGGTATATAACAACTACATGTAACGTGGCTTGGAAAAGATACCAAGAAAATAAAGGAAACTATACCCAGGCACGGATGCTTTTGAGTTGCCTCAATGCATCGAATAAACGTAGAGTGTTACTGAATGTAATCTTCCGGCCTAAGCCTATTCATTGGGTAGGCATCATAAACCATGGAGCTATAAAACACATAGCTCCATGCATAAACTAACTGTGAGTAACAGGTGTAAACATGCATGCATAATAGGCGTCAGTGCCACAGCGTTTATCCCTTGAGACGCTGAGTGGTCGCAAGCAATGGTTGGTCAAGAATAAAGATAAGAACTCTGCAAGACAAAATGTTGCTCACTTGCACATTACTGCGCAATAGTCGTAGCCTTGTTGCCATTTTGTGATTGGCAATGAACGACGTTCATTTGATGGTGTCTTCGTATCTCCAGTGCAAGTAGCTGCAAGCGCGGTCGCAAGAAGTGCTGCTTACGCACCTGGAATCCGTCCGCACTCAGTATACAATACGTTCAGAATCGTTTTAGTGACGGTCTGTTTTCATAAATGAACATCATGTAAAGAAAATAAATTTCCAATTTTCCAAATGATCTATGATTACATTATGAGATCGTTTAGACACACCTCCATAAATATGCATGAAAGTGAATACGGAATTGGAGTGTTAAGTAATTCTTCCGGTCGCATTATTAGTCCTTTTTAGATATTAGGGAGGTATTGCTATGATTACATTATGAGATCGTTTAGACACACCTCCATAAATATGCATGAAAGTGAATACGGAATTGGAGTGTTAAGTAATTCTTCCGGTCGCATTATTAGTCCTTTTTAGATATTAGGGAGGTATTGTTTTTTTTAAATTAAAACAATGATTGAAGAGAAAAACAGGGATCAATTTAATACGCATAATATGTAGATAAAATTAATAAACATTCTTAAATTAATTTATTAAAGAAAGCATGAATATAGATGAATAATATCAGTTTCTTTTTAAAGAGAGAAGTAATTCTTCCATTCCCAAAGTTTATGCATAAAATTAATGTCCAATGAATCATTGCAGATAGCTTGCAATGTTCATTTAAATATCGAGATATATACACAGTAGGGTTTCACACAGTAGTGTGAAATGATTTTTCTTTTCCCCTTTTTGTATCATTATGTGAACGAAATGTGTCACAAAAAAACCTGCAGAATCTGGCCTTGTACGATGAACATGTACATGCGGCGCCCGTACGTGTACATGGTACCGTACGTACTTGCGTACATGTACTTCAACGTTGTTAATTGACCAATCACAAAATGGCAACAAGGCTACGACTATTGCGCAGTTGCACATTGGGTTCATCGTTAAACAGGTTTAAACTAACAAATTCGGACTTATACAATGGCTTATATAGGGAGAATTATTTAGTACTGTTCCAACGACAGAGTTTGACGTCTTTCAAATTTTGAATAATTTCTCAAGGATTTCTTTTAGTGAGATTATCATATTTTTTTTGCATAGTTTTTCTCGCTAAATCGATTCGTTAATTCTGGATAACTACCGTTATTTGTGGGTTGCTTAATTTGCGCACAAACAATGCCGCCCTGTAATGTATTAAAGTAATAGACTGCTCCCGCCCCCACACAATCGATTATTTAGAGTGGGCGGGAATCAGTCTACCCTGTTAGAACTGATTTTTGTTGGGTTGCAAATAATTCAAATGTGTATATAATAAAACATTATTCCGTGATTAAACGAGGACCTTTTCGTGACAATAAACTCGAATAAAATGTGTATTGCTATAGAGAACTAGCTATTTCAAAACAAAATCAGGTTTTCACTTTTAAGTCATGTGGGGAGTTAATTTGCGGACTCGTGGGGGGGGGGGGGGGGCAAACTCAACTCCCCATCTGCAGGTCCGATGATTGAATGATGTTCGCCTGCATGCCTACCTGTCACTCCCTTAGCCAGCTAACTAGTATTCATCGCTCGTGAGTTTAATGTAAAGTGTCCCGCCCAATGATTTTAGGGCGCCAATGGGCTTTATTCACGAGTCGGCCATATTAAATTGAAAGCGAGGTAAAAGCTCCATTTTTGGAACTTGCGAATAGAAATGAAAGCAATGACATTCAAGCTTTATACATGTATAAACTGATACCAGTCATGCTCTGATGAATAATTCAAAGTTTGTGATTAATCATACCCTAATGTTTTAAGCCACCTCTAATAAAAAAAAAATGCAGGTGAGGCTTGGAACGCATAAATATTCCGGCGCCATCCCATTCAACACTTTACGATTAATAGAATCATTTAGCTGGAAACACTGTACATGTATATCGAAAAGGCTTCCTCGTGCAAAAAAAAGGTCTATGGCATTGTCTCACTCGATCCCCCAGTAGTTTATCCCAGTGCGATTGTACCACAGACAGAGGTTCTTTATGTCTATGGATTTTACTCATTGCACATAATCTTAGAACAGCGCCCTCTATAGTCAGATCATCGTGTCCACTCCCAAGCCATCCCCCGCCCACACTTTTCGAACTTCCAAGTTGCTGGTCCCCCTGCCCCCTCCAACTGTTGACAATTAATCGCCGCCACTGCACCTTTGCAATGGATAGTACATTTAAGGATTTTGTGCATCTTGTTGTTATTGATGGCTAAATAACATCTTGTGTTTTTCTCTTCGTTGTAACACTAACAGGATGAAGAACACCGTCGCTACATTTCTGTTGCTGCTCATCGCAGAGAAGGTGGCATTAGCGGGAAGTAAGTTCCTTTGAAATTTTATTTCATCATTAAATTCTGAATTAGTCGGGTTTTAGGTGAACAGAACATTCTCACCGATGTATCGGATCAGGAATCGAAAAGCGTTCATCAACGGGGCTGGTTATAGGTCTAATTGCCTTCAGCAGGCGAACGATATTTCAACAATTAAATGACTGTACTTTTAACTCTATCAGAACTGGGGGCACTGTGCCCCCTCCCCTCCTCCCCCCCCCCCCCATGAATTTTCTTGGAATAGCTCCGGAAGGCTTGGGCTAATCGGCATGAGAGTTATTGACTTTTCCTAACTCTGATCGGGGGCCATAAATGGTGCCAAAACAAATACAGATAAAAAAAACTACATGTATTAACAATATTTTTTTTGGGGGGGGGGGGTTTGGGGGGGGGGGGGGCGGAGGCCATTTTCTAAAAAACAATACCCATAATAATATGACTTGAAATTTTTGGGGTCAAAACCGTGTGTTCTCTAGCCATAAGTATCAAGTTTCACTTAATTTATGGTCATGGGACCAACTACAATGCATGCCTGGAATAAAGCGGTCATTAATACCCTTTCTGCACAAATTTATAAATGTAACATTAACATTACTTCATTAGTGCCCATTTTTGGTTGAAAGATGAAATATAATTTTGGGACAAAAACAAACCAAATGATGATTTTTATGATCGATTTAGTTGGATGGATACTGATCTAAAATATTTGTACCAAATTGAAAGCATCAGATAAAAAAATAATAAAATTAGACAAAAACTGCTGTTTTTTTCATCTTGATGGGGAGAAAATGCTAAAAAATACATTGCAGTATTAAAAGTGCCCTTTTGTGGTCAACTCGGCGCAACTACATGACGTAATATTATAGATAACCGACCAAGCAACATTCCTGCCAAATTTAGAGAAAAATGGCCTCCGAAAATGAATGGGGGCACAACACCCACTCCCCCTACCCCGAGAAGACCCAAAATAGCCCGGTCCTGGTAGGGGTTAAGACTAGATCCTTTCGAAGAATAATATTTTATCTCAGTGTTTGGTGAAGTCCGTGATCACAAATTAAAGAACTCCTAAATTTTGCGAAAAAAAGCAACGACTCTACTGCCCTACCCAAGGCAGGGCGTTTGTCACGCGCTCTCTTTCAGTGGATGATTATTGTTTACCCGATGACCCGGGTCACATCCTCCTTGTTCAAAATATTCCTCCTAACTTCGAATATTAGCACCCACCAGAACTGTATATGAACCAGTTCGCTCGTCCTGTTTGCGGGGCGGGGGTACTACGAGCGAATTTGTACCAGCGGCCACAGGGCGAACAGTGCCAACAGTTTTGGACGCATGAGGTCGCTGTGAAGGGCGCATTCTGGGTTCAAACAGTGGAAATATCACGTTTATTGAGGAAATTTAGCAACTTTACTTTCTGTCAAAACTCAAACTTAATCTTTTAATCATAGCAACAAACAAAATAACTTAAAGGGAAAATACAACATTTGCAAACATCAAAAAACGAAATGATCAAATTATCACGAAATACCATACTGGAACAGGATTGTTAGAAATGACAGTCTAAAGCATCCTTTAAAATCGTGGCTCCTGGTGTGCTGACATTTTCAAGAAAAACTGCATTTTTCCAACGCTGGTCGGCCGACCAGCGTTGGAAAAAAACTGGCTTTTTTCAAAAACTGTTCTCAACTTTTCATATTTAGTTTTTTTAATTTTCTTTGCAATTGATTACTCACCTCTGAAGGGGTACAAGCCTGCTAGACTGATTCTCTGACCTTACAATTCCCTAAAGTATATTAAGTGCTCCGTTTCATCTTATTGGGGTCAGGGAACCAGACTACAAGAACATGATAGGTTTTCTTGGTTTTTCCAGCATCTACAAGCCCAAAACGTGAAACATGTCAGTTCAACAATATTTTCTATAACATACTAATCCTCCAAATACATTTATTTCTGAAAATTGAAGCAAAAGCAAATGTTGTACATTCTCTTTAACTTGAACTCACTTCTTTGCATCACCCGCTACAGCGCCCGCAATCACAAAGAAATACGGCATATTGAACAGGCTTAACCGATAGAGGGCTCACTGCAAACCTGACAGTGAAGACAGCTGGTTAACACGTGCTAGCTTTTTGCTGCCTCCGATCGACCCAGAGGCCGCGAGCATGATCAAGGAAGCGGCCGATTTCAAGACGTACTTGTTTGCTTCATGCATTGCTTCATCCATGCTTCATTTTCCCATCATATTCTTTTCGAGCATTCTTTTACTCAACGTTACCAAGTTGAACATGGAAATGAAAAAAGTATGGCCATTTGGCTTGTCCAGTACAAAGGCTATTTTGTGGCCGAATTAAAAGGGAATGTACATCATTGGCTTTTGCTGTAATTTTCAAAAATGAACTATTTTGAGGGGTGAGTATAACAGATCAAATATTGTTACACTGACATGTTTGAAGTTTTGTGTTCGAAAATACTGGAAAAACGAAGAAAAACAAAAATTTCAAGTAGTCTGGTTCCTTGACTCCACTAAAGATAAAATGGATCATTTATAGATGCCGGAAAATTGTAAGATGATGGAACCAGTCTAACTAGCCTGCACCCGTTCATGAACATGTAACCAATAGCAAACAAAATTTGGACTAGAAAAAAATTGGTAAATTTGGAGCAGTATTTGAAAAATAGTTAGGTTTTTCCAACGGTGGTCGGCCGACCACCGTTGGAAATTTATACAAAATACCACTCTTCTTGAAAATGACTTCACACATGGTGCCATGATTTCACAGGATGCTTTAGACTGTCATTTACCAACATCCTAGTAAGGTATTTCGTAAAAAAATGGTAGTTTTGTTTTTCGATGTTTGCAAATGTGGTAATCCTTACTTTTAGGACACCTCTATTTTTTACGAGTTCTGTTCAAAACTGACCTTTGCAGATGTCTGTCCAGTACCAAAGTGACTTTTGCGGGCTAAAGCAGTCTTTAGAAGACAAGAAGGTGTCATTGCCAATTGTTCAGATGTGCCAAGAAGTATCAGAATGTCAATTTTGAGTGTCATTTAGTCAACTGTTTTGGTGAGTCTTTCCCTTCCTATATAGGAACGGGGTCCTAAAAGTAAGGATTACCGCAAGTGTTGTATATTCCCTTTAAGTTGAATTCGTTAAACAATGATTGGCGCCGCAGAATGAAGCGTTGCATATTTTCACATTTAGGCTTAGTTTATAGGTTTTTTTTGCTTTAGAAGCATACTCACCCTCTTTGTAGGCTAATCAGAAAGTGCTGCCTTTTTCAGATGTCTATTTTTCGTGAAATTTCCAGATTCATTTGCACATGTTTGCGTATCAAAATTTTAACGTAAAATTTCACAAAAATGAGACATCTGAAAAAGGCAGCACTTTCTGATTAGCCTATAAAGAGGGTGAGTATGCTTCTAAAGCAAAAAAACCTACAGACTAAGCCTAAATGTGAAAATCAAAATTTGACAAAGTTCGACACGTTTTTGTACATGTGGAAGTGTGGCCTATGTTTACGGAGGTAGTCCAGTAAATTGGCCACATTTATGGGGCTACATTCGAGCATGTTGGGAAAGGTTCTAAACATCTCACTGACGTTGTCATAGCAAAGGACCCCCCCCCCATTTTTTGGAAAGAATGTTGCATTCTGATGCCATTTTGTTCATCATACTATCTCAATGATTGTCAGTTATTGCAAAAATGCTGAAAAAGACATGAATCTGGGACTGAGAAACATTTTCAATTTTGTTAAAAATTAATACTTTGAAAATGCACTGGACTCTCCATTGTGTTAGACTTGGTAGATTCGCAACCAAAAGAAGTGGTGTCTGGATAATTCTTTCCTTTTTCCCCCTTAAAACAATGGGCCTATCAAATGCCCCCCCCCCAATGAAGGGTCAATCTTCTAAACCAGTGTAGTCTTTGGCTTAAATTGAAATCACTTGGCGCCTTAGCTCACACACTTTCATGCTTAAGGCAAAAAAAAAAAAAATCGGTCTCTGGTCAGACTGAAGTTCCGGAATTGATGCTGCGACGTGTTTTTTTGGTGGTTTTTTGGTGGCTTTTTTTTTTTTAAAGCTTGAATTGTACAGACAAGTTGGGTACTATTTTGCTTTTTGGTGTCATTATACATTAGTGTCCTCCATAATTTGCCTTGGTGCCCTTTATCATTTGCCTTGGTGCAATTTCCCATTCCTTGGTGCTCCTTGGTACAAAAATTTGAGGAGGTGCGGCAATAGAGGGCCCTGTTGTAGCTTCCGTGTTAATTTGAAGGAAAAAAGAAAAGTTGACGCGCATGATTAAAATCGACGCGCGCGCTGACCAGAGACCGATTACTTTTTTGGGGGGGCCTAAATGTTGAGGAAAAATCTCATTTAAAATGGACCTGAGACCTCAAACTTGGCTGGTAAAATACTGAGGATAATTTTTCGTTGCCTCATGAAAATTTTGAATAATTTTGTCACTGTGTCTTGCTGCTTTGACACAATGATTAGGAGTATTATAGTGCAGATCCTTTATGAAAATTCTTAGCAGTAGCTTCCGAGAATTTATTTTTGGGTTTCCCGGGTACTTGTGTTTTTTTCAATCGGTTACCAGGTTCCCATACTACCCCTAAAGTGACCCCTAGTTTTTAGTGCGGTGTGAAGGAGGGGGGGGGGGGGGAGGGGGTGTCGATGTGGGGTGTCGATGTGGGGGGTGTCTTGGTCTTGCAGCGTCTACACCACATGTGAAATATTCTGATGTCGCTTGTTGCATGCATGAAGGGCTTAAGCTTAGGCAGAAAATCAAGTCTCCATGTACATTGTTATGGCGAAAGAAAAAAAAAAATCTTTTTTCCTACACATAACCTACAGCTTATTCCAACATTTTATTTGCCACTCTGAATCAATTGCAAAGATTATTGTGCACTTGGGTATCTTTACTTGCTTTGTCTTGTTGGAAATAACAGTGACAGTTTTCTTCCAAAGTTGTTCAGAAATGTAACGTGCCTTGTTTGTTACTACAGGAACACGAACAGTGGATGGAACCGATTACGAATGCAAGGAGGTGGAGGCTGTCTGCCCCGGCGAACTTATATTTACTGGGCTGGTCTGTGGAAGCAACAGCATCACCTACCCATCCAAGTGCGACCTTGTCCGGGAGGTGTGCACACGTGATACGTATCAGACGTTTGAATTCAGCCACCTGGGGCCCTGCACAGGTAAGACAGTTGGCTTTTGTTAATGTATACCTGGCATTGTAGAACAAGTTACTCATGAGAAGTAAGCTTGAGCATCTCTCAGCAAGTGATCATCCTTTAATAATGATAAATATATAATGATAACATTTATAACTCCTTTTCCAAAAGTTACAAAGCGCAACCAAGGACACCTCTGATAGTAGGAAAAACCAAACAAGAACTTTGTCAAGGATTCATTGATCATCCAAGTCATTAGCGTGCCGGGATTGGGCAAGCGGGGGTCCTACCCCCCCCCCCCCACCGTAAAAGCACCCCCCCCCAAAAAAAAAGGGGAAGAAAATGGGACCAAAAAAGACAAACAAGGGCAGTTTGAAGTCATATTTGCTTTAATTTAATACCCCTTTAACAAAATGGGCATCTGCAGGGGTGTCAGTGGAGGTGAGATGGATATTTGTTTCCCCCACCCACCCTCAAGAAAATGATAAATTGAGAATTTGCTAGAGAAAGAACACTGTACAAGGATTTTGGGAACAAAATGTGCTGTGCCCCCCCCCCCTCAATCCTCAATTAAATGAACTGATAGGAAGAACTTTGCAGTGAAGCATTTGCACATTGAATCCAAACTTCATTCAAATAGCAAACTTTTCACTATATACAAATACTAAACAGAATTGTTCAAAAACTTGTTGGATTTTGAGTTTTTGCTGGAGTGACTGCTAAACTTAATCACTTACCAAAGAGTCAACACCTTAAAAGAGGAGTTATTTTTTTTTTCATTTTTACAACTATTCTAGAAAAAGTGGAAAATAAAAAATGAACTTAACAAATTATGAATAGTTACAATGATTAAGAATGTTTCTCCAAAAATGATTCAGTTCTTTTAGCGTTAAGTGTTTATGGCAGATTTCTTACTGAAGACAAATCTTCACACAGGGTGGTCCAAAAAAAAACATGTACTTCCAAAAAAAAAATGTAATTACATGAACCTCCATTTTTCAAAGAACCTAAAGATTGATATGTATGGCTAGGAATTTGTTGAAGAACTCCCAATTCGGATCAGTAGTTCTGATTCCAGCGCCACTTTTGTGAACCAAAGTCAGGGGTTATTTTATTTCATTATTAAAGATAATCATTTTGTTCACTGTGTGGGAAAATCCTAATTAGAACCCTTGACTTAAATTCACAAATATCACCACTAAAACACAATGACCTTAAAACCTCTTTTGTCCAAAAAAATGCGATTTCAAGAATCATCTTCACAATTGTCTTCAAACATCACCAGCGATAAAACCTCAGTTTAAAAGTTGAAAATATTCAATAAATTCCTTTCGAAGGCCCGTCCTTTAAATACCCCTAAACAATATGGAACCGTCTGATCACAACATACCCAAATGCTCATTTCAAATTGATAGACAAATATGTTCGATGTATTAATTGCTCCACCGACCAGTGTTACTTGATCAATAAATATTATATAACTAGTACTAGTTGTGACTAGTGGACTAGTCGACTTGTCGCGACTATTTATCGCAACTAGTCGTGACTATTGAAATGTACTAGTCGCCCAGGCCTTATTTCCATCGTTATTGAATTTCTTCCCCAGATGCTGACTGCCCATCACACTGTAGGGGTGAGGGATTCCACTATGTCTGTGGTATCACGGGATGCAGGGAGCGCACGTTCAGAAACTTCTGCCACCTGAAGAAGGTCAGCTCGGCCTGCAAGCCAGAGCGCCGCATTCCGCTGACTTTCTCCTATAAGGGCTTCTGCCGCAACCCAGGTCGCAGGATATCAAACTGCACTGGTGAGTAGTTGATACTTTTGTCGACGTTGTTCGTCTCTTTACTGTACAGCGCGACCCAAAATACCTGCAACATTTTTTTTTGCGAGGCTCTAGCATCAGCGTGCAAACACATACCGCCATTATTTTTTATACCATTTAAAAGCTTGGGATCTGAACTTTATCCCTGACGAGTATTGGTTTGATATTTAAAAGCCTTACAAATTATTCAAATAAAGGTATGCCTTAAACAAACTCAACCGATTTTAAGGAAAATTGATGATGTGGTACATCAGATGCAAACTTGAGTCACACTTTTAGCGCGCTTTTGAATAGGTGGGATTTGAACTTTATCCCTGATGAGTATTGGTTTGATATTTAAAAGAGTTACAAATTATTCAAATAAAGGTATGTCTTAAACAAACTCAACCGATTTCAAGGAAAATCGATGATGTGGTACATCAGATGCAAACTTGAGTCATACTTTTAGCGAGCTTTTTGAATAGGTGCATACTGGCACGTGAATTTCACAAGAAACTCAGAATAATCTTGAAACGAAGAACAATATTGTGAATTCATTTAAGGTGGAATCTATAATGCAACACAACTGCATGATTTTAAAATGTCATTTTCTCAAGAATCAGTTTTACAACTTCAAGGTAGTTGGTGGTCTATATTTCTGTTACTAAACTCAGAACCCCTTAATGTTGTATACCATTTCAAAGCCCTTTTTTGGCAGAATTCAGATATATGAATGCCTCAGTTCTTAAAAATTCCAACTTAAAGCTCAATTTGTGATTACAGGTCACATATTGAAAAGACTGTGCACTCCCTGTCAGTCCCCCACCTCAATATAGTCCGACAAGATTCAAAATATTTGTGATGGCAAGGAAAACAGACTTAAACTCTGGTTACCCTGTGATTTTGTATAGCCCATCCTAAGTACCTCAAAATGAGTGTTAACCTTCTTTGCGCTGTTGATGGGGAACAATTTTTACAGCATGAACGTCCTCAACTAAATTTTTTCAGGATTTTTTTATGTCAAAGCATATTTATTTCAATGCATAGCCAAACAAAAAATACCTCAAAAACCTAATCCCTATTTTCTTATGCTCTTTTTATAGATGTTGAAATCATGCAGCCCACAGACAAGGACCCAGCTGTGCAAACGGAAATTCCAGAAGACATCAAACTCCAAACTGATGCTCCAAAAACACCTACTGATGCTCCTCTTCCACTGACTGAAAAAGAAGCTGAACCCACCGCTTCTGTAGAAACTACTGATACTCCAGTAAAGCCTACTGATGCTCCAGTTAAACCAACCGATGCTCCCGTTGAACCAACTAATGCTCCTGTTGAACCTACTGCAGATCCAGTCAAACCTACTGATGCACCAGTTCAACCTACCCACAAAGCAGTTGAGCCTACTGATGCTCCTGTAGAACCTACTGTAGCTTCCGTTGAACCAACTGATGCTCCTGTTGAACCAACTTCAGTCCCAGTCGAGGCTACTGATGCACCAGTTAAGCCAACTGATGCTCCAGTTAAACCAACTGATGCTCCAGTTGAACCTACTGCAGCTCCAGTCAAACCTACTGATGAACCAGTTCAACCTACCGACAAAGCAGTTGAGCCTACTGATGCTCCTGTTCAACCTACTGAAGCGCTAGTTGAACCAACTGATGCTGCTGTTGAAACTACTGCAGCTCCAGTCGAACTTACTAATGCACCAGTTCAACCTACCGACAAAGCAGTTGAGCCTACTGATGCTCCTGTTCAACCTACTGCAGCTCCAGTCAAACCTACTGATGCTCCCATTGAACCAACTGATGCTCCAGTCGAGGCTACTGCTGCACCAGTTAAGCCTACTGATGCTCCAGTGAAACCTACTGATGCCCCAGTTGAACCAACTGATGCTGCTGTTGAACCTACTGCAGCTCCAGTCGAACCTACTGATGCACCAGTTGAACCTACCGACAAAGCAGTTGAGCTTACTGATGCTCCTGTTCAACCTACTGAAGCGCCAGTCGAGCCTACTGATGCTGCTGTTGAACCTACTGCAGCTCCAGTCAAACCTACTGATGCTCCCATTGAACCAACTGATGCTCCAGTTGAACCTACTGCAGCTCCAGTCGAGGCTACTGATGCTCCAGTTAAGCATACTGATGCTCCAGTCAAACCTTCTGATGCTGCTGTTGAACCAACTGATGCTCTTGTTGAACCTACTGCAGCTCCAGTCGAGGCTACTGATGCACCAGTTAAGCCTACTGATACTCCAGTCAAACCTACTGATGCTGCTGTTGAACCAACTGATGCTCCTGTTGAATCTACTACAGCTCCAGTCGAATCTACTGATGCTCGCATTGAACCAACTGATGCTCCTGTTGAACCTACTGCAGCTCCAGTTGAGGCTACTAATGCACCAGTTAAGCCTACTGATGCTCCAGTCAAACCTAGTGATGCTGCTGTTGAACCAACTGATGCTCCTGCTGAACCTACTGCAGCTCCAGTCGATGCTACTGATGCACCAGTTAAGCTAACTGATGCTCCAGTAAAACCTACTGATGCTCCAGTTGAACCAACTGATGCTGCTGTTGAACCTACTGCAGCTCCAGTCGAACCTACTAATGCACCAGTTCAACCTACCGATAAAGCAGTTGAGCCTACTGATGCTCCTGTTCAACCTACTGAAGCGCCAGTCGAGCCTACTGATGCTCCTGTTGAACCTACTGCAGCTGCAGTAGAACCTACTGATGCACCAGTTCAATCAACCGACAAAGCAGTTGAGCCCACTGATCCTCCTGTTCAACCTACTGAAGCGCCAGTCGAGCCTACTGATGCTGCTGTTGAACCTACTGCAGCTCCAGTCGAGCCAACTGATGCACCAGTTGAATTGACTGTAATTCCTGGTAAGACTGATGGTAAGAAAGTTGATACTATGCAGACAACTCAAGGTCCAGTCCAAGCTACTGATGCACCAGTTCAACCTACTGAAGCGCCACTCGAGCCTACTGATGCTCCTGTTGAATCTACTACAGCTCCAGTCGAATCTACTGATGCTCGCATTGAACCAACTGATGCTCCTGTTGAACCTACTGCAGCTCCAGTCGAGGCTTCTGATGCACCATTGAAGCCTACTGATGCTCCAGTCAAACCTACTGATGTTGCTGTTGAACCAACTGATGCTCCTGTTGAACCTACTGAAGCTCCAGTCGAGGCTACTGATGCACCAGTTAAGCAAACTGATGCTCCAGTGAAACCTACTGATGCTCCAGTTGAACCAACTGATGCTGCTGTTGAACCTACTGCAGTTCCAGTCGAACCTACTAATGCACCAGTTCAACCTACCGACAAAGAAGTTGAGCCTACTGATGCTGCTGTTGAACCAACTGATGCTGCTGTTGAACCTACTGAAGCTCCAGTCGAGCCTACTGATGCTGCTGTTGAACCTACTGCAGCTCCAGTCGAACCTACTGATCCATCAGTTCAACCTACTGACAAAGCAGTTCAGCCTACTGATGCTCCTGTTGAACCTACTGATGCTCCCATTGAACCAACTGATTCTCCTGTTGAACCTACTGAAGCTCCAGTCGAGGCTACTGATGCACCAGTTAAGCCTACTGATGCTCCAGTGAAACCTACTGATGCCCCAGTTGAAGCAACTGATGCTGCTGTTGAACCTACCGCAGCCCCAGTCGAACGTACTGATGCACCAGTTGAACCTACCGACAAAGCAGTTGAGCCCACTGATGCTCCTGTTGAACCTACTGAAGCGCCAGTCGAGCCTACTGCAGCTCCCATGGAGCCTACGGATGCACCAGTTCAACCTACTGACAAAGCAGTTCAGTCTACTGATACTCCTGTTGAACCTACTGATGCTCCCATTGAACCAACTGATGCTCCTGTTGAACCAACTGAAGCTCCAGTCGAGGCCACTGATGCACCAGTTAAGCCTACTGATGCTCCAGTGAAACCTACTGATGCCCCAGTTGAACCTACCGACAAAGCAGTTGAGCCCACTGATGCTCCTGTTGAACCTACTGAAGCTCCAGTCGAGGCCACTGATGCACCAGTTAAGCCTACTGATGCTCCAGTGAAACCTACTGATGCCCCAGTTGAACCAACTGATGCTGCTGTTGAATCTACTGCAGCTCCATTCGAGGCTACTGATGCACCAGTTAAGCCTACTGATGCTCCAGTCAAACCTACTGATGCTGCTGTTGAACCAACTGATGCTCCTGTTGAACCTACTGAAGCTCCAGTTGAGGCTACTGATGCACCAGTCAAGGCTACTGATGCACCAGTTAAGCCTACTGATGCCCCAGTCAAACCTACTGATGCTGCTGTTGAACCAACTGATGCTCCTGTTGAACCTACTGAAGCTCCAGTCGAGGCTACTGATGCACAAGTTAAGCAAACTGATGCTCCAGTGAAACCTACTGATGCGCCAGTCGAGCCTACTGATGCTCCTGTTGAACCTACTGCAGCTGCAGTCGAACCTACTGATGCACTCGTTCAGCCTACTGACGAAGCAGTTCAGCCTACTGATGCCCCTGTTGAACCTACTGATGGTCCTGTTGAGCCTACTGAAGCTCCCGTTGAGGCTACTGATGCACCAGTCAAGGCTACTGATGCACCAGTTAAGCCTACTGACGAAGCAGTTCAGCCTACTGATGCCCCTGTTGAACCTACTGATGGTCCTGTTCAACCTACTGAAGCGCCAGTCGAGGCTACTGATGCTCCTGTTGAACCTACTGCAGCTCCAGTCGAACCTACTGATGCACCCATTCAACCTACTGACAAAGCAGTTCAGCCTACTGATGCTCCTGTTGAACCTACTGATGCTCCCATTGAACCAACTGATTCTCCTGTTGAACCTACTGAAGCTCCAGTCGAGGCTACTGATGCACCAGTTCAGCCTACTGATGCTCCAGTGAAACCTACTGATCCTGCTGTTGAACCTACTGCAGCCCCAGTCGAACCTACTGATGCACCAGTTCAACCTACCGACAAAGCAGTTGAGCCCACTGATGCTCCTGTTCAACCTACTGAAGCGCCAGTCGAGCCTACTGCAGCTCCTGTTGAGCCTACTGATGCACCAGTTCAACCTACTGACAAAGCAGTTCAGCCTACTGAAACTCCTGTTGAACCTACTGATGCTCCCATTGAACCAACTGATGCTCCTGTTGAACCTACTGCAGCTCCAGTCGAGGCTACTGATGCACCAGTTAAGCCTACTGATGCTCCAGTGAAACCTACTGATGCCCCAGTTAAAGCAACTGATGCTGCTGTTGAACCTACTGCAGCGCCAGTCGAACATACTGATGCACCAGTTGAACCTACCGACAAAGCAGTTGAGCCTACTGATGCTCCTGTTCAACCTACTGAAGCTCCAGTCAAGCCTACTGATGCTGCTGTTGAACCTACTGCAGCTCCAGTCAAACCTACTGATGCTCCCATTGAACCAACTGATGCTCCTGTTGAACCTACTGAAGCTCCAGTCGAGGCTACTGATGCACCAGTCAAGGCTACTGATGCACCAGTTAAGCCTACTGATGCTCCAGTGAAACTTACTGATGCCCCAGTTGAACCAACTGATGCTGCTGTTGAACCTACAGCAGCTCCATTCGAGGCTACTGATGCACCAGTTAAGCCTACTGCAGCGCCAGTCGAACATACTGATGCACCAGTTGAACCTACCGACAAAGCAGTTGAGCCTACTGATGCTCCTGTTCAACCTACTGAAGCTCCAGTCAAGCCTACTGATGCTGCTGTTGAACCTACTGCAGCTCCAGTCAAACCTACTGATGCTCCCATTGAACCAACTGATGCTCCTGTTGAACCTACTGAAGCTCCAGTCGAGGCTACTGATGCACCAGTCAAGGCTACTGATGCACCAGTTAAGCCTACTGATGCTCCAGTGAAACTTACTGATGCCCCAGTTGAACCAACTGATGCTGCTGTTGAACCTACAGCAGCTCCATTCGAGGCTACTGATGCACCAGTTAAGCCTACTGCAGCGCCAGTCGAACATACTGATGCACCAGTTGAACCTACCGACAAAGCAGTTGAGCCTACTGATGCTCCTGTTCAACCTACTGAAGCTCCAGTCAAACCTACTGATGCTCCCATTGAACCAACTGATGCTCCTGTTGAACCTACTGAAGCTCCAGTCGAGGCTACTGATGCACCAGTCAAGGCTACTGATGCACCAGTTAAGCCTACTGATGCTCCAGTGAAACTTACTAATGCCCCAGTTGAACCAACTGATGCTGCTGTTGAACCTACAGCAGCTCCATTCGAGGCTACTGATGCACCAGTTAAGCCTACTGATGCTGCAGTCGAACATACTGATGCACCAGTTGAACCTACCGACAAAGCAGTTGAACCTACTGCAGCTCCAGTCAAACCTACTGATGCTCCCATTGAACCAACTGATGCTCCTGTTGAACCTACTGAAGCTCCAGTCGAGGCTACTGATGCACCAGTCAAATCTACTGATGCACCAGTTAAGCCTACTGATGCTCCAGTGAAACCTACTGATGCTGCTGTTGAACCTACTGATGCTCCCATTGAACCAACTGATTCTCCTGTTGAACCCACTGAAGCTCCAGTCGAGGCTACTGATGCACCAGTTCAGCCTACTGATGCTCCAGTGAAACCTACTGATCCTGCTGTTGAACCTACTGCAGCCCCAGTCGAACCTACTGATGCACCAGTTCAACCTACCGACAAAGCAGTCGAGGCCACTGATGCACCAGTTAAGCCTACTGATGCTCCAGTGAAACCTACTGATGCCCCAGTTGAACCTACAGACAAAGCAGTTGAGCCCACTGATGCTCCTGTTGAACCTACTGAAGCTCCAGTCGAGGCCACTGATGCACCAGTTAAGCCTACTGATGCTCCAGTGAAACCTACTGATGCCCCAGTTGAACCAACTGATGCTTCTGTTGAATCTACTGCAGCTCCATTCAAGGCTACTGATGCACCAGTTAAGCCTACTGATGCCCCAGTCAAACCTACTGATGCTGCTGTTGAACCAACTGATGCTCCTGTTGAACTTACTGAAGCTCCAGTCGAGGCTACTGATGCACTAGTTAAGCAAACTGATGCTCCAGTGAAACCTACTGATGCGCCAGTCGAGCCTACTGATGCTCCTGTTGAACCTACTGCAGCTGCAGTCGAACCTACTGATGCACTCGTTCAGCCTACTGACGAAGCAGTTCAGCCTACTGATGCCCCTGTTGAACCTACTGATGGTCCTGTTGAGCCTACTGAAGCTCCCGTTGAGGCTACTGATGCACCAGTCCAGGCTACTGATGCACCAGTTAAGCCTACTGATGCTCCAGTGAAACCTACTGATGCCCCAGTTAAAGCAACTGATGCTGCTGTTGAACCTACTGCAGCGCCAGTCGAACATACTGATGCACCAGTTGAACCTACCGACAAAGCAGTTGAGCCTACTGATGCTCCTGTTCAACCTACTGAAGCTCCAGTCAAGCCTACTGATGCTGCTGTTGAACCTACTGCAGCTCCAGTCAAACCTACTGATGCTCCCATTGAACCAACTGATGCTCCTGTTGAACCTACTGAAGCTCCAGTCGAGGCTACTGATGCACCAGTCAAGGCTACTGATGCACCAGTTAAGCCTACTGATGCTCCAGTGAAACTTACTGATGCCCCAGTTGAACCAACTGATGCTGCTGTTGAACCTACAGCAGCTCCATTCGAGGCTACTGATGCACCAGTTAAGCCTACTGCAGCGCCAGTCGAACATACTGATGCACCAGTTGAACCTACCGACAAAGCAGTTGAGCCTACTGATGCTCCTGTTCAACCTACTGAAGCTCCAGTCAAACCTACTGATGCTCCCATTGAACCAACTGATGCTCCTGTTGAACCTACTGAAGCTCCAGTCGAGGCTACTGATGCACCAGTCAAGGCTACTGATGCACCAGTTAAGCCTACTGATGCTCCAGTGAAACTTACTGATGCCCCAGTTGAACCAACTGATGCTGCTGTTGAACCTACAGCAGCTCCATTCGAGGCTACTGATGCACCAGTTAAGCCTACTGATGCTGCAGTCGAACATACTGATGCACCAGTTGAACCTACCGACAAAGCAGTTGAACCTACTGCAGCTCCAGTCAAACCTACTGATGCTCCCATTGAACCAACTGATGCTCCTGTTGAACCTACTGAAGCTCCAGTCGAGGCTACTGATGCACCAGTCAAATCTACTGATGCACAAGTTAAGCCTACTGATGCTCCAGTGAAACCTACTGATGCTGCTGTTGAACCAACTGATGCTCCTGTTGAACCTACTGAAGCTCCAGTTGAGGCTACTGATGCACCAGTCAAGGCTACTGATGCACCAGTTAAGCCTACTGATGCCCCAGTCAAACCTACTGATGCTGCTGTTGAACCAACTGATGCTCCTGTTGAACTTACTGAAGCTCCAGTCGAGGCTACTGATGCACTAGTTAAGCAAACTGATGCTCCAGTGAAACCTACTGATGCGCTAGTCGAGCCTACTGATGCTCCTGTTGAACCTACTGCAGCTGCAGTCGAACCTACTGATGCACTCGTTCAGCCTACTGACGAAGCAGTTCAGCCTACTGATGCCCCTGTTGAACCTACTGATGGTCCTGTGGAGCCTACTGAAGCTCCCGTTGAGGCTACTGATGCACCAGTAAAGGCTACTGATGCACCAGTTAAGCCTTCTGACGAAGCAGTTCAGCCTACTGATGCCCCTGTTGAACCTACTGATGGTCCTGTTCAACCTACTGAAGCGCCAGTCGAGGCTACTGATGCTCCTGTTGAACCTACTGCAACTCCAGTCGAACCTACTGATGCACCCATTCAACCTACTGACAAAGCAGTTCAGCCTACTGATGCTCCTGTTGAACCTACTGATGCTCCCATTGAACCAACTGATTCTCCTGTTGAACCCACTGAAGCTCCAGTCGAGGCTACTGATGCACCAGTTCAGCCTACTGATGCTCCAGTGAAACCTACTGATCCTGCTGTTGAACCTACTGCAGCCCCAGTCGAACCTACTGATGCACCAGTTCAACCTACCGACAAAGCAGTCGAGGCCACTGATGCACCAGTTAAGCCTACTGATGCTCCAGTGAAACCTACTGATGCCCCAGTTGAACCTACAGACAAAGCAGTTGAGCCCACTGATGCTCCTGTTGAACCTACTGAAGCTCCAGTCGAGGCCACTGATGCACCAGTTAAGCCTACTGATGCTCCAGTGAAACCTACTGATGCCCCAGTTGAACCAACTGATGCTGCTGTTGAATCTACTGCAGCTCCATTCGAGGCTACTGATGCACCAGTTAAGCCTACTGATGCTCCAGTCAAACCTACTGATGCTGCTGTTGAACCAACTGATGCTCCTGTTGAACCTACTGAAGCTCCAGTTGAGGCTACTGATGCACCAGTCAAGGCTACTGATGCACCAGTTAAGCCTACTGATGCCCCAGTCAAACCTACTGATGCTGCTGTTGAACCAACTGATGCTCCTGTTGAACTTACTGAAGCTCCAGTCGAGGCTACTGATGCACTAGTTAAGCAAACTGATGCTCCAGTGAAACCTACTGATGCGCCAGTCGAGCCTACTGATGCTCCTGTTGAACCTACTGCAGCTGCAGTCGAACCTACTGATGCACTCGTTCAGCCTACTGACGAAGCAGTTCAGCCTACTGATGCCCCTGTTGAACCTACTGATGGTCCTGTTGAGCCTACTGAAGCTCCCGTTGAGGCTACTGATGCACCAGTCCAGGCTACTGATGCACCAGTTAAGCCTACTGACGAAGCAGTTCAGCCTACTGATGCCCCTGTTGAACCTACTGATGGTCCTGTTCAACCTACTGAAGCGCCAGTCGAGGCTACTGATGCTGCTGTTGAACCTACTGCAGCTCCAGTCGAACCTACTGATGCACCCATTCAACCTACTGACAAAGCAGTTCAGCCTACTGATGCTCCTCTTGAACCTACTGATGCTCCCATTGAACCAACTGATTCTCCTGTTGAACCTACTGAAGCTCCAGTCGAGGCTACTGATGCACCAGTTCAGCCTACTGATGCTCCAGTGAAACCTACTGATCCTGCTGTTGAACCTACTGCAGCCCCAGTCGAACCTACTGATGCACCAGTTCAACCTACCGACAAAGCAGTTGAGCCCACTGATGCTCCTGTTCAACCTACTGAAGCGCCAGTCGAGCCTACTGCAGCTCCTGTTGAGCCTACTGATGCACCAGTTCAACCTACTGACAAAGCAGTTCAGCCTACTGAAACTCCTGTTGAACCTACTGATGCTCCCATTGAACCAACTGATGCTCCTGTTGAACCTACTGCAGCTCCAGTCGAGGCTACTGATGCACCAGTTAAGCCTACTGATGCTCCAGTGAAACCTACTGATGCCCCAGTTAAAGCAACTGATGCTGCTGTTGAACCTACTGCAGCGCCAGTCGAACATACTGATGCACCAGTTGAACCTACCGACAAAGCAGTTGAGCCTACTGATGCTCCTGTTCAACCTACTGAAGCTCCAGTCAAGCCTACTGATGCTGCTGTTGAACCTACTGCAGCTCCAGTCAAACCTACTGATGCTCCCATTGAACCAACTGATGCTCCTGTTGAACCTACTGAAGCTCCAGTCGAGGCTACTGATGCACCAGTCAAGGCTACCGATGCACCAGTTAAGCCTACTGATGCTCCAGTGAAACCAACTGATGCCCCAGTTGAACCAACTGATGCTGCTGTTGAACCTACTGCAGCTCCATTCGAGGCTACTGATGCACCAGTTAAGCCTACTGATGCTCCAGTCGAACATACTGATGCACCAGTTGAACCTACCGACAAAGCAGTTGAGCCTACTGATGCTCCTGTTCAACCTACTGAAGCTCCAGTCAAGCCTACTGATGCTGCTGTTGAACCTACTGCAGCTCCAGTCAAACCTACTGATGCTCCCATTGAACCAACTGATGCTCCTGTTGAACCTACTGAAGCTCCAGTCGAGGCTACTGATGCACCAGTCAAGGCTACTGATGCACCAGTTCAGCCTACTGATGCTCCAGTGAAACCTACTGATGCTGCTGTTGAACCAACTGATGCTCCTGTTGAACCTACTGAAGCTCCAGTTGAGGCTACTGATGCACCAGTCAAGGCTACTGATGCACCAGTTAAGCCTACTGATGCCCCAGTCAAACCTACTGATGCTCCTGTTGAACTTACTGAAGCTCCAGTCGAGGCTACTGATGCACTAGTTAAGCAAACTGATGCTCCAGTGAAACCTACTGATGCGCCAGTCGAGCCTACTGATGCTCCTGTTGAACCTACTGCAGCTGCAGTCGAACCTACTGATGCACTCGTTCAGCCTACTGACGAAGCAGTTCAGCCTACTGATGCCCCTGTTGAACCTACTGATGGTCCTGTTGAGGCTACTGAAGCTCCCGTTGAGGCTACTGATGCACCAGTCAAGGCTACTGATGCACCAGTTAAGCCTACTGACGAAGCAGTTCAGCCTACTGATGCCCCTGTTGAACCTACTGATGGTCCTGTTCAACCTACTGAAGCGCCAGTCGAGGCTACTGATGCTCCTGTTGAACCTACTGCAGCTCAAGTCGAATCTACTGATGCACCCATTCAACCTACTGACAAAGCAGTTCAGCCTACTGACGCTCCTGTTGAACCTACTGATGCTCCCATTGAACCAACTGATTCTCCTGTTGAACCTACTGAAGCTCCAGTCGAGGCTACTGATGCACCAGTTCAGCCTACTGATGCTCCAGTGAAACCTACTGATCCTGCTGTTGAACCTACTGCAGCCCCAGTCGAACCTACTGATGCACCAATTCAACCTACCGACAAAGCAGTCGAGGCCACTGATGCACCAGTTAAGCCTACTGATGCTCCAGTGAAACCTACTGATGCCCCAGTTGAACCTACCGACAAAGCAGTTGAGCCCACTGATGCTCCTGTTGAACCTACTGAAGCTCCAGTCGAGGCCACTGAAGCACCAGTTAAGCCTACTGATGCTCCAGTGAAACCTACTGATGCCCCAGTTGAACCAACTGATGCTGCTGTTGAATCTACTGCAGCTCCATTCGAGGCTACTGATGCACCAGTTAAGCCTACTGATGCTCCAGTCAAACCTACTGATGCTCCCATTGAACCAACTGATTCTCCTGTTGAACCTACTGAAGCTCCAGTCGAGGCTACTGATGCACCAGTTCAGCCTACTGATGCTCCAGTGAAACCTACTGATCCTGCTGTTGAACCTACTGCAGCCCCAGTCGAACCTACTGATGCACCCGTTCAACCTACCGACAAAGCAGTTGAGCCCACTGATGCTCCTGTTCAACCTACTGAAGCGCTTGTCGAGCCTACTGCAGCTCCTGTGGAGCCTACTGATGCACCAGTTCAACCTACTGACAAAGCAGTTCAGCCTACTGAAACTCCTGTTGAACCTACTGATGCTCCCATTGAACCAACTGATGCTCCTGTTGAACCTACTGCAGCTCCAGTCGAGGCTACTGATGCACCAGTTAAGCCTACTGATGCTCCAGTGAAACCTACTGATGCCCCAGTTAAAGCAACTGATGCTGCTGTTGAACCTACTGCAGCGCCAGTCGAACATACTGATGCACCAGTTGAACCTACCGACAAAGCAGTTGAGCCTACTGATGCTCCTGTTCAACCTACTGAAGCTCCAGTCAAGCCTACTGATGCTGCTGTTGAACCTACTGCAGCTCCAGTCAAACCTACTGATGCTCCCATTGAACCAACTGATGCTCCTGTTGAACCTACTGAAGCTCCAGTCGAGGCTACTGATGCACCAGTCAAGGCTACTGATGCACCAGTTAAGCCTACTGATGCTCCAGTGAAACCTACTGATGCCCCAGTTGAACCAACTGATGCTGCTGTTGAACCTACAGCAGCTCCATTCGAGGCTACTGATGCACCAGTTAAGCCTACTGATGCTCCAGTCGAACATACTGATGCACCAGTTGAACCTACCGACAAAGCAGTTGAGCCTACTGATGCTCCTGTTCAACCTACTGAAGCTCCAGTCAAGCCCACTGATGCTGCTGTTGAACCTACTGCAGCTCCAGTCAAACCTACTGATGCTCCCATTGAACCAACTGATGCTCCTGTTGAACCTACTGAAGCTCCAGTCGAGGCTACTGATGCACCAGTCAAGGCTACTGATGCACCAGTTAAGCCTACTGATGCTCCATTGAAACCTACTGATGCTGCTGTTGAACCAACTGATGCTCCTGTTGAACCTACTGAAGCTCCAGTTGAGGCTACTGATGCACCAGTCAAGGCTACTGATGCACCAGTTAAGCCTACTGATGCCCCAGTCAAACCTACTGATGCTGCTGTTGAACCAACTTATGCTCCTGTTGAACTTACTGAAGCTCCAGTCGAGGCTACTGATGCACTAGTTAAGCAAACTGATGCTCCAGTGAAACCTACTGATGCGCCAGTTGAACCAACTGATGCTGCTGTTGAACCTACTGCAGCTCCATTCGAGGCTACTGATGCACCAGTTAAGCCTACTGATGCTCCAGTCGAACATACTGATGCACCAGTTGAACCTACCGACAAAGCAGTTGAGCCTACTGATGCTCCTGTTCAACCTACTGAAGCTCCAGTCAAGCCTACTGATGCTGCTGTTGAACCTACTGCAGCTCCAGTCAAACCTACTGATGCTCCCATTGAACCAACTGATGCTCCTGTTGAACCTACTGAAGCTCCAGTTGAGGCTACTGATGCACCAGTCAAGGCTACTGATGCACCAGTTCAGCCTACTGATGCTCCAGTGAAACCTACTGATGCTGCTGTTGAACCAACTGATGCTCCTGTTGAACCTACTGAAGCTCCAGTTGAGGCTACTGATGCACCAGTCAAGGCTACTGATGCACCAGTTAAGCCTACTGATGCCCCAGTCAAACCTACTGATGCTGCTGTTGAACCAACTGATGCTCCTGTTGAACTTACTGAAGCTCCAGTCGAGGCTACTGATGCACTAGTTAAGCAAACTGATGCTCCAGTGAAACCTACTGATGCGCCAGTCGAGCCTACTGATGCTCCTGTTGAACCTACTGCAGCTGCAGTCGAACCTACTGATGCACTCGTTCAGCCTACTGACGAAGCAGTTCAGCCTACTGATTCCCCTGTTGAACCTACTGATGGTCCTGTTGAGCCTACTGAAGCTCCCGTTGAGGCTACTGATGCACCAGTCAAGGCTACTGATGCACCAGTTAAGCCTACTGACGAAGCAGTTCAGCCTACTGATGCCCCTGTTGAACCTAGTGATGGTCCTGTTCAACCTACTGAAGCGCCAGTCGAGGCTACTGATGCTCCTGTTGAACCTACTGCAGCTCAAGTCGAATCTACTGATGCACCCATTCAACCTACTGACAAAGCAGTTCAGCCTACTGACGCTCCTGTTGAACCTACTGATGCTCCCATTGAACCAACTGATTCTCCTGTTGAACCTACTGAAGCTCCAGTCGAGGCTACTGATGCACCAGTTCAGCCTACTGATGCTCCAGTGAAACCTACTGATCCTGCTGTTGAACCTACTGCAGCCCCAGTCGAACCTACTGATGCACCAATTCAACCTACCGATAAAGCAGTCGAGGCCACTGATGCACCAGTTAAGCCTACTGATGCTCCAGTGAAACCTACTGATGCCCCAGTTGAACCTACCGACAAAGCAGTTGAGCCCACTGATGCTCCTGTTGAACCTACTGAAGCTCCAGTCGAGGCCACTGATGCACCAGTTAAGCCTACTGATGCTCCAGTGAAACCTACTGATGCCCCAGTTGAACCAACTGATGCTGCTGTTGAATCTACTGCAGCACCATTCGAGGCTACTGATGCACCAGTTAAGCCTACTGATGCTCCAGTCAAACCTACTGATGCTCCCATTGAACCAACTGATTCTCCTGTTGAGCCTACTGAAGCTCCAGTAGAGGCTACTGATGCACCAGTTCAGCCTACTGATGCTCCAGTGAAACCTACTGATCCTGCTGTTGAACCTACTTCAGCCCCAGTCGAACCTACTGATGCACCCGTTCAACCTACCGACAAAGCAGTTGAGCCCACTGATGCTCCTGTTCAACCTACTGAAGCGCTTGTCGAGCCTACTGCAGCTCCTGTGGAGCCTACTGATGCACCAGTTCAACCTACTGACAAAGCAGTTCAGCCTACTGAAACTCCTGTTGAACCTACTGATGCTCCCATTGAACCAACTGATGCTCCTGTTGAACCTACTGCAGCTCCAGTCGAGGCTACTGATGCACCAGTTAAGCCTACTGATGCTCCAGTGAAACCTACTGATGCCCCAGTTAAAGCAACTGATGCTGCTGTTGAACCTACTGCAGCGCCAGTCGAACATACTGATGCACCAGTTGAACCTACCGACAAAGCAGTTGAGCCTACTGATGCTCCTGTTCAACCTACTGAAGCTCCAGTCAAGCCTACTGATGCTGCTGTTGAACCTACTGCAGCTCCAGTCAAACCTACTGATGCTCCCATTGAACCAACTGATGCTCCTGTTGAACCTACTGAAGCTCCAGTCGAGGCTACTGATGCACCAGTCAAGGCTACTGATGCACCAGTTAAGCCTACTGATGCTCCAGTGAAACCTACTGATGCCCCAGTTGAACCAACTGATGCTGCTGTTGAACCTACAGCAGCTCCATTCGAGGCTACTGATGCACCAGTTAAGCCTACTGATGCTCCAGTCGAACATACTGATGCACCAGTTGAACCTACCGACAAAGCAGTTGAGCCTACTGATGCTCCTGTTCAACCTACTGAAGCTCCAGTCAAGCCCACTGATGCTGCTGTTGAACCTACTGCAGCTCCAGTCAAACCTACTGATGCTCCCATTGAACCAACTGATGCTCCTGTTGAACCTACTGAAGCTCCAGTCGAGGCTACTGATGCACCAGTCAAGGCTACTGATGCACCAGTTAAGCCTACTGATGCTCCATTGAAACCTACTGATGCTGCTGTTGAACCAACTGATGCTCCTGTTGAACCTACTGAAGCTCCAGTTGAGGCTACTAATGCACCAGTCAAGGCTACTGATGCACCAGTTAAGCCTACTGATGCCCCAGTCAAACCTACTGATGCTGCTGTTGAACCAACTTATGCTCCTGTTGAACTTACTGAAGCTCCAGTCGAGGCTACTGATGCACTAGTTAAGCAAACTGATGCTCCAGTGAAACCTACTGATGCGCCAGTCGAGCCTACTGATGCTCCTGTTGAACCTTCTGCAGCTGCAGTCGAACCTACTGATGCACTCGTTCAGCCTACTGACAAAGCAGTTCAGCCTACTGATGCCCCTGTTGAACCTACTGATGGTCCTGTTGAGCCTACTGAAGCTCCCGTTGAGGCTACTGATGCACCAGTCCAGGCTACTGATGCACCAGTTAAGCCTACTGACGAAGCAGTTCAGCCTACTGATGCCCCTGTTGAACCTACTGAAGCTCCAGTCGAGGCTACTGATGCACCAGTTCAGCCTACTGATGCTCCAGTAAAACCTACTGATCCTGCTGTTGAACCTACTGCAGCCCCAGTCGAACCTACTGATGCACCCGTTCAACCTACCGACAAAGCAGTTGAGCCCACTGATGCTCCTGTTCAACCTACTGAAGCGTTTGTCGAGCCTACTGCAGCTCCTGTGGAGCCTACTGATGCACCAGTTCAACCTACTGACAAAGCAGTTCAGCCTACTGAAACTCCTGTTGAACCTACTGATGCTCCCATTGAACCAACTGATGCTCCTGTTGAACCTACTGCAGCTCCAGTCGAGGCTACTGATGCACCAGTTAAGCCTACTGATGCTCCAGTGAAACCTACTGATGCCCCAGTTAAAGCAACTGATGCTGCTGTTGAACCTACTGCAGCGCCAGTCGAACATACTGATGCACCAGTTGAACCTACCGACAAAGCAGTTGAGCCTACTGATGCTCCTGTTCAACCTACTGAAGCTCCAGTCAAGCCTACTGATGCTGCTGTTGAACCTACTGCAGCTCCAGTCAAACCTACTGATGCTCCCATTGAACCAACTGATGCTCCTGTTGAACCTACTGAAGCTCCAGTCGAGGCTACTGATGCACCAGTCAAGGCTACTGATGCACCAGTTAAGCCTACTGATGCTCCAGTCAAACCTACTGATGCTGCTGTTGAACCAACTGATGCTCCTGTTGAACCTACTGAAGCTCCAGTTGAGGCTACTGATCCACCAGTCAAGGTTACTGATGCACCAGTTAAGCCTACTGATGCCCCAGTCAAACCTACTGATGCTGCTGTTGAACCAACTGATGCTCCTGTTGAACTTACTGAAGCTCCAGTCGAGGCTACTGATGCACTAGTTAAGCAAACTGATGCTCCAGTGAAACCTACTGATGCGCCAGTCGAGCCTACTGATGCTCCTGTTGAACCTACTGCAGCTGCAGTCGAACCTACTGATGCCCTCGTTCAGCCTACTGACGAAGCAGTTCAGCCTACTGATGCCCCTGTTGAACCTACTGATGGTCCTGTTGAGCCTACTGAAGCTCCCGTTGAGGCTACTGATGCACCAGTCAAGGCTACTGATGCACCAGTTAAGCCTACTGACGAAGCAGTTCAGCCTACTGATGCCTCTGTTGAACCTACTGATGGTCCTGTTCAACTTTCTGAAGCGCCAGTCGAGGCTACTGATGCTCCTGTTGAACCTACTGCAGCTCCAGTCGAACCTACTGATGCACCCATTCAACCTACTGACAAAGCAGTTCAGCCTACTGATGCTCCTGTTGAACCTACTGATGCTCCCATTGAACCAACTGATTCTCCTGTTGAACCTACTGAAGCTCCAGTCGAAGCTACTGATGCACCAGTTCAGCCTACTGATGCTCCAGTGAAACCTACTGATCCTGCTGTTGAACCTACTTCAGCCCCAGTCGAACCTACTGATGCACCAGTTCAACCTACCGCCAAAGCAGTTGAGCCCACTGATGCTCCTGTTCAACCTACTGAAGCGCCAGTCGAGCCTACTGCAGCTCCTGTGGAGCCTACTGATGCACCAGTTCAACCTACTGACAAAGCAGTTCAGCCTACTGAAACTCCTGTTGAACCTACTGATGCTCCCATTGAACCAACTGATGCTCCTGTTGAACCTACTGCAGCTCCAGTCGAGGCTACTGATGCACCAGTTAAGCCTACTGATGCTCCAGTGAAACCTACTGATGCCCCAGTTAAAGCAACTGATGCTGCTGTTGAACCTACTGCAGCGCCAGTCGAACATACTGATGCACCAGTTGAACCTACCGACAAAGCAGTTGAGCCTACTGATGCTCCTGTTCAACCTACTGAAGCTCCAGTCAAGCCTACTGATGCTGCTGTTGAACCTACTGCAGCTCCAGTCAAACCTACTGATGCTCCCATTGAACCAACTGATGGTCCTGTTGAACCTACTGAAGCTCCAGTCGAGGCTACTGATGCACCAGTCAAGGCTACTGATGCACCAGTTAAGCTTACTGATGCTCCAGTGAAACCTACTTATGCCCCAGTTGAACCAACTGATGCTGCTGTTGAACCTACTGCAGCTCCATTCGAGGCTACTGATGCACCAGTTAAGCCTACTGATGCTCCAGTCGAACATACTGATGCACCAGTTGAACCTACCGACAAAGCAGTTGAGTCTACTGATGCTCCTGTTCAACCTACTGAAGCTCCAGTCAAGCCTACTGATGCTGCTGTTGAACCTACTGCAGCTCCAGTCAAACCTACTGATGCTCCCATTGAACCAACTGATGCTCCTGTTGAACCTACTGAAGCTCCAGTCGAGGCTACTGATGCACCAGTCAAGGCTACTGATGCACCAGTTAAGCCTACTGATGCTCCAGTGAAACCTACTGATGCTGCTGTTGAACCAACTGATGCTCCTGTTGAACCTACTGAAGCTCCAGTTGAGGCTACTGATGCACCAGTCAAGGCTACTGATGCACCAGTTAAGCCTACTGATGCCCCAGTCAAACCTACTGATGCTGCTGTTGAGCCAACTGATGCTCCTGTTGAACCTACTCCAGCTCCAGTCAAACCTACCGATGCACCAGTTGAACCTACCGACAAAGCAGTTGAGCCTACTGATGCTCCTGTTCAACCTACTGAAGCTCCAGTCAAGCCTACTGATGCTGCTGTTGAACCTACTGCAGCTCCAGTCAAACCTACTGATGCTCCCATTGAACCAACTGATGGTCCTGTTGAACCTACTGAAGCTCCAGTCGAGGTTACTGATGCACCAGTCAAGGCTACTGATGCACCAGTTAAGCCTACTGATGCTCCAGTGAAACCTACTGATGCTGCTGTTGAACCAACTGATGCTCCTGTTGAACCTACTGAAGCTCCTGTCGAGGCTACTGATGCACCAGTTAAGCAAACTGATGCTCCAGTGAAACCTACTGACGAAGCAGTTCAGCCTACTGATGCTCCTGTTGAACCTACTGATGCTCCCATTGAACCAACTGATTCTCCTGTAGAACATACTGAAGCTCCAGTTGAGGCTACTGATGCACCAGTTATGCCTACTGATGCTCCAGTGAAACCTACTGATGCTCCTGTTGAACCTACTGATGCTCCCATTGAACCAACTGATTCTCCTGTTGAACCTACTGAAGCTCCAGTCGAGGCTACTGATGCACTAGTTCAGCCTACTGATGCTCCAGTGAAACCTACTGATCCTGCTGTTGAACCTACTGCAGCCCCAGTCGAACCTACTGATGCACCAGTTCAACCTTCCGACAAAGCAGTTGAACCAACTGATGCTGCTGTTGAACCTACTGCAGCTCCATTCGAGGCTACTGATGCACCAGTTAAGCCTACTGATGCTCCAGTCGAACCTACTGATTCTTCTGTTGAACCAACTGATGCTCCTGTTGAACCTACTGAAGCTCCCGTCGAGGCTACTGATACACCAGTTAAGCTAACTGATGCTCCAGTGAAACCTACTGATGCGCCAGTCGAGCCTACTGATGCGCCTGTTGAAACTACTGCAGCTCCAGTCGAACCTACTGATGCACCCGTTCAACCTACTGACGAAGCAGTTGAGCCTACTGATGCTCCTGTTCAACCTACTGATGCTCCCATTGAACCAACTGATTCTCCTGTAGAACGTACTGAAGCTCCAGTCGAGGCTACTGATGCACCAGTTATGCCTACTGATGCTCCAGTGAAAGCTACTGATGCCCCAGTTGAAGCAACTGATGCTGCTGTTGAACCTACTGAAGCCCCAGTCGAAGCTACTGATGCACCCGTTCAACCTACCGACAAAGCAGTTGAGCCCACTGATGCTCCTGTTCAACCTACTGAAGCGCCAGTCGAGCCTACTGATGCTCCTGTCGAACCTACTGCAGCTCCTGTGGAGCTTACCGATGCACCCGTTCAACCTACTGACAAAGCAGTTCAGCCTACTGATACTCCTATTGAACCTACTGATGCTCCCATTGAACCAACTGCTTCTCCTGTTGAACCTACTGAAGCTCCAGTCGAGGCTACTGATGCACCAGTTAAGCCTACTGATGCTCCAGTGAAACCTACTGATGCCCCAGTTGAACCAACTGATGCTGCTGTTGAACCTACTGCAGCTCCAGTCAAACCTACTGATGCTCCCATTGAACCAACTGATGCTCCAGTCGAACCTACTGCAGCTCCAGTCAAACCTACTGATGCTCCCATTGAACCAACTGATGCTCCAGTTGAACCTACTGCAGCTCCAGTCAAGGCTACTGATGCACCAGTTAAGCCTACTGATGCTCCTGTTCAACCTACTGAAGCGCCAGTGAAGCCTACTGATGCTGCTTTCGAACCTACTGCAGCTCCAGTCAAACCTACTGATGCTCCCATTGAACCAACTGATGCTCCAGTCGATCCTACTGCAGCTCCAGTCAAACCTACTGATGCTCCCATTGAACCAACTGATGCTCCAGTTGAACCTACTGCAGCTCCAGTCAAGGCTACTGATGCACCAGTTAAGCCTACTGATGCTCCAGTCAAACCTACTGATGCTGCTGTTGATCCAACTGATGCTCCTGTTGAACCTACTGAAGCTCCAGTCGAGGCTACTGATGCTCCAGTAAAACATACTGATGCTCCAGTTGAACCAACTGATGCTGCTTTTGAACCTACTTCAGCTCCAGTCGAACCAACTGACGCACCAGTTGATTTGACTGTCATTCCTGGTAAGACTGATGGTAAGACAGTTGATACTATGCAGACAACTCAAGGTCCAGGCCAAGCTACTGATGCACCAGTTAAACCTACTGAAGCGCCACTCGAGTCTACTGATGCTGCTGTTGAATCTACTACAGCTCCAGTCGAATCTACTGATACTCGCATTGAACCAACTGATGCTCCTGTTGACCCTACTGCAGCTCCAGTCGAGGCTACTGATGCACCAGTTAAGCCTACTAATGCTCCAGTCAAACCTACTGATGCTGCTGTTGAACCAACTGATGCTCCTGTTGAACCTTCTGAAGCTCCAGTCGAGGCTACTGATGCACCAGTTCAGCAAACTGATGCTCGAGTGAAACCTACTGAAGCTCCAGTTGAACCAACTGATGCTGCTGTTGAACCTACAGCAGCTCCAGTCGAACCTACTGATGCACCCGTTCAACCTACCGACAAAGCAGTTGAGCCCACTGATGCTCCTGTTCAACCTACTGAAGCACCAGTCGAGCCTACTGATGCTCCTGTCGAACCTACTGCAGCTCCTGTAGAGCCTACCGATGCACCCGTTCAACGTACTGACAAAGCAGTTCAGCCTACTGATACTCCTATTGAACCTACTGATGCTCCCATTGAACCAACTGATGCTCCTGTTGAACCTACTGAAGCTCCAGTCGAGGCTACTGATTCACCAGTTAAGCCTACTGATGCTCCAGTGAAACCTACTGATGCCCCAGTTGAACCAACTGATGCTGCTGTTGAACCTACTTCAGCTCCAGTCGAACCAACTGACGCACCAGTTGAATTGACTGTCATTCCTGGTAAGACTGATGGTAAGACAGTTGATACTATGCAGACAACTCAAGGTCCAGTCCAAGCTACTGATGCACCAGTTAAACCTACTGAAGTGCCACTCGAGCCTACTGATGCTCCTGTTGAATCTACTACAGCTCCAGTCGAATCTACTGATACTCGCATTGAACCAACTGATGCTCCTGTTGACCCTACTGCAGCTCCAGTCGAGGCTACCGATGCACCAGTTAAGCCTACTAATGCTCCAGTCAAACCTACTGATGCTGCTGTTAAACCAACTGATGCTCCTGTTGAACCTTCTGAAGCTCCAGTCGAGGCTACTGATGCACCAGTTCAGCAAACTGATGCTCAAGTGAAACCTACTGAAGCTCCAGTTGAACCAACTGATGCTGCTGTTGAACCTACAGCAGCTCCAGTCGAACCTACTGATGCACCCGTTCAACCTTCCGACAAAGCAGTTGAGCCCACTGATGCTCCTGTTCAACCTACTGAAGCACCAGTCGAGCCTACTGATGCTCCTGTCGAACCTACTGCAGCTCCTGTGGAGCCTACCGATGCACCCGTTCAACGTACTGACAAAGCAGTTCAGCCTACTGATACTCCTATTGAACCTACTGATGCTCCCATTGAACCAACTGATGCTCCTGTTGAACCTACTGAAGCTCCAGTCGAGGCTACTGATGCACCAGTTAAGCCTACTGATGCTCCAGTGAAACCTACTGATGCCCCAGTTGAACCAACTGATGCTGCTGTTGAACCTACTGCAGCTCCAGTCGAACTTACTGATGCACCAGGTGAACCTACCGACAAAGCAGTTGAGCCTACTGATGCTCCTGTTCAACCTACTGAAGCGCCAGTCGAGCCTACTGATGCTGCTGTCGAACCTACTGCAGCTCCAGTCAAACCTACTGATGCTCCCATTGAACCAACTGATGCTCCAGTTGAACCTACTGCAGCTCCAGTCAAGGCTACTGATGCACCAGATAAGCCTACTGATGCTCCAGTCAAACCTACTGATGCTGCTGTTGATCCAACTGATGCTCCTGTTGAACCTACTGAAGCTCCAGTCGAGGCTACTGATGCACCAGTCAAGGCTACTGATGCACCAGTTAAGCCTACTGATGCTCCAGTGAAACCTACTGATGCCCCAGTTGAACCAACTGATGCTGCTGTTGAACCTACTGCAGCTCCATTCGAGGCTACTGATGCACCAGTTAAGCCTACTGATGCTCCCATTGAACCAACTGATGCTCCAGTTGAACCTACTGCAGCTCCAGTCAAGGCTACTGATGCACCAGTTAAGCCTACTGATGCTCCAGTCAAACCTACTGATGCTGCTGTTGATCCAACTGATGCTCCTGTTGAATCTACTGAAGCTCCAGTCGAACCTACTGATGCACCAGTTGAACCAACTGATGCTGCTTTTGAACCTACTTCAGCTCCAGTCGAACCAACTGATGCACCAGTTGAATTGACTGTCATTCCTGGTAAAACTGATGGTAAGACAGTTGATACTATGCAGACAACTCAAGGTCCAGTCCAAGCTACTGATGCACCAGTTAAACCTACTGAAGCGCCACTCGAGCCTACTGATGCTCCTGTTGAATCTACTACAGCTCCAGTCGAATCTACTGATACTCGCATTGAACCAACTGATGCTCCTGTTGACCCTACTGCAGCTCCAGTCGAGGCTACTGATGCACCAGTGAAGCCTACTAATTCTCCAGTCAAACCTACTGATGCTGCTGTTGAACCAACTGATGCTCCTGTTGAACCTTCTGAAGCTCCAGTCGAGGCTACTGATGCACCAGTTCAGCAAACTGATGCTCAAGTGAAACCTACTGAAGCTCCAGTTGAACCAACTGATGCTGCTGTTGAACCTACAGCAGCACCAGTCGAGCCTACTGATGCTCCTGTCGAACCTACTGCAGCTCCTGTGGAGCCTACCGATGCACCCGTTCAACCTACTGACGAAGCAGTTCAGCCTACTGATACTCCTATTGAACCTACTGATGCTCCCATTGAACCAACTGATGCTCCTGTTGAACCTACTGAAGCTCCAGTCGAGGCTACTGATGCACCAGTTCAGCCTACTGATGCTCCAGTGAAACCTACTGATGCCCCAGTTGAACCAACTGATGCTGCTGTTGAACCTACTGCAGCTCCAGTCGAACTTACTGATGCACCAGGTGAACCTACCGACAAAGCAGTTGAGCCTACTGATGCTCCTGTTCAACCTACTGAAGCGCCAGTCGAGCCTACTGATGCTGCTGTCGAACCTACTGCAGCTCCAGTCAAACCTACTGATGCTCCCATTGAACCAACTGATGCTCCAGTTGAACCTACTGCAGCTCCAGTCAAGGCTACTGATGCACCAGTTAAGCCTACTGATGCTCCAGTCAAACCTACTGATGCTGCTGTTGATCCAACTGATGCTCCTGTTGAACCTACTGAAGCTCCAGTCGAGGCTACTGATGCACCAGTCAAGGCTACTGATGCACCAGTTAAGCCTACTGATGCTCCAGTGAAACCTACTGATGCCCCAGTTGAACCAACTGATGCTGCTGTTGAACCTACTGCAGCTCCATTCGAGGCTACTGATGCACCAGTTAAGCCTACTGATGCTCCAGTGAAACCTACCGATGCCCCAGTTAAAGCAACTGATCCTGCTGTTGAACCTACTGCAGCTCCAGTCGAACATACTGATGCACCAGTTGAACCTACCGACAAAGCAGTTGAGCCTACTGATGCCCCTGTTCAACCTACTGAAGCTCCAGTCAAGCCTACTGATGCTGCTGTTGAACCTACTGCAGCTCCAGTCAAACCTACTGATGCTCCCATTGAACCAACTGATGCTCCCGTTGAACCTACTGAAGCTCCAGTCGAGGCTACTGATGCACCAGTCAAGGCTACTGATGCACCAGTTAAGCCTACTGATGCTCCAGTGAAACCTACTGATGCCCCAGTTGAACCAACTGATGCTGCTGTTGAACCTACTGCAGCTCCAGTCGAACATACTGATGCTCCCATTGAACCAACTGATGCTCCTGTTGAACCTACTGAAGCTCCAGTCGAGGCTACTGATGCACCAGTCAATGCTACTGATGCACCAGTGAAACCTACTGATGCACCAGTCGAACATACTGATGCACCAGTTGAACCTACCGACAGAGCAGTTGAGCCTACTGATGCTCCTGATGAACCTACTGCAGCTCCAGTCAAATCTACTGATGCTCCCATTGAACCAACTGATGCTCCTGTTGAACCTACTGAAGCTCCAGTCGAGGCTACTGATGCACCAGTCAAGGCTACTGAAGCACCAGTTAAGCCTACTGATGCTCCAGTGAAACCTACTGATGCCCCAGTGGAACCAACTGATGCTGCTGTTGAACCTACTGCAGCTCCATTCGAGGCTACTGATGCACCAGTTAAACCTACTGCAGCTCCAGTCGAACATACTGATGCACCAGTTGAACCTACCGACAAAGCAGTTGAGCCTACTGATGCTCCTGTTCAACCTACTGAAGCTCCAGTCAAGCCTACTGATGCTGCTGTTGAACCTACTGCAGCTCCAGTCAAACCTACTGATGCTCCCATTGAACCAACTGATGCTCCCGTTGAACCTACTGAAGCTCCAGTCGAGGCTACTGATGCACCAGTCAAGGCTACTGATGCACCAGTTAAGCCTACTGATGCTCCAGTGAAACCTACTGATGCCCCAGTTGAACCAACTGATGCTGCTGTTGAACCTACTGCAGCTCCAGTCGAACATACTGATGCTCCCATTGAACCAACTGATGCTCCTGTTGAACCTACTGAAGCTCCAGTCGAGGCTACTGATGCACCAGTCAATGCTACTGATGCACCAGTGAAACCTACTGATGCACCAGTCGAACATACTGATGCACCAGTTGAACCTACCGACAGAGCAGTTGAGCCTACTGATGCTCCTGATGAACCTACTGCAGCTCCAGTCAAATCTACTGATGCTCCCATTGAACCAACTGATGCTCCTGTTGAACCTACTGAAGCTCCAGTCGAGGCTACTGATGCACCAGTCAAGGCTACTGAAGCACCAGTTAAGCCTACTGATGCTCCAGTGAAACCTACTGATGCCCCAGTTGAACCAACTGATGCTGCTGTTGAACCTACTGCAGCTCCATTCGAGGCTACTGATGCACCAGTTAAACCTACTGATGCTCCAGTCGAACATACTGATGCACCAGTTGAACCTACCGACAAAGCAGTTGAGCCTACTGATGCTCCTGTTCAACCTACTGAAGCTCCAGTCAAGCCTACTGATGCTGCTGTTGAACCTACTGCAGCTCCAGTCAAACCTACTGATGCTCCCATTGAACCAACTGATGCTCCTGTTGAACCTACTGAAGCTCCAGTCGAGGCTACTGATGCACCAGTCAAGGCTACTGATGCACCAGTTAAGCCTACTGATGCTCCAGTGAAACCTACTCATGCTGCTGTTGAACCAACTGATGCTGCTGTTGAGCCAACTGATACTCCTGTTGAACCTACTGAAGCTCCTGTCAAACCTACTGATGCACCAGTTATGCCTACTGATGCTCCAGTGAAACCTACTGATGCTCCTGTTAAACCTACTGATGCTCCCATTGAACCAACTGATTCTCCTGTTGAACCTACTGAAGCTCCAGTCGAGGCTACTGATGCACCAGTTCAGCTTACTGATGCTCCAGTGAAACCTACTGATGCACCAGTTGAAGCAACTGATCCTGCTGTTGAACCTACTGCAGCCCCAGTCGAACCTACTGATGCACCAGTTCAACCTACCGACAAAGCAGTTGAGCCCACTGATGCTCCTGTTCAACCTACTGAAGCGCCAGTCGAGCCTACTGCAGCTCCTGTGGAGCCTACTGATGCACCAGTGCAACCTACTGACAAAGCAGTTCAGCCTACTGAAACTCCTGTTGAACCTACTGAAGCTCCAGTCGAGGCTACTGATGCACCAGTTCAGCCTACTGATGCTCCAGTGAAACCTACTGATGCCCCAGTTGAACCAACTGATGCTGCTGTTGAACCTACTGCAGCTCCAGTCGAACTTACTGATGCACCAGGTGAACCTACCGACAAAGCAGTTGAGCCTACTGATGCTCCTGTTCAACCTACTGAAGCGCCAGTCGAGCCTACTGATGCTGCTGTCGAACCTACTGCAGCTCCAGTCAAACCTACTGATGCTCCCATTGAACCAACTGATGCTCCAGTTGAACCTACTGCAGCTCCAGTCAAGGCTACTGATGCACCAGTTAAGCCTACTGATGCTCCAGTCAAACCTACTGATGCTGCTGTTGATCCAACTGATGCTCCTGTTGAACCTACTGAAGCTCCAGTCGAGGCTACTGATGCACCAGTCAAGGCTACTGATGCACCAGTTAAGCCTACTGATGCTCCAGTGAAACCTACTGATGCCCCAGTTGAACCAACTGATGCTGCTGTTGAACCTACTGCAGCTCCATTCGAGGCTACTGATGCACCAGTTAAGCCTACTGATGCTCCAGTGAAACCTACCGATGCCCCAGTTAAAGCAACTGATCCTGCTGTTGAACCTACTGCAGCTCCAGTCGAACATACTGATGCACCAGTTGAACCTACCGACAAAGCAGTTGAGCCTACTGATGCCCCTGTTCAACCTACTGAAGCTCCAGTCAAGCCTACTGATGCTGCTGTTGAACCTACTGCAGCTCCAGTCAAACCTACTGATGCTCCCATTGAACCAACTGATGCTCCCGTTGAACCTACTGAAGCTCCAGTCGAGGCTACTGATGCACCAGTCAAGGCTACTGATGCACCAGTTAAGCCTACTGATGCTCCAGTCAAACCTACTGATGCTGCTGTTGATCCAACTGATGCTCCTGTTGAACCTACTGAAGCTCCAGTCGAGGCTACTGATGCACCAGTCAAGGCTACTGATGCACCAGTTAAGCCTACTGATGCTCCAGTGAAACCTACTGATGCCCCAGTTGAACCAACTGATGCTGCTGTTGAACCTACTGCAGCTCCATTCGAGGCTACTGATGCACCAGTTAAGCCTACTGATGCTCCAGTGAAACCTACCGATGCCCCAGTTAAAGCAACTGATCCTGCTGTTGAACCTACTGCAGCTCCAGTCGAACATACTGATGCACCAGTTGAACCTACCGACAAAGCAGTTGAGCCTACTGATGCCCCTGTTCAACCTACTGAAGCTCCAGTCAAGCCTACTGATGCTGCTGTTGAACCTACTGCAGCTCCAGTCAAACCTACTGATGCTCCCATTGAACCAACTGATGCTCCCGTTGAACCTACTGAAGCTCCAGTCGAGGCTACTGATGCACCAGTCAAGGCTACTGATGCACCAGTTAAGCCTACTGATGCTCCAGTGAAACCTACTGATGCCCCAGTTGAACCAACTGATGCTGCTGTTGAACCTACTGCAGCTCCAGTCGAACATACTGATGCTCCCATTGAACCAACTGATGCTCCTGTTGAACCTACTGAAGCTCCAGTCGAGGCTACTGATGCACCAGTCAATGCTACTGATGCACCAGTGAAACCTACTGATGCACCAGTCGAACATACTGATGCACCAGTTGAACCTACCGACAGAGCAGTTGAGCCTACTGATGCTCCTGATGAACCTACTGCAGCTCCAGTCAAATCTACTGATGCTCCCATTGAACCAACTGATGCTCCTGTTGAACCTACTGAAGCTCCAGTCGAGGCTACTGATGCACCAGTCAAGGCTACTGAAGCACCAGTTAAGCCTACTGATGCTCCAGTGAAACCTACTGATGCCCCAGTTGAACCAACTGATGCTGCTGTTGAACCTACTGCAGCTCCATTCGAGGCTACTGATGCACCAGTTAAACCTACTGCAGCTCCAGTCGAACATACTGATGCACCAGTTGAACCTACCGACAAAGCAGTTGAGCCTACTGATGCTCCTGTTCAACCTACTGAAGCTCCAGTCAAGCCTACTGATGCTGCTGTTGAACCTACTGCAGCTCCAGTCAAACCTACTGATGCTCCCATTGAACCAACTGATGCTCCCGTTGAACCTACTGAAGCTCCAGTCGAGGCTACTGATGCACCAGTCAAGGCTACTGATGCACCAGTTAAGCCTACTGATGCTCCAGTGAAACCTACTGATGCCCCAGTTGAACCAACTGATGCTGCTGTTGAACCTACTGCAGCTCCAGTCGAACATACTGATGCTCCCATTGAACCAACTGATGCTCCTGTTGAACCTACTGAAGCTCCAGTCGAGGCTACTGATGCACCAGTCAATGCTACTGATGCACCAGTGAAACCTACTGATGCACCAGTCGAACATACTGATGCACCAGTTGAACCTACCGACAGAGCAGTTGAGCCTACTGATGCTCCTGATGAACCTACTGCAGCTCCAGTCAAATCTACTGATGCTCCCATTGAACCAACTGATGCTCCTGTTGAACCTACTGAAGCTCCAGTCGAGGCTACTGATGCACCAGTCAAGGCTACTGAAGCACCAGTTAAGCCTACTGATGCTCCAGTGAAACCTACTGATGCCCCAGTTGAACCAACTGATGCTGCTGTTGAACCTACTGCAGCTCCATTCGAGGCTACTGATGCACCAGTTAAACCTACTGATGCTCCAGTCGAACATACTGATGCACCAGTTGAACCTACCGACAAAGCAGTTGAGCCTACTGATGCTCCTGTTCAACCTACTGAAGCTCCAGTCAAGCCTACTGATGCTGCTGTTGAACCTACTGCAGCTCCAGTCAAACCTACTGATGCTCCCATTGAACCAACTGATGCTCCTGTTGAACCTACTGAAGCTCCAGTCGAGGCTACTGATGCACCAGTCAAGGCTACTGATGCACCAGTTAAGCCTACTGATGCTCCAGTGAAACCTACTCATGCTGCTGTTGAACCAACTGATGCTGCTGTTGAGCCAACTGATACTCCTGTTGAACCTACTGAAGCTCCTGTCAAACCTACTGATGCACCAGTTATGCCTACTGATGCTCCAGTGAAACCTACTGATGCTCCTGTTAAACCTACTGATGCTCCCATTGAACCAACTGATTCTCCTGTTGAACCTACTGAAGCTCCAGTCGAGGCTACTGATGCACCAGTTCAGCTTACTGATGCTCCAGTGAAACCTACTGATGCACCAGTTGAAGCAACTGATCCTGCTGTTGAACCTACTGCAGCCCCAGTCGAACCTACTGATGCACCAGTTCAACCTACCGACAAAGCAGTTGAGCCCACTGATGCTCCTGTTCAACCTACTGAAGCGCCAGTCGAGCCTACTGCAGCTCCTGTGGAGCCTACTGATGCACCAGTGCAACCTACTGACAAAGCAGTTCAGCCTACTGAAACTCCTGTTGAACCTACTGATGCTCCCATTGAACAAACTGATGCTCCTGTTCAACCTACTGAAGCTCCAGTCAAGCCTACTGATGCTGCTGTTGAACCTACTAATGCTCCTGTTCAACCTACTGAAGCTCCAGTCAAGCCTACTGATGCTGCTGTTGAACCTACTGCAGCTCCAGTCAAACCTACTGATGCTCCAATTGAACCAACTGATGCTCCTGTTGAACCTACTGAAGCTCCAGTCGAGGCTACTGATGCACCAGTCAAGGCTACTGAAGCACCAGTTAAGCCTACTGATGCTCCAGTGAAACCTACTGATGCCCCAGTTGAACCAACTGATGCTGCTGTTGAACCTACTGCAGCTCCATTCGAGGCAACTGATGCACCAGTTAAACCTACTGAAGCACCAGTCGAGCCTACTGATGCTCCTGTCGAACCTACTGCAGCTCCTGTGGAGCCTACCGATGCACCCGTTCAACGTACTGACAAAGCAGTTCAGCCTACTGATACTCCTATTGAACCTACTGATGCTCCCATTGAACCAACTGATGCTCCTGTTGAACCTACTGAAGCTCCAGTCGAGGCTACTGATGCACCAGTTAAGCCTACTGATGCTCCAGTGAAACCTACTGATGCCCCAGTTGAACCAACTGATGCTGCTGTTGAACCTACTGCAGCTCCAGTCGAACTTACTGATGCACCAGGTGAACCTACCGACAAAGCAGTTGAGCCTACTGATGCTCCTGTTCAACCTACTGAAGCGCCAGTCGAGCCTACTGATGCTGCTGTCGAACCTACTGCAGCTCCAGTCAAACCTACTGATGCTCCCATTGAACCAACTGATGCTCCAGTTGAACCTACTGCAGCTCCAGTCAAGGCTACTGATGCACCAGATAAGCCTACTGATGCTCCAGTCAAACCTACTGATGCTGCTGTTGATCCAACTGATGCTCCTGTTGAACCTACTGAAGCTCCAGTCGAGGCTACTGATGCACCAGTCAAGGCTACTGATGCACCAGTTAAGCCTACTGATGCTCCAGTGAAACCTACTGATGCCCCAGTTGAACCAACTGATGCTGCTGTTGAACCTACTGCAGCTCCATTCGAGGCTACTGATGCACCAGTTAAGCCTACTGATGCTCCCATTGAACCAACTGATGCTCCAGTTGAACCTACTGCAGCTCCAGTCAAGGCTACTGATGCACCAGTTAAGCCTACTGATGCTCCAGTCAAACCTACTGATGCTGCTGTTGATCCAACTGATGCTCCTGTTGAATCTACTGAAGCTCCAGTCGAACCTACTGATGCACCAGTTGAACCAACTGATGCTGCTTTTGAACCTACTTCAGCTCCAGTCGAACCAACTGATGCACCAGTTGAATTGACTGTCATTCCTGGTAAAACTGATGGTAAGACAGTTGATACTATGCAGACAACTCAAGGTCCAGTCCAAGCTACTGATGCACCAGTTAAACCTACTGAAGCGCCACTCGAGCCTACTGATGCTCCTGTTGAATCTACTACAGCTCCAGTCGAATCTACTGATACTCGCATTGAACCAACTGATGCTCCTGTTGACCCTACTGCAGCTCCAGTCGAGGCTACTGATGCACCAGTTCAGCAAACTGATGCTCAAGTGAAACCTACTGAAGCTCCAGTTGAACCAACTGATGCTGCTGTTGAACCTACAGCAGCTCCAGTTGAACCTACTGATGCACCCGTTCAACCTACCGACAAAGCAGTTAAGCCCACTGATGCTCCTGTTCAACCTTCTGAAGCACCAGTCGAGCCTACTGATGCTCCTGTCGAACCTACTGCAGCTCCTGTGGAGCCTACCGATGCACCCGTTCAACCTACTGACGAAGCAGTTCAGCCTACTGATACTCCTATTGAACCTACTGATGCTCCCATTGAACCAACTGATGCTCCTGTTGAACCTACTGAAGCTCCAGTCGAGGCTACTGATGCACCAGTTCAGCCTACTGATGCTCCAGTGAAACCTACTGATGCCCCAGTTGAACCAACTGATGCTGCTGTTGAACCTACTGCAGCTCCAGTCGAACTTACTGATGCACCAGGTGAACCTACCGACAAAGCAGTTGAGCCTACTGATGCTCCTGTTCAACCTACTGAAGCGCCAGTCGAGCCTACTGATGCTGCTGTCGAACCTACTGCAGCTCCAGTCAAACCTACTGATGCTCCCATTGAACCAACTGATGCTCCAGTTGAACCTACTGCAGCTCCAGTCAAGGCTACTGATGCACCAGTTAAGCCTACTGATGCTCCAGTCAAACCTACTGATGCTGCTGTTGATCCAACTGATGCTCCTGTTGAACCTACTGAAGCTCCAGTCGAGGCTACTGATGCACCAGTTAAGCCTACTGATGCTCCAGTGAAACCTACTGATGCCCCAGTTGAACCAACTGATGCTGCTGTTGAACCTACTGCAGCTCCAGTCGAACCTACTGATGCACCAGTTGAACCTGCCGACAAAGCAGTTGAGCCTACTGATGCTCCTGTTCAACCTACTGAAGCGCCAGTCGAGCCTACTGATGCTCCTGTTGAATCTACTACAGCTCCAGTCGAATCTACTGATACTCGCATTGAACCAACTGATGCTCCTGTTGACCCTACTGCAGCTCCAGTCAAGGCTACTGATGCACCAGTTAAGCCTACTAATGCTCCAGTCAAACCTACTGATGCTGCTGTTGAACCAACTGATGCTCCTGTTGAACCTTCTGAAGCTCCAGTCGAGGCTACTGAGACACCAGTTCAGCAAACTGATGCTCCAGTGAAACCTACTGAAGCTCCAGTTGAACCAACTGATGCTTCTGTTGAACCTACTGCAGCTGCAGTCGAACCTACTGATGCACCCGTTCAACCTACCGACAAAGCAGTTGAGCCCACTGATGCTCCTGTTCAACCTACTGAAGCACCAGTCGAGCCTTCTGATGCTCCTGTTGAACCTTCTGCAGCTCCCGTCGAACCTACTGATGCACCCATCCAACCTACTGACAAAGCAGTTCAGCCTACTGATGCTCCTTCTGAATCTACTGATGCTCCCATTGAACCAACTGATTCTCCTGTTGAACCTACTGAAGCTCCAGTTGAGGCTACTGATGCACCAGTTAAGCCTACTGATGCTCCAGTGAGACCTACTAATGCCCCAGTTGAAGCAACTGATGCTGCTGTTGAACCTACTGCAGCCCCAGTTGAACCTACTGATGCACCAGTTCAACCTACCGACAAAGCTCCTGTCAAACCTACTGATACTGCTGTTGAACCAACTGATGCTCCTGTTGAACCTACTGCAGCTCCAGTCGAACCTACTGATGCACCAGTTCAACCTACAGACAAAGCAGTTGTACCTACCGAAGCGCCAGTCGAGCCTACTGATTCTCCTGTTGAACCTACTGCAGCTCCAGTCGAACCTACTGATGCTCCCGTTGAATCAACTGATGCTGCTGTTGAACCTACTGCAGCCCCAGTTGAACCTACTGATGCTCCAGTAAAGCCTACTGATGCTCCAGTAAAGCCTACTGATGCTCCAGTAAAGCCTACTGATGTTCCAGTCAAACCTACTGATGCTCCTGTTGAACCAACAGATGCTGCTGTTAAACCAACTGCTTCCGTTTATACCACTGTTGAACCAACCATGAAGCCAGTTGAGGCTACCGATGCTCCACTTCAACAAACGGATGCTCCTGTTCAACCTACTCAACCTACTACAAGGAAGATTAAGCTGCCCACTATGCAACCAGGTAGCCATTTTGTTTTTATTCTTTAATAGGCGATTCTATGTAAAGCTTGTTGCAAACTAGCAGGTGAAAAGCAATTTTATTTGGTATAAGTCATGCTAAAGTTAAAAGGGCAGTACAAGTTTTCCACTCTGCTGTCTCAGTATTTGGGTTTGTTTAGTTACTTAATAAATTATTCTGAAAGTCCATATTTGCACAATCCATCACTTAATGCACTCAACCAAAAAAGAAACTTCCTGCCTTCCTTCCCTTTTTGTCTTACTCAAAAATACTTAGTAACTCTCGCTCAAATAATGACTGATCAGTACAGCAATTCGTTAGCAATCCAGCCATACTCTTGATTTGGCAATTAATGACCAATGATACCGAAAACAGTTGCACTTTAGACTACACTGTACGTGCAAGTTGTTGTTCACACTCACCTTGCACGTATACTAAAGTGCAACTTTTTTCGGTACCATTTGTCATAAATTGCATACATTTTGTACACATTATCACTGTTTTGGGCTGAACAAAGAGTATGTCTGGAGTGCTAAGGAATTTCTGTAATGTTTAGTCGTAATTTGAGCAAGATGTGCCCAGTCGTTTTTGAGTTAGACAAAAAAAGTATCAAAGGGGGGACTTTCCTTTTTGGTTGAGTGTATGAGCTATTCGGATGCAGTGTGAGGTGACTTGTGAGTAAATATGCCACAACACAAACTTTAAGTTGGCTCATGTGTGCAGAAAGCATCACTCATAGTGCAGCAAATATAATTATTTGATACACCACTTCCTTGTCCAACTGATGTATAATTTTCCTCAGGAAATGTTGAAGTGATACAAAAGCATTTTTTCTTTTTAAATGTGTGGTCAGCACAAGTACATGTAACTACTAATGGCTTATGTAAAAGGGAGAAAAATGTTGAGATTCTCACTTCATTCTGTGATGTTTCTTCCGCCTGGTGAGACACTTATCGCGTCAGGATTAATTAATCCTTTCAACCCTTTCTTTTTAACAGCTCCTACCACGTCAACAACTTCTGTAGGGATCTGCCGGATTGTATGCAGTGTAGCCACCGACCCAGGACTAGTTTGCGGAACTGATGGCAACACCTACCCATTCAAGTGCGTGTTGGACCTGCTATCTTGCCTTATGCCCCAACTGAAACTTGCAGTACTCTACGAGGGTCCATGCTTTTAAATGTGAAAAAGATGCTCAGGGATTTTTAGTACCAATTATAAGTACTGTACATGTACCTTTTTTAGTGGTTGTAACAGTAAAGTTAATATTACCAAGGGTTAGATTTAATGTTTTATTTACTTGAATATTTTCATCACAACAGTAAAAAAACAATGAAAACATTTTTATATCCCCTAAAGACCTAAGCTTTTGCTATGTTAAGTGAACCTGCTTTGTAGGTCGGTTTAATTAATCAATCAGTGAAGAAAAATTCTGAGAAATTCACATTTTTACATTGCTGGAAATGTCAAAAATGTATCTTATGAGGTCCTAAAATATCAGCATATGAAAACTCTGTTGGCCAAAATACTTACACTTTTGCTGCATTTTTTATATATTATTGTTTACTAAAAAAAAAAAAATTGTAACTCTTGCTTGTGTAAATTAAAAATATCAAGAGTGACATTAACTAAGTTTCCATAGTCACGATCATTCATTTGATGGAGCTGTTCATTGCTATTAACATCACTTTGGTCTTCAGATAGTCAGAGTTCAGTGCATCAGTGGCATAGGAAGGTCATATCTTGATTGGGTTGGGGGTGTGGACGGGAAAAGGGCACTGGCCCATGCATTCATGCCAAAACTGTTGGGGGGGGGGTGTAAACGGATGATCATGGGCCTATCGGACAATAGGTACTGTAGCGCTTTTCGGGTTGTTAATATGTACCGTGCGAAATTCTCAAAAGGGCAAAAGTTAAAAGCGGCGCTGAAAAGGGCAGTGTTAAAAAAAAAAGCCACTTTATCTTCCAAAGATCAGTAGCCCAACATGGGATCAACGATTAGTAACCGCTTATGACCATCAGTCACTGTAATACGCATGCGTCAAATATCACGTGGGTGATATATTCCATCATGTGATTTGATATACTCCTTTGCGTGATTTGATATGACCTTTAAGAGGTTTTAGATTTTGGAGATAAAAAAGGAACGTCGTCGCCTAGTGGTTGCCAGTGTACGTGTATACGTGGGCCGAGGCATACCCTGCAGGTTCAAATCCCAGCGGACTATTTTTTTTCCTTTTCCTAAAAAATGTGAATTGTCCACTTATATTAGCTCCTAATTTCTTATGAAATATTTCTCACCTTTATTTGCAATTCAAGGCTCCAAACAGGCGCGTAAATCCGTCGGGAAGTGGAGGGATGCGCAAGAGCGTATATAGCAATACATGTATTAATTTAAATGGGGAGGTGTAACCGCAATAACGTAACCAGGATTTTTTTCTGGACACGCGAACGCCGGACAATATAAATGGGGGGGGGGGAACTTATCATTTATCCCACGGGGGCGCTGTTTAAATTGACTATTTTAAACAGCGCCCTTGTGATCGATTATATCTATCAGATCTGAAACTAATACGACGTTTTACACTAACTTTTGAAAATCTGTAAACTTTTTTTCTTGGTGCAAAAATCTGGGGGACGATTCTGTTGTTCATATATAACCTACCCCCCCCCCCCCCCCCGGAATTTACGCTCATGACTCCAGACTATTTTTAAGGGAAGAAAACTGTCTGTGAATCATTCCGTTATTAACATCTGCTGCTTGCGCACAATGGTCTGCTAGTAAGGTTACTGAACGCTGAATGTGGTAAAATGGTCATGGCCTTTAGGCCCACATATCCGTGAACTGTTCTCATCTCGCCCTGACCAGTCTTCTGCTTCTATTTCCGCTTCGTCCTGTTGAAACAAGGCCAAAAATTAAGGACTCGAGTGGGTAAAGAGAGGGCCAATAAAGTACACTCCACTGGCTTTAATAGCTTAACACTCTAACATCAGCGCCACGGCACCTAATGCTGGATCAACGTTCAAAATACAAAGATGCATCCATTTGGGCTTGGGCTTTCTCCCCCCCCCCCCCCCCCCCCAGAACTCTTATTTAGTGGATCAAGGGCGGAACTAAGAGGGAACTAAGGTCCCTCCCTTCTATATTTTGCTCAATGATTCGGACCTTGTAGACGTTCCCACCCTATAGTATGATGATGGTTGTTCTACAATCGTAACTTCCGGAAGATTGAAAATTGCAGCTATGGACTCCCTCAGTGGTTCAAAAGAAAATACTGGGAAGAAAACTGGGAGGTAATCTTGAATTGACCGCATTGACAACGTGCACGCCAATCGTTTCCCCCACTGTAAAAACTCTCACGCGTGGTGACGAAGCGCAATCTACTGTTTATGCATATAACCGGAGCCGTATTTCACTTGAGTGATGTCTTGAAAAGTGAAAGCTATTATATTTTGCAGCCCGTTTTATACATGTACTTTAATTCACTCTTACCCCTCTTATCCACCCCCTCCTCGAACTTCAACTTCCCAGACCTTATTAAATAGCCCCTCCCCACCTCCGGAGTCCGGTCGAGTGAATCCCTTTTTTTCTGAACTTTGTAACCATGGTTACCTTGACTCTGGCAGTATACGCGTCATCAGTGTTTATAGCGATATGAAGCCTACAACGAAGTGATTCATTTCTGTCATCCGGTTGCACATGGGGCAGTTCTGACTTGCTGTTTCCGGCATTGGATTAAGAGGCCGAGTCGCGAACTTTGTACTGCAGCCTCGATTAAAAAATACAGTCTTATCATTGAGTACCCCCCTTTTTACTGGGAAGGGGAATTCACCAACAATTAGCTGTAAAATCAAATACATGTATTTAACTTTCGAGATAAATATATTTCGAGATAAATATATTGTGGAGAGCGTATACCGTCCATCAATCTTCGCAGTCGTATACTTATATATACCCTTTTCCCCTCCAATCAATCAAGTACTATTTTGCTTTATTTCTACATAGAAACAGGATTTGAGGTTGATTTCCAGATATTCACTACTTTTGGAAGTGTCGCTCAATCCTATTAGTATCGCACCAAGTATTTCACCTATAGGGGCACAACTTTTTTTTTAGAAGTTTAAATGTTTTTCAAAAATGTTGCCCAACATTTTTGACAGCAGATAAAAAAATGGGGGGGGGGGGGGAGACAGACAACATTGACGTTGGTGGTGCCATTTACACCCCTACTATACTACTCGAAAAAAGGCCACATACATGGGGGGCAAGCCCCCCCCCCCCCCCCAAGGCCCCCTTCCCCCCCCCCCCCCCCCCCCCCACTTGGGTGTGCCACTGAATCATATTTCTTTTCTCTTTTATTAAGATCCGACTAAAACACTCCTAAACAGTCATTTCCGACCGATTCTGACTGATCTTTCTGAGTAACTATTTCTCTTCAGATTATATTACCGTAGTTCCAAAGAAGTTCATATTTACAGCCCGTCAGTGGTCACCGGCACAGTTTTGATGCTGTGCTATTTAGACGTACATTGTGTTCGTTTCCATAACATGTTCGAGTTGAAACACAAAGTCCAACAACAAAACTAGATACCATTGAATCCATCCAAAAAGTCAGTGTAACTATATTTGCTATATATTTCCAACCCCCCAATTCCATCCATTTCTAAAAATTACAGCAAAAGCAAATGATGCATATTCCCTTTAAACTTTCCCCAGTGGTTTTAAATGTGTTCGTCATTCTGCCGGTAACATGAGACCAAACAAAAAAATGAAATCTGTCATTCTGCCGGTATTAAACATGAGACCACAACAAAAATCTGCCACACCGAGAACGCAATCATAGAAGCATAGGATGAAAAAACGTGCCTTGTTCTTTAATTCAATCAATATCTTTTTTATTCATCTGCAACAGAATTAAAATATTTCTAGAGGGACTAGGACATTTTTACTCAATCAAAATGAAGGATGTAAGAGCAATTCGGTCAATGATGATGGGAACTGACTGTTTGCATCAATACTTGTGATCACTCTACCCGGAGGGGGGGGGGGGTGCAGAGTTGCAGAGTACCTGACAACGGGGTACAGATTTTAATAGCGAAATCGGGACGCTGATGATGAACAGTGATGAACAGCGCCACGTATTATAGTATCAATGATTGTCCGCTTTTAACAGTTGCCCCCCCCCCCCCTCAAGGAAATGGTGCAAGCACCCCCCCCCCCCCCCGGTTTTTTTATTTTGCGGAGGGCAGATGGAAAGTTTCACCTCGAAATTTTTTTTCTTTACATTGCATTATTCTGGCATTACAAACGTATAGCCTACATTTTAAAATGAGTCATTATATAAGGAATAATTCGGCTAACGTTTGGTTATGCAAACTAAAGTACACATCTTAAATAATTTGCGGCCCGACGATAATTCCGTTCTAAAATGATAAACTGCATGGTCACCCGCCCCGGAGTAGGGTTCGGGAACCAGTCTATTCTCCGGACGTTTCTGTATGTGGGCAAACTTGGGAAAAAAGTCTTTTGCGTTTAGAAAAGACATACAAGTTTAGAATTCGTCAGGAGTAACAAAGAAACTATACGATACTTTGGAGAGCGTACACGGAGAGTGTAGATTTTTTTGTTCTTTCAGCGCAAGCGACGGGCAATTGTTTAATATTAAGGGCATTCAGAATAATACACCACGCATAGGCACGTTGCTTACCTGACTTGCAACTTCAGGGGGCATGGAGGTCAGTGTCTTGATCGTGCATCTTTCCATCGGGCTACGTCATCATCAGCCACTGGGGACTGTCCCACACAAATTCACTTTTCTTTGAAAGCGGGATGCGTGGTTTGGGCTTCTTAATAGCTCAAAACAAATACTTAATAGTATATACTTGGTTGGTTCTTCTCCTAAGGACTTCCATAAGGGAGTATAACTACGAGGCCAGAAACACCGGGGCAAACCCCTTCTCTTACCGATAAGTTTTACTGGGTTCTTTTACGTGCGTTAGGCCTTATACAACACACGGGACCTCCGGCTTAACGTCCCGTCTGAAGGACGAAGCAATAATGGTTAAGTGCCTCACTTAAGGGCACAAGTGTCCGGGCCCGGGCTCGAACCCACGTCACTATTGCCTCTGAAACACCAGAGCATGAGTCCGGTGCTCTTAACCGCTAGGATGACACTCCAAATTACAACAAGCCCACCTCCTTTTTATCTTTAGATTCCATTGATTCCTTTGCCCATGGTGTGTCAAAAACCTCCGTTCCGAAAAAAAATATATTTAACGAGTTGTGGCAATTACTTGTACGATTTATTTCCTGGGGGAGGGGGAAAGAAAACATGATTATGTACTGGAATGCACGGCTAAATTGGTTACAACATAGGGGCTTTCCCTCAAGAAGTCCCTCACCCCACCCCACCCCCACCCCCACCACGCGAAAAAATGTTTCAAGAACAAACAACAAGTTCAACAACACAATTAAACAACCAGACCACACTAATGCACCTTAAGAGCACGGAACACATGTGGCATTCATTTTCAAACGAGAGTTTTTTTCTATGAAGGGCCATACAATGTTTTGTGAGTAATAACGACATCCCAATGTCCTCCATCACGTGTATTTTTAAACATCATGACGAGTTTGAACCCTGAGCGTCTTCCGTCAGTTGGGTGCATGGCGGGGACGCGACCTTTATCGCCAAAATCGGCCGTGAAAAGTTCAATGTTACCTGCTTGTATTTGCTCTGACACCATCATCGTTTCGTTTTGTTTTGTTTTGCATCCTTGTCTTGCCCTCGATGAGTGCAGCTGAACCCTTTAAGAATCCTCTGGCAAAGGTTTTCCTGACCAATTCAACTAAAACGTTCAATTTACTGACCCGCCGATGCTATATGACTTACATCAGCATAAATCGTCAAAAAGGAGTCGTTCGATTTCCTTAGTTGGCGTTCTTTCTAAGTTCAATGAAATTCAAAAGTTCATACAATTTCGTGGATGCCATGAATGAGTTTGATCAAGAATTCAATTTCATAAGTACCTTAGTAAACGCATAACAACGGGCAAATTTACAGTAAAATTTACCCATATTTGATTTCATTTGAATACCTAAAGGGTAAAACATTCCACAGACCGAGGTCTCTCTTCTTATATTTTGATAAAATACTTTACGTTTCAGTAGTTATTTTTCTACGGGCCATACACCTTGTTATGAACAACTGCGGGACCATAGGATCGAAGGGTTAAGTTGCAATTGACTATTATAACTTAGCGTTACTTCAATGTTCAACAACACTTGGGTTGGAACCTTTTGAAAAATTTTAGTCACGAAATTCACGGTCCGAAATCCCCCCCCCCCAAGTATCTCACAACTACTGCCATAATAGTAATACCTCACCCCGCTGTTAACCCTGAAGGAAAGAGATCAAAAATCGGGCCAAACTATTTGCCCCCTTCGACCCAATGTCGATACGCTATACTTGATAATTCCCTGGAGTTCACATTTTTCGCAGTTAGTGTACATTCTCATATTGAAACAACCTTTTCCCCACCGAAGGCGACGAAGTGTGGTAAACGTTATGTGGGAGCCCCCTCCCCCTCCCCTCCTCCCCCAAATGTGCCTGCAGGTGCGGCCCAGGGCCGTGCGTTAATCTGCTTCTGGGGCGGCCCTCAAGCAAGGTCAGGTGGTGCCTCTCCTTATATAAAATAAATCATGGGCTCACTGAGGTCAAAAACCTGATTTTTTTGTTTAAGTTTAAAACGAATTCGTTGGCCCGCAGCTTCTGAGATATAGATACATGTATTTCCGATCGAACTTGTTTTTTGGGTTTTTTTTAATGCCACGGATGTAGCTCATGGCAAAACAGAACTGGATCGATCGGGCGGGGTTTGAACGGGCAGTGGGCGGTTCCCTCAGACGGCTGTCTTTTATCTATTTTAGGGATGTCAAATAGAAGGCCAAAGAACGTATTTTCGAAACGTGATTTTGCATAGGTTTCCGTTCCTTGCGAGATACCAATCGCAGTAAAGGTCAAAATATATCATCAAAAGGAAGTAAAGTCTAGCAAGAACTTTTCTGCACACAGTTCATGGAAATGTCAAACTCACGCTTGGAACGTATAGTAGAAATTCGTCCTTCCCAATTATCCATTGTAACCCAATAATTATTACTTTAGCCAGGGACTGAAGCTGCTTAAAGAAGAATGGAGAAATTCAGAACGTAATGTTATTCAACCTTACGTTTGTTGCGAATTGTAAACAAAATTTGCCTCATGAACTTCCCCTGTTTGACCCTATCTTGTATGCTGATTATACTGAGTGACACCCTTGTAGGTAATCATCAATATCCGTCAGTAAGTTGTAGTGTGTTCAAGTTCAAGCGAAGGCAATCCTTCAGTTTGTTTAAAATATTTTGTTTTTGAGCGCGGGTCCGGTCGCTCTTCTTGGAAAGTGATATATTGTAAACATTAGTCCTCACGTTGGGAGGAAATCCTTGGAAAACGGTGCGTATGGGATCAGCACAGGAAAACCCCTTTTCTTTACTTGTAAATATTATTGGGGGGAAAAAATAACTTTCTCAACTTTCCACATTAGACATGAAATCAGTGTCAGGTTGTTTCAATATTGCTACACCAGTTACTTTCGATCCTCGACATTTCCGTTCCAGAAACTGATTTGTTTTTTAACTTATGCATTATGCATCAGCAGTATTGCAATTTTCATTGGGCTAAGTCCCTGGGGTTAATGACTAATAAAAAGTACAGGAACTAGTAGTCAAATATGGGCATGGGATGGACTAGTGCACTAGCAAAATTAGTCATCGAGTCACCCTTCTGTGGACGGGTACTTGGTGTATAAAAACGACAAGAATTCACGATATCCAAGGCATTTGTTGTATTGCTCCCGGAGACCGATTTTGCAGTGGTTTTTTTGCGGGTCGAGAGCGGACAACTATAAAAGAGGGTAAGTACTGCCTCAAGTGCCACTTCCACAATTAAGCACTTCATTATTTTACGCACTTGTTTGGATTTGTGGTGTGTTTTTGTGGTTTCATCTGCCAGTTTGGTTTTTATTCCTGCATTTGAATTGTATTTTGTAGAGTTCCGCCTTCTTATAATTTTTTTGGGTGTGTTTGACTCTGTTTCTCTTTATGTTCTTGAACTCAAGTTGATTCTGTGGTGCTTTGGTTTCGATTTTTTTTATATTCAGTGTGTTGTTCGAATTCCCTTTCCATTTCTTCTTTGAGCTGACGTGTCTGCACTCTTTGTTTTATTATTCTTTTACTTTTTTGCAACTTTTCAAAATTCTCAATTTTTTGGTTCTTTTTTGGGGGTCGCTTTCCATTCATTCATGAATATTCTCCGTTCTTTTCTGCCCTCTTCTCCATACGAAGGCCACTGCTCACATTGTTCTGGCTCATATTTTAAGGATTTTGATGTCCTTCTCGGCTAACTGTTAAATATAAATTAAATATAGGCTAATAGTGTTCTTTAATTTCGTGCATTCTTTTCTTTTATCATTAGATGAAGTTCCTCGCTTCTCTGTTTGTGATTGCGGTCACTTTGGCATCAGTTGCGCAGTCAGGTAAGGGCAGACGAGTCAATTATTATGCATGTGATATTAAATCATGAAGTATGTGTTCATGTGACTTCAACTAAGAACTCTCATGTCTCCCTCAAAACACTGTGAAAGAGCGTCGGGGAAAACATTCCTGTCTAACTTTCGCTGAGGAAGAAAACGAAAGGTATTTCACAAACTAAAAAAAGTGAACTGCGACCACAGATACTGAAATTTGTATCCTTGTGGAGTCATTTCTTTGTTCTCGTGTACTTAAATTTTGAGTTTGAAAATCAAGTTTCAAAATGCTTTTATTTTAACCATAATTGATTTCCTGGGCTGAAATTCGGACTTAATATCCATTACATAAAAATAGTTTCATTTGCGACTGATCAACACACCTTGGAAATTCCTAACTTTTGAGTAAAGTTCATACATCTATTTCGCAATAACCTTGATGTATTCACATATATATAAAATTGCCCTGTGGAGACGTATACAATCTTTTGTTCCCTATTATACACATGTCTCCACAGGGTGCCTTGTATTAGTTCCTTTTTTTCGCATGTAAACAGACATGTTGCCCAATCAAACACAAAACTGACCAGCCACTCTAATGTCCATATACATGTAGAGTGAAACCGATACGAGGCAATGTAGGGTGAAAATCACTTCCAATGTTAGATTGAAATACTCTGAAAAATATCAAACCAGTGGCAATTCGATTTCTTTAATTTCTCTTCGTCACATTTAGTTGGTTGTTTCACTCGATGGAAGTGAAGTTTCACTATAAGAACTTAGAGCGAACTTTCACTTCTGGAAGTATCGGCTTAGAACTGTGCCGAGGCACCGCCGTTTTGTTGTTTCATTGTATGCAACCAAGGTTTTTAAGTATCAGTCATTTTAAAATGTTGCTATAGGTTTTCCCGGTTATTTTAAAGGATTTGTTTTATTCAAATTCACCAACTCTAACATTCAATTGCGTCCACGAAAAATTCCACAAGCTTTTACCAAAACCAATTTAGTCATTTACCATTCCATTTTTAAGTTTGGTCACCCGTAGTCACTGGGTCGGGAATATTCGTCAGTACAGATCAAATTTGTCTGAGCTGATGCCAAATGGCAGCATTCAGATATCGAATTTACTTATCCATCAATTAGACGAATTGAATTCTGAATAACAAGGTTTAGTGTATAGGCGAGACAAAATCGAATACTCCGGGGCTACAACGTGTGCTCATTGTTTGAATTTGATTGAACTGAATTTGAAATTGTCTGACACAAAAAAATGATGAAATTAAACATTGAAAGTGCACTAAATCGAAGTTGATGGACGAATTTGAATATTGGAAACGGTGAATTCGAATGACAAACGTGTTAATATAGCCGAAAAAAACTATATCAAATTCTAGTGCCCTGCTATCTTTTTTGAAAGAGTGAATAGTGGGGGACGGGACAGTGTTCAAGAAAGCTGGGTATATGTATTTGAAAAGTTTTATTAATTATTTATTTATTTTTATTTATTTATTATTAAAGTGTGACAGTGTTTGCTTGACAGCAGTCGTCTTAACAGTGTAACTGACTAGAAGACTTTTTTAAACGTGATTTTCGAGGCCCTCAGCAGGGGCGGATCCAGGAATGTTTGTAGGGGGGGGGGCTCATTAGCAAATCAATGCTGAAATGTAGACAGATTTTTTCTCTCCGGACACTTGGCCTCCGTAAAATCAATATTGGGGAGGGGAGTTCGTACCATACTTTCAATGGTGGCGCTGTTCAAATTCGACCATCATTTTCGCTTTTTTACAGAATAGTGTACAAATACCCCCGTAACCCAGCTGGCTCATTCCGAATTTTGTGCACAGGTGGACATTATTAGCAGTACAATTCTTGGGGGTTGTCGGAGCAGGGGATGGGTCACGTTATTGTTTATGTGTTTCTATGGAGAAACAAACTTGAGACGGAGCTGGGGGGTTGGAACCCCCCCCCCTCCCCCCCGCTCAGAGGACATGAGACTTTTACCTGAACCTTTGACCTGTGATAGCTTCCGTCAATGTGAAAAAAAGAAAACATGACTATCGGATGTGTTAATGATTTCATTGACGGCATATTTGTTGGATCCAAATACAGCTCCGGCCAGAAGATGCAAGAGCCTATACCGTCGGTGTAAGGACAACCTGGATTACGAGGGCAGGGTGTGCGGCAGGGACGGTGTCACATACCAGGATGCCTGCAAGATCGTGCTGAAAAACTGCGAGCAAGGCTCCGAGATCACTGTGGCCAATCGGGGGAGATGCAGGGCTGTCACCAGGCCTCAAGGTGGGTGTGAATGTTAACCTGACGGGGGCGGGAACTGTGCTTAACAAGCTATGGTGGGAAGGGAATTAGGTTCGAAAGGCCGGCGCACGTTAGGACATTTTTGTGTTCAGGCTTTATTTATTGCATAGTTTAATTCGGAAATCGATGACTTGTTTTGAATTATGCAGTGCCATTATGCTTATGCTTGTTTTTTTAAGTTGCGTTTGCTTGAGTTTTCAGCTTCAGAACATTCATGTTTTTAAATCTCCCTACCCGGTGAAGTGGCGTAAACCGGTGTCCGATTTCTGGGGCACTAGGTACCATTTTCTATAGCGGGCACGGAATAAGTTTTAAATAATAACAAGCCAATTGTTTGTCTTCCCGAAAATTCTGGCAGGGAGTGGGGCGGGCAGAATATATAGGAGAGGGGGGGGGGGATCCATATTGTTATTGCGGAAGGATAGTGTTCTGCGGACATCGTAAACTTGGCCCAGAAACACCGTTTTCACGAAGGGGCGAATTTTTTGAAAATCGTCTGTTTTTCGAAATTTGTTTGTGTTTTTTTTGGTCAATATGAATAAATACCAATATCTACAACCTGGTGAGGCTATACTTTCAAAAATTGATTAGAATCCCAATTAACCTAATTAACGAATGGGCGAATTTGTCACAAGTGCCGTTTTGCGTTTTCACGAAGGGGCGAATTTCCGCACTCTATGGTGTTACTAAACTTTCGGCAAATAAAATGAAGCCTTAATACGAAGGGGCGAATTTCAGGCGCGTGCAATGAAACGTTTCACGAAGGGGCTAATTTTAAGGCGCACGCGCAGTGTGGCAAAATCTGCGCGTACTATACAAAAATGCCTTGACTCGGACCGCAGTAGGGCGAAATTTGCGCGTACTCACTTTAGCGTTTTCACGAACAGCCACTTTTCTTAATTGATTAATTCTGCAAAGCTAATCACCTATTTTTCTTAAAGTTTTCTATATTTATGAAGATTATAATCTTTCCTCTGATACCTAAATCTTGCATATTTTATGCATCTTTAAGTTTCAACTTGTTAAATGAAAAAAGGACCAACTCTCGAATGTTTGTTCAGACCGTGAAATACTAAATTCGCCTGAAATACTAAATTCGTGAAAACGGTGACGAGAATATCAATGCCATCGAAAATGCTCTGATATAATTTTTTATCAATTTTGATCTGGGCGGCCTCAGTTTGTTTCGTTAACCTGAAATTGCTTCAAAGGGACAGAAAACCTTAAAAGGGCGTGGCAAAATATATAGTCTTATTATTCTAAGAATGGAGCATGGTAAGACATACGGTTTCAGATTTCGGGTTATCGTATTAAACCAGGCTTGTGTAATTACCTCTCGATTGCGACATCACTAATTTAATTCTCCACCCATGCACTCTCCCTCAACCCCCCCCCCCCATCCCCCTTTGTTGAGAACGCTGGCTACGCTGCTGGCTGGGACACTATCAGCCATGTATATCTCACATCAAGATAATTTTATATCGGTGGGTCTGGTGAATTAATCATAGTAATCATTATCTAATGGTAAGGGTATATTCATCATTTTTTTATTTACAGGGTACTGCTACTAGCCTAAGCTACTTCATGTTTTTCTGTTGCAGATCCAGCTCCTATCCAGAGCGACTGCCCGCGACATTGTAGAAACGTCCGTCGTAAACCAGTCTGCGCCTCCGACGGCAAGAAGTACGGCTCGGAATGCATAGTCAAGCTGAAGAGCTGCAAGATTTCAAGGTTGTCCGGACTGACCGTTGTATCCTCCTGGCCCTGCAGCAGGTTCGGAGGTCCAGTGAATCAGGCGACAGGGGGAACCGAGGATGAAAGCAACGAGATGGACGGGGACGCCGGGAACCAGCAGGGTGGAGGGGCCAATCCCCAACAGACCGGCCAGGACACACCCTTTTTCGGGTTCAACAACCAGGGGGACACAGAGGGCAACGAACAAGACGGAGAGGCTGGGGATCAGCAAGACGGTGAAGCTGCCGAACAGGAAGCAGAAAATGCAGATGGGCAAGACGGTGAAGCTGCTGAACAGACGGGCCAGGACACCCCCTTCTTCGGGTTCAACAACCAGGGGGACACAGAGGGCAACGAACAAGACGGTGAAGCTGCCGAACAGGAAGCCGAAAATGCAGATGGGCAAGACGGTGAAGCTGCCGAACAGGAAGCCGAAAATGAAGATGGGCAAGACGGTGAAGCTGCCGAACAAGAAGCAGAAAATGAAGATGGGCAAGACGGTGAAGCTGCCGAACAGGAAGCAGAAAATGAAGATGGGCAAGACGGTGAAGCTGCCGAACAGGAAGCAGAAAATGAAGATGGGCAAGACGGTGAAGCTGCCGAACAAGAAGGAGAGGGTACCCAAGGTGGAAATCAAGGTGCGGGTGGCCCCCTCCTTCTGCAAGCTCCCGGAGCGCCGGCTGAGCAGTTCTTTCCGGACATCCCAGGTTCAAGCGTAGGCGGCGATGGCGGTGGCGGGAACGCACCATCAGCAGGCCCAGACGGCGACTCATCCGAGAGCGCTGAGGAGCCAGAGCCTTCCGAGTCCGAGTCTGAGCCCCCCGAGTCCTCCGAACCGCCAGAATCTGAGTCTGAAGCCGAGTCTTCCCCCGCGGTTCAGGAGGGGTCTGAAAGTGAAGGCGCAGAAAGCGAGGGGGAATCGGAAAGCGAGGGGGAATCGGAAAGCGAGGGGGAATCGGAGAGTGAGGGTTCGGAAAGTGAAAATGAGAGTAGTCCAGCGGCACAGGGGGCATCGGAAAGCGAGAATGAAAGCGAAAGCGAAAACGAAAGCGAAGGTAGTCCCGCTGCACAGGAGGCACCCGAGTCCGAGAGTGAGTCGGAGTCTGAGTCCGAAAACGAACCCGCTGACCAGCAGGAATCGTCATATTCCGAGTCTGAACCCGAATCTGAAGAAGAAGACGACTGAGTGTCGACTGACTCTTAGTACCAAGGCCTTAATAGGAACACAATTGGTTTCGATTGGATTAACACACGCCCTCATATTATGATATGGGTATGTCATAATTCCCTCTTCAGTACAATACTCAGAATAATGACATACTGTGACAACATTCAAATTTATGGTTCACCTTTATAACGGAAATTGAGTACAAACAGGACATCAGTCTGACTGATCAGAAATTGAAAAACGGATAGTTTCTTTAACCCATGCCCTCTAACGTGTGTTCTGAAGACATTGCTTCGTTTATTGTTGTAAACTGCTTATTTTAATCATGTGTATAAATGATGAATCTTGTTAGCCTCGGCGTATTACCTAACGAAAATTTGCAAAGAAAAAGGCCCAGTGCTTAAAAAAAAGGAATATGCCTTTTTGTGGGAGCTGAGCTCCAACATTAGCAACAAATTAAAGACACAATTTTAAGTGCTTTGTCTCTATTTTGATTATCAAATGCTGCCGTTAATTTTGTGAGTATAGTCTATGGGCATTTCGTCGCCCATTTTGCGTAGTGAAACATTTTTACTCATTTTAGATATAAATCTTAAATTGCGACTGCAGTGGGTAAGGGGTGAAGGCCCCATGCGTAGTAGAACAATGGTGTCTTGTGTGTTCGACAAAACCCTTCTCATAGTAATATTATTTTAGTATTTTTATGTGTATTTCATTATTTTATTTTTTTGAGAGATCTGCATTGCATTTATTGCCATGCCTTTTCAAATTTGCTCTGTTCAACTTTACACGCATGCACGCACCCATCTTTGTAAACACCGGCAAGCGTGGACCCTCTATTGTCTCTAATCCTCATTTCTTTGTTTGTACTCTTTTAGCAACAGCTCTCGTTGGTTTTGTACATCACGAATTTCAATCATGGACTATCGGTCAATCATGGACGTATTGTTTGTGCCCTAACCCTTTTGTACCAGGTCCACGACTGCCGGTGTAGCGTGAATATCCGACTCCATGAAATGTGGACTCATTGGTTGTATTGCGCGTGCGTAATATGGGAGAGTGACCTGTGACGTGCGAGGGATTAACCATTAATAGGGAAAAGGGGTCCGATTTTCATAAGAGTCGGATTTTCATATGACATCTGTGTTTATATTCTCAAGTTTGCTTTCTCGTGTTTCTTTTTCCACATGATAATAAAGCTCATTACACTTAGCTGTATGCTGTTTCTTGAAATAAGCTCAATTTCAATTTTTACTAGAGTTTCAATGCTCAGGAAATTGTTGTTGGTTGGCCTATATATCACTGTCATTTGAAGTCATAACATCGGCTTCGCTTTTCTTAGAGTATTGTCCGGCCCTTACAATTGATCTTTTCTTACTATGCTGCATCAAAAGTATGTTTATTGAACAATATATAATATATAATGAATCATTAGCTTTGGCCATACGCCAGCTGACAATATTGCTATCATAAATAAAATACTGAGATAAAAAAAATGAACTGAAAATGAACTGCTCTGTTTATAATTATTGGCACAACTTGGGTTGGTACCATCTTCCAATGAGGGCGCTGTTCAAATCCGACGACTATCGCAGAACAGTGTGAAATACCCCTTACCTCAGTACCCCCCGCTAGCAACGCTATGTCGCAGTGTTTCCGTCGGACATATAGGTAATTAGCTTATTAGTACTATAATTATTTGCTCTAATTTGTTTTGTCAGAGCAGGGGGGGGGGGGTCCCGGATCCACGCCAGACCTGGTAACGCAACTTAAAATCCAAAATAGAATGTTCAAAACCCAACCTGGTAAAGTTTCAGCTCCCTCGATTTTTTTCGAAACAGCCGAAAAACACACTTTTTGACGCGCAACACGCGTGACCTAAGTGAAAACAGACCATCCCGGCCCCCCCCCCCCCCTCCCATCCCCCCCCCCCCCCGGCCGTGATTTATTTTTTTCCATACGTTACTAGATATAGAATTATGCTGGAGGGCTATATGCAATAGAAAAATGTTTAAAACTACCACGCCGATCGAGTCACTGCTGTAGTGCATGCTTTTCGATTACAAATGCGACGGTGTGAGTTCGTTTTTTCTCTTAAAACGGTTTGTTAATCATTTGGAAATTTTTTCTTTTACCAATATGTGGTTCGGATGATTTTTTTCAATGGAAAATGAAGTCCGAGAACCTGGCTTGCAACTCAACGTACAAAATGTACTTCGAATTACGCCCATAACGAATGTGCACGGAAAAAAATATCGCCTCCGGCCCGCCCCTTCGATTTCATTGCTCCACCACGTGCGTGCACGCACGTTGTTCTTCATCTCTTACCGATTGAGGGCGCAATATTAGTGCGCCAAGAAAAACAATTTGTGCGGAATGAGTTCGAGGTTGCAAAACAGCAATGGTAAAGTAATTGCTATTTTTTACCCTTGATCTCAGGGTTTATAATTAAGTTTCCATGCCGTAAATCCATGAAATCGCGCGCGCCGCCATCGTGACCCTCGTGTGCTGGTCTTGCAACTTGTGGCGTGTGCTAAGCCAGCTGAGAGTGAGAGTGAGAGAATTCTAAACTTGTCCAAGGCAACATAGCTAAGGTTGAAAATATGCAGGGAAGTGGTGAAGCTTACCACAGGCCGGACCGGCAGACGGTGCAGGAGTTGAGAGACATCGCAAATAAGCTGCGTATTCATAGTATTCAGTCAACCAGCGCAGCGAATTCAGGGTGAGCTAACGACACGTTACTCAGTCACTTGTCATGGTCTACTCCTAGAACTATGAGGCTCCGCGTGAGCGGAGCCTCATAGATCAAGAAGCCCGCAAAATTGCCTGCAGCACAAAACACTAATAACGTACAAAAACGTCCATCAAAATGCAGCCATTTCACACAGAACCGCTGCACAGTTTGCCCCTATACTCCGTACTTTATCTCTTGACATACTCACGTATCTTGTGCGGAACTAACATAGGTGGATTCTGTCGGCTTTTAGGCCAAAATGATGAAAAATATGCCCTTTCCGCATTGAGCCAACCTGACACTTGAAACGTGCACGCATTATGATCGAGCGATGATTTTCGGTTCGCTCGGAGCGCGCCGCGGGGGGTACGGTACATGCACTTGTACGCATGCACATCATTTCGCTTGTACCGTACCCCCCGCGGCGCACTCCGAGCGAACCGAAAATCATCGCTCGATCATATGCGTGCACGTTTCAAGTGTCAGGTTGGCTCAGTGCGGAAAGGGCATATTTTTCATCATTTTGGCCTAAAAACCGACAGAATCCACCTATGTTAGTTCCGCACAAGATACGTGAGTATGTCAAGAGATAAAGTACGGAGTATAGGGGCAAACTGTGCAGCGGTTCTGTGTGAAATGGCTGCATTTTGATGGACGTTTTTGTACTGTATTAGTGTTTTGTGCTGCAGGCAATTTTGCGGGCTTCTTGATCTATGACGCGGAGCCTCATAGTTCTAGGAGTAGTCATGGTCATGGTTGTTGCTAGCCCCATAAATGTGGCCTATTTACTGGACTGCCTCCGTAAACATAGGCCCCACATCCACATCATGTACAAAAATCGTGTAGACTTTGCCAAATTTTGATTTTCACATTTAGGCTTAGTTTGTAGGGTTTTTTTTTGCTTTAGAAGCATACTCGCCCTCTTTAAAGGCTAGTCAGAAAGTGCTGCCTTTTTCAGATGTCTAATTTTTGTGAAATTTCATGTTGAAATTTTGATACGCAAACGTGTAAAAATGAATCTGGAAATTTCACGAAAAATATACATCTGAAAAAGGCAGCACTTTCTGATTTAGTCCGAGTAACTTGGACCCAACTTATCGCCTTTTTTAACATTTGGACATGGTCTGGCGAACTTGGACCCAACTTATCGCCTTTTTTAACATTTGGACATGGTCTGGCGATAGCCAGACCATGTCCAAATGTTAAAAAAGGCGATAAGTTGGGTCCAAGTTACTCGGACTATTTCTGATTAGCCTATAAAGAGGGTGAGTATGCTTCTAAAGCAAAAAAACCCTACAAACTAAGCCTAAATGTGAAAATCAAAATTTGGCAAAGTCGACACGATTTTTGTACATGTGGATGTGTGGCCTATGTTTACGGAGGCAGTCCAGTAAATAGGCCACATTTATGGGGCTAGGTTGTTGCAGAACATCCAAGTTGCCGTCATGGTTGTAGGACCTTTTTGTGTAGGCTTTACATTGCATTGCAGTTTAATTCTTTGTTTCATTGTAAGCACACTCAAATGCACATGTAGTTTACCTTCAGTTCAATAGTACCATTTGTGTCGGACAAGTTTGGTTACCATTGTCATTACGGAATAAGGCACATTTATTGTTCATGTAGGCCTTTGCCTACCTGTTTTCGAGGTATCAAGTTCTCAAGTCAAGGTTTGCCCTAGGCTACTCCTGCTCCTAGAACTATGATGCTCCGCGTAAGTGGAGCCTCATAGACACAGAACCCCGCAAAATTGTTTGCAGCATGAAAAACCAACTAAGCCTACAAAAACGTCCATCAAAACACAGACATTTCCCACAGAACCGCTGCACAGTTTTCCCCTATAAATCTCCGTACAATACCTCATGACATACTCACGTATAACTTTAAGTTGCACCTAAGGCCGAAAAAAAAATAGTTCTGCTTCCGATTACATGCCTTTCAAAAATAGGGTCGGTCGGTCGGAATTTAATTTTTTTTCCAATTTTTTGTATGCAGATTGAATGGGGTATTCAATTAATATATGCGACGTTTTAGCCTGAACTATTTCCATTGCACTACGAAAGCTATACACAAAATGGCCACAAAAAGTGAATACAACCTACCTTGATATTGTCAACGTATTTACGTTCGATAATTCTTAAAAAATAATGGAAAATTCAGGCCGTTCGCATCATATGCACAACGCTAGTCAAGACGGGAAGCTGGCCAAAACTCCAAAGTGTGTGATGCACGTGTGGCCCGTGGCCGACAGACCTCGTTCTACGGTTGGAAAATTTCGGGAAATACGCTGCATGTATCACTCCAAATACGAGTAGTGCGATCTCAAAATAACTCTTGAGCACGGAAAATACATATATACACAGACAAGATAGATCAATTCTGTGAATTAACTTGCAAAAATGTTCTTTCTCCATCGGTGTTTTCTCCATCGGTGAATCCGACCAGTTGACACTGACAGTGCACGTGCCTAATGCATAGCCATGCTAGCGCTATTAAACGATGGCATAGCCATGACAGACTGGTTACCGCATTTTCATCATGTCTTCTAAATTGGCCCCTGTGCGGCGAGGCGGGGACCAGTCGTCACTGAATTGAGCAAGGTTTACGCACGTGATTATAGTCACCGTGACATCGAATTGAGAGGTATGATGACAGATCGCGAAGCGAATTTGGTTTCTTTTGAAAAAAAATAGCGACTGTAAGCTGGTAAGTAAGAAAACAAATAAATACAAGCATTTTTGACGCAAATGGGTTGTTGAGAGGTATTTTGTGAAGACAGAAAAGACAACAAGCTTTTATTTTTATTTATTCAATCATTATCTTTCTTTTTTTTTGGAATTGCGATAAATTTTTTAGGGTCGCAGCCTAAAAATAGGATCGGTCGGGTAACCAGAAGCAGAAGTGTTATTTTTTTTGGCCTAACAAACATCGCTGGATTCGGTCGGGTTTTAGGGCAAAATGATGAAAAATATGCCCTTTCCGCACTGAGCCAACCTGACACTTGAAACGTGCACGCAGAGATACCGGTATGATCGATCAATGATTTTCTGTTCGCTCAGAGCGCGCCGCGGGGGTATGGTACAAGCGAAATGATAGTATGTGCATGCGTACAAGTGCAAGTACCGGTACCAGACGGAGTTTAGGGGCAAAATGTGCGACAGTTTTTGAGCACTGTGGCAGAGAATATGTTCGAATATATGTGTATCTGATTGGTTCCCTAGGAAAGCGCTGATGCTCGATCACGTACCGCGTGACGTGTATGTTTACAACCGTCGGGCGAGCAAGCCATCGAACCTTTTCTCTATTGCTGATTGGTTGCGTAGGAAAGCATACGGAGAAATAAAGAAAATTTAAACTGCTGAAACGAAGTGGCTAAGACGTTAGTGCGATTTGGCTCGCTGGCCTAATTGTTCGCACTATTCACCGTCCACTATCATCAATCACTAGCGTCTTGGGCCAAGACTAGGTTTTCCCAGCTCTACCCTCAAGCTCCACTCCCCCCCCCCTCCCCCCAGTTTTAGGGCCATTTCCGACAGTTTCCAGTAATGTACAGTAAAATACTGACTGCGTGTCTCTTTTTTCCTTGTTCTTCGACCTTACATTGTGTATTTTCCTCTTCTTTCTGTATTGATCAATTTTCTTGGTGGCTCAATTAAGAGGGGGGATGCCCCCCCCATGCACCCCTGTAGTGCTGCCACTGACCACTTAGGACAAGTGGCCAGTCTAATCTGTGGAACTGCAATACAGGAAGAAAGCAGCCCTGGATTACCATTTCATTGATTTACATGTAATATGCATAGCTTAGAAAAGCAATGCATGAGTGGTCGCAAACCAGCACAATCAGGAAATACCTGGAGAATGCCGAAAGCACCATACACACACACAACCGGCCCATTTACACAGATCCTGGCCATTCAACCACTCCCCACCACGCCAGTAGCCTCTCTCTCTCTGTCTCGCATTAGGCTTTTTTTATGCACAAAGGTGCCTTGACTTTTTTCTGAAAGTGGGTTTTTGTGCACATGCTAACATGGCCACCATCGACAAAGCCAAGTTGCAGGAGTTGAGTGATATTGCCAACAAGTTGAGAATCGACAGCATAAATGCAACTAATGCTGCCAGCTCTGGGTGAGAATTGTTATGTAATTTTGTATTCTGGACAGAAAAATGCTTGGGGGCGTGGCATGTCCATTGCATATTGTACATTTACTTTACATTTTCCAATTTAATAATAAGGGGTGTAACATCTCTTTTCATTTTGAACTTTAATTTTGTGCTTCCCATAATCCCAATTGACAGTTCTTGTAAGTGACCTGAAGTTTACCTAATAAAAATTGCTTTTATAAACTTAATTGTTGTATTTCTGATGAGGCAATAAAGGAAATACCGGCATTTTTATGTACATGTGTACACATGTATGCGTGCAAAGAAGATATTGGTTTAATTTTGTACATGGATGCAGGCTGTGAGCAGAAACTGTTGGGTATTTTGTTTTAAAGTTTAAATGCGGTCAGGTTTATTGTGTAATACTCTGTTGGACATGTACAGTTACATGTGTACATTTTGAGGTACAAGCACATTACAGCCATGTGGCCAAACCAGACTTTATACATGCAACTGGTTCGGGACAATCTTCACAGTCAAAGAAGAAAATGATGGGCGAACTGTTATCTGTATTTGTTATTCAATTAATGAGGAATGTTTATTGTTAGAAAAAATAAATGTACTTTTTTCTGTTTCAGGGGTGGATACAAGGGGTGGTTGGGGTGGCTCCATCCCCCCCCCCCCCCCCCCCCCCCCTCCGACTGACCAACATGCATGGGGAAAAATCCCACATTTTTTTAAGTTCCATGAATAGGGACCACAAACAATTTTTTTTCCAAACTGTTTTAAAGGCCACTTTTTGCAGGAAATAGGTACATATATACCGGTAGCATAATACTTGGTGGTACCAGGAACATGTGCATGTGTACATATTTATATTATACTACATGTAGGAGGCAACAAGTGACCAGGAAATAGGAAGTCGAAATTCACCTCAGTTTGTGTGCGCATACAAGTATGCATGTGAAAGGCCAACAGCTACATGTAGAGCACCTTGGCCAATATTAGTGTTGAGTTGTATGTCTCTGAGCAATATGGAAATGTGTTCCTTTTGGGGGGGGGGGATTAAAGAGAAAAGGGGAGGGGCATATTCATACCAAATTTTTTATTCTGCTACATGTAGTGGTTCCCACTCCAGGTTATTTTGGATTAAAATTTGATTAACATACTAAAGAAGCTGGATCTTTATCTTTTGTGAAAGCAAATTGTTTTTTTGTCCGTACATGTAGGAAACATTGTACATACATTTACGTGTAGGCATAAAGTGAAGAACCAGCCGGCTTTGAATAGAAACTTGCTGTATTGAACTATTTTGTGCACAATAGCATACATGTAGATCTGCAGGTTTTGTGGACAAAACGTGGCTTATTTTCATATTGAAGTTGTCAGCTTAGCTGCATTGAGTGCAGATGTATCGTATGTAGGCTGTAAATTTCCAAATATGTATCTTGGATGAATTATTCATATAACGTGTACATCTTGGTGCAAATTTTGGACCATCCAAGTTGTGACAATGGACTTGACGTGACTCTGGTTGTGAGCAGTGTACACCTAGGGTGTAGTTTCTAGTTCTACATGTTGAGCTGTACATGTACATGTACATGTATGTTGAACTTTCAAGTGTTTGAAAAACAACAAATTACCCCAGAAGTTTCCTGTTCCTGTTCCATAGCAGGGATGGTTGGTACATTCTCATACCCAGAAGGAAATTGCAGGTGTAAGAAGTGGCACAATCTTTTGAAATAACATGGCTGGGTCAAAAAAAAATTGTCCAAATAGCCTATTGTTTTTGTTTTCTAATCCTTGTTATTATCTTTGGTTCATACACATAGCGGTAGTTCATAGGAAATTGTGGTTGTACTTTAATTATTTAATGATTTATTTGTTTGTTTCCATTTTTTCGTTTTCTAATCTGCAGGCATCCGACATCATGTTGCAGTGCTGCAGAAATCATGTCGGTTCTGTTCTTCCACGTCATGAAATACAGGCTGGACAAGCCAAGAGACCCTGCCAGCGACCGCTTTATCATGTCAAAGGTACACAGACATTTGAGCTCTTAACCAGTCCGCGTCGGAGGACGTGATAACACGCTGATTCCTCGTGTCTTACAAAGTTCGTGGAGGCGGACCATGTGTTGATCTTGCATTGGCCGTTGTGCACGGCTAATGTTCTACAATTTATGCTCTAGTGCACACCTCTGAGTATTGAAACATATGATGTTTCGGCAAGAAATATCATACAAATACTGTTGAAATGACTCTTGCAATCAGTATGGTGTTTGGCTGTACATGCATGTACCATTGTACCAGAAGTTGGCTGGAAAATTTGACTTTTGCGAAAATCAAAATTTTCAGCAAAAATAATCCTGGTACGAAGTGGTTAGGCAGTGTACATGTAGCCATTGGCCTCTATACACTGAAAACACAAGTCTGCAAAAAATTTGTACAGCCCTCGATAGCACCTACATGTAATGTTGCATGTCCTATATACATGATAACTTCATTTATTTTTTCCCTGTACCCACCTTACCTCAGTAATAATTGAAAAATTTTAAAATTAATGAAACTTTTGCGACTTCAAAATACCATATACCGGTAGTTGAGTTTACAAACCTATGAGAGAAATGGTAAAAATGTCGAGAGAGAAGTCATTTTCGAATGAAAATTTCGTGAATGGAAGCTTTTGTTGTTTAATGTACAGTGCATACATTGTACGTGTAACATGTCCAGACAGTGAGAAAGCATCATCACACATTAAACTTTTTTTTTTAACATTCCAAAAACTAATTCACTTCCTTGTGGCAGGCAGCATTCTGAGATCCGTACATGTACCGGTATGAATGTACCCCCCTGTACGTACATGTGTGTATACCCTTATGCAGGTACGCGTTAAACCTTTTTAAAGGGAATATACAACATTTGCAAACATCGAAAAATAAAACTACCAAGTTTTTACGAAATACCTTAATAGGATGTTGGTAAATGACAGTCTAAAGCATCCTGTAAAATTATGGCACCTGGTGTGAAGTCATTTTCAAGAAAATGTTTTTTTTTGTATACATTTCCAACGGTGGGCTGACCACTGTTGGAAAAACCTAACTATTTTTCAACTACTGCTCCAACTTTATACTTTTTTCAGTCCAAATTTTGTTTGCTATTGGTTACATGTTCATGAACGGGTGCAGGCCAGCTAGACTGGTTCCCTTACCTTATTTTCCGGCATCTATGAATTGATCCAGTTTATCTTTAGTGGAGTCAAGGAACCAGACTACTGGATCATTTTTGTTTTTCTTGGTTTTTGCAGCATTATCGAACACAAAACTTCAAACATGTCAGTGTAACAATATTTTGTTCTATTATACTAACCCCTCAACTAGTTCATTTCCGAGAATTACAGCGAAAGCCAATGATGTACATTCCCTTTAAACCTTTTTAAGTGTACAGTACACTACAGTGAGAAATGTCAGTTTCCAAAGCAAATATACGTGAGTCAATATGAAAATCATCACTATCAAAACGTTTGACCTTTAGTGGGTGGCAGTACTTGAAGGCATGGATGCATGCATGTATCCTTGGAATTGTAAGGTGGTATCAGTGATGAGTTGGCAAATTTCTGTACAAATCTGCATTGAAATCCTTGCCAAGGACAGGGAAGTGGATTCTGTGCAGTTGTATTGTACCGGAAGGTTCATGTACATGTGCACTGTACTACCCTTTTTGGGGCCTGCATATACTTTATGCAAAGTTTAAATTTTAAAAAAGTACAAGGGTGTTTCAGTGTGTGAGCCTAGCAGGTAGGCCCTACATTGCACACATTTCAGTACATTGTATTTGCACTAGATGATCGTACACACGTGCACATGTTCACGTTACAACATGTACAATGTACAATCTTACCATGAGCTGTACATGTAGCTTTTATTTTTGCAGTAAATCCTAAGTGTATTTTGCATGGTCCATTGCTGTGACCACCGATGATTATTACTGATGAAAGAGACACAGAATTCCTTCTTGACACTGTTGAATTCTTTGGAGGTTATGACACATGCATCTCTTTGAATATTTTTTTAATTTATTGCTATACAATTTTCAATACTTTAGAACTTTGCATAAATTTGTACTATCAGGCACACCCCAATAAGCTTCACGACCTTTTCATTATCTTGCCTCAATAAACATGTTAATGTACCGGGTACATGTACGTAAATTAACCTTTTATATCCATAATTGAAACACAGATCCTGGGAATTCTACCAGAACAATTTTCGAACAATCAGAAACAGATTTCTCATGGTGAGATAGAGATGGAGGGGTTGTGTCAATTTTTTTTTACCATCGCTGTACATAATGTACACTGTACACGTGTACATATGTAAATTCCATGACTAGGCATTTCACGTTAATAGACGCCAGTACCTATTTTTGGTATTGCCTTAAACTGTGCAGTGAAGCATAGCAGATTACCCTCACAAAGCACTCTGCTGAATGGCAAGATGTTCATGAAGGCTAACACCTTAAAACTGCCACTTGTGTTTTGTAACATACGTAACGTATGACAAATGTACAATTTAGCACCGTTAAATACACTTGTATGCTGACAATTCAAAATGTCTTCCGTTTAGAAAAACAAAAGCCAATGATTAAAATCAATCAATTTAAACCACTTGAGTTTTTGTTAAAAATCATTCATACAAATAAAATAACCATGTATACCGGTACATGTAAGTTTGAAAAATCACATGATAAATATGAAAATTAAATAATCATGTAAATGAGTTACAAAAATCACATATAACAACTTGTATTAGAATTTTAGCCCCAATGTCAATGATGTTATCTTGTGGATCGTTTCATCCAGTAGTCCTATATTTGTTTTCCGGGGTTTTTTGGCGCTGGTGCATGCACGTGTTACACATGGCAGTCCATGCTTGATGTGTACTGCATGATAAGGACTGTTGGCCAGTTTCCCTACATGTGTACCTGACTAACGTTGTCCATAGTGGTGTGCACAACTTTAAATGCTGCAAATTTTTAACAATTTTCTACCTTAAATATTATTTCCTTTAATTAATGCAAGTTTTTATCATTTTGGGGGCCATGTTTTGATAGCTTTCATGGTGCGAACGAAAACAATTGGTGTTATCTACATGTACAACATTTGCAAACATCAAAAAACAAAACTACCAAATTATTATGAAATACCTTGACTGTTAGTGAATGACAGTCTAAAGCATCCTGTAAAATCATGGCACCTGGTGTGCTGTCATTTTCAAGAACTTCAAACAAATGTAATACATGTATTTGCTATAAGATGCTAACCTCGAAATTCATCCATTTCTGAAAATTACAGCAAAAACAAATGTTGTACAGTGTACATTGTATATACTTCCTTTTAATACTCCATTAAATCAGCACAAAAAATTGCAATAGATTAAAAATTCCTGACCTACCCACCCTTTTTTTGAAAGAAATGTATCAAAGTAGGATCGTTTATTTTCATGGCTTTACTGGAGTGGGACATGATAGTGGGAGAGAGGAGTGGCGATACATTTGGACTTCTGAGTTTTTCATTACATGTTGGCCATCTTTGGTTGATGGTTTTGGTTTCGTTCAATCTTTTTCCGTACTTTTGAACATTTTACAATGTAAGAGTTGACAAGCAGAATCGCTGATTACCAATGTTTTCGTCATGATGACCCCCTGTGAGCACTGAGTCTGATCACCCATTTTCTCTCTCATTCTATATGATTCAGGGTCATGCTGCTCCCATTCTCTACGCTGCCTGGGCAGAGGCAGGTCTCTTCCCTGTGGATGACCTCCTGACCCTGCGCAAGAACACGTCCATCCTGGAGGGCCATCCCACACCAGTAAGTTATTTAAACAGTCACAGACAGTCAAAGTTCACTTCCACTTCTCCTGTTATGCTTTCGACAAAGGATAGTTACCAGCAGTCAGATCATGTGTCAAGCAAGCACTGCAACAAGTCAAACTGGGTCAACAGACAAAGCAGGCAACTTGTGGTCACAGCTGTTTTATCACTCGACCGGAGTCATAGCATAGCTGTATCAAGTTACTTTAAACAGTCCCAGCCAGTCAATCCTGCTTTATGTAGGCTGGAAATTCTTAAGTGTTGAAAACCGTCGCATGTTTGATTTCGACTGAAAGGACTACTTGGTAAAGAATGTATGTTTGCATAGGAGGTTTATAGTACATGTACAATGTAATTCGGGCCACTTCTATGGTATGCGTCGATGCGACACGTGGTGTGTCAAAAAAACTCCTGTAATGCATATGGAGATCATGTGTCAAGTACTCGGTTGTAGCTGTACGCATCTATAGGAAACTGTCTCAGGTGTTTATGAATGAGGCTGTAAGAAAGTTGCAAGCATACTTAACGAAGTGCATTCAAGTTTATTCATGGATGACCGGTTTGTATCTTCTGCAGAGACAGAACTTTATTGATGTGGGCACTGGCTCCCTTGGTCAGGGCCTCAGCATTTCATGCGGCATGGCCTACAATGCCAAGTACTGGGAGAAGACTGAGTGAGTATTGCATTGAGTGAACACCTCTCCTTTCCTCTCCCCCATTTCCTGCACTCTGTAGTAATGTTGTGCAAAGCGGAACCGAAACTGACTTCGGGTCGGGTCAGGTCTTTTTTTCCCCAAAAAATTTGGTCAGGTCGGTTTCGGTTTTACGTTTTTGATTTTCGGGTCGGGTCAGGTCGGGTCGGGTCAGTTCAGTTGAACCATATTGTCCAAAAAACCCAAAACCAAGTTAAAAAAACGAAACAATATTATTGCAGAGTTACTGTGCCCGGTAAGACCAACGTCAACCAACTGCGCGAATGTGCAATGTGGTGGACGGTCTATCACGCCCAGTCTATAATGTGTAGGCCCACCAGTAGGTAACGTTAAATGAGTATTCACCGACGATTTTCGTGCAATGCAGGTAAGTTCAGACACAAAAAGTTGACATACTGTAGTTGCCCAAGCCAGATATTCAGGTTTTTTTCCAGGTCGTTTCAGGTTGGTTCGAGTCATGTTTTTCCTTGAATATTTGTCAGATCAGGTCGGATCGGATTAGGGGAGTTCAGATCGGTTTGGGTGTACCGGTATATCTTTAATGTTGCGGGCCGTTTTGTCCTCGTCAGTCCTGCACAACACTGTAGCTCAAAGTGGATTGGCACCGCAAAATATCCTCGTGTGAGTTCAGATTTTTGGGGTGTCTTTTACTATTTGTCATCAGGCTTGAGTAGAACAGAACTAAGTGTGTTTTTAGAATATGGAATTTGGCATTCTTCACCTCTGATATCATGGATAATGCTGTGTCTTGAACACTTTTTTGGCAGCTGGAATTACAAAAGTATCACTGTTGCTGCTGTATGTGATTCATAGCATCATGAAGTGCAGGGGTGCTATCCAGTGCTAAAATTTAATTGCATGATGGCGCGCATATATATTGTATGCAAAATTTCATGCAAAGAGAAACTCAGTAGCCCATGATGTATGGCAGCATAGAATGAAGTGACAATTTGAGTTTAGGCAGTGTCAACATTTAAACAAGAATTCAAAATGAATGAAGTCTTCTAACTTCCTTTCATATTCACCATTGAACGAAATTCGCCTGAGTTGAGGGATGTGTCCAACTTTAACAATGTATGTGAATTAACAGCACCTGCAATGCTGCCCCAAAATTTGCTTCGGCATTACAAGCACATTGTAGCTCTTGCATTCAAATTGGCATTTATACTGGTACTCTTACACCAATCCAAATGCTGCAACCAGCCGATTTAAAGAAAACGTCCAAAAAGTGCATTGTTGGCTATGGCTATGGCAATGGCTTTTACACCATGGCACACCAATGGCAAAAACAGAAGCGGTAGCCACAAAACACTCAATTCAGACATTCTACAATATGTACCTCTAATCCAAGGGTAAAGCAAACCAATTCTATCTTTGTCTCTTCACAGCTACCGCACGTACTGCCTGATTGGTGATGGGGAGAGCTCCGAGGGAAGCGTCTGGGAGGCCTGTGCCTTTGGCAGCTACTACAAGCTGGACAACCTGGTGGCCATCTTTGACGTGAACCGACTTGGCCAGAGCCAGGAGGCTCCCCTGCAGCATGAGACTGACATCTACAGGCGCCGGCTGGAAGGATTTGGGTAACGTTAACACCTTCTGTACAGATTTGAATTCACCAATCAGGTCTCCGCAGCCGTACCACAGAGTTCCAACTCTGTGACCTGCCTTCCAACTCTGTGACCTGTGTTTTGATCCCCATTAACCCTAACCCACCTCACTCCTCCAAAATCCTCCTGGCGGTTTTGGAGGATTCTAGAGGATTGAGGATGAATGGTGATTGAATCAAATGAGGATTCTGGAGGATTGAGGATGAATGGTGATTGAAGCACATGAGGATTTTGGAGGATTGAGGATGAATGGTGAATGAAGCACAAGAGGATTTTGGAGGATTGAGGATGAATGCATTTTGAGGCAGGACTGTCTGATGATTTTGAAGGATTTGGCGTTGGTTTATCCTTCATTTAAACACGAGTGCAAAATTTTGGGATGAGGAGGATTTTGGAGGATTGAGGATGAATGCATTTTGAGGCAGGACTGTCTGACAATTTTGAAAAATTTAGGCGGAGTTGCAAAATTTTGGAGGATTTTGGAGGATTGAGGATGGTTGTAAGCAACAAGGGCCTAGGGGGTTAGGGTTAAGGCCAATACATGGATCAAGTTTTTTTTTTTCAGTCTTTATTAGGCCACACATGTACTTCATTCTGTGGGCTTTCCATTAAATGACTTTCAGGGGTTTCCCTCCCACTTCTAAAATCTGAACATTTTTCTTTGCATTTTTGTAGTCGTCACGGAACAGTACATTGGGAAATTTGTGGTATCCTTTGTTTCATTACCATGAAGACTATTTGCTGGTTTTTTTCCGAGATTGAGTAACTCTCCTTTTTTTAGCATTCAGATTTTTGGTACACTGTGGCTCTTCCGATCCCAGATACTGAGGCACTTCTTTGTTATCGTTCAGCTGTGTTACGTGTGACTGGACGCGGACTTGTGATTTACTTGTGACCGGACTTGCAATTTACATGACTAAAACAATGACAAACTCCTGTTGACATGTTCTTAATCACTTTTTAATTTCATTGCAGTTGGCATGTTTGCGTGCTGGAGGATGGCCACAGTGTGGAGGAGCTGTGCAAGGCATTCTTTGAGGCTAGTCAAGTGAAGGACAAGCCCACTGCCATCGTGGCCAAGACTCTGAAGGGAAAGGGCATTCCAGGTTAGTAAAAGTCAGGTTTAGCGATTTGAGGTCGAGTAAATTTCTTTTCTAAGATTTAAGGCCAAGAGATGGTCTTTCACATTATTAAAATAATGGTTTGGCATTTATACACATTAATTGCATATTCAAAGGACCTCATGCTCTATGTAAAGTTATCATTGCAAAAATCAATCTTTCTCAACTTTTTTAAAAAACCTGGATAATTGTGTTTTGGGAAGGTTATGGTTAGAACACAATAACAAAATGCTTTCATTATTAACCCTACATGTAAATCCCTAGGCATTTTTTTGCCAGGAAGCAACTTAAATCCTGCAAAATCCTCCAGCAGTCACTGTCAATATGTTGAGGCAGAGCCAATGACATCCCGGAGCAGTGCGGAGGATTTCAAGTATAATCTAGGCCTATATTTATGCACGGCTGAGCATAAATAACACACAAGGTCCAGCCTAAGACCTTGACACAGTGCATCCTCCAAAATCAGCCACATATTTTTTACCATATACATGTAGCCTGAATCCTGCAAAGTCCTCCATTTTGCAAAGAGGATTTTGGAGGATTTGGGAAGGTTAGGGCAGTTACATGTAGATATGTATACTCTTAACTGATCGACTGAGTTCGTCCTCAGGTGTTGAGAATGAGCTGAACTGGCACGGCAAGCCGCTGGGAGACAAAGCCGCAGCTGCTATCAAGGCCATCAGCGGCCTCATCAACAACAAGGGGCCTAACGCCCTCAAGGCTTCCTCCCCATCCCAAGAACTCCCAGTCCACGACATCTCCAACATCAAGCTATCCTCTCCTCCCGACTACACCCTGGGACAGAAGGTGGGTAATAGAGAATGCAGAAATCATTTGACAATTTCAAGTTTACAAAGTTCCGACTCTTTGTAGAAATACCCCCTCAACATCGACAAGAGTACAGAAGTCTAACGCCGTTACTTTTATACGCTGGGCGCTCATGCGAGGCCCTACCACTTTGCTCCCATTCAGAGTAAAAGCAGTCGTGTGTGTGATTTACTTCATGAAGACTGCAATAGAGTTTATAAAGTGTCATGTACTGTTGATGTACGGGGTCCATACTTTGCAAGTGGCTGTTGTATAGCACTCCTGTAATTTTAATTTTAAGGTAACATACAACATTTGCAAACAAAAACAAAACTACAAAATTATTATGAAATACGTTACTTGACTGTAAAGTAAATAATATTCTCAAGCATCTTGTGAAATCATGGCACCTGGTGTGCTGTAATTTAAAAAAAAAAAATGCTATTTTTGTATCAATTTCCAACGATGGTCAGCCGACCAGCTTTGGAAAAAACTGACTTTTTCCAAATACTGCGCCCAATTGAACAAATTTAGTTGGTCCACATTTTGTTTGCAATCGGTTACACATCTGTGAACGGGTGCAAGCCAGCTAGTCTGGTTCCATGATCTGACTATTCCCTGACCTGACAATTCCCTGATGTCTAAAAACTGCTGTTTTGTTTGAAGCAGGGCTAGGGAACCAGACTACATGAACAGCATTTTTTAGTAGGTTTTTCCAGTATCTATGAACACAAAACTTTAAACAGATCAGTGTGACAATATTTGCTATAAAATACAAATACTAAACCCCAAATCTATCCAATACAGCAAAAGCAAATGTTGTATATTACCTTTAAGTTACATGATTAATATGTTACATGTACATGAATATTAAGTTACATGAGTATCTTTTCTTGAAGGTTGCTACCCGTGTGGCTTACGGAACTGGCCTGAAGAAGATCGGCGAGAATAACAAGTACGTGGTGGCCATGGACGGCGACACCAAGAACTCCACCTATGCTGATACCTTCCGCAAAGCTTTCCCCGACCGTTTCATTGAGTGCTTCATCGCCGAGCAGAACCTTGTGGGCGTGGCCATTGGCACCACCACCCGCAACCGCAATGTGGCCTTCGTCAGTACCTTTGCTTGCTTCCTGAGCCGGGCCTACGACCAGATCAGGATGGGCGCTATCTCGGAGACCAACACCAACTTCTGCGGCTCCCATGCTGGCATCTCTATTGGTGAGTTTGGATTGATTCCAACCTAGGCCGTCATCTCATGTATAAATACCCGGGATTAGTTTGGACAAGTTTATCCTTGATAGGCCCATTGCAGGATTCTGAACAACTTTCCGAAATCAAGTTATAAGGTTGTTAACAATGGTGTCGGCTTCAGTGCAGGAAGATTCTGGTGAAGATGTTCAGAATTCCGCAAGTTATACCTATATAATGAGGTGACTCTGAACTCACCCTGACTCTTCCAAAATTGAACACCCGGGGTGCGTTCAATAGCGATACGTATGCCGGTAAGGGATACACCAGCATACCTTCACTGGTGAATGTTAGGGAAGCGCGATACGGACGGCATACCAAGCATCCCTACCATGGATGTGGTGTGCATGGGATGGGTAGGTAGCTGTCGCCATGTTTGTGTACGTTTATTTCATATGGTACGCAGTCGTTCAGTAGTTAGTGACAGGCTGGAAGGGTCCATTGCAACTGAAGATACATGTATACCCATAGACTGACCGTTACCCTTCCCCAGGTGAGGACGGTGCATCCCAGATGGCCCTGGAGGACATCGCTATGTTCCGTGCCATCCCAGGCTCTACGGTCTTCTACCCTAGCGACGCCGTGTCCTGCGAGCGAGCCGTTGAACTGGCAGCCAACACCAAGGGCATCTGCTTCATCCGGTCCAGCCGCCCAGCCACCCCGGTCTTCTACAGTGGCACTGAACCTTTTGAAGTCGGCAAGGCCAAGGTAAGAAACGAAACAAAGTCTTGTGTGAATTGTAATCAGTGCTTTGTTTGATAATGGAGTGCATGTACATTACAATGATTGATGTAAGATAATCATGGTTAAAATAAAACTGGTGAATTCAAGATTCGGAAATTTTGTTGAACTATCCGCTCCGTGCACAAGTACGCCTTCAACGGCCAGAAATGGAGAGTTTGGGGAGACCTAGACTGGTTTCCGGTTAATCCACTGCGTAATTCCAATGATCCAAGTTATTGGGGGCGGAGATTAGTCTAGGAGAAAATTGCAAGTTTGATTCGAACGCATTCGGAGCAGACGACGCCAGACGCCCATGCGAAGATGCTGTGGCTGATAGCTATGGCATATTCAGGAAGTCGTGTGTACCTCGCGCGCGAACCAGCACGCTCGGTGTCCCATCCAAAGAGCTCTCAAAAGTGGCAAAAAGGCGCCCTCTTTCTTGGTGCATGGAGCCCATAGGGTTAGACTTTTAGATGTTTTCATCATAGTGTAGCATTTCTCAATCATTATCTCCATTCTAGGTTTGCCTGTTCTTGTCTTAAACCCTAACCCTGCTAATTGCAACAGAAAGCGAAGAAGGTAAAAAAAAGTTGTTGCATTTAGCAGCCAACTCAATTCCCTGTGCTTTGTTGCATCTTGTTGCATTTAGCAGGGTAACTGCTCATAGACCCAAACAATACAAACAGAATGTACTGTTGCATTTGGTTGCAGTTAGCAGGGTAACTGCTTGGTGCCAATGCTGGGGAATATTGGGTTCACTGCGCAATTCAACTGAATCCGCTGTTGCAGTTTGTTGAATTTAGCAGGGTTCACATTTCAGTTGTGTTGGATATTGTTGCATTTAGCAAGCTATCTGAGGAATACGTGATGGGTTAGGGGTGAAGAGTTTTCACATAAACACCTCCCAGGTTTATTTTACAATGTGAGCAATTTGAGGAGCATGTACATGTGTCTTTCAAGTCACTTTACAGTCAACTAGTATATGCTATTTCGCAAGATTTTGTGAGAAACGTTTTCAAAACAATACCTTCACCTCATTGTGGTAAGGGACATACAGTAAAGCATCTTTTGTAATCTTAACAGGTGGTGCGTCAGAGTGCCGACGACAAAGTGACCGTTATCGGTGCCGGCATCACGTTCGATGAGGCCATGAAGGCCTACGATGACCTAGCCAAGGAGGGCATCAACGTCCGGGTGGTCGACCCCTTCACCATCAAGCCCCTGGACAAGGACACCATCCTGGCTGCGGCTAAGGCTACCGGTGGCAAGGTGGTGACTGTGGAGGATCACTATGCACACGGTATGTGAGAAGTGGGGACGCCAGTCCTTGACCTCATTGAAGGATTTGATGGTTTTTCAGTTTTTCAGTGTTGATTTGTCAAGAAGGGTGTTTAGAATTAGAGATTTGTGTGGGTTTTGTTGGCGCCTAGACGGAGAGTGTCTGTGGGTCCTGTAGCTTTGAACATAAAAATTAAAGTCCATACTTTATTGCCTTTGCATTCATTTTTGGTTTCTTGTGAATAAAGACTACCTTTGAGAGGTCATGTTTCTAAAACTTGTGGGTCCATAATAAACCAGTTCGGTATCTCGATGAAGTAGCCCAGGTCAAAGGTCATTTCGGATAAAATTGTTGACCTGATGTTACACTGACACCCGTTCTGTTTGTAATTAATATTAACACATGAGCATCGTGCGCCTGTCTCCCTGCGCATTCATGCGCCTTCGATGAGCATTCGATTATCCCAAATGACCTGTGACCCATATCATTGTGCGCATGCGCAGTTGAAATATCAAACTGGACAAGGCCCCAGAAAGATTAAGCAGCAATTAGCCGACCAGTGTTTGTGTAGTGTTTTGGAGCCTTTTTTACCACCAATATATGTTTTAAATACTGCGTGTAGCCCTTCAATGTAATTTTACAACCACTGTACATGTATACTTAGTGCCATCCGACAGCTTACTAGAAACATTTACAAGTTTGCTCAGGTGGGACTTGGTGGGGCTGTCCAGCTGACACATGCAGATGTCTTAGCCACTCAAGCACTGGGCTTTCTGGTGTCGGCTGGGTGGTTCGAATTGGATTGGATGCCGCAATAGTGAATGCCACTACACTGAACATTTAGTTATAGCGAACCTCCCCTGTGGCTCCTAACTTCTATGCACAGTTATATGTATTGAGGTTTTGCATCCATGTGATATTATCATGTGAACGGTGCAAGATCCGCCATTTTGGACGTCTAGCGTGCTCGATCAATTGTACAGTTCGTGTAAATTGCATTATGTGTAACATGCATGTTCTGCGATATATGTAAATATCCAATTTTTCTTACGAAAAATCTTTAGTTAAACCCCCCCCCCCCCCAATAATTGAACAGAAAATGAAAGATGATGAATAAGCCTTAATTTGACATCTGTCTCAAACACCTTAGAGAGTTGCGAGTATTTTTCCTGAAGCGGGCGTATTTGTCACAGGGGTCTATGGCAGCTTATTTACTAGTCTGCAAGTGCAGATGTCCAATATGGCAGGCGTGTGGGTGACCACTGACCTGTGACATCTCGCGCGATTTCTCAATACCGAGCATTGTTTTCCTAAAAACACAACCCCATTGTGTTTCTTATAGTGGGGTTTTGCTGTATCGCAATCAATCTCTCATATTTAAATGTTGGGTTCTGAATTGACGTAAGGCAAAATTCAGAGGCAAATATCTGAAAGTACCTTCTGCCGGTTCTACAGGTGGTATTGGGGAGGCAGTGGCTGGCGCCCTCGCAGCCCACTCTGGCATCGTCATCAAGTCCCTGTGCGTCCGCGAGGTTCCCCGCAGTGGCACCAAGGACTTCCTGATGGACCACTTTGGCATCAGTGCCAAGCAGATCAAGGAAGCCGTCAAAGAGCTGCTGGCCTAGGCCAAAGGTTTGTGTGGACCCTTTCCAACTGCATGTGGATTCCAACCAACCAATCTGTGGAGCCTATATTGATTTCCTTTAAGTGACCCATAGGGGTACAAATGGATGTTTGAATGGTCATTCCCTTAATATGCAATCCAAAAGGTGCGTCTATACCTCACCTGTGTTTTAAGACACTCTAACTTTCATGCTAACAACGCAGTAGCTTTTACGGGCCAAAACAGTAGTAGGATGGGACGCCGTATTATCGCGGTTTCTCGTTCGGAATAGAGATTGCCCACTAACCTTCCTGAATTGTCCTGTCTTTTATGTGGTATAACTCTTCCTTTTCAAATTGATATAAACAAATCCGACGGTGGTGTGGTTTATTCCGTGTACGATGCCTGTGAAAATAGACATGCTTGGAGTGTGCGAACCGAGGTGGACACCCTATTATCGCGGTATGCGGGAAGTGGTTTTTATAATGATCTCAACTTTTTTTCATAGTTAATGTTTGACCAAACATCCCCTGAATAAAGTCTGATATTTCCCCTGTAACGTTCAAGTTGATTAAAGACTATGCCTGCAGGATGATTTCTTAAGGCCCTGCCCCTCCCCCAAAAGGAGAACAAAAATCACTGATTGGCAATTGGGGGCGCCATTCACTTTACACAGTGTGCCTTTTTCTTTTTATGGACGCGCTGTCCTTATTGATCCTGTAAAAAAATGTACGATTTCGCGCTGGAAATATCGTCCTTCAGTGTCATTTCGCATTTTCAGCAATGGAACTTTCATTGACAGAGCACCATTAAAGATTATATTAAAATATATACGGTAACTTTTAGCAGACACGGTGAGGAAACATTTTCAAGTTTTGGAAAACGTGAATATTTATTAAAAAAATCATTAAAAGTCCTGAAAGACACAACATTTTGTAATCGTCCTTTTTATACAACTGGGCAGAAAGTCCTTAATGCCTGGTGAACTGGATAAAAATTTCCACTTGAAGGAGTTTTGGCAACGCAAAACGAGAAATTTCCGATGCCGCGATAATAGGGAGTCCGACTATACTGTTTTTTACTAGCTCTCCAGTTAAGTGATACAGAATAGTAGTAATGTAGTAATCAGTTGTCCCTCCAAGTGTTCAATGTAATTCACGCACAATTACATCTTATACTGTTGATACTATTTACATAGTTCCAATGTAATGGCAGCTGATGTCAAGCAATGTAGTAATCAGTTGTCCCTCCAAGTGTTCAATGTAATTCACGCACAATTTACATGTTGTACTGCTGATAGTAATTACATAGTTCCAATGTAATGGCAGCTGATGTCAAGCTAACACAATGTGCACATATTCATTGAACATGGCTTTAATCGAAAGTGCCATGTTCACCATGAATGTAGTGTCGCCCAACTTGACCCTTTCCTTACCACATTGTTTATTGACTTGGCTCTCCCCGGAACCAAATTGTGTGCTCAGTCGTGCGGAAATCACTAGAACATGAGAAATGGCCCACAAGTTGAAAAGTCACCGCCAAGGAGTGATTAAAATCAATGGTGTTGTGTGTAAAGATTGTTCTTGATGTAAAAACCAAGGCCATAATGTGCAAAAATAAGAAAGTTATGCCTGTTTTTTTTTGGTATCTGGTCCCATTATCAAACTGCAAGCCATTTCACCACATGACACTCTATACCTCAAAGAAGCACTTTTCTTAAATGTTTGTAATGGCAACACTATAATTAACTACATCATTAAAACGATCCGAAAACACTCTTTCATCTGATAAATATGGTGTATGTATGGGTGGCAAAACATACCAATATGCCAGCTTGCTGAAAGCAGTGAATAAATCTGTGTCGAGTGTGTTCTGTGTGTGGTTTCCTTGTCGACAAAAGTCGCCCATGGTAAGGAAAGGGTTCAACATTGAATGATGAAGGATGTGTGTAGTGGGGATATTAACAAATCATGATTCTTTCTCTCTTTAAATCTCGTCTTCTGTGCACAGATTGTCCAATTATAGCAGCTTAATTGGGTTTTTTTGGTTGAGGATATATTTTTTTGTGATGCATTTATTTTTTAAATAGATCTTTCAATTATAGTACTCATTAGATATACTTCCAAAGTACAATCATAAATCCTTGGTTTAACCAAATATAGTATAGTTTTTGTAAAACAGATTTATCTAGTTGAAATGTTCTCTATTATAAATTGTTCCATGTTATTGAATTACATTTTCAATCTATTAGTAACGAATACATTTTCGTGTTTTTTTTATACATTTGCTAAAACGAGAACATCTTAACAAATGCTTACACAGATTTGCACTTTGTGCATAGCCTATGTTTGAATTAAAAAAAAAACACTTTAGTCTAAAAATGCTGTTTGGAGATATATGAAAGTTTATGCAATAACATACAGTACATGTTACAACAGAGTTCATTTTATTTTGTAGAACTGCACTACTCTGTAGGCAAACGTACATGAACATTGTACTTGTACCGGTAGATGTGTACCTTTAATTTTGTGCTGCACATGAGTACATAAAATAACCCGTACACATATACTTAACTTTTAAAGAAATGTAATTATACTATAATTCTCTTGGTTTGGGTTCCAGATACAAATTTATACTTTGTAACAAAACAACATTTCTTGAAAAGTATAAGCATGTTCGTCTAGGTGATCATAGATTGCATCAGCTAAATAAAATGATCGGAGAACATTCAGACACGGAACCTTACAGGGCATGCATTTGTGTGATGAAGAAACAAAAGACTGCAAACAAGACAAAGCAAGCCTAGTAGAGCTGGTCCCAGAGAGCACACAATTCTACTTAATTGATTCTGAATGGCTATTCACTGGAAGTCTTTTCATGCATCTGGTCTACACAAATAGGCCTGATTCACGGGTCGGCCATATTATATTGAAAGCGAGGTAAAATCTTCATTTTTGGAACTTGGGAATAGAAATGAAAGTAATGAAATAAAGTTTATTACAAATTTAAACCAGTCTGATCCGACGAAAAATTAAAATTTTGTGATTAATGATACGCTAATTGTTTTAAGTCACATTTAAAAAAAAATTTGAAAATTAGGCTTGGAACGCATAAATAGTCTGGCACCATCCCAGTTAACGGTTTACAAGGCCTATTTACACATACGTGATTTTGTTGCAACGACTGTCGCGCGGCAATGTTGTACACGGGTGTGTGTGAACGAACACATGATATTTTGCAGGATTTTTGAAATAGTTAGCACAATAAGTCGCATGACTTTGTCCCGTAAATGTAAACGTGCTCATTGATTTGTGCGTGTATATAAACACGTGCGACATTATCACGTGACAACAAAATCGCGTACATGTGTAAACAAAATTCAGGGAAAACGCTCAAATATGGCTTAATTGTGAAAAAAGTGTATGGGCCTGATATAACACATTACAGGATAATCCAATACGACAGCACTGACTAGCTGTGTTCACCAGTTATCACAACCAGAGTCAGTCAGGGAGTCGGTAAGTCAGGTATTGTGAGGACACTAGGCTGTAGACTTCAACAAGAATCACAAAAATCAATCAGGAGGGAAAGCACCTTTCACACTGATCATCAAACGTGGCTCTGCCTATTGTAACCCATGGCATTTCTTCCATGCCCCCAAATCTGTCTACCGTACATTGTACATGTACTTTTATCTTCTCGCATACAACACTAGAGTTTGCTCACTTGGCTGGCCTGCCAAAGTCAACAATAGGGGTGTGCATCGGAACCGGGTACCCGAGTACTCGACCGCTGATGCTAGGCACTGGTTCCAGATAATGGGATTGGGTAACCAAATACCAATTACTTAATAACTTCTCAGACAATGAATAAGCAGCCATTTTCGGGGAATTTTCAACATAAAAACCAGGCTACATGGAAAATCAAAACAGATTTCATGTTTACGCCTAATTTAATGCGCGATGGATGATGCTTGCGAAAGTTGCAGTTTACACCGTAAAGCTAATTCATAGGATTTGAATTTTTTGGGTTGGGCTTCTTTAATGGCTACCCTGGTACCTGTGTTTTACTTCCATAGGGTACCGGGTTCCTGTACTACCCGTAAATGCACACCACTAGTCAACAACTGTCATTTGAATTGGTTGTATCCTTTACCATTACATTTAGTCATTCGCCGATACTGAAATGGTTCCCTTGTAAAACTAAATGTATTCAACCCAGGCCTAGCTCCAGTCTCTCCTTCTCAGACAGGCTCCCGTCTTCCTTAGGGTACTCTTTGTAGGAGACCAAGTTGACTGGATCTTTGCTGGTGTCGGTGGTGGGTCGCATCTGGTGTGGTTTCAGGCGTGGTGTGGTCAAGATGCACCAACGCTGTAAATGTACATGTCACAACATGTTCATGTATGACAACAAGACATGTTTTGAGTCATTTATTTCATGCCGAATGTCCTTGTCCCAGGGTAAAAGAAAAAGTTTAAACAGGCATTGACTGGTGACATAAAGTTAATAGTGAACAGTAATTTTACCCAGATTTATTCAGGGGTGCTACTTTATTAAAAACACTAAGAAAAACACAAAAAAAAGCTTTGAAAATACAAGTGAAACTTGGCCCTGCCACATTGGCAATACCATGCAGTGCTGCATTTCTGTCAGTTCTTTGTTCGCTTTTGAGAATATTGTTCTTATTACATGTTCTAAGCAGGTACCGGTACATGTAATACTGGTTCTCACAAGAGCCTTATTTACGGGCCATCTGCTTTTCAAATTGATGCGGGGCCTGTCCTATTGGTTGGTTTATGCATATGAGCCTGTGTGCACCCAAACTGCAACTTTGGGCTCACATGCCCAGTAGTTGCAACAGCATCTACTGTTCCTGCTCAGTACAATTCACATTGACATGTAGTCACACTCACCTCTCGTAAACTCCCTTTTGATCGAAGCAGCAACACACAGCATGTAATGGGGATCAGAATAACAGACAAGACAGACAATGCCCAACCGATGAGGGTGCCCCACAGCGGGTAGGAGTAGCCGTTGTATTCCATCGGTTCATGCTTCACCAAAGCAAAGACTAAGATGCCCTATTGAAGAAAGAATCAACATACAAGAACATGCATGGGACCCAATCCTGCAAACTCTCAAGGTCATGAACATAGAGCTATATTAAATTACTAGAGCGCTAACTCCTCATTATTGCACGCGGAGACGCTTTGAAGCCGCTCTGGGCGCAGACATTTTGAATTTATGTGCGTGTGCGTAGAACACAATCAAAATAGATGGATTGAATTTTAAAAGTGTACTCTAAATGCAACGCGCAAGTAGAACATACGCAAACAACTTGAGCGCGTCATGATGGTTAAAAAAACGTCACGGCGAAAAGCATCTGCAGCGGAGGGACGTGCATGCACACGTTGCGCTGTTTGCGTAGAGCAAAATGAAACGCTCATTTGCTGATCGTGCGTTTCGGTTGTATCGGCTTCGATGACGCACCGGTATGGAATACAAACGCAGATATACAAATAGCCGTACAAAAGCCGTACAAAATTTCTAGGTCTCCATAGGTTTGTGCACAAACATGGATGCGCCCATCAGGGCATTACTTTGTACATCGAGTTAGCGCTCAACTAATTTAATATAGCTCTATGGTCATGAACCCTTTCAGTTGGACAGTACTTGCAGCTGGACTCCTGGTCCCACACACATGTACTTTCATAATGGATACTTATATGGGCTCCGTGCGCCGACGAAAGAGGGCGCCCTTTTACCTAGCAACGACGTCCCATGGGCGGGACATTTCGCTGGTTGACGCGCACTGTTCCTTGTGTGTGACGCACGTACACCAGGGGATTTGAACTATGTACACGCAGTGGCCAATAATGCAGTCAGGCAAGATGGCGTCGGTCGGTCACCCCCAACTGTACTCTCTTTGCCGGTGAGGGGGTACTTATGAACGGAGCGGATAGCGCTTTTGACTGGTATCAAAGCTAGGGCTGGGCATCAGAACCGGGTACTCGAGTACCCAACCGTTGATGTCCTGAAAAGCCAGTTCGATATCTCGATGAAGTAGTTCAGGTCAAAGGACATTCGGATAAAATCGCTGATGTGATGATACGCAATGTTATGCAGACTACCATTCTGGTTGTAATTAGCACACTACAATATGCAAATCAATATGGGATACTCTAGGCGTGGGATCTGATGGCATGAACATTTAATTTACACAGGTTTTCCGTAATAAGGGATTGAAAGATTTATGCATAACTGACTTAGATTAACCAACAGATAAAAAAAGTGTCTGAACACCAACATGCCATTCTCTTAGTCTCTGTTCTCAGATGGGCAACACATTTAACAGAACCAGTTCTTCATATGTACATGTACATGAAGCTGGCTATACACTGCTGAATTTTAATTTAAAAATTATCAATCATGATGAAATTAAAATTTGAATTAAAAGATTGGAATAGAATGGAATCTTTTATCTTCAATTTTTTTTTACAGCTGTAGTTTGGCAAAAGGTGAAATTAGACACCAGAACTGCTCGGACATATAATCAACTACATTTTGTACATACGTGTGTATGTACATGTAGTACAATATAGTTTATGCTGCCAAATTACGAACATACTTACCAATGCAACCAGAGGTATGAGGAATTGCCAGCAGATCTTGAACCAGATAAAGGGACGATAGCCAATCATATATTCCAGATTGTCATAGAATCGGTTGGCACCTGAAATAACGCAACCACGTCAATCTAAAGTGCATGTAATTTCTATGTTAAAGAATATACATGTATTATGTAGCGGACTTATATTAGCAGACAGGAAAATTCTTTTCCACTCCTGTTATGAAGACAGGAGAAATCTTTTCCAATACTGTTATGAACACAATTATTTGACAAAGTGAATTGAAACCCTGGTCATACAAAGTCATAGCTGCCAACTTTTCAAAATTCCAATTAGCAAGTGACCCGTACGGTCATGCATTTTCAACTACGCGGACATACTAAAAATAACAGTGCATGTACCAACTATACCAATATCACGTATCACAATACCATTACGGCCGCCGCGTGCGATGAACATACATGTACATGTATGCTGTCGACATATACCGGTACCTTGCAAAACAAGTGCTGCAACATCAATACTATGGAGTACCAAAGTGTGACGTCATTTAGAACCAGAAAGTGTAGTGCAAACGAATGGAGTACGCGCGCGTGTTGGTTCTCGGGCTGAATCACAGGCTAATTTCTTTTTACACACATTTTGTGCGCGTGACGTATTCACTTCGGTACTCCATACAAACGGATTTTTCGGCGTTTCGGTTTTGTTGCAATGAAAACAAGGTAATATCAGTACATTGATACTTATACTACCGATTTTTCTGTGTTTCGGTTTTGTTTGCAATGAAATCAACGTAAGTACACGAGAAAAAAAGTATCCACCCGAATGCCTTGACTTAATTCTGCATTTGGTTGAAATGCGTAATTTTCAAGAGTGAATTCGTATTTTTGTATTTCTTTTTCATTAATTCGTAATCATTACGATGATTTCGTAATAGTTGGCGGCTATGCAAACTGAAGTTATGTGTACAGTGTAAGTACCTTTCACTTTTGGAAAGTCGAACCAGAAAACCTTTTAAAAAAATCTTGACAAAAAACAATTCCAGGTATAGATGATTCGGAGCTCATGGAGGCCCCCTTCAATGGTTGAAGGCATTGTGCCAGCTATTGTTCAGATAATCCATCATGGGCACTTGTTTTGTACGATAGCTTGCACCTATGCTTGCACAATGCTTTGGCCATTGATGGGGGGCTTTTGTGAATTGTACGGCCATAGTATGCTCACTTCTCTATACTTCAAAATTCTTTTAAAAATACTCCGAACTCTCACAGGTGTTCAGGCTGCACAGATATATGATGATCAACATGTCATCTTTCGTTTTCCTTTCAATATTTGATGGGTTGACCAATGACTTTTTGGAGAAATTTTCACCCAAAAAAGACCACCCTTAAAACGAATGATATTTCCCAAACTGGAAAAGTAGCCATTTTGAAAAAAAAGGATCTCTCTGCAACATGGTTTAATAGCACCCCTTTCGTACCAAATTGCATCTGAAATGCTCAGAATAAGCCATTTGCAAGTTAAATTTAAATAAAATCTGGAACGCTGACTTAATCTAACCCTTTGCACGTTTAGCTTTGCATTCTCCCGACCAAAGAGACTATTACTATATCACGTGATTCGGGGCAAGCCTTATACTAGCAATGCCCAGCTCTGGCATGGTCTGGTGTCTTTGAGCCTTTCTTACCAATTGTGAACAATGTATTAGTGCGGAGCGTCTCTTTCGTAACTATGCAAGAGCTTGCCCCAAATCATGTGATTAGCAACAGTGTCTTTGGTCTGGAGAATTCAATGTTAAAATGTGCTTAGCATTCTGAGCAAGTCAGTGTACCAGATTTTTTTTTTTCAAATTTAAATCTCAAAGGGAATAGGTCTCTCACAAATGGCTTACTGGAAACAAATGTAAAGCAATTATTTAAGAGCTCGGCCGACAGATTTTTGGCCTATTTACTGAGTTGCACCCTTTATGGCTGTGTGCTACGTACCATACACCCATGCTATCACAGCTGCTTCCACTGCACCAATCAGGAACAATGGATAACTGGCGGAATAATGGTCATACAGCTTAAAGACATACATCCCACCCTGAAAAAGAAAAACAAAATGAAGTACTGTTCAAACGTGTATTACAATGCATGTGACACTTTACTACAATTGCCTCTCTCCACCCAGGAGTATAAATGGGTACCTGTGAAGGTACAATGTAGCGACCAAATTGCGCTGATCTCGAGCTGCTGCAGAAAAAGGGTCTCATTCCTGATGACTAGGGATAATAATTGTGAAGCGATAATTGGCTGTTTCAGCACCTTTGCCGAAACAGAATTTTTTTTTTCAGTCATGCCCATAGCATTGTATGTACGTTACATCAATCCGATTGTCTTTATACTTGGCACACACCCACATAGACCAGCACAGGCAGATGTGTGCCAAACATTGACGTCATCGTGAGTCACTTGACATCACATTAAAGGAGCATATTTTGAAGGCCTATATCTACAGAACTACAGGTCCAATTGGGTTGAAAGTTGGTTATATGTACCTAGACCGGGATGTGTTATAGATGAAAACTGAAGATTCGTTATGCTGCTTTCATCACGTTTTATGTCATGTGACATTAAAGGTGCATTTATTCTAAGACCTATATCTGCAGAACTATATGCATGTAGCTCCGAGTTGGTTGTAACTTGGTATGCCCAAACCGGGATGTGTTGTAGATAACAATTTAAGTGACAAACGATGACGTCATCATGTGTCATGTGACGTCACATTAAAAATGCATTTTTTTAAGGCCTATATCGATAGAACTATATAGGCCTGATTTGGTTATAACTTGGTATGTACTAGACTGGGATGTGTTACAGATGAATTGTTAAGTGACATAATCATGACGTCATCACACATTGTGTGATGTAACATTAAAGGTACATTTTTGTATGGCCTATGTCTGCACTAGAACTATATGTCCAATTTCGTTGTCACTTGGTACGAGCCTAAGCCGGGATGAGTTTTAGATGAAAATTGAAGTGATGTCATGATGACGTCATCACATGACGTGACGTCACATTAAAGATGCATTTTTCTATTTGGCCTATATCTACAGAACTATTGCTCCTGATCACTCTACAACTTTCTACTGCACATGTACGTGTCCTATCAGTCTATAACATGACATACAAATGCAATACATGTATAACTAAATGCCGAAACAGCCAGGTGTTTTTCCACAACATAAATCTAGATATTATTGTATTATTATAAGTGACAGTCGTGAGTATAATATAAATCTACAACTTCTGCTGATTTAAAATGAGTTCTTCAAGCACCCATCTTGTCTTTTAAACAAATTTGATGTGCGAGTGCCTTTGTACATCATTGCATTGTGAACAGGAGCTTACCTTTTGGTGCATACAGGTGTAAATGAACAAGGTTAGATACAATTATGCTGCATTTCCGTAGACATACACTTTTAGTGAGGCTTACATTTGTGACAAAGATAAGGCCTGCCAGAAACATTGCAAAGCAAATGACAAGTGTGAAGATTTCCCGCCGGCGCCCGCCACTGAGTTGACGCGGGAAAATGTCCACCAAGGCCGTGAGCAGGCCCTCCACTGCAACAAACTGCACAAAAAGCGGGAGAAATGATGGCAATATACAGCTCGTTACTTTGCATGTTGGGGGATAGCTAACAATTTAAGGCGACACCATGATGCAGAAATTGTAATCCAAAACCAGTGGTTAAGTTAAGGAGAATACACGAGAAAGTGTGGATTCGTAATTTAAGAATTCACGAGGCGCGAAGCGCCGAGTGAATTCGTAAATTAAGAATCCACACTTGCGAGTGTATTCTTCGACTTAAACCATTGCGTCAACAGAAGTATAAGAAAGAATGCTGCAACCTGACGCCACTTTTTTCTTCATATATCATCTCAATGAAGGCCATTTTAGTTGTTGCAAAATTGATAATAAGACTGAGACATGAATCTGGGACTGATAAATGTTTCCAAAATTGTTAGGAAATACTTGAAATGACTCTCCATAAACGTTGTACACAAGTGCGGAAGTGGCGTCAGGTTGCAACATTGTTTCCTGGCGTGTTTAGCATGTGTATCGCCACATACGTCAAAATGGATAGTTGAGACTACGATGTCTTTCTGACTAAAGTAGATTTTGCAGTGACGGCGGAAAATCTGACAGTGAAGATGCATTGGTAATTTTCGGAAAGCAAATTTTCACGCAGATGGTCCTATTCATGCTCATTATGGAGAATTACAATTGTCCGACGTTTTCAAAGTGTGGATTCGTAATTCCGAATCCACACTTTACTAAAGATTCTTCGTTCCGAATCCACACTTTGTGACCAGTGTAAGAGATTCGTAGATCCGAATCCACACTTTTAACAATAGTGTGACGTCATAGCAATGGTTTAATAGATATTATACAACACCTGAATAAATCCCCATCATCTGATTGGTGGATCGTTGATCACATGTCATTGAATTATTCGTACCAATGAACGGCGCACGCATGGCACGCAGTGCAATGGAAGTTCTATTGCACGCTGAATAGAACTTCCATTGCACGGTGTCTCTGCTGCTGGTGGTGGCGCTGTTTTAAATCGAGATGAATTAAATATGATTGTTCTCAACCTGCTGAACAGTTTGCATTAACATAAATATGATGAACTTGTCAAACTTTTACCTGAATATATTGGCTATTAAAGGTCAACCAATCAGATGACAAGGATTTATCAGGTGTTATATAAAACAAATAATGAATGTTTCACGTTCGTGCAATGGAAAGAATAATTTCATCTGTCACCTCATGAAATTATTCTTACCATTGCACTCACAAACATTCATTATTTGTATACAAGGCCAAAGGTTAAAAAGTTTACAAAATTTTGCTAGTTTTGGACTCTATACACAAATTGTGACAATGTACATGTATACTGTTTACATGTACATGTAGCAGATAGATCCCTTATTAAGGAAGCTGCCATTTTTACTGTGAAGTTTGGCACTTTTAATAGTTCAATAAATACATACACGTACATACAATGTACATGGTGAGTCAAAAGAAATGAAACCCAAATGTCGGGACTATTGCATGTAGCACTTTCGAAATCTAGGATATGAAAGCCCAATTCATAAGCTTTCTTTTAGTACAAGAATCATTCAAATCACACATGTACTTTTCAAGTTACGAAATTTTAAACACAACCACCGTTTTAAAGTTCTGTGTCCACAGATCACACAAAAGGTGTGCGTTCTTTCAGCAAAATGAAAACGATTCACACATATCCCTGTGTGCTTTGTGTTCGTTTTGATGAAAGAACCTTTTTGTGATCCGTGGACAGAACTTTAAACTGGTGGTTGTGTTTAAATTCCGTAACTTGAAAAGTACATGAATGATTTGAATGATTCTTGTACTAAAAGAAAGCTTATGCATTGGGCTTTCATATCCTACATTTTGAAAGTGGTGCATCAATGAAACTCTTGCCAGCATTTTCTTCTTTAACCATATCCTTGCTGAGATTTTGAAGTGAAAAGAAAAAAATGTACCTGACTGTCTAAACCAACTAACAGTATCATGAAGAAGAAGAGAAAAGACCAGAACGGAGCAGCAGGCATCAGGGATACTGCCTTGGGGTAGGCTATGAAGGCAAGCCCTGGACCTATATGTACACAAAAAGGGACAATAAACAAGTACCAAGTGGTACAACCCACGGCGGCCGGGTAACGTGTGAAGACGGCTATACGCAGAATCCACACTTTTAACAATAGTGTGGCGCCATAGCAATGGTTAAGTTAACGTTACCTGCTTTGGCAACTTCCCCAACCGACACGTCTTGCTCATATGCCATGAAGCCCAGCACTGAGAAGATCACCAGACCTCCGTAGAGGCTGGTGCAGCAGTTGAAAGCTGTCACAATCAGTGTGTCTCTGTCAATAGTAAGGTTAAACAAACTGAAAAAAATTATTTCCAAAGGATGAAAAGAAAAATAAGTCTAAGCAATCTTGCATACATGTACACTATGTGGGTCATTCCACCGGGTTGGGACACAGTGCATGTTACATCCAAATATTTGGTTATGTTATTAAAAGTATCAATGCAGTCTAAACAATTTGCTCAACATGATATTTGTCTTAGGGTGTTTCAATAATTGAGAAAGTTTGAAATCATTTGAATGTACATGTACTTTGACAAAAATATGAGCAAAAAATGTATTAATTTAGACGTAACACTGACACCGAATGTGCCTTCAGACAGAACTGGGTAAAACGGTGTTTACACATTTAAAACACGGAAGCTCGAAGTCCGATATTAAAACATTATCAGCACACAAACATCAACAAACAGCTTAACTGGTTAACTGATCATTCGCTTTATCATTTGAGAGCAAGACAACCTCGGTGTCGTAAGCAGCATCTGCTATAATATTACCATATCTATGATCAACTGAATACTAACATTATATAGTGGAACGCCGCTTTTAACGAACATTACGGGATCCACAGAGAGTGTTTGTAATAACAATCGTTCGGTATAGCGATTTTGAACCAGTGGTACCCTCTTTTGACTAATAGTGAACTGGCATTTCTCACATCCCGCGGCCGCAAGAGGAGTCATCACGAAATTAATAGCAACGAGTGGTTTTCCCTTCTATTCCTTGGGAAAAAAATCTATCGCTCTTCAACATTCGAACATGATGTAACTATGGCAGTGTTCGACTTTAGCGGTAGCCCGCTAGCCAAATGCTAGTCAAAACAGCGGCGGGCTAGTCAACGTATTCATTAAGTAGCCCGGTTGGCAAGTCAACAATTATTTGGCCACGGCAAAGATGAAAGGACAAACCTGTATTAATTTGTGTCTAATTTGAATTAACCGTTGAGGGTTAAATTATTAGATCCATTTATGAAAAACACTGACAAGATTGCCTCAGAATACACGTTTTATATATATGCAAATTGTTGTTTATGAGAAAAACATGCGGGCTAGTGAAAATGCCCGCGGGCTAGTTATGAGTCTGTTTCAGTAGCCCGCCTGGCTAGTGAAAATAAAAATTAACGTCGAACCCTGAACTACATGTAGTTTGATGTTCGGGAATTAAAAGTGGCCCAAATAGCGTTTAATACAACTGGTAGATTTGTTGACTATCTCAACAACAGTTTTCGGTACGTTTTGTACATTAAAACTGGGAGCCAAGGATGCTGGGTATAGCCAAATAATCGGCATTGCAGTGTTCGGTATGGCGGCGTTCCACTGTATAACCCGAAAAGACTAGAAATAGGCTCCATGCGTAAACAAGAATGTGTGCTTCTTTACCTTCTTCGAGATGGAGCCCCATGACGGCACACTCAGTGTGCACGCACTGGTTCCCGCCAAGGACGGATCCAGAACACAATTTTTTTGGGGGGCCTAAAATTAATTTTATTTTGTCCCTCAAAAAGTTGGTCAAAAAACTTAAAAGCGGGCCCCGAAAAATGTGTGGATTCGAGATGCTGTGTGGTGCAATCTGAGGCAATGTCTGTCCACTTTAACCAATTATTTTTTTTAGGAAAAGATGGTGGTGTAGGCCTACGCAGTGCCTGCCTTATTGCGACATCACTTTAAAAAAAAAGGGGTTCGTTTTTTTTTTTTGGGGGGGGGGGGGGCAACTGCCCCAGTTGGCCCCCTGGATCCGCCCTTGGCCCCCTTGGATCCGAGGGCATACAGCTCGAAGTATGCACGACTCCATGTAGTCACCCCCTACTCTCCCTTCTTTACTGTTCAAGGGGTACTTGTGCACGGAGCCCATAAAGAAATGAGCAAACTAATCAAAAGACAAGTCAATAAAAGCTTCTCAGATGATATGTTCTGCATAGGAACACAGTAAAAACATTCAGATTCACAGAAAAACTTGATAGACATACTTAAAACTCTAGATGTGAAGAAATGTTGCTCTTTAACCCATAATCGGGGATATCAATGGGTAAGATAATAACATTTGTACCTTGTCCCCACAACTCGACGGGAAATAAAAACAGGGATTTGTACAACTGAGGATAGTCATACCTGTAGCAGTTATTGTGGAATTTATTGTAGCTGCCAAGTGCGGTCAGTGTCCCAAAGCCAACGGCATAGGAGTAAAATATCTGTGACCCGGCATCAATCCACACCTACAGAAGAGAAACAAGCATTTGGGGGGGGGGGGGGTAGGGTTTGGCGGGTAGTATGTGAAAAATAGTCACAATCTGCATGAATTAGATAGATTAGCCCAATTATTACACATACTAACTTATGCCTATTTAAAGCGCCGTTTTTATAATGTCTTTTGAGAAAACATACACATCTGAAATTGAAACAGTATTCCAATAAAAAGAGCTATACTGTAAAATGTTTATTTGAAAAGTCTGATCTGTATCCCAGCCTGCAGCAACTTAAAGATGTTTCGATAATTATGTGGCTTTATCTTAGACAACAATGAAGATTTTCAAGTCTAACTCCAACAAGAGAAGAAAGTAACGTTTCAAAAAGTATGATAATTATTGTTCATCTATTAAGTAATAACACTTCACTGGTGGCGTTAATATCAGTTTTAAAAAGACATTTTTTTTTACCCTATTCTGTGGTCCGGTCAAAAGCACTCTTTGAAATCAAGCACTTTTTTGGTCATAGCTTCATTTACATTGAGTGACAAAGTGGCATATGTGTGAAAGTGACAAGACTATGCCTTTTGTCATATCTCATCCCAATTCAAAAATGTCAAGAGTGTACTGAGATTCAAAGGCAGGGCGGAAGCAGTGATTCAGAGCAAATTGTCACATATTTATTTTGAAAATGAGGAACATTTGGACTTTAAACGTGTACAAACTTATGAAGTTGTCAGTCATTGAGCACTCCTGTACAGAGCTGTTTTACGTTTTTCTCATTCATCATTGCAAGTGTTCAAGAAACAGCAAATGTCATGTAAATTGTACCTGAGCATCTTTCAAGCGGGATATGTCAGGTCTGAGGTAGAACAAGAGCCCTGTGCCAGCTCCAGGCAGTGTGACACCACGGATCAGCATGATGGTCAGTACCACGTATGGGAAGGTAGCCGTGAAGTACACAACCTGTGCAGAAATAATTACAGACAAATCTGAGCAAGTGATCAGTGTCACTCAGAAGCATCCTCCTAGAGTAACGGCTGTAGTACATGTGTAAGTTTATTGTCCAAAATTATTGCTCAGTGTGCGGGTTATTCTGAACCATACGCTGCCACGATGAATGCTTCAATCCCTTACGTGGTACACTCCCAAGAAGTGTACAGACAACACGCTGAACTGTTTCATATTAGCATATTAGCAGCAAAACAAACAACTGCTGTTGGACTACAATTTCAAATAGCAGTTTAAGATCAGGATTGAAATGGCGCTGCAGGACAAAAAGTCATGAATTGCTCAAATTTCCAGGCCCGGAACCTTATTGCTGGCCATCCATCATTCACTGAAAAACGTTTATCATATTCCTCACCATTTACTATTTAGTTCCATGTCGGTGGTACTATATAAATGTGCATGTGTTTAAACATTTGTGCCAACAACTATTATTTTATCATCTCTACACTATTATTTTATCATCACTTTATCTTAGAGTTTGCTTAATAAATGTTTACTTCTCTTTCCTTTCAGACCTTAATAATACATTTTACAAAGTATATCTAAGCAAAGTTCTTTTTCTGGAATTTAGGAGCTTTTTCTTCAAAACTGAAACATTTGATGTCTAAATTACATATGATCAAGGCCTTGCCTAACTTCATGAATATTTAAACTTCCAGGCAACATATTAATATTCATTCCAGTAACTTATGAATATTCATTTACCTTGCCTGAACTCTTGACCCCTTTCCATACAATGAAATACACAAGGACCCAGGCTAGAAAGAGACACAGCACCAGGGGCCAGACCAGCGTGCCAATCTCATCAAGTCCTCCTGATAACTGCAGCACCTTGTTTCTTTCAAGAAAAAAAATCAGCTCGAAATGGTACCTGCTATATGCAAAATCCAACCAGCTCCTATTCAATTATGCGTAGACCAAACCATCCATCCCTCAGAGTTGTAATGACTCGAGTCAATGACTCGACTCGAGTCCGACTCAGAGTTCTGATGCTATGATGTCATTTCAGGAAGACAGTTTAGGGGTTTTCTGTTCAAATTGTGGACCCCAAATTTGCTCACTGAAAACATTTGTCAGGAAGAGTTGATCATTTGCTTACTGCCATGTACTTACACAGCAACAAATCACCAAAGAAAGGACATTTATGGCGGCAAAATATCAAAAATATTAGAAACGTTTTGTGCTGAAATCGCTGTAGCATTGAAGTTTTTGCCTGGAATGACATCACAGTTTTGCTCATGAATAAGGAAATTTGCATTAGCATAAGAACTAGCTGGAGTAACCCAGCCCTAAATTTTATCATTGGGTTGTCATGACAACCCAATGATAAAATTTAGGGCTGGGTAACTCCAGCTACATAAGAACCAAGAGGGCACCAAAATGGCAAAACGAAAATTGAAAATGAGGTTAAATGGAAATCAGGTGCATTTTTAAGGATAGCATCAAAAGAATTACATTGCACAGGCCCTTTAATACTTACTCCCAGAACTCCTGCACAGAAGACACACGGGACCCAATTACATCGGCACAGTCAGGCAACAGTGTTTCATTGAAGTTGGTGAGATTCACCTCCTCTGTGAATTCATCAGGCAGTGCGTACATGTAGTCCGTGTAGTTGGTTCCGTTAACAACAGTGTAGTTCATGCATTCAACTTTAGATCCCTAGAAAACAAGTGTCACGGTCAGTGATGTAGTGCCTTGATGCTGGGCCTTGGCCTTAAGGCTGCCTTAAGGCTGGATTTTAGGGCCTTGGCCTTGGCCTCGAGGCTTGAGGGCAAAAGCCTTGGCCTTGGCCTTGGCCTTGAGGGTTCAGGGCCTTGCAATTTTGAGTCAAGGCTCTTCAAGGCCCATAGATTTTTGCATTTTCCAGATAAATCTGTTCGAAATTTTGCTGTTACCATTTTAATTGTATTACCATGGAGGAGGGAAGCACCCTGTAGATTTGTGTGTTGGGCACTCTTCCACTTTTGTAGCATCACATATGTTACCATTGTAGTAGATTTGCTGCAAAAATATTCCGTACACTTGTGGGGCTAATGAGATGATCACTTTAATTGCATATAACTATGGAATAGATCTGATTGGTTGTATATGGCTCCCTGATAAGTGCTAAAGATTTGCATGTATCTGTTTTAGATAATGCTGATATTTCTGACCATGTTGGGCCAGCAAATAAAAAATTCCCAAATCAGTTTCTTGGATCCCCCTTTTGTTACACTTGGGAGAATTGTGTGTCAATATAGAAGTAAATCATTATTTTGTTTAGTTAAACCATAATGAAGACCTGAACTTATACTTTAATAGATACAGTGCAGTCATAACACGGTGTAGACCTATGCGAGCATGTTGATTGCAATTAAAGAAATGTTGTACTTCGTAACGAGCAATTTGTGATGATAAGGGCAGATAAGGGCCAAAAGGGGCCATGCCCCCCCCCCCCCCCCAAAAAAAAACGAAACCATTTTTTGTTATGTGACGTCGTAATAAAGGCAGGCAATGAGTACACCACCATCTTTTCCTCAAAAAACATCGGTTAAAATGGTCAGAAATTGCCTCAAATCGCACCACAGAGCATCTCGAATCCAAATTTTTTTCGGGGCCCCGAAGCCCAAGCCGTCATTTTTTGACCGACTTTTTGGGGGACCAAAATTTCTTTCCCCCCCCCCCAATTGTGTTCTGGATCCGCCCTTGCGTGATGATGTGTCACTCATGTGACTATAATTAGTTCTATATCAGTGGTCATTTCATAAAACAGGGCCTTGGCCTTGGCCTTGGCCTTGAGGGTTAAGCCTTGGCCTTGGCCTCGAGGCTTGAGGGTCAAAGCCTTGGCCTTGGCCTTGGCCTTGAGGGTCAAAGCCTTGGCCTTGGCCTTGGCCTTGAGGGTCAAAGCCTTTGCTCCAATCACGGTTACAACTGTTAAAACCAGATGCTTGTATGGGTAGAGCTTGAAATGGAGAAACGACCAAACAACAATGTTCAGGTTTGCAAATTTGTGTTATCAACTGTTTACATTATAAATTATACTATAAAGTTTTAGACTATAATTTTGCATCTAACAGTGAGTTTGGAAGCTGTACGAAAGAGGGGTATCAGTTCATTCAAGGAATGCATGAAACTCATTTTTAAACAAATATTCCTCTGTTGTCACCTATTAAAGTGACGTCACAAACTGCAGCTAGGCATTTATGCCAAGGAAAGTCTGCTTTCAAAAATTAAACTGTACTTGTTAAAGGGAAGATCTGTTTGTTTTGTTTGCATAGAAGACTGTTCAACTTATATATTTTGTTTTCAATGATAAATAAAATACTTTTCCCCCAATTTTTGTAAAAAAAAAGGCTTTCATTTTGCACACAAATGACCCCGCCCTGTGAGAGCAGAGTTATTGTTGAGCCACAAATAATTTGACTGTTGGAGAAAAAAGAAATAATTCAATAACTATAAACTTCGAAATTTCGAAATTTGAAATAGCACGGGAACGCATCTTTAAGAAAAGGCATTACAATCATCACCTCCTCTTTGGATTCTATGCACTGATCCGTGTTCCACGTATTTCCGCAGGTAGCCCAGGGCAGTTCCAATGTCATTGACTTGAAAAAGTAATACAGTGCCCAGGCTAGGATGACAATGTAGTACTGATTGCAGAGAGTGGCCACTATAGTCGTTGCATACCCAACCCCTGCAAGATATATAGAATATTGTCAGGTTTGTATTAACTTAGAGTGGATCATTTGCATTTGTACATACATGTACATGTATATCCAAAACGTAGCTCACGAAATTATTGTTTGAAAGCTTACTTGGTTTAAAGATGGGGATGGCAATAAACTCCCTGTGAAATTATTCTTTCTGGCATGCTGTCATTTCGAAGAAAACAATCAAGAAGGCCATTTCCAAAGATGCGTCAAGTGACGCATTTTTGGACATTTCCGTTGGTACCATAGTTTGTAATGCGGGTAATCCGTGATCCAAGACCACAGCCCAATTTCATGGCTCTGCGAACCATGGAATTTGCTCACAGAACAATCACAGAATATGTGCACCGGTAAGCACAGAATCCTTACACACAAGTAAACACTCCTTGCTAAACCATGAAATATATTTTTATTAATGCAAAATCATCTGCTGCAGTAAGCACGGTACCGTATGTATGGTACATGAATGATGGCTTTGGCAAAACAGCCCAGATCTCAATCGTCATCTTTGAGAAAAAAAATTATTCTTCAAGTTAAATTACCTGTATTTTAAAAGATCAAATACTCAAAAAAGGTTGTTAATCTTGGAATTCAATCACATGTATATTTATTTAACATGAAAATTACAGATTAAAAAGCATACACTTTTGTGTACTTTTAAATAACCCTTAACCCTTTTCTCCCCTAAATGGCTACATTTCCGAGTTACATTGCATGTCTAGGATTTTTTCAGCATTCTTTCAAATCCCTTTAACTTGTTAAAGTTCGAATTAGCAACTTCACTCTTCATTTTGGCAAAGAAAGACCCCTTCCCAGTTGAAGTTTATGTCATCAGAATATATATTTATGTTAGTTACAAGTTACTGAATTGATCTTTGAATACTCTATTAAGCAGAACAGGTGTTAAAAGTGGTGGATCCTGCAAAAATGATTGTTTTTTTCATTTCAATATAATTGTAAATTCTGTTTCACTGAATAAAATGTGCTAAAAAATGGGTTGCCCACTATATGAGACAGGTTTTCCATCAAACAATTTTGCTGCAGAATTTGAATCAACAAAATACAAACATTGTGAATTTAAAAATGTGTAAAGAAATTCTTTTCATTTCTTATGTATCTCGTTTGTGCATTCAATATGTTTTTTTTTTCAAAAATGTTGGAATTTGTTCTGTTTTCCGGTGGAGTAGAAAGTCAGTGACCCTAAGAAGTGTACCACTAAAGTTGATTCCCCCCCCCCCCCATAATTGTTCCCTGGCTTCCGTTGACCACCTGGTTGTTATATTTGCACAGAATTTGGAAGTTTATCTAGTAGTAAAAACATGTTCAATGAACCTGTCATATTTTTCTGATAAGTTATAAATTGACAGGGAACAAACAGTCAAGATTGTGACCTAATTTTTCCAGGGAACAAAGGGTAGTCCTAAATTTAATATTGACACGTGAATTTTAGTTGTTATTCTCTGTGTGCAGGGTCCACTTAAACTTGGAAGGACAACAAACTCAACTGAAGTTATTGACTCCATGTATTACTAGTTTCCATTGGTAGTAAAAAAAACAATAAAGTAAAGTACATGTAAACTTCACTCGGCACCATTTCCACTGCAATGTTGAGCATATTCAGATGGGCTTGCCCACTGCACATTATTGAAAAACTAGTGTGTGCCATGGTCATGAGAAAAGTGTACCCCAATGTGCTACTGTGTTCCACGTCAGATTTATGTGCTCATGGTAATTCACCTTACACAGTACACACTCTGTCTTTTTCAAAAGTTTTCTAGAAAATCATTCTGCTAAAATTAAACACAATTTAATAGGGGTACTTTTTTGCATTAGGATACCTTTTCTGAAACCAACAAATTTCCTCTGCACACTGCTGGACTTTGTTGGACCAACTTTAAGGTTGCATACATGGCTATAATCCCTCTGTATGGTATCTATGGCTTAATTCATGGTGAGAGCATTGGTAAAAATGGCTGTTTTACTCCTAATAAATAATAATAATAATAACAACATGTTCTTATATAACGCTTTTAAACTCACATCAAAGTGCTTGAAATTATTACTACCCCTGATCATTGGACAAATTCAAGGGCGGATCCAGAACACCTTATTTTTTAGGGGGGGGGGCAAAAAAAATCTGGTCCCCCAAAAAGTGGGTCCATAAAGTTACGGCGAGGGGTTCGGGGCCCGCTTAAGGTGCAATTTGTGACCACTTTAACCATATTTATTTTAGGAAAAGATGGTGGTGTACACAGTGACTGCCTTTATTGTGACGTCACGTCACAATAAAGGCAGTCAATAAAGGCCCCCGTTGCCCCCCCCCCCCTAGATCCGCCCCTGGACCAATTAAAGCATTCCAAATACTATCTCAGCTCCCTGGGGAGTATACAGCTAGATGCAGCCATTTCTACTGTCATCGAGCGTTGGAAATTGATACAAAAATACCACTTTTCTTGAAATTTCAGCACAACAGGTGCCATGATTTTATATGCTTTAGACTGTCATTCGCTAACAGTCCAGTAGGGTATTTCATAATAATTTGGTAGTTTTGGTTTTGGATGTTTACAAATATATATATTCCCTTCAAGTTTAACTCCTGGGTGGAAAGAAGCAATGAGTGACAATGCCCCAGACCATGAGGCCATGGTACTCCACTAATTGGCTTCAATTACACACACAAAATGAAATACTAAACCTCTGTATTGAGACTCTCAGCCAAATCCATAGGTAAACTGAGCCATATCCTTGTGAATAGGGAAACAATTGTGGTAAAGTGTCCTGCCACATTAAAAGTATGGATTTTAAAGAGGTTTATGGGTGTTGCAGGCACACTGTGCTCAATCAATGGGGGGGGGGGTTGGTTTCAAATTCTGATATCAATATTCCAGCCTTCAAATTATCAGTAACAGTTATGGATTGGAATAGGCTGGCCCAAATCAAACATCACAAGTGGATTTTCTGATAGCATGAAGGACACAGTGGATTTAACTTGATTGTTTGTTGTGTTTATGTGCTATTTATATATAAGTATACAGTTATAAACTCAAGGTTGCCCTTTAGAACTTTTTGTTGTAGGCCTGTTTGAACCAGAAAAATCCAGTTTTTACATAAATCATAACCAATGATACGTATTACAAAATACACAATTTTTGGAGATTGCAATAGGAGTCAATATACCTGGTGATGAACAAAGGTGATATTTGCTATTTTAATCAAAGGGCAATTCTAGCGAGAAGTGGACAAAATTTAAAAATAAAAAAAATAAAAAAAGAAAGAAACTTTGCTATATCTTTAGAACTACAAGCATCACAACAACTAGTTTGCCAGCAAATTAAAGAGGACAACAAGACCTTTTATTTGAGTGGTGTGACAGTGAGATGGAATGTAGTTTAGCATGATTTGGGGTTTAAAAAAAACTGGCATTTTTTTGCTAAAATCATGGATTTTTGGTACTCGTTTTGGCACCTTATTTTAAAATGCAAAACGTGAGTGTTATTGTGCGTTTTTTTGTTTTCAAGGCATAGGGAAAGGTTCAAATTCTATACTAAAGGATGGTTTTTGTTTGATTATTAATTTCTCATATCTTTAAACTGGTGCCAAAGATGGCGGACAAACTCAGCTGTAACCTTACTAACCATTACGTGACTAACCACCATTTATTGGTCTTGCTTCAAAATAAAGAGACTGGTTGAATACAATTATCTGCCAAAACATTTCCCATCAAGCACGTAGTAATATAAATATGACACTTTGCTTTAGGTGTATCCCTTCTGAGGAAACTTTTTACACAAAGACATTACACTTTTATCCATACATGGTAACCATCCCAACTATTGTATCTTAAAATACAGTAGTAGGTAGTATGTACTTAAGGTTAAACATAACTGTGACTTGAAACTCATGTACATGTAAGAGTCAAGTAAGATATGATAACTTGCTAAAAATGTAACGTTACTAACCATGGAATTGCCCAAAGGTTCTGCACGAGTGAGCAATTTGATCGGTACTAAGTAAAGTAAAGTAAAGTATCCTGCTGAAGGAAACAAACCTTTGGAATCACATTCTTTTAAATCAAACCCCACTCTATATGTAACTGACATGCTTAAAAAAAATAAAACGCTGGGCCATTACAAGAAATTTATCATTGCTGGAAATTGACCAAGAATTGATGATACTTTACCCTGAAAGAGTGGGCATATCTGCCAGCTCATGATGCAGCCCCTGGACATGAACTGCCCAAGACTGACCTCCAGAAGAAACATAGGGATGCCGGACACCAGAAGGCATAAGAAGTAGGGGATTAAAAAGGCACCTGCAAGAAGAGAAATGGATCAGAAGGCCCATCAGTATTGTATAGTTGAGTCCATCTTAAAGGGAATATACAACATTTGCAAACATCGAAAAATAAAACTACCAAGTTTTTGCGAATACCTTAATAGGATGTTGGTAAATGACAGTCTAAAGCATCCTGTAAAATTATGGCACCTGGTATACTGTCATTTTCAAGAAAAGTGGTATTTTTGTATCAATTTCCAACGCTGATCGGCCGATCAGCGTTGGAAACAACTGGCTTTTTTTTCAAATACTGGCCCCAATTGACCATCGCACTTGTTTACAATCGATTACAAACCTATGAACGGGTACGAGCCAGCTAGACTGGTTCCCTAACCTTACAATTCCCCAATGTATGTAAACTGCTCTGTTTCTTCTTATATGGAGTCAGGGAACCAGACTAAAGGAAAATGATCGTTTTTCTTGGTTTTTATAGCATTTTCGAACCCAAAACCTCCAAAAGTCAGTGTAACTATATTTGCTTTATATTTCCAACCCCCCAATTCCAACCATTTCTGAAAATTACAGCAAAAGCAAATGATGTATATTCCCTATGTAATTTCTTTAATGCAATTCTTGAAAAATGCACCTTTGTGTCTCATTTCACCGTATTTTCAATTTTCATTTTACTATGTTTATGGACATTTTTTGGTGCCTTTTTGGTTTTTATGTTAATGAGAATTTCCACATTCATGAGCAAAAGTGTGATGTCATATCAGGCAGAAACCTCAATGTTACAGCTATTGCAGCACTAAAATTTGCCAGATTTCTGATATTTTGCTTTCGTAAATTTTCTTTACTTTATTGATTTGTTCTTGTTTCAGTACATGACTGTATTAAGCCAATGAGCAAAGTTTTCTCACAAATGTTTTCAATGAGTACATGTCGGGTTCACAATAATTTTGAACAGAAAACCCCTAAAGTGAACAGTGTCTTCCTGAAATGACATTAAGTACTCACCGCCTCCATTTTTGTAGCAGAGATATGGAAATCGCCAGATATTTCCCAAGCCAACGGCATACCCGATGCAGGACAGAAGAAAATCCAGTTTGTTGGTCCAATTATCCCGCTCCGGGATGGAGCCTGTCTCACTTGAATCATCGGCCGAGTTGGCTGATCCCTCCCGATCCTCGCCAACGTCATTGCCAATTGGTGGAGGAGGTTTTGTTCCATTCATTGGGTGTAGGTTTGGCGTTTGAGTTCCCTGCTTTCCTGCAATTAGTGTGAATCTGTTGTGGGCTAGCCCCGTAAATGTGGCCAATTTACTGGACTATACCTCCGTAAATAAAGGCCACACTCAAAAATGTAGAACTTTGTCAAGTTTACATTTTCACATTTAAAATTTTGTAGTTTATTTATGCTTTAGAAGAGCGCACACACTCACCCTCTAGAAAATGAATCCCCCCTTTTACAGACGTCTATATTTTGTGTAATTTCCAGGTTCATTTTGCACACGTTAGCATATTTAAATTCCTACACGAAATTACACAAAAAAATAGGCGTCTGAAAAAGGGGGGATTAATTTTATATCGCTTTAAGCGGGTGAGTGTGCTTCTAAAGCATAAATAAACTATAAACAAAGTCTAAATGTGGATATAAGAACTTGACAAGTTCGACATTTTTGGGTACATGTTCCAAGTGTGGCCTTTATTTACGGAGGTACAGATGTACTGTCCAGTAAATTCTCCACATTTATGGGGCTAGTTGTGGGCAGGTTATGTTATTTAAATCCAATCACAACAAAGGGCAATTGAGAACACCTGCTTCACAATATCACAATCTAACTGAACAGTTTTTCATCCTGAAAAAAAGTATGATAGTTGAGGAAAATTATAAAAGACTTTGGAAGGAAAAGTGTGATTTTAGAGTTGTAATAACTACCAGTTAATAAGCAAGGGGGTGAGTGCTCACTGATAAAAAGAGCTGAAAACACCTGATGAAAAAAATATGTAAACAATTTGAACTTTGGAAATCTCCTATACTTCGATCTGCACATTGCAAGTGAGGAAAAAGGGCTGAAAAAAAAGCTGAAATCCAAAACAAAATCAGCTGAAATCAGCCGTTAAAGCTCAGATTTCACACCGCTGAATAATGAACTAAATTATTCACAATAGGCCTATACCCCCTGGCTCTGAAAATCAAAATGTTAATGTGTCAAACACAAAAGTACTCAAATTTGAGATTTCTGCATAGTACAATCTTAGTTTCCTATTGCTGACGGAGGCCTACAACTTTGACTCTTTTTTTTACACAGAAAGTGTCAACATTTTCATCTTACAGAAGACATCACTTACCGTTAAATTCTAACAGGATTAAAATAATTTGAAGGCTCCACTGTGTTACGTAGTTCTTTGCCTGGTTAAATACAAATTGAAATTGAGGCTCTGATAAAAGTCGGCAGAATGTATGCACACTTTTCAGTCAACAAAATAAGTATGCCGATATGATTCACCGTCACCTGTAAAGCAAATATCCCTAAAATGCGTGCACTACTACAAGTACAAGTTACCGCGCCTAGCCTGCCACGTGTTTTTTGTGTGTGTGTTCATGTGGAAATGTTCACAAAAACAATAAACATGATCATACACGTGACATGCGCGTATATGCGCAATATTCGCGGCGCACCGGCGCACAAGCCTCAAAGGCAGTTCGTTCGTATCGTACTAGTCTGGTTCCCCAGACCATGGAGGGAGGAAACATGCCCAGACCAAAAGATTCTTACTGGGTCCGGTCAACCTCGTCCCCAGTGCTTACTTTATTTCCAACCGCGTTTCCACTGCAATAGTAAACCCTGGATAGGAAACTTTCTTCCTGTATCCTGATTGGATACCGCAAATGGCTAGTAATGGATTTTTATCGTGTACTTGGTGCTATTTTTCACAACGTGCAGTACGTGTTTTCGCTATCATTCGTCCACGCCTTCTCGAAAATACTAATTTCCTTTCCAATTTGCTCATATTAATATGAAATATGATACTGCATGTTGTCTCGATAAGATCGTAACAGTTTGATTTCAAAAATCGTGTTTTCGTAACTCACGCCGTGCTCGCGCTGCTACGAATTGACTCTGTTTTATACGGTGGCCCACAACTGTCACGGCAAAAGCAAAAGCGCCACGGCAAGCGCAAAAGCGCCGCGGCAAGCGCAACAGCGCCACGGCAAGCGCAAAAGCGCCACGGCAAAAGAAAAAGCGCCGCGGCAAAAGAAAAAGCGCCGCGGAAAAAGAAAAAGCGCCACGGCAAAACAAAAAGCGCCACGGCAAAAGAAAAAGCGCCACGGCAAAACAAAAAGCGCCGCGGCAAGCGCAAAAGCGCCACGGCAAGCGCAAAAGCGCCACGGCAAGCGCAAAAGCGCCACGGCGAAAGCAAAAGCGCCACGGCGAAGGCAAAAGTGCCACGGGTTTATTGGGAAGGGGCGCAATCATACATGCCGCTACTACATCAAAAAATAAAATGGGAAGGAGAATGGCCGCCACCAGGAATTCTTATTAAGCACAGAATTTAATTCTTTGAGAAGTGATTTTATGGCTGAGAAAATAGCAAGGCCAAGGAAAACCGGTCAGGAAATAAATCGTCGATATTAATTTGTTGTAGGATAATTATTATTCCAAGAGAGTTGCTGCCGTGAATCAGAGTTTATCAAGGAGTGGGACTCGCTATCAGCACCATCAGGGCCGTTCCTCATTTCTTTACATTTCTTGGGATGCAAACAATTACGAGGACGGGAGGCTCTGTGAGCTGATGCAATTTTGAAGACATTTTTTTTCCCCTTCCGACTAGCATGCAGAGAAGAGTTCCGTTAATTTGAGCCTTTTTTTCACAGGTGTGTATACCAGTGTAGGCACGAAAGTGAGCTGCCCAGAGTGTATGAGTTATTTTTTTTTTCTTTTTCAGCATATCATACACATCTAGGAAGTCGATTAAGTCTCTCCTGCAGGGCTGCGGCAGTGGGTGGGTAAGGCTTGTCAACACGTAACTCGCCCGCGGGCCCATTAGGTTAGAAATTCCCAGAGAGCTGGAATTTCAAAACTCTTCGCTGAACGTTGCTTGCACTGACCGGTTTTTCTTGCTATTTTCTCAGCCATAAAATCACTTCTCAATTCATGGTGGCGGCCATACTCCTTTCCATTTAATTTTAGATGTAGTGGCGGCATGTATGATTACGCCCCTTCCCAATAAACACGACTGAGTTGAAGATAACTCACAAATCGAGAAATGGATCGTTCTATTAGACAGTTGCAACGCTTTCGACAGAGGAGGTTAGGTCGTGGATTTCATGTAAGGAACGTAACACAGGCGAAGACTTTGGATATAGAATAAGAAAGAAAGAAATTAACTTAAAAAGGGGGGGGGGGGGTAAGGGAGAGACACTAAACAAAGGAGAAGTGTTATCGTTGAGATGCCCAGTTCTAAGCTCTTCTATGAAAATTTGGTGGCTCTGAAAAGAGCCGTTTGCTTTGTTTCGAGTGAATACGGAACTATTTGATGCCGGAAACAAGCCCTCTTTCTGCCCTGCAGGCTGATTCTGCGATGATGTGGAAGACTGTCCACAGGGCAACTCATCATCGCTATCGCTAAGCATCATGAGGTCTTGTTCGGCTTGTTGGTTTCTTGAGCCGGGGGTGGGTGGGCCAATGAGTTCTAGGTTCTGAGTTAATTTCTTTCTTTCTTATTCTATATCCAAACTCTGGGCAGCTCAATTGTGTGCCTACACTGGTATACACACCGGTGAACTCATGGGCGAATTTTTTCTAAAGGGGCAAAACATATTTTTCCCAAAAAATTCTTGTATTTCTGAACAAATTCCCGATTTCTCAGTTTTAGACGGGGGCAGGGACATTTTGCCCCCCCCCCCAACTCATTCAATTTACACCACTATGACTTCGCGCCTCTTTTTCTTTTCTTTTTTTCTCTCAGTTTTTCCCCTTCCTTTTTTGTGTGCTATTCCAGGGGGGGGGGGGGAAGCGCCCCCTTGCCCCCCTCGCGACGCCCATGGGTGAACTAAGTCTCAAATTAACGGAACTCTTCTCTGCATGCTAGTCGGAAGAAAAAAACTCTTCAAAAAAATGCATCAGCTCACAGAGCCTCCCGTCCTCGTAATTGTTTGCATCCCAAGAAATGTAAAGAAATGAGGAACGGCCCTGATGGTGCTGATAGCGAGTCCCACTCCTTGATAAACTCTGATTCACGGCAGCAACTCTCTTGGAATAATAATTATCCTACAACAAATTAATATCGACGATTTATTTCCTGACCGGTTTTCCTTGGCCTTGCTATTTTCTCAGCCATAAAATCACTTCTCAAAGCATTAAATTCTGTGCCTAATAAGAATTCCTGGTGGCGGCCATTCTCCTTCCCATTTTATTTTTTTGATGTAGTAGCGGCATGTATGATTGCGCCCCTTCCCAATAAACCCGTGGCACTTTTGCCTTCGCCGTGGCGCTTTTGCTTTCGCCGTGGCGCTTTTGCGCTTGCCGTGGCGCTTTTGCGCTTGCCGTGGCGCTTTTGCGCTTGCCGCGGCGCTTTTTCTTTTGCCGTGGCGCTTTTTTTTTTTGCCGTGGCGCTTTTTGTTTTGCCGTGGCGCTTTTTCTTTTTCCGCGGCGCTTTTTCTTTTGCCGTGGCGCTTTTTCTTTTGCCGTGGCGCTTTTGCGCTTGCCGTGGCGCTGTTGCGCTTGCCGCGGCGCTGTTGCGCTTGCCGCGGCGCTTTTGCGCTTGCCATGGCGCTTTTGCGCTTGCCGTGACAGTTGTGGGCCACCGTAGTTTTTACCCCAGACACCGCATACAAAAACAAACGTTAATGTGTAACGCATATCCAGGCACCAGACTGTTCCTCATTTGCATACGTGTTCAAAAATCTTGCACATGCAAATGATCCAATACCAGGGTGAGAGAGCAGTTAGTGGTGGGCGCGTACTGCTCGACACCCTGGGGACGAGGTTGAGGTCCGGTAGCCTCCGGTAATACATTGTATTACAATTTACGTCACGTGACTAAAACGGGAGGAATTCCTCCTTTTTTCCGAAAATTTCCGAAGTTTGCCGAAGTCGTTTCGTCGACAATCGGATAGCGCCCGAGTATTTCCGAGTATATAATATAGGTTCCTTGCTCTATGGTTTAATTAACTGCTAATGCTTATTAATTTTATTTTAAATGAGTTGATAATTAATATTCATTGCTTTCATTTAGAAAACTTGAATTTCAACGAATATTTTGTGCATCAAATATACTCGGATCGTATGGGCGAACTTTTTGTTGCGTCATGTACAATTTTGAATTTGACGACCGTTACCGAAATTTTCCAAAACTCGGTCTTCATTCAGCTCCGCCTGCTAACAGTGCTATTTGGGTGCCTAATTTTGAAGATTCCAGATCAACATTAGTCAATGTTATCTTACAGAAACAACAAACTGTATAATCATAACTGAATGATATTACGAAGCAAGTGATTTATTTAAAAAATTTGATCAGAACATTAAAAGCTACAAGCGATAAAGCGAAATTGGAAACGAAACCGAGCTTTGAAAAAGGGCCATCAATGTCGTCATGTTTATTTTTAACCACGGAGGCTGCCTGACCCATTGATCTCCATATACACAGTCTGTGTATATGGAGATCAATGGCCTGACCTCAGCCTCGACTCCAGGGGCGCGTGCTCGTTCCTTACACTAACGATCGCGCAAGGCATGATAGGAAACAACATGGCGCTGCAAGATCGTACCCACGGGGCACGAGGTTGGCCTGACCTAAGATTCATCACTGGTTTCGAACCGAATTTGCGCCTGATTACTCTCAGTTATTGGTCAAGTGGGCTCCCCCTCTCAAGTTTATCGTGGTCTCTTAAAATTCTATTGCCTATTTCCCTTCAAAAATCATGTAGTTTATGTGTTCAGAAATAAATTTAACAAATAACTTGTCCTTTTCTGTTATGTTAGATAAATTTGTTCGACTCCTCTGTTGACTTTTGCGAGTCTAATGTAATACGGCTCTTTTTACTAGGTTTCCCCGATAGAGGGCGATATTTATCCTGATCGGCGCGCGTGTGGTGAGTACAGTGACTGCAGGCCGGCTGGTGTAACGTTAAACAGCGGAGGTGAGTATTTAATTTATTATTTAAAGGGAATATACATCATTTGCTTTTGCTGTAATATTCAGAAATGGGTGGAATTGGGGGTTGGAAATATAGCAAATAGGCCTATAGTTACACTGACTTTTTTGAGGTTTTGGGTTCGAAAATGCTATAAAATTAGCTGGAGTTACCCAGCCCTGAGTTTTATCATTGGGTTGTCTATTAGGGCTGGAGCGCATTTTTCTCAAAACTTGTAGTATTTGCAAAAAAAATTTGGAAAATGTTCAATTTTGTCCCCGTTACACACTAATTGCAACTGCAACTCACCCCAAACTTGCCTGGAATAACCATTACACAGGTCCTTGAAGTAAAAACGATCCACGATGAAGATTCAGCCTACAATTGCAGTGAAAACAGGAGGAATAATCGCTAACTTGACAACCTTGCTGGATTGGCCAGGACCGCTATTGGTTTGTGCACAAAAAAAATTGTGTACAATGAATGGCGGTCGATTAACAGGCACAGAGAGCGATCGCTGTCAACTACTCGGTTTTGCCGGCTGTGCTGGCATGTTGGCGCATGACGTCACGCGGAAGCGTAACACCCGATGACTGTTTCATGCACTATTGGTTGCGGTTCCAGTACCAAAGCTGTGATGCGAGTGGTAAACCTTATACTAGTGCATGAAACAGTCATCGGGTGTTACGCTTCCGCGTGACGTCATGTGCCAACAGCCAGCGCAGCCGGCAAAAACTAGTAGTTGACAGCGATCGCTCTCTGTGCCTGTTAATCGACCGCCATTCATTGTACACAATTTTTTTTGTGCACAAACCAATAGCGGTCCTGGCCAATCCAGCAAGGTTGTCAAGTTAGCGGTTATTCCTCCTGTTTTCACTGCAATTGTAGGCTGAATCTTCATCGTGGATCGTTTTTTACTTCAAGGACCTGTGTAATGGTTATTCCAGGCAAGTTTGGGGTGAGTTGCAGTTGCAATTAGTGTGTAACGGGGACAAAATTGAACATTTTCCAAATTTTTTTTGCAAATACTACAAGTTTTGAGAAAAATGCGCTCCAGCCCTAATAGACAACCCAATGATAAAACTCAGGGCTGGGTAACTCCAGCTACTATAAAATTAAAAACAAGAAAAACAATCATTTTCCTGTTGTCTGGTTCCCTGACTCCATATAAGAAGAAACAGAGCAGTTTACATACATTGGGGAATTGTAAGGTCAGAGAACCAGTCTAGCTGGCTTGTACCCGTTCATAGGTGTGTAATCGATTGCAAACAAGTGCGATGGTCAATTGGGGCCAGTATCAGGTCCGGGACCTGCGCTCAATCTAGCGACGTCACTAGATTGTGCTACGGTCGCTCGATCGAGCAATGATGACGTCAATTACGTCACGAATGATGGCGATGACGTCATTGTTTGGTTGTTTTTTTTATAGCTCCTACCTCCAGTGAACGGCCGGGATCGGAAATGGCCGCCACGGCAGCAATGTTAGACTGGTTCCTAGTCCTCCAAGTATCTGTTGCATACTGCAAAAATCAATTTGCGAAAGAAATAGCTTTGTCTAAGCTTTTTAAAGTATGTAAAAGGTTCTGATAACTGTTTTTAATCGTGATTTTCTTGTGCAAATTGCATGATTTTGTGTGAGTGTTCCAGAATAGCTGTCTAGAGTGGGTTTAGACTAGCTGCCAGTCCCTCTTTGTCTCATTCCATTTTTGCTCTACATGTAGTCTCCTCCTTTTTGCCAGTTGTTCTGGTACATGTGCTGGAGTATTTGTTTCTAAATCTGTTTAAAGCAGTGTCCAGCCTTCTTCTTATGATAATCATCATTGTTTTATTTGACTCAACAAAAGCAATGCACTAAAAACAAATATCAAAATCAGAATAAAAAAGGATGGTCAACGGGTCATGTGTGGCATTGTACTTGAACATAGTGGGCACAGTATATGGCCCAGAAATGGACGGGTCCATTAGTTTGGGTATTTTTTGGGGGGGGGGGGGGGAGGTGTGCCCCAGTTTCATGGCCTATGGCATATTTGCACATACAAAATGGTGAAGAATCCTTTAAAAAAAATCCTGGATCCGGATAACGTCCAAAATCTAATGGGTTCGTACTTGTACCAAGGACCACCCCTACACAAATGTTCATGAAAATCTGCCCACAACTTTTTGAGTTATCCTGTTCACAGACACACCAACCAACACCGGTGAAAACATAGGGCCTAACCTCCTTGGCGGAGGTAAAAATGGTATATGGGGGGCACAAGCCAACCCCCCAATATAGTTGCACCGCTTGTTGAAAGCACTTGCCATAGTTGTTTATGTTTCTGTCGGTGTTCCGGTGCTCCATGGTTGTAAACATCTGTCCCACTCACTCCCCTATACTTGTATCACACTGGAATTCCTTTTTGTTCCCAGTAGCAACGTATCTTATCGCATTCTGGACAGGACAGCAATGTTCTGGATTTTGTTATGCATTGTAAGTTTACAGACTGACAGTTTTGTTTCCCTTTCTTTTTCGTTGTTCTGATTTGTTGCAGCGTGGCACAGTCCAGCGTGATTGAAGTACACAACAGAATTACAACAGCTGCAGCTTGTTCACAGTCAATATTCATAATCATGGTTGGCTTTTCACCGCCATTCATTATTGCAGTGTTTATTGCAGGTACATAGATGTCATGTCTTTGGAAGTAAGATTCTGTAGCCCATGATTACTAAGCTTTGGCATTCAATGTTCACCATCAGCTAGTTGGGAGTTCTGTATTTTGCAGGATTAAGGAAGAGCACAGCCACTGTTACTTTATTTAAATGGAGCTTGGTGCTTCTTGGTCGGACATCATTCGAAACCCAGTCTTCTCCTGATGCGTGGACACACAACGTTGTGCGCAACCCACTTTTTACTCCTCACTTCCTGGGGCTGGGTTGCACATGCCCCCACCCCTACAAATTCCAGTCCCCCACCCCCTATAAAAGCAAAAACTGCCCAAGAAGTGTCATTTTCAAAGTAAATTAACAAAAGGGGAATGTAGAACAATAGTTTTTAACTTGAAGCTAATTCCCTGAACCATACAGATTTATGAAATAATACTGAATATTAGAGATAAGAAAAGGTAAAAATGCGCCCCTAGCATCAAATAAGTCCCCCCCCCCCCCCCCCCCCCCCCCCCCCCCCCCCCCCCCCCCCCCCCCCACTGAAAGAAGTCCTTTTGTAACCGGCAACTCGAGTCACATGGGAAGGGGTTTCAAATACGCCCCTATGCTACAAAGAATCTGTCACTGTGGTGGAATTTTGAGTATTCGGAAGATCCCTTGCAAATGACAGCGTAACATTTCAAACCAGCAAAACAGTGGAAAATCCCATTTTCCTTATGAGCTAAGTCAAAATAGAAGGTTCAATTCTTGAAAAATTGCATGCACTTAACAAGTTAATAGACACCAGACATTCATGTTTGATGTGCACATGCAGTATACTGTCTGCATCACTGACTGAGTAAGTAAGTAAAGTCCGTCATGAGCCAATGTGGCCCATCAGGCCTGGGCTTATCTCTGGTTTCAGTAGCATGAAACTACTGTCCCCAACCACTGGTTTGGTACCCATATATACTCCTGGGTGGAGAGTGGCAAGTGGGGGTGAACTGGCTTGCCCAATGACACAACATATGAATAGCAGCTGGATTCGAACTCCTGACCCTCTGATCATGAGTCACGAACCCTAACCACTAGGTTTGAGTAGTTTGAGTTTCTCAGTATAATGTAACTAATTATTGAGCTCTCTGTTATAACTTCATTAGTTGCTTTCATATTTTCAGAGATTTTTTTTTTAAATTGCAGTAGTGACTGCTGATAGCGAGGATAGTCCAGTGGTGCATCTTGGCAAATCGTCATCTGTAAAAGGCTTCATCACACGGGCAGTCGACTCCCAGACACCAGTCTACAACTTCCGCAGCATCTACTATGCAGCGCCCCCTACCGGTAAGCGACGCTTCGCTCCCCCCGCACGCAGGAAGCCCTTTGAGGGCCTCTCTGACGCCACCAAGTTTGGCCCGCTTTGCCCCCAAGACATAGAGCAGGCGGAAAAGGCATTTGTTGGGCTGCCGATGCCGACACGAGAAGTGAGCGAAGACTGCCTCCACCTCAACATCCACACCCCATCTCTTGATGACGAGGCCAAATTGCCGGTCATAGTTCACTTCCCCGGGGTGCGTTTGCCAACGGGGGAGCGGGTTTCTATGATGGAACAGCCCTTGCTGCCCATCACCAAGTGGTGGTCGTGACTGTCAATTATCGGCTGGGAGCGTTGGGTTTCTTGAGCACCCTTGATGCAACGTCGCCAGGGAACTATGGCCTCTTAGACCAGGGTGCTGCCTTGCGCTGGATCGGTGCAAACATCAAGAAATTTGGGGGCGACCCCAGCGTGGTCACCATCATGGGAGAGTCAGCGGGAGCCATGAGTGTACACTTCCACATGTTATCTCATGTCAACGAGAGGCTCTTCCATCGAGCCATCGCCCAAAGTGGGATGGCCAATGCCCCTACGGCGCTGGTCCGTGACCCCAAAGATTTGGCCGAGAAACTGGCAAATGCGCTCAAGTGTCCCACAGACAACACCAGAGTGATGGTGGAGTGTCTTCGTCAGAAACCGGCCGAGAAGTTCAGCCAGATAAAGCTCACCAAACGCCCCATCGAGTTCGGCCCTGTGGTGGATGGCTTCTACTTGAAAGACGATCCCAGGGAAATCCAGACTAAGTACCAGGTCCCGAGGAAGGAGTTGCTGCTCGGGTTTAACAGTGATGAGGGCGGACAATCCATTCTGGACAGCAGAGGCTCAAAGGATTTTTTCAAGTTTCTTTCAGCTAAGACATTTGACACTTTCCTGGAAGAACTGGTAAGGATAACACATAATAGAGCAGATTTCCTTGCACGATATCTTTATCAAACTGTAGTGCAGTTGTGGGTCTTTATAAAACTTTTACAATTCTGACCATTTATCCAGCGGGCACTTTCTAGTGGGTCTTCCATAACCCAAATTGTATTATGAAAACATGGTATCCAGATTGACCAATCCACAGCTTAGTCCACGTTTCTGATCGAACTGATGTCACAGTTTCTAAAGACCACTCCGTTTGGCTGGCAGGCAGGGTCGCATAAAATTTACATGCTGTGATATATATGTGTCAGAAGTTTGCCCACGTGAATGTCTGATCCTCAGATGGGGGGGGGGGGGGGGGGGGGGGGTTAGAATATGCTAATTAAACGAGTCCAGGAGGTTCAGCTCTCTGCTTGTTCTGCTTCTTCCTACATTGTAATAAAACCTCTTGTATAATTTTTTTGTTTTCCTTGCAGCTCTATCTTACGGTCCCAAAAGATTTGCCTATCAAGCCCCTTGCTCGGGCCATCACCAAAATCTACACTGGAGAAGGGTCACTTAAAGACGATGATCAGGCTAGAAAGACCGTCTCAGATGTCATCACTGACAGCATGTTTGTGGCGCCAGCGGTAACCACTGCTAACACTCTCAGCAGTAAGTTTGATATGTTGGGCTAATTTTAAAGGAATCTGGCAACATTAGCATCCCCGATTTACCTTCATCATCATTATCATCATCATCTCCACCGTCCTCATCATCATCACTATCATCTTCATTCTCATCATTGTCATCACTGTCTTGACTTCAGCACATGCTGTCCACATTCCTCTAGGAGGTTTCCGAGTTAGAAGGGCCCAACTCAGAAAAAGCACTGCCCTTTTGGCTTGTCCTGTTGCTTGCATTATATATCTTGTATTAATAAACTAAATTTAAGCCCGTCGCACACCTTTCCGATTTTACCGGTTCACCGGATCATCAGGCCATCTGACGTACAGTTTTGAGAAGTGCGGGCTGAAAAATCGGACCGATCTGACCGTACGCCAGGCAACCAGATGCATCCAAACATGTTTGATTTCTTCGCATCCAATTTCACCCGGAAAGGTGTGCGGGCAGCACTCCGATTTCACCAGATGTGATATTTGTGTTAACCAATCAGATTCACGAAGGAAGTTACATGTACATGATTTGAAATTGATGGCTGCCATTTTGTCATCATGTGACCGATTATAGAATGGAATCGAGCATCCGCAACGGTGGGGAAAAAAAACGTATTGTTGATCTGGTGATCTGGTGAACCGGTAAAATCGAAAAAGGTGTGAGGCAGGCTTTAGATAACTAGCAGTTTAATCCTTTGTTGATTTACAATCTTATCTATGCGGGTTAGTAAAATATGCGCCAGATTTCTTGAATATTTAATGTCAAAAAGCCCAAGCTTCCTGCCCCATGTAACTGGGTCATTCCACTGGGTTGGGAAGCAGTGCATGTTACATCCATATATTTGGTTATATTATTAAAAGTATCAATGCATTCTAAACAATTGCTCAACATAATATTTGTCTTCGGGTGTTTCAATAATTGAGAAAGTTTGAAATCATTTGAAAGTACTTTGACAAAAATATGAGCAAAAATGTATTAATTCGGACGTAACATTGACACCGTGTCAATGTTACATCCAAAAATTCTTTTTTTGCCATATTTTACACGTATGTAAAATATTACCCAAACTGACATTGCATATTTACAACTGGACACCTAAGCACCAAGAAAAGCTTTTGTTTTGGTATAGTCGGGGTTCAAATATAGCAGAAACAATACCTCAAGTGTGGATGTAGCGGTGTACAAATCACTCAATGGAAGTGTGACATTTGGGTTTTACACTGTGTAAATGTTACGTCCACACAACCAAGCTATCATTTCTGCTCCATTTGATGTCTGACTACCATAACAAAAGCTTTTCTTATTGTGTTGCATGTATAGTAAGCAGTACGCAAAGTAAATTTGGGTAATGTTTCACAGAAATTTTATAAAAAGGTACAAATGTCATATTTGGACGTAACACTGACACGGTGTCAATGTTACGTCCAAAATGACATTTTTTGCTCATATTTTTGACAAAATACATTGAAATGATTTCAAACTTTCTGCAGAAGTGAAACACCCAACAACAAATATTATGTAGAGCAACTGCTAGCAAGGCATTCATGCTTTTCTTAATATGGTCATATGTCACACTTTGTTCCCCAACCCGGTGGAATGACCCAACTACTTTGCAAACTTTAAATCATGAAAAAAAAAGACCCCTCCAAAGCCGAGAACGATACTAATAAAGAGTATCGTCCATAATTAAGGATTACAAGCACTTGTGTCGTGAAGTATCATTCTCTGAATTGTTAATAAGATATCGTGGTTGATTGGCTCTGTCACGGACATTACACTTCCTTTCATAGCCCTGGAAATGCCCATTATAGTTTTCTTTGTTGTTTACTAAAATTTGTAATGAGTGATTTACATGTAAGAACACAACAGCGGGTTTGAAAAACATTCGGGTATTGGTGTAAATTGGCAACATGGGTCGAAGTTTAGCAGGACAGCCCTCCCATCCAAAACGCCTTGTGGAAAACACTTAACAATACAATCATCAGCATCAAAATCATCATCATCAGTATCAGTCACCATCTTCACCTCAATTATCAATACATGTACCATGTTAAACATGTACCAGGGGTGTGATTTTTCCGGATTTTTCCGGATTTTTCATCAACGTCTGCGGATTTTTTTTGCGGATTCCGGATTTTTAACGTTTTCTGTTTCCGTAATAATATCGCCCAAAAACTTCTGGCGAAATATAGGCTCTAATTTACGATAATGGATGGACTGGTGACAAGTCTAATGCAGTGCGGTCAAGAACCTATTAGACATTAATGCAGTATGCGCAGTGGAGTACTTGAGGACCAGACTAAAAATAATTTTCAATGGGTTTGCAGCACCTCGTGTTTGTATATCGCGTGTGGATATGTGTGTGTGTATTGTGCATGTACTGTGCAGTGACGATCGTGTGCTAGCAATTGGCAAACACATTGGTGTCAATATTGCTGCGATCATTTTGTCAAGGAATTCAAGAGTATGGCTGGAAGAACTGGTAATAAAGTGTCACTGTGGATGGAAATCAGTTTGAGCTGCAGAAGTGCTTTGAAAAATAGCCACCACCAACACAAAATTTCAAAAATGTTTTGGAAGCCTGGGACTGGAGTTTAAATTAAAGTAAGATTAAACTTTTTCAGCACCGTTCATATTGTTTTGTGTGAATCGTTTCTCTCTGCAACATGCAAAAGTAATAACATCACACACAGAAAAAGCCTCTATGAATCAATCACATGGATTATATTATTTAATGACCAGACGTTTTTTCTTAATTTTTCCCCATTTGTTTTCTTTACTGAAGCGACAAAATTTGCTAACATTACAGAAATTACAGTACATGTACATGCCCTAGGCCTATATATGGACATACGTGCATGTATATGTATACATGTACATCTATACAAGTACATGTACAATAATACATGTACATGTACATGTATATTACATGTCAACCGAAGTTCGTGGATTTTTCATTTTTGTCCAATCACACCCCTGATGTACACCTCTCTTCAACCAGCCCAAGTTTTGTGTTATCATTATACGCCACCAGAGAATGGACTAACCATCTTTCTGTATGAGTACGGCCACCGATCCTCGTTTTCCACCATCCCCCACTGGGCCAAGGCAGACCACAGGGACGAGGAGGCCTACGTCTGGGGCGAACCCTTCATGGAAGGGAGAGGGACGGGGCCTGAGAAGTTCACAGAGGAGGAGAGGGAGTTGTCCAAGGCCATGATGCTGTACTGGACCAACTTTGCTAAATACGGGTGAGTAATCCTCCACCCCACATTAGTGACACATCCAGCTTGATCCCAGTTTTGGACCAAGGGGGATATTATGTGAAGAGCATCTCCAACAAGAGAAGGAATAGGGTTTTCAGTAAAATTAATGTTTACTACATTGTAATGTCATATTTGTCATTAAAATTCCATTGAGTTTTACGCTCACATTCCTGAATCCTCAAATTTTATTACGATTTTGCACACTTCCTAGGGAGCCAGGGTTAACCCTAACTGCCTAGGCATTTTTGCTAGGATGCAACCACAATCCTGCAAAATCCTCCAACTGCCTCCATGTAACAATAGCATACAGCCTCAATCCTGCAAAATCCTCCGTTATTTCTTGAATGTGGTCCTTGGAGGGGTGACCATTGCCTCAATCCTGCAAAATCCTCTAGCAATCACTGTTAATATGTTGAGGCAGAGCCAGTGAAATCTTGGAGCAGTGCTGAGGATTTCAAGCATAATCTAGGACTAAATGTATGTACGGATGGGCATAAACGACACAAGGTCCGGCCTGAGACCTTGACAAAGTGCATCCTCCAAAATAAGCAGCACATTTTAGCTGTATAGCCTCATACAATCCCACAAAATCCTCCGTTTTGCAAAGAGGATTTTGGAGGATTTGGGAAGTTTGAGGTTAATCCAATGATAATGTGCAGATATTAACCCAATTGCATCTGACCTACTACACTGTATTACATAATTATGTTTGTTCACTCAAGAATCAATAAAACCATAGGGTGCCTGGGCCGTTTCTGGCAGACTGTGAGTAATAATAGGAAGGGCAGTTTCGGGCACTACAGTTACTAAAGGGTTAGACGCTATCATTGACAAAGCACAGTTTCATGTACTTTATTTGTATAGAAATTTATATTTCAGTACACTTGGAGAACACACATTTAATTCATCTTTTTTTTATCCCCCTGGCTTTTAAGCCAAGAAAGGGGGATCTTGCGGTAGATAGTGTATTCTGCTTGTGTGTCCATGTGTTCCATTTTGGTTAGGTTAACTGCTTAGTGCTGTCATATGAAAAATCAGACTTCAATCTCAACCAAACTTGGTGACAATAATCTTTGGGTAGGGGGACTTCAGATGACTTGAGACATTATAGGTCAAAGGTCATCTAGGGGTCAAATGAGGTCATTGTTGTTTTTGGCTAGGTCATCTGAAAAGTGTGCTTACTAATTGAATGTGTAAATACTGCCAGCATGCCAGGGGTATCGCACAAGTTTAACTTGCAGTATTTGTTTTCTTCTTCCCATGGCAGCAATCCCAACGGTGTTTCCACAGCTGATGATGCCGACCATCCCCTCCTGTACTGGCCCCAGTATGAACTAAGTGAGAAGAAGTACCTGGAGCTGGACATGAGCCCCCAGGTATCCCAGAACGCCAAGGTAGAGAAGGTGGACTTCTGGAACAAGCTGTACTCCTTCTGGAAGCTGGGCCGGCGAAAGAAAGAGGAGCTGTAGGGAGATGGTGCAACGTGGGATTTAAGGAGAAGGGGTGGAACTCCTTTGAAGAGCTCAGGTACCGGTACATGCATTTTACCAAGATTTATATATATTTTTGCCCCTAAAAGTGTCTTTTCCTCCGGGATACTTTTCAAGCTTTGTAGACTTCATTTCCTTTGGAAACTCTTTCGAAGGGGCCAACACCAAAGGCCAAAAAGTACATTATTTTGTGGGTTTTTTCTTCAAATACTGACCCCAAATTGATCAAATTTAGTTAGCCTACATTTTGTTTACAATCGGTTACACATCTGTGAATGGGTGCAAGCCAGCTAGTCTGGTTCCCTGACCTGTCAAGTCCCCGACGTCTATAAATTTCTCTGATTCATTTGAGTTAGTGTCAGGGAACCAGACTACGAGAACAGCATTTTTTTGTTGGTTTTGCAGCATCTAAGAACACAAAACTTTTAACAGGTCAGTGTAACGATATCTGCTGCAAAATACTAACCCCCAAATCCATTCATTTCTGAAATTCATCTCAAAAGCAAATGTTGTATATTATCCTGAACCCTCTTACTGTTTGAACAGTCAAGACGGTCAAAAATTCCATCCACTTCTCCCTGCCATGCCTTTTACACAGGCTAGTCACCAATAGCAAGATCATATTTTGAGCAAGCACTCTGACTAGTCAAATTCAGTCAAGAGACAAAGGCAGCCAACTGGTAGAAACCACTGTCTTATCAATCACCTACAGTCAAAGCATAGCAGTATTAAGTTACATAAACACTCACAGCCAGTCAATCCTGCTTTGCGTAGGCTGGGAGCTCTTAACTGTTGAAAACAGTCACTTGATTGTTTTTGACTGAAAGGACTTGGCACAGAATGATTGTTTGCATAGGAGGGTTGCAACAATGATCATGGACTGGCAAAATGTAAGTGTTGTTCATCCAGTGTGATGGCAGGCTAAAAACACCCTCCTCTTTATTAACCGCCCATCATTAATCATTACAGTGGTTGAGAACCATCGCTAAGAATCCTGTGTGGATTTGTGTTTGTTATCGTCTCTGTGTCTCCTTTGCCAAAAGTGGACCATATAAAATCCAAGCTGCTTTAAAATTTAAATTAATTCAAAATTGAAGAAGTTCCATGGTACCTTAACTTGTTTTGAATCAACACAGATAAGACAAACATTGCAAATTATCTTTTTATTAAAAAATCATGTATAGTCAGTTTTGTAATCATGGACAAAATGGGACCAAAATGCAATCATTGTATTTTTCTGAAGTATCTAATATGATTAAGTATTTATTACGCGTACCAACAATCATATATTTTACTTTTTAGATTTTTTTTCAACAAGCATAATGTCAACATGTTTCTGAGGAAAGTAGAACAACTTGCACATATGTGACCCGCTCTGCAAAAATGAGTCTGTTGTGGCAAAACTGACATTTTGAGTTAACTATATTAATAAAATGGGAATGAAATAAGCTTTCATTTGGTATATCACGGACCTCTCTAGGACATTTGGTTGCATTGTTGTGCTTGTTTCATTCTGTAAAGTTTTTGCAAAGCTAGAAGTGTCTCAATGTAGAAAAAAGGCTTTGAAAAATGACAAATACACTGTAACTAACCAAGAAAAGCACCAAAGATTCATAATTTTTTTTCTTTTTCTTACAATATTTACATTTCTGTGTAAGATGTTTGAACTAAAACTATCAAACAACCAAAATAAAACAAAAACAAAAAATCCAAATTTTGAGCAAATTTTTACTGTTTCCATTTCAAAATGGCAAAAGCTTGAATTCAAATTATGCGACATCAGACTCATTTTTGCAGAGCGGGTCACATATATTGGACATGTAAAGGATGAAATACACTTGCACTTGTATAACAATGTATATAAATTAGGATATGGAAAATAGTCATCCATAGATTTTTCTGTGTCTTTTTGCAATGTGTGACAACCATCCGTCACCAAATGAAAAGATTCTTTCCAATGTGAAACATTCATTATTTGTTTGTACACATCACCTGAATAAATCCTCGTCATCTGATTGGTCAGGGCTGCCAAAAAGTATGACCATGCAATGGAACTTCCATTTACCATGGAATGGAACTTCTATTTTTGCCGTGCGGCCGCGCTGTGCGTTGGGACGAATAATTCAATGACACGTGATCAAAAACCCACCAATCAGATGATGGGGACTAATTCAGGCATTATATAATACATTTACAACAAGGATCTCGATCTTCTTTTTTTTTTTTTTTTTTTTTTTTTGAGTGAATTTTTCTAGTCGTGACGTGTTCTCAGGAAATAAAAGTTTGCCTTTAGCCTAAACAAAAGTTTTATTATTGTTAACATGTAGGATAGTGATTTGAATTTGAAGTACATGCATATGTTCATTCCTCCAAACTTTTCCACGCCGCAGAAGTATTACTCTAGGTTTGCATCATTATTTATAATAATCAGCATTTAAGAACGCTCTTATTTGTAAACTAAATCACAGCGCTTACAGTATTACACATGTATTATTACCCCTGATCATTGGGCCAATGAAACATTCCAAATACCATCTCAGCTCCCTGGGGAGTATACAGCTCGATGCTGCCTGTTGTTAGGCGCAAGCAAGCTTATTCAATCACAATAACCATCTCTGCCCTCACAGGTACCCATTTACTCCTGGGTGGAGAGAAGCAATGAGTGACAAAGTGCCTTGCTCAAGGGCACATGCACCATGACCCCCGGCTGGACTCGAACCCACGACCCGCAGCTTTACCCACAGACCACGAATCCAGTGCCCTTAACCACGAGGCCACAGCACTCCACAATTATTATCATTATTTAATAAGACTTCATCAGTATTGATAATTATTTGTTTTTCTTGACAATGTATCCCCCTTTAAATAGCGGGTGTGTTTTCCCCCATTTGACCGGATTGTAATTTCCTTCAGGAATTTGGACAACAGGAAAATGCATCATAACAGACAAATGGGAGGAATGTGAAATATTTGAACCCAGCGAAGAACATTCCTGCTCACACCATGTTCTAACTGTTTACGTGTACATGTACATGTACATACGCACATACACAAGCACATCGTTCAGGTACATGTACATACTTCAATGGCACCAGCCCTGTACAAATAAAGTTTCTGAAAGTACATGCATATGAAATGTGTGCCCACACTTTTGTATTCAACCATTCTTAAAGGGAAAATACAACATTTGCAAACATCAAAAAATAAAACTACCAAATCATTTTGAAATACCTTGCTGGACTGTTAGTGAATGACAGTGTAAAGCATCCTGTAAAATCATGGCACCTGGTATACTGTCATTTTCAAGAAAAGTGGTATTTTTGTATCAATTTCCAACGCTGATCGGCCGATCAGCGTTGGAAACAACTGGCTTTTTTTCAAATACTGGCCCCAATTGACCATCGCACTTGTTTGCAATCGATTACAAACCTATGAACGGGTACGAGCCAGCTAGACTGGTTCCCTGACCTTACAATTCCCCAATGTATGTAAACTGCTCTGTTTCTTCTTATATGGAGTCAGGGAACCAGACTACAGGAAAATGATCGTTTTTTTTGGTTTTTATAGCATTTTCGAACCCAAAACCTCAAAAAAGTCAGTGTAACTATATTTGCTATATATTTCCAACCCCCCAATTCCATCCATTATTGAAAATTACAGCAAAAGCAAATGATGTATATTCCCTTTAACTGGATGAAACATTGGAAACCTAGAATCTTCGAACTGAACTTAAATTTTCGATGAAGAAGTTTTTAACTTAATTTATTCACACGGAATTTTGAAGAAATATCAAACAGTATTTTTCTAAGCACAAAGTAAAGTGTGCGAAATATTACTTTTTTGTACTGGCATGTTTATTTTGTACAATACATGTACATGTATGTATGAGAGATGTACAATGGACCATACATGTACTTAATCATGTTTGTTGAAAATTTGTTACATCTGTATACATTGAAGGAAGTTTCGGAAACCAGATTGTTGTCTGACATTTCCTCAGAAGTAATTGGACCACCTTTTAATAATTTATTTATCGAACTCTCAGACCACATGGGTTGCATTATGCCGTTCAATTATCAGCAAACCGTGTTAATACATTGCACACAGGAGGCCTCTTATTTTAATTCTCAACACATATACTGTTTTTCCCTTTCATTCTCCAAGTCACAACATCTACCTTTCATGCACTCAGTGGTAAACAATACCCGAGTGCCCAAAATCCCCACTTGATTATTATGCACATCGTATTCAATATGTGTATTCAGATTTATTTATGTGAGAGATGTATACATGTACTTTACCAATTGCATTCTGTATTCATAGCTGAAATACTTGGCCGGCAGTTTGGCACCAATACACATTTCTGACCTCTATGACCGATTGAAAATTTCGAAATACAGAGATGACATTGTTCGGATTGTTTTTGAAGCTCCTGGCAATTATGTTCATGCTCCCATCGTGGCTATAGGCGGGTATTCAGAGGTAGACATGATACATGATTGTTAACATCATCATTTCCTGCACTTGTACATGATTGTGAACAGTAGAAAACTGACTCTACTACAGTACAATGTAGAGTATGAAATTTTTGCAGAACGATAACTGGAGTATATTGCTCAAAGACAAAGTACAAAATACAAGAGATCATTTTTACCGTAATCTCCACTCAGTTGATCTGTCAGTTGTCAAATATTGCAGGCTGACTTATAACATTCCACCGTTTTGGTGTAACTTTAGTCCAAAAGTTTCCAAGTGAATAATCTTTGCTTGGTTCATTTTGCTGCTTATTTTGTGGCTGTGGCACAGTTAGCGCAATGATATTATGGGGGAAATCACCTCCATTTTAACTGAACGATATACAGAGTCATAACTGATATTTTGTATCATACTTTATTTTTTTAGTGTTGAAACATGGCAATGATAAGTTTACTTCTCGCGGCAAGTGTAAGCTATGCAAGTGCAATTTACTTTGGATTCCCATAAGGACATTGTCTATAAGTTATAATAAGTGCACAATGATGACTATTAAATCGGGGTTGAAATCTTTTCCTCTTTTTGTGCCAATTTTAAAGGGACTTTCTAGGAATTTGCATGCTGCTGATTGATTTCAAGAAAAGTATTCAAGATTGTAGTTTTATTGCTGTAAAACCGGGTTATAATATCGCGCACGCGCAAGAATTGATAGATTGTTATACAGGGTGGTTCGAACTAAAGGAAATCCACTTTTGACAGCAATTTTTACCTATTTTAAAAACTATTTTAAATTTGATTAGGCCTAGTAGCTATATTAAAGTACGGGTCTTTAGGCATGTATGTAAGCAACGAATTCATCGTTGCAATTGCATATTTTGTCTCTGAGCTGTGGTAGTTTGATCATTTCATGTGCGAAACCTGTTTGTCCACAGAGGTATACATTCCATCCGCTAGACTGAGCTTATAGCTATCGGAGCTTGATTTGATGACAAAATATTAGCACGCTTCAAACCAGGATTGTTAGTTCTACTCCTTTTTGATTGTTCTGTCGTGTTATGCAACTTAAGCCTACAGCTCCTTGGGTAGATGATCTTAACACTGACATGAATAATCGGACAGCCTCAATAATAAAAGTTACCAGGTCAAAACATTTTGTTGGCAAGGTTTCTAATTTTTGTGAACAACAAAAACATGTCAAATTTACATAGAATAACACATGGACAAGACTGATCTTGGTGACTTGTATTCAAATTAGCACAATTTCACTATTCTTGCGACTTAAACTACTATGGGAAGACTATGTGAAGAAACAAGTGAAACTAGTTTACGATATAGTTAATGATAAGTAGGTGAAAATTGCTGTCAAAATGGATTTCCTTTATTTTGAACCACAGTGTATATACAACATCCCCACGCAAAGTGTACTTCTTCTTGGGCTACAGTTAGACATTACATTAAAGATGTATACCCCATGCTCTTCAAAAAGGATTTTCTCCGAACGGATATTCACTTTGTATGTTTTGTTTTTACAAAAAGAAATAATGTATTCCGATTTTGGGCATCTGCAACCCTCCAAAGCTAAAAGGGATTAATTTTGTGCACACAATTTACCCCCCCCCCCCGACTACGAGAGCCGAACAATTTATTGCTGCCAATAATTCAAATTTTGTGAAGAAATAATTCAATGACTCAAAGTCGGTGGATTGTTTTTTCTCCTCAGTGTCTCATTCAAAAGTGAATAACTTTTATATGGCTAGGAAAAAAAGCAATTGGTAAAAATAATATATTTTTAATAGCAAGGGGAATGCATCTTTAAGCGGTTATCAGCTTGTAATATAGGAAGAAATTGTGAATGTGACTTAGAATTTACTTTGTATAATATATTGTATATCAAATAGGATTTGAACTGGATTTCAGGTTTGGCTCCACGGAACAAAACGTTTATTTCTGCCATATAGATTTTTTTTTTTAATTGTTGATTGCAGTTGTTATTATTTTGTGTGCTGTTACAGTTACAATGAGTTTCCAGTGGCAGCTTGAAGAAAAAATCTATCTTGAGTGTCAAGTTCTTTTACTATTGTTTGCTTTTAAATTAACATTTTGCAATAAAATAGGAGTGAATAAATATGTTGAGTGTTTATTTGCAATATTTTGTTAAGATATCCGTACATTACGAAACACCTTTTATTTTATCTATTTGTTTTTAACTTAACCATGGATCGGACGTCTTTTTCGTTTTTGCCAATAAGCCAGTTCGGTATTCCAAAATAGTTTGGTGCACAACAAGATTCGACAATGTTTTCGGGATAAACGTGGCAGATAAATGCACACAGGGCAATGGGGGACGTGGTAACCAAATCTGCATTCTGTGTAATTTTTCGTGCAATCGAAAAGAGATGGAAACTTTCGTTCGCACAGAAGTTTGGACACACAAGCCACCTAAAACACTTCGCTGTCCAAACGTTTTTTGCAAAATGTTTCTTCAGAACACGACGATCTCTTAAATTGTGCTGGTACCCCGCTATGCTTTTGCACGCATACGATTAAATGTTTAGCCCGAAAGAAAAAAAATCATCAAATCTTGATGTGCACATGCGCAGTTGGAATACCGAACTGGCTTATCGTTAACGCCAGTTCAGTTCAGTTTTAAAACGCGCGTGGGTGCATTCAGGTTTGACGATTTAAATATCTCGATAAAATATTGATGAGCCTTAAAAATGTTTTAAAAACCTCAACAAAACGAAGCAAAACACAAAAACAGAAACATAAAATATCAATAAAATCACTGCTTTTTCTCTCGACACCTATATAAACTTCTTTTTATTAAATGTTTGAAATCTTTCTTGTGGATGTAATATATTATTTTCAGTCTGATATCGTCACCAAGGCAACAGCTAGATTTTAGCATCTCTAATTTTTACATGCTTGTTTAAAGGGGTCCGTATCATAAGTCCGACGCCTCATATGTCCGACGCCTCATAAGTCTGACATTTCGGACGACAATGGACAATCGCTGATTCAGACTTATGAGGCGTCGGAGCTATGAGGCGTCGGACTTTATGAGCGGACCCCGTTCAAAGCTTAAAAAACTTCTGAGTGAGTCCAGACATCATCACACTGCTATTCACAGCGTGAATGTCTCCACAGCCACATTTGAGCTTTCCATTATATACGACAGCTTTTTGCCTCTATTTTTTCCTCCTTCATCATGCTATTATAGTGTTTATTTAACATGCTGGAGATCATCATCCAGCGACAAATCTCGTCTTCTGGATTCTTGCCAGCATCTCATTATACAAAGAGCGCGCGTTCCTGCGGCAGCTATGCTGCGGCAGCTATGCTCGGCATCCAACCCACGCCCCGCGCCGAGGCTGGCTCGCCCAATCACACGGAGACATCGGTTCTCCACGACCCTCGGCCGATAACACAACAGCTCTGGTACTTAAATCACTGACGGCTGATGGACTTATACGGTAGTTGGCCTTTAAGTGTATACCATCGGTCTAATATGCACACTCTTTACAAGCTGAAAGACATATGTCTCGAGAAGGTTTGACACTCCATCTTTATCAGTTTATGGGTTTTCTGACCTTCACATTTTGAAACCGAGATTTATGGCATTTATTTAAAGAAAACCATCCTTGCCCTATGAAAGAATAAATTGAGTTGTCCGTTGTTTGGCGACTAGGCCCATAAGTTTTTATTATCGAGGGGCGTAACCTTTTTTGATGGGGGGGGGGAGACAGAAAACTTTTTGAGCTTCCAAAAATTATTATTCAACTTTTTTTCTTTCAGCGGGAAAAAATACGACTACAGCTATATAAAAGTAATTGTAAATAAATTAACAAAGACTGTGACAAAATAATAAGGCAAAACAATTTATTACATTTTTTGTGTAAAATAAATCACGTAAAAATGTAGCAAAAAGTAACAAATGATACAATAAGTGATATAACAAGGCAGTCTTTGTGATATACATGCATTTAGTAAAAGTATACATCAAATAGGCACTGGGTTTGAATTTAGATTCTTAAATACCTAAGACAGTTTACCCATTCCTATTGGTCGAGAGCCCGTCACGTGGCCGGTTTTAAACGGCTGATAAAGACCGGCTGGCGGCTGGCTGATCTTGAACACTTTTCTAAAGTGTCACATGAAATTTGGACTCCTATAAAATCCGGTGCTTTTTACCGTTTCATTGGTTAAACGTTGACAATCATCACACATAGGCATGCGCAATACTACCAGTGAGTCAGTATTTCATAGTCCAAAATTCACACTAGGCCTACACCGGCACAGCTGTGTTCAGCGCCACATCGGGCAGTACGCGCGACGCGCGCGCCAATCTCCATATAAGGCAATAAGTTGTAGAGGGACATACCATAATAGGAATAGGGGTGTTTCGGAAAACATGAAGTAAAATTGTTGAACAAAATCGTTGGAAATTTATAATTGTTTCCTTGTTTTGACTTTTTGACCGAAAACGTATGGGAATAAATATGTACTTGACCGGTATCAAACAAGACCGGTTGGAGTCTGGATGCTGATAATTACATCGGCTCGGGTAATTATCAGCATCCAGACGCCTACCAGTCTTAAACAAAGTGTTTTAAACCGGCCAAGCACACGTTTACGCACTAAGTACATTTTGTAATTCACAGCATAGAATCTACAGTGTCCGTAACATTTACAGTGAACCGACTGCAATAAGGGAGGGATTTCATTTAAATACAGCACATTTTACAAATTTGGCTTTTTTATGGAAAACAATATTCCTTGCATGAGCTGCAGTTACTTCAAAAAAAAACAAAAAAAGTGACCAGAACACCAGCCTCGTCCGTCTGTCAGCTATGCGTAAGTAGAGTATTGTCTAAAGAAGCTTTTCCGAAACTAGTAAACAAAGGTTTCAACTCCAAGTCCTGTTTACAATTCTGTTGTGCACATAAATAATATGGAAATTCACGGTAACTCTGGAATAATTGTGAAGGTTATCGCAACCAAGATCTCTAATATAAGGATGACAAAATGGCTGTCGGTTTTGATCATGTCAATAAATCGTCTCAGGCACTCCAGGGGGTTGTACATGCCTTCTAGAGTTACTCCAGTCCCTCAGTTTTGGTCTGGTACATAGCATAATTACCATAATAAGCCTTGGGCCGAATGCCTGTATGTCTGCGGTCAGAAATTGTAAAATAACAATATACTACATAAATGTATTGAATTACAAATCGTGCCTTACAGCCTCGCAAAACTTGCATACATTTTGTACTTACACTATACCAGGAACGGGTCCAGAGAGAAGTGGTAAAGGGGCGTGGTGCACGCCCCCTCTCCTTGCATGTGAAGCATTTTAACTACCATGCTGATATTGCTTAGGCCTACCAACTTATATTTAAACAAAAAAAATCAACCAAAAAAAAAAATAAAAATAAGCCTGTAGATTTTTTTTTAGCTGATGCATGTCTGACCGGAAAAAATTGTGTTTAATAATTGTTTTAACACCAACGCTCACTTCTTTTTTTTTTATCGCCCCAGACTCGTTCCTGTTAATTAAAATGAATGGAAAAAGTCATTTTTTGCAAATATATGAAACAATCCGATGAAAAATACATGTTTATATTAACGTACACGTATTTATATTTACGTACACGTATTTAAATGTACGTATTATATATTATTCGGAAAAACGTTTTTAACAATCAAATAAGCTTATAAAAATATTCAAAAAGTTTCATGCAAATATGGCAACTGGTTTCTTCTTCCTCTCTGGTATCCTCACAAAGTGACGGTCAATTAAAAAATGACGTTGCATCATTCTTTCCAGAATTTCATAGTAATATTCAAGGATGTCTCACAAATAAGACTGATCAAAATATATTCAGTGTCAGTCTTTGTAGTGGGGCAGATAGGGGAAATATGTAGGGGAATTGTGCCTTTGATGATACAAGCATGGCATTTGGCTCACAGTCAGAATGTCATGAGAAAGATATTTAGCTATAGGGACATACAACAAGCAATTTTCAAAATGTTCAAAATGGCTGCCATTGCTTGTTATTCTACCTATATTTTTTTTCAAAGGGCAAATCTGCAATGGCCTACATAGCCAAATATCTATCTCATGACATACTCTGACTGTGTGCCAAATACCATGCTTGTATCATCAAAGGCACAATCCCATCACCTATCTGCCGTACTATTGGTGACGTGTTTAGCCAGAAAAGTTTAAGGCAAGAAGCATTGCAACTGTGTGCACAAGTCCTGAATATTTCCTGATGCTTTAACTAACATAAACACACAATGAACTCTGCACACTTTTTCTGCCAAATGCATATTGAAAAATACTTTCGAAAAGCAACCTTCAAAAACCGAATTACAATATCAGTACATTTCAATCTGACCTTTGTGATTAAGAACACACATTACAGAAGTTGCATAGTGCCATTGTTTTGTTGTGAAACTTAAACACAGATTTTGAAACCACAAGTAAATGCCTTCCCACTCACACTGGAATGCGACACAAATTAACACGTCATATCTGACATTAACTCTCTACCTGGCCTGCCAGGTGGACACGCAATCACGTCACTCATACGGCTAAGGCAAGGGTTCGTACGTCCACATATCATGGAACTACATGCATCTATAGGCACTTCGGCTGTGGTATGTGATCATTAGCTTTCCAAATGTCACCGCATGTATTGTCTCAAGCGAGGAAAATTGATATCGTGTGGATCATGGTGTCGTGAGGAAACAGTACAAGAATAAACTTCATCTCTGAACGATTTTGTTTTCTGCATTAAAATCTGATTTGGTAGATTTGTAAAAACAAAATGGCTTTGAGACCAAAATCTGTTACAAGACCGAGTGAAAACAGTTGGCATAATTACGTATTTAAAAACAAACGTTTACTCTTGCTTTGTCCACTGAATGAGCGTTTGAGAATAAGAAAACTGTGGACGTAGAGATGAGGCTGGTTCATAATCGGCACGAAAGCGAACGCGAATTTGTGACGTCAGGTTAACTTTTCGCGCTGCGAATTTGCAAGAGTTGAACACATTTCAACTCAGGCGAATTTCGCAGCGAATGCTTCCTAACGTCAAATTCGCATCGCGTTCGCGTTCGCATGAAGTATGAGCCGGTGTCATATGAAAATCTGACTCCTGTGAAAATCGGACCCCTTTTCCCTATTATTGGTTAATCCCTCCTACGTGACAGGTCACTCTCCCGTATGTGATCCAAAAATAGCATATTCTCGTACTTACGCATGCGCAATACTACCAATGATTCCACATTTCATGGAGTCAGATATTTACGCTACACCGGCCTTTAATCTGCATCATATATCCGTCAGAAATGTATAAAAAGCAACTACGTGTTACTTTTTCACTTATTTTTATTTGCAATGTATGACCTCTAATTTATGGCACACGATACGCGAACACATCCCATGGGTTATTTATATCCTTCGAGGAGGGTTCTAGCCTGATGGCATTTCATTGGCCAACGTCTTCCAAAAGCAAGAAATATTTTACTTGAAAAAAAACCTGCACTATTCTACCGAACTTACCAAGCTGACTATAACTACTGCGAATTGCGAACATTATTCATACCAAAACCGTGGAATTCTTTTTTTCCCAAATTCAAACTTGAAAGACACTCTTCACCTTATTTACACAAATTTACAAAAATCTCTTGCGAAAACTAGATTTCTTCTCTTTCGTTTACGATCGATGAGAATATTACCGCAAGTCATGATATTCATGAGCTTCACTAAATTAAACTCGACTACAAGTTGTCTCGGGTTCGGCACATGCGCGTGGTATCGTTCAACTCGTGATGGTGTTTCTGGACAACCACTGTTCAGTTGAAAGCTCAGTGTGCGTTTATATTCTGTCTAACATAACATCATCTGATTAAATATCCTTCAAGGTTTTTAGCTGCGGCTGAGCAGCTCAACAAATGGTCGTGTCTCTCCGTTAGTAAGGGTTCGTTGGTTAGTTGGTTAGTAACAAACGTCCCCGACAGCCTTGCATGGCTATGAATCACCTCGTCCCTCAGGCCCTTAATGGGTCTTCACTGACCCACCATTTTATATAATTGCTTTTGTGCTTCTTTTAAGTTCAAAATGATTTAGAATGTGGACACAACGTCTGTGGCTGAAATACCTCGCTGCTGACAATGCACGCATTGTGTTCCTTTCTCGAACAGTAAGTTTACTTTCACATGAATATTGTTTACGGAGAGAACACGACTACTGACCAATTTGTAGCCTTTTCAAGCCCATAGGACGTTCACCATCAGAGAACAGTATTGTTCGATCATCTCGATGACAGTCAAGAGCCAAACACAAGCTTCACGCCTCCCCCTTCGCTAGGCATCACCCTGACTCCGGGCTGGCTTGTGTGGACTGTCACGCCTGACGTGGGACTCTGTCTCTGCTGGACTCTGATATTACCGGCACTGGGCCGGGAAGAAGACTGACGGAAGGTGATCACCTCCCTTTGCCGTCTGGGCTGCCCTTCTGTGCGGATGACCAGACCTCCGCTGCTACCTTGCTGGACGTGCCGGACCTGCGTTGGTGGGTATTGCTGCTGAGGTTGTATCGGGATGCGGATGTAATCACCGACTTGTAGAGGCGCATTCTCCGGCATCCCCATGTTGAATCGGAAGACAACCCCGTCCTTGCTGGACTCCTGCCTCTGGACCACATTGGGTGTCTTACTCGGTATCATCTTGATGATGCGACCACCTGGCTGCTGGAAGACATGCGCAGAATCCCCAACCATGGTGGACACTGGCGACAACTGAGGACTCTCCGGTACCGGCTGGAGTTGGAGGACTTTCACGACTCTCTTGGACTCTCCTGGTTTATTCTTCTTCTGGCAGTGGGGGCAGACGCTGTGAGAATGACCGGACGGCTTTTTGGCACCCATACGGACCTTGTCGGTGTCCGCTACTAATGTCGACTCGGACATGCTGGACGGAGAGGCATCAGTTGACGATAACCTAACAATAGTCTTAGACATCCTTCTCTTCGGCTTAGGACTTCGGGATACAAGGATAGGGCCACTCATAGCTTCAACATCTCCCGGCTGTACCTGGAAGGTCATCATGGTCGGATGGTCAGAAGGCATCCCAGGCTCTGGATGAATTATTTCCTCAGGTAGGCAAGATACAGGGATCTCAATTGTAGTTTTGGCAATCTTGTGCTTAGATTTATGAGACTTGTGTTGGTCGTGATCACCTTGGGTTTTTGTAGGTTCCTCTTGACTCAGTTTTTCATCTGTGACACCCGGTATCACGTCGGGCATTTGCTGCATGGAATCTTGTTCCGTATTAGTCCCTTTTTCGACATTCGGTGACTTTTTAGAGTTCTTCAGTCCATCCTTATCGGTGTCCTCTTCATCTTTGGTTTTCTTTTGACCTTCGAAACAGCTAATTCTGTCTTTAATGTTCACCTTTTCACCGTCCTCAATCTCAGAAACGAGAGGAGATGATTTTGGCGAGTCCGTGTCCACGTTAGGTTTATTCTTCAGCTTTTCTTCCATCTCGGCTCTCCGTTTCTGCTCATTCTTGAGACGGATGTCAGAGTTCTTGCGGCGAAGCTCCTCAACACGTTTGGCCTTGGCCACGGATGCCATCTCCTCCTGCTTAGCCTTCGACTCCTGCGCCTTGAAAATCCCTATCAGGGAGGATGCTTTGGGTGCCTTTTCCTCCCCCTCCTGGGTCTCCACTGTCTCGCCTGCTTTCTCTTCAGATTGAGGCTTGTCGGTTTCAACAGCCATTTTATCAGATTTGCCGGCCATGCTAGACAGTTCTGGTTGCGAGCTACATTTGCGAGGACTTTCGCAACCCAGTGGGCTCATTCGATGATCCACAACCTGCTCTTGATCGGCATCATCAAATCTCCCCTCCTCGTTGGCACCGTGCGAGCCCGATTCCCCATGGTCGCTCGGGCAATAAAAAGGGCTGAGACGTTTGTGGATATCTACGGCGGGCATGTTGGAGGTCGTGGTGGAGTACTCAGAATCGTCTGTGAAGTACTCGGAGCTGTCGCTGTCCTCGTCCATGGTGGACCCTTCTCCTCGGCTGATATACCTCCAGGGAGTGCTGCTGTATGAGGCCATGGAGTTACAGCACAGACATTGGCTGCACTCGCTATCAGAGTCTTGATACGACTCGACGGACTCCTGGCGGCTGTTGGACCTGCCATGTCGTGCCTGGCTGCCATCATGCCCAACCTCGTTGGGGTTAGGGTCCCGCGCAGCCGTCTTGGATTTCTTACTTCGGCTGGAGGTGGACACTGACCTTTTGATTTTGGGCTCGCTGTAGTCTTTTTCCAGGTCGCTCATCTTGTTGACGTCATCCTCTGTGTCCAAAGCGTCCCTGGTGCTGCCAATTTTCTGCTCGTCCTCAGATTCATACTCTGAGTCGGCTTCTTCACCGTCGTCGTCGTCATCTTTGATCTCTTGAATGTTGCGCTGCACGGAGGCCAGCTGGCGGGATAGAGAGCTACCGGAAGACGTGAGATTCGCCTGCAGGATACAAAGTAGACACAGAACAGCATATTTAATAAATATGAATTCCAAACAATCTTGAGAATTATGGGCCTTTTTAAAAATTGGATTACACTTCCTTTTGAACTGTGCTTGAACGTGGCATGCAAGCACGCAGACGGTAAAAAAAGCAAAGGTTGACGAAGTTTAATTATGTCGTCGTTTCCGTTCAACTTTGTATTGTCATTTTCAGTTCATGTTCGACTCTGAGTGTCATTTTGACACCACTGCAAGATGACTTTTATAGTTTTGAAACAGTAATAGGAAGAATTTAATTGGAGATTTTAAATTTCGCAAATCAACATTTCCCCACATTTCTTGTTAACAATCAAACCACATTGGCCTGGCATATAAACATTAGCTGCATTTATCAGTTTAATCGTTTTTCCCAATATGTGATTTCTCACGTTTCTGTGTTGAATGAAAACTAGCAGATAATTTGAACCATATGTATTGCCGTTATAAATTTCATGGGTATATATGTCTCAATGGTGTATTTCTTTTCTTTAAAATGATACATCCCGAGAAATATAGTCTGTGTTAATTCAGAACAAAAGAAAATATGACTATTTTATATGCCAAACTTAATATAGTTGCTCTCGAATGTCCTAATCAGTATTAAGGTCCGTTGTGCGTCATGACTTGGCTATATCTAAAAACAACTTAGTCAAAATATTGACTGGTTTTCCTAGTTATTGAAAATTGACTAGGAATTTAGTTGCAAAGCTTCATATTTTGACTGGAAAAAGTAGTTGGGTTCGACTCCAATTTCAGTTTCTTGCATAACCATTTTTCCAAAGTCAATAATACTGACTGGAAAACTCTAGTCAGATTGACTGATTTTCAGTTGCACCCAGCTGACCCTGAATGGCTAGTCAAATTTGACTGGTTTCTAGTCAAATCTGACTAATGCTTTTTTAGAGTGATATATAACTTAACACATAGACTCAATTCGGCCTTCGTGGCTATTTATGAACTGAAAACGGGCGTCAATAAATTAAGCCATGGTGCCATTGAACTGATGTTGTCCTCAAAAACATAAACAAGACAGCGCCATGGAGGATTTGAGAACCCTTTCTCCAAAATTCTCAAAATTGACGGAGTAATTTTTGACGCCAGGCCTGTCTGGCGGTGAAAGATACTGTATTAATGACGAGGTCAGACATGGCAGTGATATGGCAATTAGCAGAATCTTCCTTTAGCATACCGTCTCATAACGGCTACAAAAGTACAAGAGCAACGAGGTATCACGATTGATTATGTCAAAAACAAGGACATGAATGGCCACTCGATCCCGAATCATCGACATTCCACTTGATGTTGAGATTTTGCAGCATTCCACTGTTGGCCTAATGTGAATAAATGAAGTCGTCACAACAAGCACCATGACCGATCCGAGTTAACTGGAGTTTCACTGAATTTCCAAAAGGACGTTTCCGAAATTCCTGACTAGAATTTCGGCCACTGTGGACCAATCTCTTGAAAATCGAATTACCCATAGCACGGCCCTGGTTTCCCGTACTTGCCCAGCCTGGGGACACACTGGTTTCACCTCCCTCATCGACTGCCATCGTAAACTGTCAAGGTGACGACAGCCGATACCCTTATTACGCCAGAGGCGAAGCCGAGACCTTGTACAGATCCGGACTAAAAAATAGTCTCATATCAGAGAGTGATTTACGACCGGTCTCCGAGACCGAAAACCGCGAGAAATTCACCGGCGTAATCCCGGAGAAGACTGACGGATCGCAGGAGTTTTGTACCCCGGAGGTCAGCGGTGAGTGCACGGGTCGACTAGGCCGGCTTCAGACGGCACATTAATCGCCAGAGTCATCACCGGTATTTATAGTGTCACTTTCAATGTTCAAGGGGTGACTCGCGGGAATCGGGACGATAAAAGAGAGGTTTCAGTTTTAGGACTGCAACGAAAGTCAAGATAAAAGGACTACTGAGTTAAAAGAGACATGCGCACCACCAGTCCATAAGTAATAAGGACAGTGGCTTGTCTCTTCTTTAAGTTCTTCCCCGTGCTCTTCAACAAATTCAATTTTTCTCTCTCTCTTGATAAATTGTCAACTTATTGTTTGTTTAATTCCAACCATTTTTGTTTCTTTTATGGCGTCTACAACCCTCTAGAAGAAAAAAAAAGTTTTTAGTTTTGGGCATTAACAGATCCACCTTCTGAGCAGACCTGGCTCCCGGTCCGTACACTATCGATACTGATTGTGAGGCAGGAACTACACTCTAAAAACACTCTGGCGAAATTTGACTAGAATTCAGTCCAAGTTGCATCCAGTTAACCCTAGCTGTAGTCAGCTGGGTGCGCGTTTGACTGTTTTTTTTTTAAAGTCAAATCTGTATAGGCGTTTTTACAGTGTATAGCCTACTCCGCTAGAACGGGACTCCTGTCTTCAGTAATAATTCAATAACTAGGCCCTATATAAACAAAGCTTATCCACTTTTGAATGAATCATGGACCGAACTTGACAAAATCGTTTTATTTAAAAGTGGAAAAGTTTGTATCCCTCTAGAAAATAGCAATTTAGGGAAAGGAATCTATTTTATCGGGATGAAATTCAAAAATAGAACGGGGAATAAACTTTAAAGTTCCGAAAGCTGACGCTAGGCTATCAGTCAATTTGTTTTTGTTTAAGAGAATCCTAGAGGATGGACTGAATTGTGAAAAGGTATTAAGCCGCAAAATCATTTTGAAACACAAGAGAGTTTGCAGATATACCCTGAAAGCCTAAATAAAAAAAATATATCCGCTACGATGTTGGTATCAACGCAATTATTGCATTCCTATTTAGTTTGAGACGAGCATAAATCAGGACGCACTTCCAAGTAGAAACCACAAGAATTTGATCGTAGGCAGTGCATGGCAAAAATTAGCCAGCGACCCATGGGACAAGACTAGTTTAGGGACCAACCCCGATATTCAAAACCTCATTATTCTAAGAGGACAAAAAATAGGAAAACAGAAGGAATTCGACCAAAACTATGCGTTGAAAAGGGGTCTGTTAATCATAATCAATCCTGATGTAAGCTGATCTTGAGAAAATTTTAAGAAGATTGCTTCCGTTAATAGTAATGCGTGTATGTGGGAGGAGTTTCTGAAATTCAAACATCCAAGCAACCGGCAAATTATGCGCCTGCTCTTGATATTATTTTGGTATGTTCTGGTTTGGTGTTCGACACTATGAAAGCAAAATCCATTAACTGAGTCATCTTGGTCTGATCAGATGGGCATTTCCGGATGCGGCCACTCAAACTACATGCTGTATGCGAAATTGCGAATTCTAGGAAAACATGTCTGCAATGAAAATTAACTATACAGGGACAGGAAGTCACACTAATTATTTAGCAATAGGCCTTAAGCAAGATCTTTGAATGCAGATAGAAACCAAGTGCGAAAGGGGATTCCCTTTCTGGTGATTATACACTCATTGAAATTCTGGCTATAGTTTTGCCTATTTCTCCCGCGATGAAAATGCATGTATTATAGCATTATATACACGGTTAGCCGAAACTATTTACGAGAATTTTAACCATTATAACCATGCACGATGAAAATATTTAGCAGTATACACGGTTAGCTCGAAAATATTACATAGTCCCGCCCCCTGAGCAACAGCTATCGCTGAAATCTTCATCTTCGAGTTTCATGGTGTAATCGTCCACATTTCGTCTATGCGAACATTTCAGAGGCCACTTCGTCTTCCCCGAATTGGTAAGCTCAAACTTATTTGAGTTGGTTGAGTATAGTTCTGACCCATGTACAAAAAAAACCATATGAGCAATGTTATTAAACAAAAATTTAACTTGTGTGGGAAAAATGTCGAGAGTGACATGACAAGCGACTACAATTTTGTTTTAAACAAACAAAGATGTCAATATTAACATAACAGGCGACCAACATTTTGTTTTAAACAAAACAAGGTGTACATTATTTTGTTTAGCCACCATCGACATCGCCAGAGATAACTGGAGGACATAATTTGTTTTAATCCGTCGACCTTGTGTATAGACTCTGTGGGAGATATTTGGAATTTCAATTACATTTAATGTCATCAGAAATTTCAATTATTGGTAAACGTACCGGTTCACATGGTGGACTTATTCCATCCGATGCTGACGACTGGAATTTGCAAAGCTGATCAAAGGCTGGGAGAAAAAGCTATGTGCAGATGTCTTATAAACCCAAATTGTAACATTTTAACATCTTACGGCTCATGACGTTCAGTGTAGAAAAGCTCAAGCTTGGTCTGCTCTGTTCTCGACGAAAGTCTGGCGACCCTCGATCTTCAAGGCCACCAAACTTAAGATCTTTAATAAGACTTCAGTGGAATCCATCCTCCTCTACGATTGTGAGTCCTGGTCCCTGACCAAATAAATCTCTACATCTATTGATGTCACCTATAAACGTAGACGGATGTTGCGTGCTGCACAGAACGTTTCTTGGCAACAACATCTCCCCATCTCTGTTCTATATGGTGCCCTTCCCCCTATCTCCACCATCATCAGACAGCGTCGCTTTCGGCTAGCCAGTCACGTTTTTCGCCATAACGAGCCGGCTCTGGAATCCTGATGCCCCTCGTCGTAGAGGTCGTCCCAACATGACGCTGAAAACATCCATCGAGTTGGAAACTGGTCTGAGCGGTCCATCTCTTTCCATCATTATGCTTGACAGGGACAGATGGGCCCAACTCATCAAGACGTCTGCACTGCTTCGCAGAAGGTCGTGGGTTCGAGTCCCACCCGACTCAGCTTGTGAATTTTCTTGTAACTCCGGCCAGAGAGCCTCCGACTAAACAATGCTTATCCGGCCGTGGAAGGCAAATACTAATGTTGAAATTGGTCCTGATTATGTCAGGTTCCTGGTGTAATTCTTGCAATGCCAACATTATAGGCCTTACTTTTCAAATATAAGTTTTGATTTTGTTTGGGTTCATTTTGGTGTTGTTCGTCGTGTCAGCTATTGTGGTCTCACAGTGGCCTAATTTTAGATTCCTATAACATCGATACAGGCCTGAGATCGTAATGCCAGTGATCGTTTCCACATGTTGAAATCGACTTCTCCCCGATGAGTACTCATCAAGGAATTGTGCCACCGTAAATCCAAGCAAGAACCCAGCCTGTGAAAGCCAATCTCTCACGTTAAATATTTGCGGCCTGAATAATGCGTCATCAGCCTGGCCTGAATTCTCTGGCGTTGATGATGTGGCATTTAAAGGTGCATTATCATTATGGACCGCCTGAATATATTCATTGAAGAACAATGAAAGTAATTGGTTCAGTTGAGAATATTGAAATACTCTTTTAAAGCACTGCGTATTTAGCTTTTTATTTTACACTGGTATATGGTTGTGAGAATGATGGACTCGTAAGTTTTACACGAAAATAAATTACTTCACGACAGTCAAATGGAGGAGAAAATATAAATAATCGTACCGAAACTTCTTGAAACATATACATGTATAGGTATATACATACATGTACATGTACGTGATGTGGTACGTCCACGACTTTTGTACAAGGCCATTCAAGTGGGACACCGACTCCTATTGTTTACACACTTCAGGACTGTATAAAGTACTAATACTAATGTCCCAATCTTATGATCCAATGACCCCGATCGTTAAAGCTCTACCGCGAGTAGGCCTTCAAAATGCCCTCTGGCGAAATCGGGAAAAACTCTGGTTTTGTTTGAACCTGACCCCGACGGCGCCAAAGCAAAGGTATTTCTTGCAATTGTATTTTAATAAGTAATATTGTGGTATGCGAAAACACCATATCAGTAACAACATTATTTTGTTCATGCTTCAACAGTTCAATGAAAAAAGTTACAAACGAAATATACGAAATTCCAGACTTTGCAAAATCAAAACATTCCGACATGTCCGAATAATCTGTGTGAATCGTTGGTTATTGTAGGCTTTTCTTTAAACAAAAATAGTATTCGGAGGATCATATCACTGATTAATTTGACTTTTCTTTCCGGCGTCTGTTTCCTTTCCCCATCATGTCCATGCTTGGACCCCATTCATATTTTAACCAAATCATGCGCAAATCTGTGACAGCACTTTGAACTCACCATTTGATCTCGCAGAATCTTGAGATTCAGATCCATTTTGCTGGCGTGGTACTTCCGCTTGTTGTAGTCGCTGGGAGAGTCCTCCCCTCCTCCGCTATCGGTGGCCATGCTGCAGTCTGCCGCGGCACCCGAGGTAGTATCCCCACCGGTTGTGGGCGTCTGGGTCAAGGTAGAGTCGTCGCTCCCTGGCCCCGGACCCGGTGCCACCCCGGGGTCCGTGTCACTCTTACACGGGCCAGTTCTGGGGCTCTGCACGCTCATGGTGCGCTTGGGTTTCACCCACCGGAGAGAAAAAGAAATCGGATTGGGTTGCAAAGTTCCGATGAGGGCTTTTATTTCAGATTACGTCTAATCTTTGCCGATTTGAAGACAGGAGTTTGACGAGTTCCGCCTGTATCCAAGCGACTTCATTGAGACGTTCCAGCGATGTGGTTATGATACTGAGTCACATCGCGGGGTATGTGTGTAGCGCGGATCATAAGAGAGAGTTGCCGATAGCGTTTCGTCATATCGCGCCTGTCCTTCGAAGGCCCAGACGACACGAACAAGACTATAGTTCTTCTTAGCAGGTTCCCATGGCTATAAATTGCACCGATTCAAGGTAAAACCTCACATGGCTTTGTGTTGGAAACCAGCGAAATCGCCAGGGTCATTTGACTTGCTTCAAGTCTTCGAAGATTGTAATATTTTCCCATCCATTGTCATTCACGGTGTTAAAAGCACCATCTTCCATGATTATAAATTACAATCAAACTAAATGCGACCTACATTTAATTACTATTTTCTCACTGTTATTTGTTTTGTTTCATACATTAATTTACGGGGAGTTATTTTGGATATGATTATGATAATGCACGGGGTACTTGCACAAGTCTATGGCCGGAAATACTCAGGCCCAAAATACGCAGGCCAGATGCCTGGCATACTTCAAGTTGTTTGGGTTGCATTCCTCAGCGTCGTCATTCACTTGGACGGGAGGGAGGAATGACATTATACATGGTCAGGGGCGACCTTAGCCAATAAAGAGCACCATAAGTGATGTCAGCGCGAGCGCTGTGAATAATTATGCTAATAAATCACAACTTGACCAGAATGTTCTTCATCGCATCTTGGTAAGCTGCGCATCTTATAGGTGGTAAATCATGCAGGTCTAGCCGTCATCACGTGCAAAGAGCATATCAGCTGTTCCAATTCATCTTAACCACAGATGTCAGAGTTGTAACCAAGTCATTTTTTTTACAAGTCAAGTCAAGTCCTAAGTCAAATTTTAGCAAGCCAAGTCAAGTTTCCAAGTCATTTTTTTTCCCAAGTCAAGTCAAGTCTCAAGTCAATAATATTTTTTCACAAGTCAAGTCTAGTCCCAAGTCTATTTTTTTTCAAGTTAAGTCAAGTCTCGAGTCAGTTTTTCTTCTTCAAATATTAGACTACGTATGGGAACCAGTCTATGTGGGAATGGGGTTTATCAAAGCGTGCATCATGTAAGGAGATTCAAAAAAAAAATATCATACTTTTCAAACATCCTCTCTGAATATTGTGGGGCTCTAAGTTTCAATGGGGGCGCTGTTCAAATCCGACGATTAATAACACTATATCACAGAATGGTTTTCATATACTACCCAGTGGCATAACAGGGGCTTGTTGCAGATTGGCAAATTGCAACCGGCTCATTTTATGAGCGAGCCAGGCCGCGGGGACGCGCGATAAGCAAACTCGGGCCGGGCGAAAAATCGGCCTGTCGGAAAAAGCGTGTCATAGTTTTCGCTCGTACCCCCCGCCCTGCAAACTGTTTGTAGGGCGGGGGGTACGAGTGAAGTCACAGTCGGCAGTGATGAAGAGCGCCACCTACTTTACGAGAGTGTCCTATGGCTGCAACCTTAACCCTGTATTAAAATTCCCATAGACACAAGTGCTAAGTGCCCATATTTAACTCTTTTTTTTTTTTTAAATACTAAGAACTCTCACAGGTATTAAGCTGCACAGAAAAAAAATGAAGATCAACATGTCATCTTTCATTTTTCTTTTCATTTTTGGGTGGGTTGGCCATCCAATCCCTCCACAACATGGCAAAAAAGCGCCACTTACGAGCCCAATTGCATCCAAAATGCTCAGAATTCAAAGCCCCAAGTCCGGGCCAGAGGTTCATTGCCATATCTCTTCAATTAGTCCCCAATTTTTTGGCTCTCAGAACTCTCTAATATGGAATATTTGAGGGTATAACTTTATTCATGACCTCGGCGGATGGATTTACTGACCCTATTAATTTTACCGGTGTGCACCCGTATGGGCTCAATAAATTGCTATAGACCCAAATGATAAATATCCCCACTTAAATAAGTCAGGAAAAATACTCACAATTCACTCTCCAAGGTGTTCGAGACACACATCAAATTTAAGCGTATATATTTCATCACCTTTCGTTTTCTTTTCAATTTTTGGGGGTCAACCTGTGACTTTTAGGAGAAAGTTCCATCCGAAGATGATCACCCCTTAAAGTAGTCCCGAAGCCCTTCGCCATTTAGAAAAACGATGCCTACACTCCATTGCAAAATAGAGCGCTTTTGGAGCCCAAATGTCCAGATTGCACAGGACTATAAGTTCACAGACGTGTGCAAGGCTTCATCCATATTTTTTACAAACCCTCAAGTACATGGCTCACATGCACAATATGCTCAAATACCGAAGAATTTGAGGGCATGCAAATCGTGATTTACTGGCCTGCACCCTTTAAAAAGCTGCAGCTATAATTATGTCTTTATACAAGTATAATATGTCATTGATTAGTTACCCTTAAAGACATCCCCAATTCATACACAAGATTATGTGAAGCTCATCATCTCTTCCCGGCCCCCAGCGCCCTAGGCCGTTTGCAGGGCTAGGGCGGGGGTACGAGCGAAGCGCTATGATGCACATCATGAAAAGCACCCCCGGGTGTAATGTGGTGTCCTGGTTGATGATGTTTTCGTCTACATTTTTAACCCTAAAGGGCCGAGGCGGAATCCGCCCCCCCCCCTTCCACCTCAACTTTTCTCCGCGATACCCTTGGAATTGGAAAGAAATATTTTCGCGACCCGAGCTGTCCTGACTTTTTTAGCCTCGAGTCTTTGCGCATCTTTTGATTCCCAAAACAAAAATCGGAGCGCGGGGTTGTAGCACACCCGTACCGGTGCACGCTACGCACCGTGAAAACTGAATTTCCCCATACGTATACACAAAGCAGAATTACCATTCGTTCATATAAATAATTAATTAGCCATAATTCCAAAATCCGCCCCCCCCCCTCCCCGACTGTGAGATGGTCAAAATAACCCAGCCCTTTTATAAGGCCAAAAAAAAAAGTCTCCGGTTTCTGGTATGGAGCTTGCACAAAAAGTGGTGCGGCGACGCGGCTTTTTTGTTTTTTTTTACCTGATTTTTTTGCTTCAAATGTCGGCTGATGACTGCAAATGGTGCCCGACTAAACTCAGTGCAAATAGGCCTATATGGGATTGGGAGTCCAGAGAGGCCACATAAAGCTTATTCTCGACCATAAGCCCATCTAAAACACGTTAAAATTGTGCAGCAGCAGGATTCCAGTCAAACCAGTGAGTTTGGCGGTTTTGAGACATAATCTTTCATTGAAAAAAAAAACTTTTTCATTTTGCCGACGCGCATGGCTACGGCGACGCGCGCGCATACCAGAAACCGGAGACTTTTTTTTTTGGCCTAAAGGGTTATTTTTGTTTTTGTTTTAATTTGTATAGAATTGAGGATGAAGATGTACTGCTCACATTATTTTTTCAGGAAAATAATGTTTGATTACAGGCTAATTGAAGACTGTTAAATTGGTAAATTGATATGAATTGTGATGTCGGCTAATCACTATTTCGACCCAAATGAAGTTTCTGTAGGTCATGTAGAATGAAAGGGTAAGGAATTATTTTTGGAGGCCGGTGTCATATGAAAATGCGACAATCGGACTCTTTTTCCCTATTTTTGGATAATCCCTCGCACGTGGCAGGTCACTCTCCCGTAGGTGATCCTACAATTTCAAAAAGCATATTCTCGTACTTGTACGAATGCGCAACAATACCAACGCACGAGTCCACATTTGCATGGAGTCGGATATTCACGCTACACCGGCCCAGAGTGATCGGGAAGCCCTGTGGTCCACGTCCCAGCAGCTATGGCAGCGTGATATTTAGTCGATGGCTCGTCCATTTATAAGTGGCATTTTGACACCTTGCAAAAAGTCCGATGATTAAAACAAACGACCCCTCAAAAGCGTGGATCACAACAGGTGACAGGGGCGGATCCAGGAATTTTCGTAAGGGGGGGGGGGGAGGGGTCATCAGCAAAACATTCTGAAATGTAGACAGGTTTTTTTTCCTCCGGACACTTTGGAATCCGAAAACCAATAGGTAGGGTGGGGGAGGTGGGGCTAGCTTGTTAGTTTTTATAGGGGTGCAAGAAAATACACAATGTACATGGATATTTCAGGAGATACATGAAACTGTCCAAATTTGTCTTCACCACGGATGTACATGTATTTTACAATTTGAGATTGGGGCCAGCTGGAGGCGAAGGCTGTCATGTACAGCAGCTCCTTGCATTCTAAACCAATCACAGGTTTAGTAAAGTCGACTCCGATTGGCTGAGGCGCAAGATCGCATAAATCTGCACATGCTTTTGACATATAAGACGTTCATTATACAGGAGATTGGCTCCGTGGATAACGGATGATACTCAGACTACCCCCTTTAGACCTATATAGGGAGTGAAGTACTTTTTTAAAACTCGATTTACTATTTCAGAGAAAGAACCTTCAAAGAACCTTGTTCTTTAAAAAATTACTTTATTAAACTATAATTATCTTTATTGCAAATCTTTTGTACCATATTTACAATGTACATGTATTAATTATGTTCGCAGGATTTTTACAGATAGGCAGAAAAGTACATGTACTGATCCAAAATAAAGAAATTCTTGTTTTATACACAATACTATAAGAAATAAATAATGAATAAAAATTGCTCCAACTTTGAAACAAAATTATCTCCGCAGCTCCATCTAAACACTGAAAATAGTGGCATGCTCTGTCAAATATTTCTGCTCAAATTAAACTCTTTCGGTTCCAATATCATGAGCTAAACAAAAAGGAAAGAAAGCAAGTTTATTTGATAAGAAGATTGCCATCATCACCAGAACACTGAAAACACAGGCCTCTGGTTAAAGGGAAGATACAACATTTACAAACATCACAAAACGAAATGATCAAATTATCACGAAATACTTTAATGGATTGTTAGGGAATGAAAGTCTAAAGCATCCTGTAAAATCGTGGCTCCCGGTGTGCTGACATTTTCAAGAAAAATTGTATTTTTCCAACGCTGGTCGGCCGACCTGCGTTGGAGAAAACTGTTTTTTTTTCTTCAAAAACTGCTTGTAGTTTTTCATATTTAGTTATTCCGCATTTTCTTTGCAATTGATTACACACCTGTGAAGGGGTACAAGCCTTCTAGACTGATTCTCTGACCTTGCATTCCCCAAAGTCTATAAATTGCTCTGATTCATCTTAAGTGGGGTCAGGGAAGTACAAGAACATGATTGGTTTTCTTGTTTTTTTTCCCAGCATCTACAAGCCCAAAACGTGAAACAAGTCATTTTAACAATATTTGCTATTACATACTGATCCCCCAAATTCATTTATTTCTGAAAATTGCAGCAAAAGCAGATGTTGTACATTCCCTTTAAAGTCTGTGATAACTTTAAAAAGTACAGACTTCAGAGACACAATATGACTCCCTCAATGGGTCAGGATAAATTGCAAACTTGGCAAAATACCTTTGTCTTCAAACCAGGGACCCTTTCTACATGTATGGTGAAAACACTGAATTTTCTCTTGTCCAATACAGTTAAAAGAAAAATAGTTCAGGGTATTTCCCTCTCTCTCATTAAAAAAAAAATATGTCAGAATGAATGATAATACTAGATTTAAATGTTAAAGGGCCCATGGAATGTAATTTGTTTAATGCAATCTTTGAAAACACACCTTTGTATCGCATATTTGACCTTAACATGTATTTTCAATTTTTGTTTTGCCATTTTCAAGGGTATTTTGGTGCCTTTTTAGTTTTTATGCTAATCAAATTTCCATATTCATGAGCAAAAGTGTGATGTCATTTCAGGCCGAAACCTCAATGCCACAGCCATTTCAGCACAAAGGGTTGCCAGATTTTTTGCATATTTTGCTGTCCTAAATTAGCCTCCTTTGATTCGTCGTTGAGTAAGTGCATGGCAGTAAGCCAGTGAGCAAATTTTTCTCACGAATGTTGTCAGTGCGCAAATGTTAGGGTTCACAACATGAACAACAAACCCCGAAACTGAACAGTGTCTTCCTAAATTACATGATGGCAACAGCGCCCTCAGTTGTCTGGAATAGCATGGACAATTTTAAACGTTTAAAAGAAGTGTACTTTTCAATAAAATTAACCAAAAAGAGATGTCAAATAGTTTTCATACACGAACATTTAAGAGGAGTAGAAAGTTGCACAAAATAGGTTCCTAAGAAAAATTGGTTTCACAGAATCTTTCAATATAGAATGATAAAGATATTGATGACTTTTCAGACAAAAGGGAAAAGGCTGGAGCAGTATAGTTAACGCTATCACACCTCACCCACAGATTCTGTGTCTTGTTTGGACGAGAGCGAGTCACATGGTACTTTCTATTTTTGCTATCTTGCCGTGCACTTCCAAAAATACCCACAGCAACCAAAGTACTATACTCATGGCAACCAAAGTACTATATGCACTGTGTGCAAAATGCATAGGGGTACGTTGCACGTTGCACGTTTGCGCGTATTGTTTCCAAGTGGGAGCGCTACGGAGCTGGGTTCAACATTCCGTGAAGGGGTAGTTAGAAAAACTGCAAGTTAATTTTCAACTAATTTGGATTCAAATAGAAGTAAAGTTTTATTGTATTCAGATTAAATTAATGGGTTATCGCTTAAAATCAAGCAGAATCTGTGGGAGAGATGTTAATACAAACATTGACTGCTTTATCTCGTGGTGTAGTAAAACTATCCTCCCTCGGTGATCCATGGAGCATTCTATGACAATGCTTCATGGATCACCTCTGGAGGCTAGTTTTACTTCACCACTCAAAGCAGTCAATATTTGTATAGTAGAATTTGTTCAGTTCTGTTTCCAGATGAATCCATAATTGCTAGTGATACTGGGATGTAAGATGTCCATACCAACAGTCACAGAAAAATAGTAGTCATTGACACAATAAGGGCTCCTAAAAGAAATATGGGATGTGCCAAAAGAAATTGTGCATTCATTTGATATTTAAACGAGAAGTGTGTGTTTGTTGTTTGAGTGGCTTACACAAGGCTGTAACTGCTGCAGCACATCCTGATCTTATGAGCACCTTCTTTAAATCCAAATTCCTATGAGCAATCTGTGTACGTTGTGATTGTGTTGCCAACCCGTTGTGTCACTGTTCTGCACGTCCGTCCAGTTGTTGATGCTGTGGAAATCACAATACATACCGAATTGTAATACAGTATGTACACTTTTTTTATCCTGGTCATAGGAACAAAAATTAAGAGGCTAAATACATGTATTAAGCTTTGGAATAGAATTAAGTTAACCCTCCTCTTGCTTAAGAGGTCACCAATGGTCAAAATATTCTTCCTCACCTCCTGGCCTACTGTGTTCAAACCAATGGGGGTCTTGACCAATATTGACCCAAGTAATAACCAGGCTGACAATGCATGTTTCCATAGGAGGGTTTGTTGACTGTGATGGAGACGTTTGATGAGGTTCCCAAGGAATGATTTGAAAGCTTCCATCATGGCCTATTACAGTCGACTCTCGTTAATACAAACTTGTTCGGACCTAGCCAAATTGTTTGTTATATCAAAATTTTGTATTAAGAGGAACATCAGTCACATTCCTTGTTATGTGCACATATGTGCACAGTGGGGACCAAGGCTTTGTGTTTGCTATTTTATAACCAGAATTTGTATTAACAGTGTTTGTATTAACGAGAGGTGGCTGTACTTGAAACACTGCATAACGGGGTCATTCTATAAATTTGGGGTCCAAAAATGTGACATTTTGGCATCCCTGTTACACCTGACCTGTATGTAATTTGACATGAAAATATCATTGAAATGGACTTTAAACTACTTTGAACTGTTTAGCAGGTACTTTGCATTAATACATAAGCACTTTTGGAGGCACCAAAGAATGCATTCTGAATTGACAACATCTTATGTCAGATGTAACAGGGACACCAACAAAAATGGGACCCCAAATTTATAGAAGGACCCAATAATCATTTCCAGTGTAAAAATATAATTGCTGAATATTATTTCTAATAAAAAAAGCCAGTATGTTATTCAGTAGCGGATCTAGAGGGGGGGGGGGGGGGGAGGGAGGGGTAAAATGGGGCCGCAGCCACTGACTAATAATATACTAGTGAAATGGGACCAAAAATGTACATGTTGTAAACGGAATGCTTATGTTCCTAATTTCTTTCCATAAATGCCTTAGAATGAAGGAGATAGAAAGCATTGTGGATTTCAAAATTTTTCGGGGGGGGGGGGGGGGGGGGGGCAGGGCATGCCTTTAGCACGCCATTCATTCCCCCCCCACCTTATATATCAACTAACCGTTTCCTAAAAGCTAGATTCCCCACTGGTACATGTCCATGTAGATGTATATCAGTTAACGTGCACAAACTAATTATGATGGGTCATGCTTCCTATTACTTTTTGTATTCTTTCCAATTGATAACATGCATGTACCTGTTCATTATGCACAATATAATGTTCACTCAATATTTTGGAGGAAATTGATATACCTGTCTATATGTAAATGTACTTTTTAGTGTGGTTATTCACTGAGTGTGAATTTAACATCTGGGATGGTGTCACATACTGTATGCAGCATCTGTCGTGTATTGATATTGCTCATAGCTACATGTACATTTACATGTTAAGTACATAGTTACCTAGCAACTGATCAGAGCAGACCAACATTCAAGGCTAAACTAAACTAAAAAAAACCCCAAAAAAAACACACACACACACAAACACACCCAGACTTGTTTCACATACCTAGTGTGGACTTTCCTTTCTTTTCGTGTAGTTAAGGAACACCAGTGGAAAAACTCATTTTTCTCAAACTGTGAAAACTCTTACAACCCAATTTTTTTTCAATGATTCCCTTTAGTGTTTCTCTTCATTCTGCTACAGATAAACCTAACCCCAAAATGCCTCTAAACCTGTTTTCCAGATATGGGGAAACACTGTGTGGACGTGGGCAAGTCCACACTTCGTCGCTGCTACCTACATTATGTGGACGTCTTTTGTTCGGAAGTCCACACTGCGTATGTAAGACAAGCTCACAATTCTATTTAATAGACACCTTCAAAACTTTGGATGATGGCTAAATAACATCACATACATGAAAGAACAAAAATATAAAAATGTGCTCATTTCTTTCCCTTCTGTTAGCCTAACACAGATGAACTGTCAAGTGTTCCTTTTGGCAAACATGCCAAGAAATAGAATCTAGTCCTAATGCCTTTCAAACTTCATATCGCAGTGATGACTGCATAAGCTTACCATGTCTGTGTGTTGTCGTGCTGAAATGAGAGGTACGAATGTTGGAGTGCATATTGGGGAATGTTACATCATCAAATGCGTTGCCAAAGACGGAGTCGTGGCTTCCTCTGTGATTCTGCAATGAGTACATGTAAACAAATTAGAGAGTTTTAATCACAAGGTGGGGTGTAATCTTTCAAACTTCAATTGGAATGACACTCTCAATGCTTATCGTGATTAAAGGTATTATACATTCGAACAACATTTGCTTTTGCTGAATTTTCAGAAATGGACAGATTTTGGGGTTAGTATTTTATAGCAACCATTGTTACACTGACCTGGTTTGGGTTTATATAAATGCTGGAAAAGCGAACAAAAAAACGCTGTTCTTATAGTCCGGTTCTCTGACTCTCCTTCAGACGAAACAGAGCAATTATAGACTTCGGGAAATTGTCCAGTCAGGGAACAGGACAAACTGGCTGTGTAATCGATTGCAAACAAAATGTGGACTTACTAAATTTGGTACATGTAGATTGGGGGCAGTATTTGAAAAAAAACAAAAAAACATTCCAATGATGGTGGGCCAACAATTGTTGGAAATTAATACAAAAATTCCACTGTTGTGTATAATACCTTTGACCCTAAATCCAGCAGGTTGAGGAGGAATCTGTAGAATTGAGATTCACGGAGCCCAGCCACTTTATATTTACAAACGTACGTGTATACACGTATGACCCCTTTCAAGTTAAAAGAAGTTCCATTCGTTTCCTGCATTTGTAGGATTTGAAGCTTCCTTGAAAAAATAGTTTCAAGGGAGTTGGGGTAAACTGACCAAAAAATCACACCCCCCAGTGTATGATGAATCATTCAAACTTCACCACTGTGCATGACCATTCCTTCAAAACTTTCCAGTGGATTTTAAATGATTGGGGAGGTTTGAGATCGTTGAAATGATGTAAAGTGCTATTTAAGCACTATTATTAATATTATTATTTCATTGTACAAAACTTGGTGCAAAACTGACCAAAACAAAATCACAAACGGGAAAAGAAATTTTGAAGAAACCATGGCTACATGTATACACTTTCAATAGATTACAGGCCATTTTTGGACTTACTCTTGCTTTGTTTTTGTGCAAGGACTCAAAAGCACCAGAGCCAAAGAAATCGTCGTCAAATCCCTCCCAGAAATCATCTCCAAAGAAGTTAAAGCCATTGCCCCTCCTGTTGTCACCTCCTGATCGTCTCCTGTTCCTGAAGTTGCTGAAACTGCTGTCAAAGTCTCTGAAGAAGGATTTGTAATCAAAGTTTCCTCTCTGCTGAGATCCTTGTCTCGTTCCTCCTCTGCTGCCGTGATTGCCGCGATTTTCAAATTGTTTCCTTCCCAGCTGATCATAGAGTCTCCGCTGTTCAGGATCTGACAGAACTTCATATGCTGGAGTTCAGAAAATATAATTAAATACATTTGTTATACATGTATCGTGTGCTTGGATGCTGAAATTTCATTGATCTAGGACGGCCATGTGTCTGGACAATAAAAACGCATGCCACAAAGCACACACTGAGGGTGATATCGCACTGCATTTGTTGGGCGTGCCTTTGGAACCTGCCAGTGCGCTAACTTTGCGCAATGAGAACTGCAACGTCAACTGCTCAGGCTCATGTCCAGCAGGACATCACAACCTTCAGTTTTCAAAGGTTACAAAGCGGTGATTTAAATTGTTTACAACCATTTATCTTTTTGAGTTATTGGCATGATTTGACAAAACAATTGTTGACTGCTGTGATGTGGGATAGGCCGTTTTTAACCCCCTTGGGGCGCATACATGTAGCACCCTCAGCTCCGCCTCAGGTGCTATGCGCCCCTCTGGTGTTAAAAACATCATATCCCACATTCACAGCAGTCCACAATTGTTAATTGACCTATCGCCGTTTGAGATTTAGCCACGCCCCTTAGACAACCATATGGAAGTTTTGTACACTAAGTTTTGTTTGTCTAAGATTTGACGCGATTCTACCGCGATAGGTCAATTATGATAGTTGGAAGTGTAGATATTTTTCTCTGTATTCTTTTTACCGCATGCAATAAAAATTGAATCTTGGTTCCACTTTATCTTACAGTACCGGTACCAGGACAAGTCATCACAAAATAACCTTCATGTAGCTTCAAGTGAAAATTGATTTTCAGGTTAAAATTGAATGCACACAATTACAAAGCTCCTTTTTGTACATGTTAATTAATAAGTATTGCTAAAATGCAAGGTTACTGGTACATGCACACTTGTCACTTTGATTGTGATAGTGTTACTACAATGTCAGTCAAAAGATTGAGATAAATTGTCCGTGTTTTTCTTTGCTCATTTTTGCTTTTGAAACTTTAACTTGGTTTTTGTTCCTTTGATGAATTTTAAAATCCAAAATAGTTCATGTTTGCCCTGCCTGTAACTGACCTACAGCATCGCTCGCTGTCATGTAGCCACGCCCCTTCAAAGGCCAAAAAAAAAAAAAGGCGGTCTGTGGTCAGACCAACTTTCCGAAATTGATGCGATGATGCGGGGTTTTTTTTTGGGGGGGGAGGCTTTTTTTTCATGCTTGCTTTTTTGTTTTCTCATGTACCTTGGTGTCCTTCATCATCCTGTGTCTTGGTGTTCTCCATCATTTGCCTTTGTGCCCTTCCCCATTGCTTGGCGCTCCTTGGTAAACATATTGAGGCGATGCTACAATAGTGGAAGCTGTTGTAGATTTTAAACCGAAAAATTTGAACCCCCCCTCCAAAAAAATGACGTGTATAATCTAAATCGACGCGCGCTGATCAGAGACTGACTCCTTTTTTTTGGCCTTAGAATGGAATTTTGTATATTTTGAGATTTTGAGATTACACGTTTCATGTTGATTTGTTTATAATTGGACAATTTTTTCCCAAGCTGCGTTGACGTGATTCTACTGCGATCTAGGTCAATTGAAAGTTGGATGCACTTACATGTACACGTATGCAGTACAAACGCGAAATCATTATGGAATACTGGTGTATATGATGCCACATTTAACATACGTGTTCTTGAAAGTATTGTGTACCTTTTGCAATCTCTACAAATTTGGCCTCTGCATCAGGATCCTTGTTCTTGTCTGGATGATATATGACAGCGAGTTTCCGGAATGCTTTCTTGATCTCCTTGTCTGTTGCTGTGCGCTTTATCCCAAGGAGCTTGTAGTAGTCTTCCTCCTTGCCTTCCACCACCAACAGAAGAACTGTCAAACATACGGCTCCAATCTTCAGGAAAATTTGGTACTGCATTTTGAAGTCTTCTTGAGAGGCACCCTGTTAAATGATAATTTCTAAGTTTAGCTACAAGCATACATGTATGTACGTACTGAGTCTGAAATGTACTTGTATACTGGTCATCAGTCTGATTAATTTAAACCAGGGAAAATTAAACGGAAGGCGACAGAGAATAGAGAGACAAAGCCCTCTTTGTAGGGCTAGCACGAAGTCACACAACCTGGACATATTTTGGACAGTCAATTGACTACATGTACTGTAGCTCCAACTTTTAAACTGTGGAAAGAATGTTGCAACCTGACGCCACTTTTTTCTTCACATCATCACAATGAAGGTCAGTCATTGCAAAAATGACATGAATCTGGGATGGAGAGTCAAGACAATTTTCAAAGTATTCCCCAACAAAATTGGAAATGAATCAAATTAGGTTTTGCCCTTCACCGACGTTTTTAAACACTGTATACTCAGAAAATTGGAAATTGGAAATGTTTCAGGAAACCTTTCCGGAAACTCGCTGTCACGTATCATCCAGACAAGAACAAGGATCCTGATGCAGAGGACAAATAAGTATTTCTTAACAAAATTGGAAATGTTTCTAGAAACATTTCCAGTTTTGTTAGGAAATACTTAGAAAATTGTCTTGACTCTCCATATAGACCCTGTACATGTGGCAGGGCCAAGTTTTACTTGTATCTTTTTATGATTTATTATAGTGTATTAAATAGGAGTAGCTCCCCTTAGAAAAAGCAAATAATTTTAGTTTTAGTTTAGATGCTCGCCCCCCCCCTTTCTTGGAAGTGTGTCCCCCTGTTTGTTTACGTAACCCAAAAGCCCCCCTATAAGCTGCTGGTACATGTACATGTACCACATGGTCAAGACACATTTAGTTTTTAGCCAGTAGACCAGCAGTGTACATCCAGTACACAGTATTTCATTTTAAGTTCAAGTTCATCTTAACTGGAGTGGTGTATCCTGGTTGGATTTGTCTGCTCGTCAAGTCATTCTCATTGACCTTGTTCCTGTTTGAGTGTTGAAAGATATTCTCACTGTGTTGGAACTTGGTGTTAGGGTTTTATTTTTTTTTTTTGGTTTGACTTTGAGTCTTGATTTTCGTGTTTTTTTGTTGTTGTCATTTTGCTTTACTTTTGAAGTTCTTCGATATCAATTCGGAAAGATTTCCATATCTGGCCATCAGTAATTTTCCCCTTAAATGACCTATCCCATCAGAAAGTGATAACAAAAAGTCAAAATTAGCAAGGAAAAATTTTGAATTTTTACAAAAAAAACACTTAGAAATTTTCAGAACAGTCCCATAGGGTGTTGTACACAGGGTGACAAGTGATGGCCAGATATATGGGAATCCTTTCCATAAATTCTTTTTTCTCCTTTTTTTGTTTGAAATCTAAAATTGTGTCTGTGTCTCTATTAGTATCAATTCAATTTCCTCGCGACTTTTCCTTTCAAACATCCTGAGTTTAGTTTAGTTTGATTAGTAAACTCCCCACAGAGTCTTTAGAGTGAGTTCCTCATAGTGTCAGTTTTCCAGGTTAGGCCCCCCAAAAAAATAAGTCGGTCTCTGGTCAGCGCGCGCGTCCATTTTAATCATGCGCGTCGATCTTTTTTTTTTCCAAAATGTTCCGCGGTAGCTCCAACAGCGCCCTCTCAATTTTTTTTACCAAAGAGCACCAAGGAATGGGAAATTGTACCAAGGCAAATGATCGAAAGCACCAAGGCAAATTATGGAGGACACCAATGTACATGAGGACACCAAAAAAGCAAAATAGTACCCACCCTTAAATGTACCCTTTTGCAGATTATTGACACTGTTGCTCCAGTAAAGGAGATTAGATTAAAGACCAGGACGGAGCCTTGGTTCCATCATGAGATTCTTGAAAATATCAGGATAAGAGACCAACTCCTGCACAAATTCAGGAAAGACAGAAATAAGTCTGCTCTTTATAAAGCATACTGTCAAATCAGAAATAAAATCCAGAGGGATGTAAGGTCTGCTAAAGCTAATTATTTCAGTCGTAAGATCGAAGAACACAGAAATAACTCAAAACAACTTTGGAAACAGTTTAAAACACTTGGTTACAGCAATAAGGCTAAGGGTCAAGCTAGAGTGGTTCTTGAGGTTGACTGCGAATTTTGTTTTGATACAAATAAAGTGGCCAACTATTTCAACAAGTTCTATACCACAGTTGCCTCTGAATTGGTGAACAAACTGCCAAGTGCCAATAAAACCTTTGGGACTGAATCCAGAGCCTTCAAGGATTACTACGAAAGTAAAGGTGTCACTCCTGATTGCCTCAAGCTTTCTGCTGTAACTACTGATTTTGTGTATAAAGAATTGCTCAAATTAAACTCTAATAAGAGCACAGGTCCAGACAATATACCGGTCAAATTCCTTAAAGATGGTGCTAATGTACTACAAGACCCTGTTTCATTCATCATTAATTTGTCAATAACCAGTAATATTGTTCCCACTGAACTAAAGTTTGCTAGAGTTAGGCCATTATTTAAGAAAAATAGTACATGTAGATCTGATGTTGGCAATTACAGACCGGTCAGCATACTAAGTGCAATAGCTAAACTGTTAGAAAGAGCTGTATACAATCAATTGGACAAATATTTCACTGACAACAACCTTATTTATAATCTACAATCTGGATTCAGAAGTTCCTATTCAACTGACACTTGCTTGATTCATCTAACTGATCACATTCGATCTCAGATGGCCAAAGGTAATTATACAGGTATGGTGTTATTGGATTTACAGAAGGCTTTTGACACTGTAGACCATGTGATCTTATGTAAAAAGTTACTAGCTATGGGTATTCATTCGGATTCTATTCATTGGTTTCAATCATATCTTTCTACATGTAATAGACAGCAAGTTGTCAGTGTCAACCAGGTTGAATCTCAACCAATGGGTATAACATGTGGTGTTCCACAGGGCAGTGTATTAGGGCCACTTCTCTTTCTCTGTTATGTAAATGATATGAAAATGAGCGTTAAATCTGATTTGCTGCTGTATGCTGATGACAGCGCCCTATTCATTTCGGGTAAAGACCCGGAAGTAATAGCTGACAGTTTGAGTAGGGAACTTGAATCATGCAGGCAGTGGCTAATCGATAACAAACTGTCTTTGCATCTTGGCAAAACTGAGTCTATCCTCTTCGGATCCAAACAGAAACTTAGTAGTGTTGACAAATTTGACGTGTGCTGTAATGGAAAGATTGTTACTCCTTCAAATTCAGTTAAATATCTGGGCATAAAACTCGATCAGAGTCTAACTAGTGAGGACACTGCAAATTCTGTAATCAAAATAGCAGGTGCTAGATTGCAATTTTTATACAGACATGCTAACTGTTTGAATGAGAGATCCCGAAAAACACTCTGTTCTGCTCTAATACAATGTCATTTTGACTATTGTTGTTCATCCTGGTACTCTGCGTTGTCGGTAAAATTGAAGAAAAGGATCCAAACTACCCAAAATAAATTAGTCCGGTTTATTTTAAACATGGATTCCAGATCACATATTGGTCAAGCAGAACTGAACAAGCTGGGCATGTTAAACGTTAATGACCGCGTCACACAACTCAAGCTGAATCATGTTTTAAAAATTTTTCATGAAATGGCACCAGACTTTCTGTGTCATAAATTTAGGAAGGTCTCAGATATGCACAATTATTCTACCAGGGGAAGTTCCACCAATTTTGTTGTTCCAAGAATTAAAGGGCAAGAGTGCACTTCATTTTTTTATACCGGAATTCATCAATGGAATTTACTTCCAAACAGCATCAAATGTTCAAACAATCTTCCTCATTTTAAAAGGGCAGTGAAAGAACATCTCTCTTCGTATTAATTTTGTTTTTTAAGCAGCCGAAATGTTTGTGCTTTCTGTGATTTTTTCTTTAAATTATTTTTCTGTTGCTAGATCCAGTGCAATTTTTATTGAACTTTTTTATTTGTACTTGTACTTGTATGTGTGTTTTTAAGGACCCAGATGGAATTAAGCCGTCTTATAAACAGCTTTTCGGGTTATCCTTGGCTCTGTATTTACATGTAATACGTTTGTTTGTAATACCATTGTATGTTTGTCTGTTTTTTGCCAAAATAAAAGAATTTAAATTTAACCTTGTCTGTACAATCCAAGCTTGAAGAAAAAAAAAAAAAGCAAAAAAAAAAAAAAAAGCCGCGTGGCCGCGTCAATTCCGGAACTTTGGTCTGACCAGAGACCGAATTTTTTTTTTTTGGGCCTTACATACACAATTGCTGAAGTGGTGTGATCAGGTGTCAACATTCTTTCCTATTCCTAAACAGAACTTTTATAAATTAGTCAAGTTGTACAACAGCTGGGCGAGTTGACGTATGGCAGTGCATACAGCGTACGCCAACTCGTCCAGCTGTACGATCATGACGGACGGGTTGACTCGAGTTGGCAAACGGTCCAGATGAAGCCGAGTTGGTCAATGATCGAGCAGGTAGGGCCAAGGCCTACAACATGACGGTCGAGTTGGTGAACGGTTACTTAATTAGAAGGCACCCGATCCGTGTGCACATGATGATGAACATGATGGATTGGGTGTCTTCTAAATGTTTACTCCTCAAGTTCTAGAAGTAGCGATTAGTGAACGGTCGAGTTGGTTCGAGTGAAATTGACGTTTTTACAAGTCATAGCGTCAGGAATCGTCAGACCCTTTAAAAAAACTACGCGGTCCTATTTCTACGCACTCACATTTAATTTGCGTAATGCAAGCGTTAAATTAATAATAAATGCGAAGTAGCTTGAGAAGTTGAGTAACTCCAGCTGACAATGACATGCTCCATTTTCACATGTGAATGAAAATGGAGCATGTCAGCTGGAGTTACTCAAGTCAAGCTAAATGCGAAGATGAGATCATGGAGATGGAGGCTCAACTTGATAAACAGATGAAACGTTAGGACAAAATATGCACAATTAATGCACAATAGGCTAGCTGGAGCAACTATAGAATGCAGGGCCACGCCGAAGCAAGGTTTTTTATTTTGCCTGGAGGCGTGGATCATGGATGGAATAGGAGTAATAGATATGCAAACCTGCAAAAAGTGCTAAGTACAGCGAAGGAATGCACTTGCTTGTAAATGTGTTGGGGGCACTGTCTGGAGTGGCGGAGGCGCGGAGTCTTGGAGTCGCGGAGACGCGGGGCATGGAGTGGCCGCAGTGGCGGAGGCGCGGAGTCGCAGAGACTCGCGCCAATAGAGGGCGCAATTCTCGGCGGAATTTTTTTGAGAACGAAGCATCCATACCCATTTTAAATGGGCGCGCAAATTAGGAAGGGAGGAGGGCGACGGGGCACTATCTGGAGTGGCGGAGGCGCGGAGTCTTGGAGTCGCAGAATCGCTTTAAATGGGCGCGCAAATTAGGAAGGGAGGAGGGCGACGGGGCACTGTCTGGAGTGGCGGAGGCGCGGAGTCTTGGAGTCGCAGAATCGCGGAGACGCGGGGCACTGGAGTGGCGGAGGCGCGGAGTCGCGGAGTCGCAGAGACTCGCGCCGATAGAGGGCGCAATTCTCGGCGGAATGTTTTTGAGAACGAAGCATCCGTACCCATTTTAAATGGGCGCGCAAATTAGGAAGGGAGGAGGGCGACGGGGCACTGTCTGGAGTGGCGGAGGCGCGGAGTCTTGGAGTCGCAGAATCGCTTTAAATGGGCGCGCAAATTAGGAAGGGAGGAGGGCGACGGGGCACTCTCTGGAGTGGCGGAGGCGCGGAGTCTTGGAGTCGCAGAATCGCGGAGACGCGGGGCACTGGAGTGGCGGAGGCGCGGAGTCGCGGAGTCGCAGAGACGCGCACCGATAGAGGGCGCAATTCTCTGCGGCTCCACGACTCCACGATCGATTTTCGGAGGTAGGTCGACTGCGGTTCCACGCCTCCACGCAGCCGTACGGAGACGCGGATGTAGAGTAAAGTGGCCCTGCATTCTATAGTTGTACCGGCTAGCTGGACATGCTGGAGTTACCCAGCCCTAAATTGTATCGTTGACATTTTCATTGGGTTGTCATTTAGGGCTAGGCTGGGTAACTCCAGCTAACATTAACCATGTTAACAATAGTACTTACCAGTTAGGCCTACAACAAATCTGTCGAAAGTATTTTCGACTTCGAGAATGAGAACTTTTGAAAAAAAAATCAGTCCAGTTGTTCCAGCCGCTGAAGGTCAAATAACTAGCTCGCAGTCGCACTCGTACTTTACTACTTCGTAGCACCAGTGTCCGTGGGGCATGGAGGCCGGTAGAGTGAAGTTCGGCGTATCGCCAGCTAGGCTGCACAAAAAAATAGCCACACGTCAACATTTTACATGTAATAAACGTGCGCTAGTATGGCGCCTTTATTTTGACAGTCCTCAGTAAACAATCTGTTTGCATACTTCAATGCCATAAGCGAAAAGGATACCACACCAAATCAACTTATCGTCTGCTACACGGGGTGAAACACCATTGGTCAAATGATACCACGTGGTTTAAAATACCGTCAGAGACGGCCAAACTACGAGATCAGTGTGAAAAGCAAAGTTCATTGACATTGATGAAAGTAAACAAACAATGGCCGACGACATGGACGAAGATGAGGAACAGTTGTTGTTGAATGATGAGCTCGAAGAAGAGTTAAACGTGGAGGAAAACGGGGATGACAGCGAAGATCAAGAAGAGTCTGATTCTCCAGAAGAGGAAGGCTTTCAGGGTTATTATCTTGGCCCATTTTGTCATGTTTGTTTTCAAATCTCAGTCTTGCCAAAAATCCGCCGCGCCATGCGCTGAGTCACTCAGTGAGTGATACAATGTACTCCATGGCCATGTCCGCGAGTAACTTGGACCTGTTGTTGTGCGCTTTCTTGAAAATCACGCAGTCTTAAGAATGGGCGCGCATTCTTAAGAATGAGCGCGCATTCTTAAGAATGAGCGCGCATTCTTAAGAATGAGCGCTCATTCTTAAGATTGCGTGGGAATATCACGTGCGCAATTTATGAATTTTTGCGCAATCTTAACAAACATTGCACGACATAATTATGTTAAATGAAATGTATTAGTGCGGTTAAAAAGGGAAATAATTCATAATAAGAGGAAAGAAAATGTTCTATGCATCTGTACTCATATAACTACAATAATTTGAATCAAATTAAACCTGTTAGTGTTAGTGTTATTTGCTTTTTTCTGCCAACTAATGCATTATGGGAAGTTTTGTAATAACGGAGGACTGGGAACTAGTCTGGGACGTACCGTCTGGGAAGTGCTTTGTTTAGGCTAGACAAGTTACAAGTCCCTGTATGTATCATATGCATGCAATGAAAAAAAAAAAAAACGATGTCCAGAAGCTGCCAAAATTGCTCTTTTGACTAGATAGCATCCAGCTCTGTGGCGTAATGGTGGGGGTGTGAACAATTAATAAGGGGGGTCAGACAAGTCGACCGTTGAGACAACTCGACTCGGGACAAGTCGACCGTTGAGACAACTCGACCGTTGAGACAACTCGACCGTATGTGCGATAAATGGAAAGACAAGTCGACCGTTGAGACAAGTCGCCTCGCATGTTTTTGGGCCTAGTTTTGGGGATAGTACCGGGGATTTTTGACGGCGGCTGATCGTAGTTTGGGAGTGATGACACATGAGGTTTTTTTGTTGCATATAACAGAGCCGATATAGCGCAGCGTGATTGTTTTTGCCGGGCCTGTGCGCCCACTTGCCGCACCGGTTGACATGCCCGCGTGCCGGGCCGGGCCCGATCCTCGCGGGCAGGGCGCGCCGGCCCAACGCGACGGCCACCGGATCGGATCGCCCTCTGTGCATCGAGTATGCCCGCGCCGCCACGTGTATACATTTCCATTAAGTCGAGCTGTCTCAACGGTCGAGTTGTCCCGAGTCGAGTTGTCTCAACGGTCGACTTGTCTCAACGGTCGAGTTGTCTCAACGGTCGACTTGTCCCGAGTCGAGTTGTCTCAACGGTCGACTTGTCTGACATTCATTAATTGGTGGCAATTTAAATGGGAAATAGCATTAGCACTATGGGATGTCACAGTATTCATTCTCATTCTTCACATGCTTCATTCTTACGGCCCCCACCCCGCGCTTTTATTATCCCAAAAATCAGAATTAATTCTTTCCAATACAGTATTAGTATTATCATGATCCTAACTGTTGAATAGTATTTCCCATTCCCCATGGGCGGATAGTACTTTTTGAGCCGCGGCATGAATGGGAGCAATAACGAATGCCACGTGATGTGAGTTCCACCAATCAAATGACAAGGATCTGTATGTCGGTTATATAATAAGAATCAGTGAACGAGGATGCAGCTAGACTTCCCAAGCGAAGCCGGTGCTCGGTATCGACAAGACCGTTATCTTGTCGTGCATTCTTAAGAATGCGCGCTCAATGCTTTATCACCATTTTGGACACCCCCTTTTTTACGAATGGAAGATGCACACAGACCATCGTTCGCGTTCTTCTCAGGGTCCTCTCCCCCCCCCCCCTACAACCACCATGCTAATGTGAGCACTCAGCCTATATTTCATTGACGTATACTAAAATATATGTAGCATGTATTCTGCAAAATTGACGCACAATAATTTTGCTTTACGCCATTGCACTTGCAGAGACCATGGACACAAAGCAAATTTTACAACATGTTTTGTCCATAATGCATGCTTATTGACTTTGATGGAAATCGTTTCGATCATTTGACAGAAGTGGAGGAAAATAATAATCGGAGGGGTTTCTTGCGAAGTCTTCTGCGTATCAGAGGCAGACCAGACCGTGATCGGGTGCAGAAGCGGCCGACACAGATAACGTATGACCCATCACTTCCAACTGCACATTCTGTAAGTACATGATATGAAGTCCATGAATGCACTGTAACCAAAGACTGAGTGGCTCTTTGTTGTTTTGGTGGTATATTCTTTTGCATTATAAAGTGTGTGATAGTGTTGAAGTAAATCATACTGATGAGTCAAATTGGTAATTGAACATACATATGTATGTAAGTTCCTAAATAAGTATGACACTATTTGCTTTCCAATAGTTGTTTATTTGTTCTCAAGCAATGACAACAGCGTCTGCAACAAACAAGATAACAAACAAAATACAACCATCAGGTAAACGATAATACTGTTGAGTTGAGTGATCCGTGGTAGGTGTGGGTGAGTGAGTAGAGGAGGCTGCAGGTCGGGGGCATTGTGCGGCATGAGGGCCCGTAGAGCTTGTGGAACAGGGCTGGTGGCCGTCGGGCTCTGGGATGGCTGTGGGTGGGTGGTTGTTGGAGGTGGTGTCGGGGTGGCTGGTGTGTCGCTGGTGGCTGGTTGGTGGGAGGATTGATGTGGAACAACTGAGGTGTTGCAGGCTTGGCCATCTGGGCTGGTGGAATCGAGGCTGTCGTCTAGCCAGGTGCCATGGCCAATGATGTACGAGGTATGACGGACAGGTACTTACAAGGAATTTCCTGTTGCGCAGTGTGACACATCCAGAGCCGCCCACTCAAACCGCATACTGGTCAAACTGGTGCACCTTGACCACAATGCCATTTTTTTTCCCCACTTGTTGGGATTGGGGCCGGTCTGGTTCTGGATGCAGACACAGTCCCCAATGATATCAGCGGAGGAAGGGTTCGGGTGTGCTCAGTGAGGCGCTCAACAGTACGCATGTGATGATTGCGCAGTGCCTACTCCCGAGAGAGGAGGGTCTCCTGCCATGTTGCGTGGGGCTGGTACTTGCCGGGATGGATGGGGATGAAGTCTGTTATAGCTGTCTCCTGAGGCGATGTACCCTTGGGGGGCTACATGTACATCATCATGTAAACGTACAGTTCATCATCCAGGTGTATGTATGTGTACATGTAGTTCAACATCCAGGTACACGTATAGTCTGTGGGACTTAACTATGTTGAGCCATAAACACCAGGGAATTAACAGCATATTTTGAGACAATTGCATGAATTGGAGCTAACCCCACTGAACTACATTTATGCCTGTATCCTGCTGCAGTTGGTGACCACACACTTTGGCTTTGAGTTTTTGACTTGATGGATCTTGCTATACTTGTGGGCATTCAGGCTTCTCATTTGAAAAGTGTTGCATTTGTTGCGTTTATCAGGGTTTCTACTGGGTACTAGTCCAAATACCCTAGAAGGTTAGGATTATGATGCATACATGTACAAATGTACATACTGTTGATTATGCTTAAGTGGGATAGTGTGTAGGCTGTCCATTTTTAAATAATTTAGTATTCGGTTATTCGAAACTGCACTTGACCAAATATTTGAATATTCGCAACTCGCTGATCAAGTTTTAAACACACCAGCGACAGCTGCCTTCCTCGCTGGTCAGTAGTTGCATACAAAGTGCGCCGGTTAAAACTTGCATTCGTCGATGGCTATTACGGTTTGCTGGAGTGTTTTACAGTATAAGTACTGCATGAGTGTCCAGGGACTTTACCCAGCTGAAAGAATGGGACCAATAAAAATGCGTCGACAAGAAAGTTACCATCGACAAAAAAGTGGCATCTGACAATAACAAGTGCGAGTGCACAATAAACTCTGGCCGTGTTGCAAGAAGTCTTGCATGAAATTGATCAAAAAGATCCCTGCCAGAGCTTAAAAATGAGGCGCCGTAAAATTCGGCCCCGATGGCACATATATGGAACACTATACTTTTGGTCAATTTTCAGAACTGATTCGACCGATCTTACCAGAGCTTTAAAAATGCAGTTTTATGATTACAGTGACAACACAGTCTTATGTGCGCATGCATACATGTAGTTTATTTATGAATATTCAACTAACCGGCATAAAGCTAAATTCAAATATTCAGTTGATGATCGAATATTCAAATATTCGGTAAATTCGGGGCAGCTGACGTATACAAAACAGTAAAATAGGCTGCGGACTTGATCTCTCGTCCACAGTATCTTGGCAGTGACCTGGAGGAATACAGTGGCCGGACAGTCCTTGATGAAGACAGCTTTATATCCTTACCCCTCCTGCACCTCCCCGGGGTCATCTTGGTCCCTGGCCAGACGTTACCCCTCCAGCTCTTCAACCAGAGGATCATCTCCATGATGAAACATGTCATACAGAACAACAGGACGTTTGGCATGATTCATGATAGGTTAGTGTTGAAGGTGTATTTATGTAGGTTTCATCTCCAGATGTTAAAACCCCTGATTGAGGGTTTCAGGCATTGCAAGACCAATTTGAAAAGGGGATGTGACAAAAAAATTGCATAGGGAGGGGGGGGGGGGGGCTACATACCATCTGCGTATTTGAAACCCTGTTCTCGAGTGACTTGCAAACACCAGAGTGTGTGTGGAGTGCAGCTGGGGGAAGACACAAGATGACAGCTACGGTATAAAACTCTGAATTAAATGAAAGGAAAAGATATTACATGTATCTTTATTTAATTCCTGAAACGGCTATATAAAATGTTAATGACAAGCCCACTCTATGATTATGTACAATGTTATGTTGTAATATTTTAACTGCATTCGAATCCAAGAGCTTTATAAGAAATCACCCAAAGCCAATGATGAAACAACAAATTGGAAAATGTGTTTAAAGTCCGTTTCCTGGATAGTATTCTGTGCGTTCTAGAACCATGAAGTGGGAGTCTGTGACACGTTGTTTTTTTTGTACATATGACGAATGGCTGCTGTTTTGCACCGTGAGTCATTGCAATTACTTTTCACAAATTTTTGCGTATATTTTTGGGACTCTTTATAGCCTTAATTCGCTTGAGTAGAGTCTTCTGACATGTCTGATGAGGGAGTCGAGTCGACGGAGTCATTTGCTCGCAGTGACTCGAGTCAAGTTGAGTCATTTGCTGGCAGTGACTCGAGTCATTTACCCTTAGGGACTTGAGTCGAGTCGAGCCCAGTCACCAAAAATTGTGACTCGAGTCTGACTTGAGTCGAGTCATTGACTCGAGTCATTACAACTCTGCAATAGGTGACACTAAATTTTGTTATCTATTTTACTCCTTTTTTCTGTTGTCAGTCATGACAGGGGTCCAGGTCAGGAGGGGAGCATTGCAGCCATTGGGGGGACAACCGCTGAAATCTTCAGTTCCAAAGAGGAGGATGACGACACAGGCATAGAGACCATGAGGGTGAAGGCCATGGGAAGGCAACGGTTCCAGGTCATGGAGACAAGACGGCAAACGGACGGGTGAGATGATGAAGCGTTTTTTGTCAACTCTCGTTGTTTTCAGTCATGGTGCTTCCAGTTAGTTGGCACAAAGTTCATGTTAACCCTATAGTCACTTGAAACCGTCCTGTCTATTACTCACAGAAGCACCCGGAACCGCCCTGCCTGTTACTCACTGTAGCGCCCGAAACTGCCTGAGCTCTCTATGGTTTTATAGATTTTTAAATGAATAAATACAGTGTTATACAATGTTGTACAAGTGCTAATGGGTTGAGTAGTCGTATGGATTTTTTGGTTTCATTTTGTGGAGAGATGCAGGTGTGATTTTTTTTACTTTCAGTGTTTGCAAATTCGTGGTCAACAATCTGTCAAAAATGTACTGTAAAAGTTGAGACATTTATTTTGTCTGTAAAAGTGATTTTGTGTGATTTGTTGAGAGGTATTTCAACGGGTAGTGCAAGAAATGCGAGAGCAAAAATATTCTAGCAGTTTTTCTGCTACCACCTGAGTGGTTTCACAATCTTCAGAGAAGTCTTGGCCCAAGACATAAGTGATCCAGAGCAATAGTTGCATTGTTGTGTAGCACCCTTGCATAATTGTTTTTTTTTACTTTCTCGCACTATTGTCTTGGTCATTTCGTAGCAATGGGGGCGGGGCCATTTTATGTAAATAAGACCGTCTGTTTAAATTGGAATAAACCTGTTTTAATAAAGCTCCATGTATGATCACCGCAGCATATCAATCGTTGATTGGTTCCCTAGGAAAGCGCTGATATGATGCTCGATAACTTACCGTGGAATGTGTATGTTTACAACCGTCGATTGGGCAAGCCATTGAACCCTCAAGTCTCGATCGCTGATTGGTTCCCTAGGAAAGCGCTAACGCTCGATCACGTACCACGTGACGCGCGTATGTTTAACACTGTTGGGGAAGCCATCGAACCTTCTCTCTGTGGCTGACTGGTTCCTTAAGAAAATCCTACGGAGAAAAGTAAGAAAAATTTGAACCGCTGAAACAAAATGGCCGAGTAGACTCGCTGATCTAATTGTTGTGCCATTAGAGGGCGCACTATTCACCGTCCACTATTAATCACTAGCGCCTTGGGCCAAAACTACCTTCAGATGGGCATACATGTTTATGTCATAATGACAAGGAGAGTCCATTTTCAAATTAAATATCTGTAAATCAAGAGTGGTTCTTTTTGGAAGAACACAAGACATTTCAAACTCTGTTGCACATTGTTTTGTAGCTGTTCTAAATTATTAACAATTTCAAATAAGCGAATGTCCTCATTTTTTTCTCCGAAGGATCCTCATCGGTACAGTTCGCATCATCGCCGAGCCTGAGCTGCCCGGGGCACTAGAGGGCGCTCAGCTCTCCTCACAGAACCGACTCAGGCTGATGCCCTCCCTGGGCCAGCTCAGCGGGCTTGAGAGGGACGCAGCCTGGCTGAGACAGCGGAGGAAAAGACACCTGTCAGCAGCCAGATGGACCTGGCTGCAGCCCTGGGTCTATGAGATGTACGATGCGGTGAGTCTCAAAGTATTGTTTTGTAGGATTTAATTTGTGACGTGGTATATCAAAATCAGGCACTTGTGGGCAAGAAGTCACTGCTGAGTTATTGCAATATTAGTAAAATATAAACCTTGTTCTTTCAAACACCGCTTTGTTTTTTGAAATTGGATATTCCAGGGTGCGACTTTAGCGGTAGCCCGCTACCCAAATGTTAGTCAAAACAGCGGCGGGCTAGTCAAACTATTCCTTAAGTAGCCCGGCTGGCGAGTTAAAAATTATTGGGCTATGGCAAAGATGAAAGGACAGGAAGAAATAAATCATTAAATTCAGAAGGAAATCTGTATCAATTTGTGTCTAATTTTAGTAACTGTTTAGGGTTAAATTATAAGATCTGTTTATTAAAAACACTGACAAGATTGCCTTCAGGATACACGTTTTATATGTATGCACATTGTACATGTATACACATTGTTGTTTATGAGACACTCTATAAAAGAAAACCATGCGGGCTAGTAAAAATGCCCACGGGCTAGTTAAGAGTCTTTTTCAGTAGCCCGGCTGGCTAGTGAAAAAAAGTTAAGATCGAACTCTGCACATTCCAAAGCCAAGTTATTAAATTTTGAAATTGGACTGTTCGTGAATGTCGCACTAATTTTGCGTCATTTCAAAGCAAATTCTTGAACAAAGTGTCATGTTGTGAAATGACATGTCTCTCTAAAAGTGTTTTAAAGAATACTTTGTCATAGACATGTCAGTTTGAAATTTTTACAGAATATTTTAAACATTAATAGCATCACAAATTTTACCAAACATGCCAAATCTCAAAATTACTGAAAATCACCCCCTTGTCATTTTGCAGCTGTTTTCCCATTTGTAGCTCTGCCTAAATCTGCCTGGTTTTGACATACCACGTCACATTTTCGTACTGGCGAGATTTTAAATTCAATATCAGGTTTCTGGACTTTTCATAAGTACATGTACTGTACATGTACATGTGCAGTCAGTGATTTCTGAGACCTTACTAGAAAAATTAATGAGCTTATTATTCGGGTAGGGCAACCACAACCTTCTGCCTACTACAGGGATTTACGGTAAGTCCTCCTGCAATTGCCTGATTTCAGGCTCTTTTTCAAATTGTAAATAACATATCGACACAACACATGTGTGCATACTTTCCCTTTATACCTAAAATTTCAGGCAAAAATGTCTGACTCCACTTACATTCCAAAAGTAACTAGTGCAGATGTCATATTACTCAGCCACCGAGATTGTAGGGGTCGGCTGGCCGGTTCAGATATAACATAGCAGCAGGTACCTCAATCAATCAATTATTAGCCCTAACTCCCTAGGCCTTTTGGCTAGGATGTAGGCTCAATCCTGCAAACCCCTCCAATTGGCCTCATGGAAAAATAGCATACAGCCTCAATCCTGCAAATTCCTCCATTATTTCTTGAATATAGTCTGTGGAAGGGTGACCACTGCCTGAATCTTGCAAAATCCTGCAGCAGTGACTTGAGGATTTCCAGCATAATCCAGGCCTATATTTATGCATGACTGAGCAAAAACAACACAAGGTCCGGCCCAAGACCTTGACAAAGTGCATCCTACGATAGTGCACTTTTGCCGTGTAACCTCAATCCTCCAAATTCCTCCACTTTGGAAAAGAGGATTTTGAAGGATTCAGGGCGGTTAGGGCTAGTATATGGAGAGCTTGGTTGATAGAGCGCCAGTTACAACTACATGTACTCTTTTGATTGCAAGTTGAAATTTGTTTTAAGGCATTTTTCTTTGTTCAAACAAGTTGGAAACAAATTGTGGAGATCATGCCTTTTATCCTGTTCACCCACTAGGAAGTTCTGATGCATCACATCAAAGCTGAACTGAGGAGTTGGTTTGAGGACTCAGTCAAGTTCCACACGGTGCCATCCAAACCCTCAGGTAAACATATATGCTGCTACATATATTTAAATGCACTGCATTCCTAATCTTGCATTGAAGGTCCTACATGTGTGTTTTTTGACATTTTAGCCCATTAAAGGTACCGGTACAGTCCATCATTTGTAATTTGTGCATTTTGTTCAATTGAAGCAACAAACATGCTCAAAATCTAAAGAAGGGTGCTGATGAGCAACTATTAACCTGATGAAGTTTCAGCTCAGTGAATGCTGTATATTCCAAGAAAAACAGCATTCTAGGATCTTGATTTCAAATCAAAAGTTGCTGAATCATGTTTTGAATTGGGCCTGAATTCAGCGTCTGAGACACGTTCTGAGCCGCTACGTGATGTCGCTCACCGATCTGATGAATTATAGCAACTGCCCGTGCATGTGCGTCATGTCATCGCTTGCGCAGGCTTCGCCGAATAAAAAAAAACAACTACATGTACTAACGGACATTTCCAATGGTGCGTCTTTAGATGCATCATTGGAAAGGCCTTCTTTTGTTGATTTCTTCAAAATGACAGCATGCCAGAAAGAATAATTTCACAGAGAGTTTAGTCCCCTTACTATCTTTCAACCAAGTATGTTTTTCAGCAATAATTACATCAGTTACTTTTTGCAAAAAAATAGTTAGTGGCCTGACGTTACGACCCTAGCAGAGTCTTTCTCGAAGGCTTTCTCATTCAGCCTTCGAGAAAGACTCTGCTAGGGTCGAAACGTCAGGCCACTAACTATTTTTTTTGCATTTATACCATAGGTCCTTTTTGTTGGTAAACAGCTAATTCTATTTTTCAGTTACTTTTTGGATAGCTGCAAACGATGGACTGTAGCTTTAAATGCACTCCATTCCTAATCTTGAATTGAAGATGTGTGTTATTTGACATGTTAGCCCATTAACACTTGTGCTGCATTGTGTTACATTGTATTCCTGCATGATGAATCCATAAACCATACAGTGCTGGGGCAATTTGGGCCAGTGCAGGGAGAAGCAGGAAAGTTGTTTTGGGGCAGCAAACGGACTAATGGGTATCATTTGTCATTGTGCAACTAAAGTGCTCAAATCTAAAGACGAGTAATATATAATTACAACCAACTTGATGAAGTTTTAGCTCTGTGAATGCTGTGGATCTCGATTTCAATTTAAAAGTAGCCAAGGCATGTTTTGAATTGCGCCCGAACTTCAGCATCCGGAACACGTTCTCATTCAGCCGAATAATAGCAGTAGACGAATAATAGCAGATCTCCACGCGCATGTGTGTCGTGTACTGAATAATAATCTGATCTTTATTCACATACGGGGTCATCGCTGGAAATCCAGCCAAAAAATAAAGAAAAACATAAGCAAAGACGGGGGCAGCTGAACTGGAAGGAGGGGGGGGGGGGGGGGAGTTGCCCCCCACATTTTCCCAGACCAACAAAGTGTCACTCTCGTGGTTGTCCCCTCGAGATGAAAACAAAACTGCCCCTCAAATGCACACGTATGATAGCATATGATCGCGCTACAAATAAAATTGTCTCCTCTCTTGGAATGCAAAACTGCCCTTCAAAAACCCCAAGTACCCCTCTCGCATTAACAAGATTGTGCAACTTCTTTAGATGGAAAACTACCCCTCGAAAGCACAAATATCCCTCCTGCAATAATAAAATTGTGCCTCTCTCGAGATGGAAAATTGGCCCTCAAAAACAATAGTGCTCCTCTCGTGATAACTTCTCGAGATGGAAAACTGCCCCTCGGAAGCACAATAAGTGCCCTGCTCGCAACATTAAAACTGTGCCCCCTCTTCTTCAGATGGAAAACTGGCCCCTATAAAATAATAGTGCTCTTCACACGAATAAAATGGTAACTGAACTGGCCATCAAAAGCAACAGTGTCCCTCTGGTGATAAAAAAAATGGTCTCTCTACATAACTAACGTGTTCATAATTTGTTCCTCGTCATATAGGTTTATAGTGAAATGAACAGGACATATTTTTTTCCTCCACTTTCACACCGCAGAAGGTGCCCCTTTTTCTGAGCAAGTGTCCCTATTTGGTGTTGCCCCCCAGTTTGAAAAGCATTCCACCGCCCCTGAGCAAAGCTAAGGTGCACAGTTTAAGGCGTTCATTCAGCACCAACTGATTTGCATATTATAGCCTAGCCGCTTGAGGTCGCTGTTCGTGCTTCGTGCAGTACATGTGAGTGTGTGTATAGCGTACGGCTACTGTTATTCACGGCCAACAATCGATCATTGGACTCTATCGTCGACTGCCTTGACTAAGGATAAGGCGGGATTGAAGTTTGCATTCGTCACGTTGTTCTTCAAAATGCTTGATACCCTGGTGGATGCTCTTTCACCAAGATGGTCAATCCTGCTCTTAGAGGTCCTATGTTCCTGAGGCGATACCGCAGCTCCTTATATAGTGAGGCGTTTATACAGTGATCGTTGTTGGCTGGTATAACCAGCTTTATTTGCCAAGCAAAATCTTTTATTTTTTTAACAACTCCATGAAGTTTGTCCTTTGGGAAAGAAACCAAAAGGCTTTATTGGATCTTTTATTGGTTATTTTTTTCTGATTGATTTCAGACTTTTCCTTTTGGGTTGCCAGTAATCTGCCATTGAATGACACACAGCGGCTGAAGCTACTCCAGATCAATTGCCCTGTGCAGAGGTTAAGGCTTGAACTGGATACACTCCGGAAGGTACCTGTTAAACTTAGGAATTGTTCCAACCGATTACCCATGTACTGTCAAATTTATTAAAACCCATGGACCCAGTGCTATCTTATAATAAGAGAGCTACATGTAGGTCCGTCTCTTGAACGCATTTCTGGTGCATCTCTGACGCTCACGAGAATATGCTATGCGGAAGACATACAATTAGGTGTACTTAATTAATTTGCACCACACACGCTCAAACCAGCTGGTGTGTTACTTACGCCATGTGTAGGATTTACGCGGCAGATTTGTTACGCAGCGGCGCAATAAACTTAAGAGCGATTTCACGAAACTACATGTAGCTGTGCAACGTTTTAGATTTGTTTTTAATCATCTGGGACAAGGATAATAACAGCTTTTGTTTGTTAATGATTTCTGTTCAGTCACGAAACAGTTGTTAAATCACCTCCGCCTGCTATGTAGAAACTAGATTTGTCCGACTTTCTTCGGAATCATGTGGCAACTCTTATAATTTGCCACGGGTAGAATAGCAGTTCTTTTGCTTCTAAAATAGCTGTTAGTTTCTTGTATCGACCTTGATTAATTGAGTAGTGACAGGCTCCACATTGATCACGCTTGGTCAGTGTAATAGTCTGTTGTAATTTGCTACACCATAACTTGCACCACCTGAAAATATACTGCGTAACATTTGTCTTAATTTGTTGCGTTGGTCTGAAATATCTCTGTTGAGTAAGTTGAAATATGTTATGGCTGAAATGTTTCACATGTTATAGCTGAAATGATTGAAATGTTGCGCAAGTAAAGCAATAAAATGTGGAATAAATGGCAGGTAGTGCCATTGCGTAAATGTTCTTGAAATCGACTGCAGTACGCTCACATTTTGTTTCCCACACTGGAACTCTTGTGTGCTTTGCCTTCAGTTGTTCCTAGTTGTAGTTCATAGTGGCAAGTACTGAAATCAGTGACCCTTTTTTTATTTGCTCGATTTTGTTGGTTAAATGAATTCAAATCAAAGCTGAAATTATACAGCATTTTGCATTCTGCCTCTGACTACAACCCTCTCGAGTATAATAATAGAGTATTACCTATGATAATATAGAGCTATATTAAATTACTAGAGCGCTTACTTATGTACAAAGTGATGCCTGCTGGGCGCATCCATGTTTGTACACAAACCTGGAGAACTGGAAATTGTGTACGTATTTTGTACGTCTATTTGCATATCTGCATTTGTATTCCATACTGGTGCGTCATCGAAGCCGATACGTCCAAAACCGAAACGCACGATCAGCAAATGAGCGTTTCATTTTGCTCTACGCAAACAGCGCAACGCGTGCGCGTCCCTCCGCTGCAGGTGCTTTTCGCTGTGACGTTTTTTGAATCGTCATGATGCGCTAAAATTGTTTGCGTATCTTCTACTTGCACGTTGCATTTGGAGTACACTTTTAAAATTCAGTCCATCTGTTTTGATTGTGTTCTACAAACACGCACATAAATTCAAAATGTCTGTGCCCAGAGCGACTTCAAACTTCTCCGCGCGCAAGAATGAAGAGTTAATCCTCTAGTAATTTAATATAGCTCTATGGATAATATGCACAATCTCCCAAAATGTCCAGCCCCCAAAAGTTTGAAAGTCACAAGTTGTACTGATCGATGCTTCGGCATTGTTAAAGCATTGTACTGTCACTGTGTTGTTTAAACCTTTTGTTCACACTTAAACCTAGAATTTAATTACATGTATGATGGAAGAAATTCTTTAACCAATTATTGATTGTTTCCATTTTTTACATACAGTGTACAATGTTAACCTGCACCGATTGTGGCCAGGATATTGCCAAAAAGAGTGATGTTTTCAGGTGAGTCTGTTAGAGAAACAAATACAGTAAAATACACGAATATTAAATATGGATGACTGATGTCCAAGCCAATCGCACAGCACAGCGCTACCCGAGTCGACATGGCTGAGCTAAACGAAAGAACCTATGTTGTGAAACGCTTTTTCAACCCATTGGCACATGTGCTACATTGTATTTCATTGTACCTACATGTGGTACCTACTTGCTGATGAACAATAAAACCATTTTTTTTCCAGCTTGGGCATTTATTGCACAGGGAGGATATAGGCAGGGCGGTTTGGGGCAGTACAGAGTCTAATTAATGGTTCAAACACATAACCCCTGCAGCTGATTTCACGAAGCGCTGCGATGGGTCGCAACACGAGATGCCACGCGTGACACGTCACAGCTTGCAATGAGTTGTATGTTCCATTTCCCAAAACCTATGATGTGTTGAATGCGTCTTTGACGGCTTAAAACACGATGCATAAAATAAGAAAATGTCCTTTTCTTAGGCAGTTTTATGCCATAAAAATTACATAAACAAGACTATAGTACCGAGGCAATGTGTGTGATATTGTAAATAGAAAATACATCCAGGCAAATACGAATTAGCCTGGCATCTAAGGATACGTACCACATGTGGCAGTGCCGAGATGCATCGTAGGTTATGATGAGTTTCTTGAAATTGGGGTGCTGGTCTGTTATTGAATGCTCATAGTAAGTACGTTGATCTCACCTGCAGCATGTCACTTGACGGTCCAATGGCAGCCTACGTCAACCCAGGTGGCTTTGTTCACGATACACTGACGTTATACCGTGCTCACAACATGGTCCTGATTGGTAGACCGTCACAGGAACACAGCTGGTTCCCTGGGTAAGTTCATTGGTTCCACACTCTTAGATTCAAATACCAAAGCTAATGGGCATGATGGGCCTTGACTAATGGACCATTCCAAATCCTGCCATAATTATTAAAGCACCACCCACATTTGGTTTGTGTACAGTTCTGATGATGCTTGTAACCAAGTACCGTTGTCATCTGACCAAAAGTCATGGTGAGATTGGTCAATGCACACTGTTTGATTGACAGGGAGGGCCCCTTAGTTCTTAAAACACTGATTTAACTTTGCTCCGGTGATATATGTCAGTCACTTTCACTTGGTATGGACCTATCACCTTTTGCGAGTTAGCCACGCCCCTTAGACAACCCTATGGAATTTTGTGCATTAAGTTTTTGTTTGTCTCAGACTTTGCGCGTTCCGCGTCTATGTGTATATCTTGTAGTTGGACAATATTTCACAAGCTGCGTTGACGTGATTCCAACGCAATTCTACCGCAATAGGTCAATTGTGATCAGGGAGCCATATTCCGATTTAATAACTTTTTGACTTTACAAAATGTACATCTCTTCTGCAGTACTTCCTAATATTCAATTTTTGAATTGTTACTTTTGGAGCCTACCTGTACATGTTTAATGTCTTTTCCCCCAGGCTTTAAAAAATAAACATTAATTACCTCTGAATTTCATAAAATCAACAGTGAGAGAGTTGTGAAAGTTTGTAGACCTGAACAGGATACAATAGAACTTCAAAAAGATCTAAGCTCAAAAAGATCTAAACTTTGTGTTGTACCACTGCCATCCTGTCTTAAATATTACATTCATCCTTTGCAAAAAGTAAAATTTGTGGTAACCTGGTCAGTCATAGGCTGTTGCGATTCACAATTCACATTACAAGTCACTTCAAAGGCCGTTGACAAGTAACTAGGCCTGTGCATCGGAAGCGGGTACCCGAGCACCCGACCGCTGATGTCAGAAACCGGTTCCAGATTATGGAATCAAGTACCCATAACCAACTTTACATATTACTTAATAGTAACTTCTAAGACAATGAAATAGAAAGGTTTTGAATGTCATTTATGGGGAATTTCTAAAAATGAAAACCAGGCTACATGGAAAAAAACTAACAAATTCACGTTTATGATGCGTGCGCAAATGCAATTAACCCTAACTCCCCAGCCTAATTTACTAGGAACCATACCCATTCAGGCAAATTCCAACACCCACATGGCAAATTGTACACACACACTGTTGGACTTAGTTTCTGGAGGTATGCCAACCCCAGTGTAAAAGACCATCTGTTTAGGGGTACTGTACCTATCCCAACAGATTTAAACACTAACCTACTGTTGGAGTTTGATTGGTTATGGGCTGTTAGGGTTAATGCACTGTAAAGCTACTTTATACACTTGTATCTTGCTATATAAAATGCACCGATGTGTTAGTATTATCGTGCGGACCTTTATGAGCAATCTGTACGGCAACTTCCGAGATTTAAACTTTGGGGTTGGGTTTCTTTAACGGGTACCCAGGTACCCGTGTTTTTTTTTAATCGGCCACCCAATTCCCATAAATGCAACACCCCTAGAAGTAACAATGAGCAGTGACAAAGAAAATGCCTTTGTCACAGTTACATGCAAGTTGAATAGTTTGTGACCGACATCGAGACTGGATGATTTTGATTGAAAATTGATTGATGGCATGCTCCAGTTGAGTATCATGTGACGTAACCTGAAACTGGATGACTTGTGATTAAAAAATGATAAAGATTACTAGAGTAAACTCTGAGATTTATGGAAAGTATGAAGCCTTCAGTGGACTTTGTTTTGCTTATGGAGTGCTGTGGCCTTGTGGTTAAGGGCATTGGAATCGTGGTCTGCGAGTAAAGCTGCAGGTTGTGGGTTCGAGTCCAGCCTGGGGTCATGGTGCATGTGCCCTTGGGCAAGACACTTTGTCACTCATTGCTTCTCTCCACCCAAGAGTAAATGGGTACCTGTGAGGGCAGAGATGGTTCTTGTGATTGAATTAGCTTCCTTGCGCCTAACAGGCTGCATCGAGCTGTATACTCCCCAGGGAGCTGAGATTGTATTTGGAATGTTTAATTGGCCCAATAATCAGGGGTAATCATAATGTAAAACGCATTGAACTTAGTTAGAAGCGCTATATAAGAACTTGTTATTATTAATATTATTATAATTATTATTACTACATTTTTTATTCCTCCAGCTATGCCTGGACCATCCTGCAGTGCCGGCGCTGCACCCGTCACATGGGCTGGAAGTTCACGGCCGCCAAGAGGAAACTCAAGCCTGAGATGTTCTGGGGTCTGACCAGGTCGGCTGTGCAGCCTGGTTTGAAGGAGGCCAGTCAGGAGACGGAACTGCCTCTGATTTGAAGCTTGCTTGCAGGTGTTCCTGTTATGAATCAGTCGAGTTGTCTCTCTGTGTATGGCTTGCCGATAAATCAGCTAAAAATGATGCCTGCTAGAGACAACCAGCGGACGTATCAGCTCAAACGTCACCTTATATGAGTTGGTCACATTTGGGAAAAGTGCAACCTGCAATTGAAGAGTTTCCTTACATATAGACAAAAAAAGGTTGTGCAAATGAGGCCAACCTTAACCCCAGGTATGAGTACCTTCCTCCCACTTTGGTTGACATTTTTGAGGCGTTCTGGCAAATGAGGCAGAACTGGGCAAGGGGCGAAATGAGGTTTTGCGGGTATTATGAAAGAAATGAAAGTTTCTTTACAATACTGTTTATTGCACTGCAAGCGGACGTTTTGTTGAGAAGATATGGCCGCTTATATTAAGGTTTGCATTTGTCAACATATAAAAAAAAAAAAAATACAGAGAAAAAAGCCTTTTAATGTTTTGAGTTTTCTATTTGTAAAAACGAAAGATGCCAATTGTTTTTCCTTGAAAACACTTTTATTCCACGACTTTGAAAATATGTGTAGTAGACGTATAAAAGATTACAAATTACAAAAAGATTTTTTCATTTTTCTCCATATGACCTGTGCCCAGTTCCATCTCATTTTGTCAAACGTCTTTTGTTTTCATATGTCTTTTGTTCTCTGCCTACCGGTAGATGTAACACAAATTGCCCACTTTTAGGTTTGGTGGATTCAGAAAGGTTGGACTTTTAATAATCTTCAGCATTCTTGATTTAAAGGTACAGTCCATCATTTGTAATTTGTGGATTTTTTGTGGACGTTTGAAGCAACAAAAGTTCTCAAAATCTAAAGAAGGGCGCTGAACAACTATCCGATGAAGTTTCAGCTAAGCTTAGCTGTATATTTCGAGAAAAAAAATTCTAGGATCTCGATTTCAAATCAGAAGCTGCTGAAACATGTTTTGATTGGCCCTGAATTAAACGTCCGAGACACGTTCTCACTAGCCGATTGCAGCTACACGATGTTGCGCACTGATCCGACGAATTATAGCAACCTTGGCGCGTGTGCGTCGTGTCAACGCTTGCATGCGCTTTGCCGAATAAAAAAACCAACTACTAACGGAAATTTCCAAAGATGCGTCTTTGGACTATCTTTCAACCAAGTGCTCTTCAACAATGATTATGTCAGTTTCTTTTTGGATAGCTGCAAATAATGGACTGTAGCTTTAATGGTGTGAGGTGCTGATATCACAATGCGTTATCCACTTGAGTTCCATAGGTACATGTACATCTACAATAAACTACAACTTTAAAAGCTAATGTTCATTGAGAGTAATTTTCACAATGTTCTTTTCGGTTATTTATAAGACAACATTTCTTAATATGTATAATTTCTTTTACACGTACAGTTGTACATGTATATCATATGATGTTCTTCCAAGCAAAGTAACTCTTACAGGAATGTATCAGTGTGGGCAGTGTGATTTCAACGGTCAAACTTCAGAAAGCAGCACTGTACAGCATACTTCAATGTAGCGAATGTACAAATGTTTTAGCCTTGGAATAATACTTTACAACTTTTCAGGTCATTGAGCACGTTGAGCCTAGCAAATTTGGCAGTGAATTGTGAAAATCAGTTGAAAATGTTTCATGTATGATAGCTTTGGCAAGTTGATGATCATGAATTCTTGCAATTTATTAAGAACCCATAATTTGTCTTAACATGGGCTATTCCCGATTACCATTTTAGGCATGAGTATTGTTAACTTCTGTGATGTGGGATACATGTATGGTGTTTGTAACACCCGCAGGGCAAGGGCGGATCCAGAACACAATTTTTTTTGGGGGGGCCCAAAAAAATTTTGGTCCCCCAAAAAAGTGGGTCAAAAAAATTACGGCGTGGGGTTCAGGGCCCGCTTAAGGGCCCCGAAATTTTGTTTTGATTCTAGATGCTCTGTGGTGCGATCTGAGGCAATTTCTGACCACTTTAACCAATGTTTTTTTGAAGAAAAGATGGTGGTGTACTCATTGCCTGCCTTTATTGCGATGTCACATAAAAAAAATAAAAAAATTGGTTTCGTTTGGGGGGGGGGGCCATGGCCCCCTTTGGCCCCCCCCCCCCCTGGATCCGCCCTTGCCGCAGGGCACGTAGGACCCGAGGGGCACATACATCGCCTCGGGTGCTATGTGCCCCGAGGGGGTTAAAAACGCCACATCACATCACTCAACAACTATTTTTGTAAATTCAATCATGCCAAGAAGTCACAAAGATAAAGGTTTTTGACTCACTACATTAGAACCTTTTACTGTAAGCTTTAGTGCCAGACATGAGATTGTGAAGTTGCAGTTCTCTGAAGGTGCACAGGCCCTTCAAACGTGGGTAGTACAGCCTGTCTAAAAAAAATGGTACAATCGAAAACATTTTTTTTTTTCAATATTAAATCTCAACATAAGTAAGTCGTTTTGAGCATCACATTAAAGAAAAAAGACCAGGCTTTCCAATACTTTTTGTTTCATCTCATTTGCTTTTGTCAATCCAGAGATAACTCCAGTTTACTGCGGAGCACAAAAATCGAGTTTGTTTCTTTTGCCAAGTTGCAATCTTTTGTGAGCTTCAAGACAGCATGGCACAGTACTCGAAACAACTCTGCCCATGCATAAAAGTGGCACAAAATCGATTTTGGTGTATCGCACTAGATTGCTTATATCTCTGAATTGACAGAAGCAAATAAGATCAAACAAATACTATTGGAAGCCCAGTCTATGTTCTTTAATATTATGCCAAGTAAGAATGACTTATTTTGAAATTTCATATTTAAACATTTTTTTTTCTGATTGTACCATTTTTTTTGAGACAGGCTGTACAGGGTGAGTTTTAAAAAAGCGGAACCCCACAATTTTTTAATTCATATTTTAAAAAAAATATGCAGCACCAAAAATAATAATGACTGGAAAGCCAATTTCATAAGCTACTTTCAGATATAAAAATTACTGAAATTGCTTAATTCGTTAAAAAAAAATCACAATTTAAACGCAATGACCCTAAAACCTGTCTAGTCCAAAAAAATAGCAATTTTTTCTGTGTTTTGACTGTTTGGAACAGCAAAGAAAATGACACAGAGTACTTGTTTCAACAACTGTCACCAACTGTAGTACACAGTATCTTTATTAACAACCCTGTTTAGGCAGACAATCAAATCTACTTTTTTTTAAAAGACGGGCCTTCAAAAGGACTTTGTTGAATATTTGTTGAAGACAATTGTGACGACGATTGGATTCTTCTTGAAATCGCATATTTGGACGAGACAGGTTTTAGGGGTCATTGTGTTTAAATGGTGATATTCTTCAAACGGATTGACCAATTTCAGTAATTTTTTCATCCAAAAGTAGCTTATGAAATGGGCTCTCCAGTCATTATTATTTTTGGTGCTACATATTTTTTTAATTATGAAAAATAATTGTTGGGGTTTGGGTTCCGCTTTTTTTGACTCACCCTGTATAAGTTACCGGCACATGTACATGTACATGTAAATGCAACCTGGTGTTTTTATGAAAGGCAGTGTATTTAAGCAATGAAGTTGCATTATCCAAGACACGATTGACAAATGGGTTTACAGGCAATCTGCATGGTGGAGTTCCGGGCTGCACATGGCATGCATGAATGGGTTCTAATGTTCATGTACATAGCCTACATGTAGTAATAGAATACCGTAGCATCCAATAAAGCAAAACTTAAAAGTGCTTGTAGCTTAAAACCCACTGTTTTGACTAGGATTTGGCTAGTGGGCTACCGCTAAAGTCGAACCCTGAAATTGTTGTTTCAGTGGAATAATTTAACAAACATAACAGATTTATCTGTGTGAACATCATGAACATGGTGAAATGTACCGGTAAGATGTATTTGCCCGTTTGCATTGGTTGACCGGAACTTGACAAGTGTAAACGTTAATATTAAAATACATTGTATATATAAAAAAGAGAGTATTTGTTGTAATTATAAATGGCTTGTAAATAAAATTATATAGTTTGAATGGTCTATTTGAAAGTCTATCCGGATTATGATTGCCCAGTTTTGTTGGACCGGAAGGACAAGCCTGACTGGCTGACTGACTGAGTCATTTAGTATAAAAAAATTCCTGAACTACGATTTCCTTGTACAGCTGGACTCGGTAAGCCTATAGGCTGAGTACGCTAACAACAGAGGGCGCACTTTTACCACTTCTGAGAGCCAGTGGCGTCACCAGACTTTTCAGTCTGGGGGGGCACAGGGGGGGCACCAGCATTTGATGGGGGGCACTTAGGTGGATACGGATCGCCGTCCTGGGGGAGGGGTCTAAGGGGAGGGGGTGCCCCCCTCCCCTTTGGAAAATTTTCGCATACGGAGGATGGGCTAGATGCAAAATGGTACCACATTTGATGCTAAATTCGATCTGAAGATATCTCCAGAAATTGCTATTTAACCAACTCAGATGATGGGAGTTGAATATAACAAAATATATATATATTTTTTTACCAACCCAAATCTCAGATGGGGGGGCACTCGGGGGGGCACTAGGTTTTCCAGGGGGGGCACGTGCCCCCCCTGGCCCCCCCTTGGCGACGCCACTGCTGAGAGCCCCTTGGACGGCACTATCCCCGTGTAATTCGTGCGCGTAGTAGGCACGACTTTTAAAAAAAATTTGAACGCACAAAGCCAAGCCACAGTGTCTTCGCGCAAGTGTTATGCGTCGTCGGCGCGTGAATACGTTCAAAACATTCAAATTTAACTAGCGATGGTCTCCCAGACTAATCCCTGACCCCAATAACTTTGGATCATTTGAATTACGCAGTGGGTGGACTGGGAACCAGTCTACATGTAGGTCACCCCCAACTCTCCTTTTTCTGGCCGTTGATGGGGTACTTGTGCACGGAGTCCATATACCGGTAGTCTTGTTTCCAAACCAAGAGGCTATGTGTACATGCACATCACAAGTTTTCAAAGATCACAAGTTTCCGAAGATGCGGTGGACTGGTGCAAGAAATGTTGGTGTTTAATGTATTAGAGCAAATTTCAGGTTTGACAGATACACCGGTTAAGGAGAATACTTATTGATGGCACATTATTTACAAATGCTAATACTTTTATGGGTAGGGTACATGTACATGTATGTACATGTAATTCATTTAGATGAACTGGTAATCGGCATCGTTATTTATCAGTAATGTTTTATCCCCGCCAGCAGGCATGTTCATTGTCATGTCAGTAGGCATGTTTGTGGGCGTGTCTCTGGGCGTGGCATCGCATGCGTTTTGGTTACTGTTCCATGCCCTGATGATCTTGACCTCCTGGTGAATGTCCATCACACCCTTGATGATGCCAATCAGATTCTTGATTAGAAATGTTGAGACGTCGATGTCGCGCCTTGCCCAGAGCACCAGGCGGATGCAGAGTAACGGCACGTTTACAGTGATGAGGTACAGGGTGGAGTTTATCACAAGGGCCAAGTCCAAAATCTTGCTCTGTCCCGACTCGACAATAGTGGATGCGATGCGGAGTGCAAGCAGTGGCACGACGGGAAGCAAGAGGCAGAGTGAAGAGAAAGTGTTGATGGCTTTCTCCATGGCACTATCCAGAGGCTGGTCATCGTACACGGTGAAAAGAATATCCAGAACCATGACAGAATCCAAGATGTCGAGGCTGGCCGATGTGCCGAGTTGTCTCAACAGGTATTTGTACTTCTCGGTATGGCCTACCTCGTCGCGACTGTAAGCCAAGAGAGGAAACATGATCCCAGCCAGGGACAGGACAATCTTGAACGTCGTCACAGTGCAGATGGGGCAACTCGGGTCAACTTTGAACAGGTCATCCCTGAACTCAAACACCCGCTGTATTTTGGCCACGAGGACTGCCGAGTACACCAGCCAGTAAACGTGAGGGAAGCTGAGCTCTCGCATGACGACTTTCACCATTTTCTTCCGGCCTCGCACCTCCAGCTCCGGGGGCTTGGTGAAGTACCAGAAAGACCCAGCCATGGCGAGGATCCAGAACAGTGCGACGATGGCGTCTATGACTGGCCACACATAGCGGCTTGGCTTGGGAGCCAAATGATCCAACTTTAGGATGATGAAGTCAAGAATTGCGGATTGGATGATCAACAGCAGAACAGAGATGACTTTGGCTGTAGCATTCAAGCCAATTTTGAAGTTTTTGCAGATGGCCATGGTGTACTAGGAACAAGGCTTCCTGAAAGTAGACAGTATACAAGTACAGGTAAAATAGGCATGTCTGCTCATTGTAAAGCCCATATGGTAGCATGCAAGCATTCAGGTACATGTAGTCCATGCAATAGGTCTATGATATACATTGTATGTGAGCAGATTCGCTGATTAATTAGGCAAGACAACCACCTCTTGACCTCTAGGTTTTGACCAATAAGCGGGCGCTTTCTATATATCGGGTCTTTGGTCATTCACCCGTTGCGCATTATAGACAATGGAGAAAAAAACCCTGTGTCACGCGCTCAGGAGTCTGTATCATGTTACGCGATAATGCGCCTGGCTGCTGTTGTATTACAAAACACTGCATTCGAATTGACCAATCAAACCATTTACAATGTAGTCCTGATTTGGGAATGAAATGACGTCAAGATTTAGTAAAGTCAACTCCGATTGGCCAGCGATCTTGCATGTTCATGTACATTGTGTATACCGGTACAATCTGCATGTCTACCTATATCAGTTGTTATACAGGAGACTTTTGGCTCTGTGGATAATGGGTGATACTCAGACTAACATTTACATGTAAGCGTGATACAAATGTACTTTCAAATAAGAAACAGTTCTTCATTCTTTTAAAAAGTATTTCTCACTCAGCAATTTTAATAATAAAAATGTAGCTTCATAACTTTTATAAAGCACCATCTCAAAATGAAGTTTAACTGCATGAAACATCAGACTTGTTGGGTCTATAATTACTGCTTACTGTAACAGTACATGTATGTAAGCACTTTTCTGAAACTGTGCACTGCTGCTGCTATTTTGCAATTAGATCATGTTGATCAATGAAACCATCCAGTTCAACCCTATCCGCTCCGTTCACAAGTACCCCCTCACCGGCAAAGGATTAGTACAGTTGGGGGTGCGCGGCCACTGCGTGTACATAGAACAAATCCCCTGGTGTACGCGCGTCACACACAAGGAACGGTGCGCGTCAACCAGCGAAATGTACCGCCAATGGGACGTCGTTGCTAGGTAAAAGGGTGCCCTCTTTTGGTAGCGCACGGAGCTCATAGAGTCCATATACGTATATATGTACAAGTTATGAGTGCAGCGGTTGAGAATTTACTAACTTAAACAATTCAGTAATACATGTACAAAGTAGATGCACAAAATTACATGAATGAATTACATGAAATTACATCACTTTACTACGTACCATTAATACTCATGAAATCCCCATGTGCACAGCTGATTCAACACACTGTTGTTCCCCAACCAGCATGACCAGGGAACAATAATATATATGCCATACTTTGTTGTTTTGAACTATTTACATGAACATTCACAACTTCCAGTTACACTACAGTGATTATGACTACAAATGCACACCTACAAATGTACGGACTACACACTGGTACAAGTTTGCAGATCAAGCTAAATACACAAGACACTGACTCACCTTGGGCTGAATAAAAATTTACATACTATTTACAGAATGATTGATAAAAGCACTGCAATGGCATACTGTTATAACAGCGAGCAAAGTACAGAAAAAGGAAGATCACATGCTTTTATTGAATGACCCTTGCCACTGCTGACATAAATGTGCGGGTACACGTACAGACATACCCATTCGAACTTTTAAGGAAAGTCAAACCTTTGCGTAAATGTACAGGTTGCAGCATACATGTACAAACATTTCATTCTTAAAAATACAATTTAAGATTGTACATGATACTATGAATTTCAACTACATGTACGAAGTTTCAAATTACATTATAAACACTCTATTGCCACATAAACATGTTATGAAATTGCGTAAATGTCAGGCAAAACACTGTCGCACGACTCGCGTTACAACAATGTCCGGTTCCCAGTAGGTGCTGAGATTATTAATTATTATTATTATTATTATTTATTTTTAATGCCCAATAAATAATAGTTATAATAATAATAACCTCAGCTCCTACAGCATTTGTACACCAGCCAATCTGTCCCATTATGCAAGGGTTTGTTAAGAAAGATCGGTTGAAGCTTTTTTTTTTTAACAAATGTATCTTTTTTCAAATTTGCTACATTGTACATGTATGTTTTTTTTGTCCAACAACCATTTTTGCATAATTCTGCCAGAAATCTGCCAAAAAATCCATTCTTTCAAATTTTCTGTCAAACTCCTTTTCAACAAAAAAGCTGAAAATTGGCTAAAACGGTCACTATGATCTTATTACATGTATTTGTACATGTAGTACTGTGCACGCATGTCGGACATACATGTTGCAATGGACATCAATCACACGCAGTTGTGGATCTGTTTAATTAGCTTTCACTTCAGATCATAATGGTCACTTGAAAACAAGTCTTCAAGGTTAAGACAACTTAGGCAAGAGAACAGATGCAAATGGTTAATTAAAATTACAGATTGACTCTTTACATTCAATGTTCTGGTTTCAAGGAGATAATGACACACATGAAAGCAGCCTGAGTACTCAACAGGAGAAACAAACAGATCAATTGATAAAATTGGATCGGTAAGAGGCTGAACCCATGAAGGATTCCCACATGTACCTGCACCTCCATGTTGAACCCAAATGTTAAAACTCATGTACTACAATAGCTCCCTGAATACAAGACTGAAAATACATTTCGTAATACATTGTACATTCAGCATTATATTTATAAACATACGGTATCAAAAGAATGAATACTGATAGCATGATGTACACGTCATGTACATGCAGTGCAGCACAATATAAAAACATGCAGCATACAATTACACATGTAATCACACTTGTTTAGGTTATTAGTCATGCATTTTAAATAAATGTCATTGGCCTATTTTTATATGGCTGACACCATATTTATGGCTGACACCATATGAGGAAGCAATTTAGTTTACAATGTACATTGCAGGTAAAACTCACTAAAAGACTTTACGGAAATCAAGCACCGCCCTCCTACATGTACATGTATTGTGTCTGCCATACCTCAAACACATGAAATTGGCCAATAGACACAGCATAACATTCCATTAAAAAATGTTCTTCAGGGTGGCTGATGGAGAATTGATTGTACATGTACATGTATGTACCCAGTACAAGGTACATGTATGTACATGTACTGGTACATGTACATGTACATCATTTGCGCTGCTCACATTGGTTGCCTTCTGGGGCAATACATGTACATTGTTCATGTGGAGAATGAGGCATGAGGTCACAAACTTAACCCTAACCCCTTGAGCACTTTTACTAGAAAGAATCCTGCATCCGCCAAAATCCACCAATTTTGTCATGCAAAAAAAAATGTTGGTGTCCTGAGTCCATCAGAATCCACTCGAGTCCATCAGAATCCACCACTGTAGTACATTGTACCTCGTACACACCAAACATACATGTAGCCAGAGTTGAACTGTTGAGATCCTGAATCTGTCAAAGTCCCCCAACTGCTCAATGTGGGGGTATCCTGAATACATCAAAATCCTGCAGTACCACTTGGCTTTGTCCTGAATCCATCAAAATCCCCCAACATTTTCAATGTGGAGGTATACTGAATCCACCGAAATCCTACAAAACAGGGATGTGGATTTTGAGGGATTCAGGCACCTGTACACTGGAGTTAATTAATTAAAGTATACAATGCCTAACGGTATTAGATTGTAAAATTTAATTGGTATAGAAAAGTTCATTTAGGGTCCAATTTTTTTGATGTCCGTGTTACATCGACATCAGATCTTGTAAATTTAGAATATGTTTTTTCATGCCTTCTACCTCCAAGAGTGATTATGAAATTTGCAAATTACCTGCTAAACTATTTAATATACATGTAGTTTGAAGTCAATTTCAATGATATTTTCATATCAAATTATACACAGGTCAGGTGTAACAGGGATGCCAAAATGTCACACGTTTGGACCTCACATTTATACTCCAATACATGTACGTGTAGTTCGTACAATATACGTACACAACAGATGTATGATGGAATCAACAGAGTACATCATCACCTCATGTTACCCGGTACCGGGTACATGTACACGGACATGTATCTGTTCTCAACATTTTCATTCCCAGTTTGAGTGGTCACTAAGTGCCATGTACATGTGCCTGCAGGAGTTTTCACACAGGAACCGGCTCCATCTGAACTGCATCATCTGTACCATGCTCCTCCTTGGCTACCTCCCGTCTCCAGGTCACCAGCTCCCGATAAATGTCCAGCACCCCCTTGCAGATGGCCATGACGTTCTTGGTCAGCCAGGTTGTGATGTCCACGTCGTGGTGAAACCACAGGAACATCCGGATGCTCAACAGCGGGATGTTAACCAGGAAGAGGTACAAGGCGGTGTTGAGCACCATCACAATCGGGAAGACCTTGTCAGTCTTCGCCGACCCGCTGGAGGATATCACCCGCAAGGCGATGAGTGGAAACACCGGCAGCAGGATGCAGATGGAGGAAAACACCCGGATGGTTCTATCCAGAGTAAACGTAATCTCCACGCGATTGTCCTCAATGAACAAAATGTCAAGCAACATGACAACATCCAGGAGGTCAATACTAGCGGCCGTGCCCAGCTTCTCGATCAAGAGTTTGTATTTGGAGTTATGGGCTTCGTTATGGTGAGCGTAGGCCAGCAGGGCAAAGATGACACCAGCCAGAGAGAGGATGATCTTCAGGGATGTGTTTGTCTGCAGGGATTCATTTGTGGATGTTAAATCCTCGGCGAATGCCACAAACATTCGATTGATCTTTGCGACGAGGATGACGGCATACAGAAGCCACGAAACGTATGCAAACGGGAGCTCCTTCAGGGCAAGTTTGATGATCTGCTTTCCACTGTATCCTTCAGTTGGCACTTTCTCTTGGCTTGGAAAGTGGAAAAACCGGTAAGAAAGAACCAAGGCAATTATCCAGAAGATGACAACGATGGAATCCAGGGCTATCCAGATGTAACGTCCTGCATCGGATGCCGTGGTGTCCAACCGTATGATGACGTAATCCAACAACGCTGATTGTGTTATCAGCACAAGGATGCACAAGACCTTGGCAGCCACTGACAGCACACAACCAAAGGACCCTTTACAGCCCATGCCTACGGTACAGGTAGGCCTATACAGTTAGCACACAAAAACAATAATCCAATTCAAATGTAATGTACGTTGGTATTTATTGTTCAATATTCCAGTGTCCAAGTGTTCTCTCATCGGGCGAATGTCGGCAAGTATTCCTGTTTTACACAAAAATAAAAACAATAAGGACATTATTTATACACATTTTCAGGTACTGAAACGAAAACTGTCATGACTGTCCCTCTTCACCATGTTCACCCTTGTCATTATGTCACTGAATGTCATTGTCAAGTGACAAAATAATTTTGATCATAAATTGATTTTCGGCTCCTGGCCCCTAGCAGCGGGATTATCCATGCATATGTACAAAGTGTGACTGAAAATACGGACATGACGGAGGTGGTCCAGAGTTTCAGTTACATTTATGGGACTAGGACTCAGGAAGAAAAGGGTTGAAAAAGAGCAGTGTTTGGAATTCTGTCCGTAAACTGGGCATAGCAAGCAAACTGCATAGGCTACACATTGTACTTGTACTTTTGTTGTAGCATAGGCAACTGGGTGTGGCATCAAGTGACAGTCCTAATAATCCATGTGGATTTTACGAAACCCAGGTTCTCAAAAAACATTACAACGAGACTATCATTCTAAAGCATGTATATCCTGACAACGCAAGTCGGCGGGATACTTGAATAGTTTAAATCCACCAAAAACCCCGTAAAGTTACCTCTGCAAACTACGCAAGTGTTGTCACATAGTACACATCAGTCATTTTGTCAGTGAACGCGCTAGTCGTCGCTGACAAAAAGGTGGTGGCGCTGTTGAAAATTTCCAATTGGACTAGACCATTATTAGTTAGGTGAGGTCCCATCTTCACTGTTTAAATATTAAAAAAATCTGACAAGAAACATCCTCACCTGATAATTACTCGATGTAACACGCAAAGAAATTAACCGATTGTTTTTTTTTCCGGAATATTTTTCATTTTCCAAAGTGTTTATGTGTTTTTGAAACCATATTAGATAATTTACACTTTCATGTTTTTAAATTGGATCCCCACCTTGAGAAGGGGGTTAACTGGTCTTCCAATCACAAACGGATACAATCATCACATGATGAATTAAAAACCCGTACCAGTTTTAAAACAGTAAACTGGTAAACGAAATAGGACAAGAATTGTGGTGAGTTCTTTCGATCTTATAAGAAACATTAGCATGATTAGGCCCCTAGTACTTTCAGGATTATTATAATTGTTTGTAATCGATTTAATATATATATTTGTTATTCGTTACTTACGGGAAAAGTGGTTATTTACGGCCGGGATATAGCTGGCCTATGTGTTTATTTAAGACTCGAGTCTAAACACGGAGGAAGGATAGGTTTATAAATTATAGATTACGTCCCGCCGGGCCTGTGCGTACAACACGTGAACACTGCACTTTGAAGCTGCATGGGGGAAAGAATGTTGCAACTTGACGCTGCTTTTTTTTTCATATATCATCCTATTGAATGAAGCCAAAGGTCAGTCATTGCAAAAATGATGAATATTAAAAAGACATGAACATGATGAATCTGGGCATGCTGGGTCACTAAGACTCTTAGTGACCCAGCATGCCCAGATTCATAAGAGTAAGAAACATTTCCAATTTTGTTAGAAAATACATGTAGGGCCTACTTAGAAATTTTCTTGACTCGATCCAACTCCATTACACAACCCCTGATCTACATGATCTAGCCTCAGGTTGCTCTCAGAGATACATGTATTGGTTTATCAGAATTTAGGGTAGGCCTATCCACTTTACCACGTTGACAGAAATTCCTAAATGTTAATTGAATTTTTTCCGACATTTATTCAAGTGCGCCACGTTACTCGTTAGGGAACACTCAACCGATTTGTGACCAATTTCCGGACACCAAACTTTTGAATTTCGGATTAAATTTCATGACGCCAAAATTGTTCATTGAGGTTAAATAGCAAGCATTAATAATGAGGTAAGAATACTGGTTCTACAATGAACCAGTATTTCACTGAATGAATTTGAAGTTTGTCAGCAATGTATACGCATCAAAGAGGGTGCTGTGCATTTCTAGCAGGCTTACATATTTCATTGTGTATTTGGCTAAATATGCCCTATCTACATGTCCCTTTTTTCTTGTCTTTATTTCATTTTCAGGTCATATTTAACAGTAACGTTACTACTTCAAAATGGAATCCTCATCAAGAACAGGCAAAGGTAATGGTGAGTTGAAGAGAGAATTGCTTCCGTACTAACCAGCTAGGTCAAAGACTGGATTTGAATTATTATTCTGCAATTTTGCAGCTACTCACTTGACAAACGGGGATCCTTCCTCCATGAGTTGCCATGGCAATGGAGGTCTCTATCAAACATGTCAAAAAGATTAATCAAATCCAGTCTTGACAATATTGGCAACGTTGTCCGGGCATTCTGAGCATAGTAAATGCGGTAGGCCTGTTGTGCGCTTTCTTGAAAATCACGCATTCTTAAGAATGTGCAACTGGATCCTTGCGCAATCTTCGCAAAAAATAACTCTTCCAGATTGAGCGCACATTCTTAAGAATGCGCGACAAGATAACGGTCTTGTCGATGCCGAGCACCTGCTGCGCTTGGCAAGTTTAGCTGCATCCTCGTTCACTGATTCTTAATAATTTATACTGTTGCAACGCAAGGCGCTGAAAAGTAGAGTGGATATGAAAAGTATACGCGCGTATTAGGGGGGGGGGGACCGGGAAAAAAATAAGAGACATAATAATAGTGTCTTGGAAAGAATTCTGATTTTTGGGATAATAAAGGCGGGGGGGGGGGGGGGGGGGGGCGTAAGAATGAAGAATGAGAATGAATACTGTGACATCCCATAGTGCTAATGCTATTTCCCATTAATAAATACCTCAGACAGTTTAGCCATTCCTATTGGTCGAGAGCCCATCACGTGGCCGGTCTTAAACGGATGATAAAGACATGGCTAGCTGGTCTTAAACACTTTTCCAGTGTCACAATAAAATGTAGACCCCTAAAAATCCAGTGCCTCTTACCGTTTCATTGGTTGAACGTTCACAATCCTCACGTAGGCATGCGCAACACTACAAGCGAGTCAGAATTTGATAGTTCTAAATTCAAAACGCAACGCGCCAGGTGCGTTCTGCGCGACATCGCTCAGAACATGCCACGCGCGCGTCAATCTCCATAAAACGGCTGTTTACATCTTACTCGCCAGCTGAACACTCCATCATTTTGCTAGAGGGATGTTTCAAAAAGCATGAAGTGAACTTGTTGAACAAATCGGTATTTTTTGAACGAATTATTTGATATTTTTTACCAAAAAGGTATTTATGAATGGGAATAAATATGTGCTCAGTCGGTATTTATCACTCTGTTTAATACCGCTTAGAGTCTGGGTGCTGATAATTACCCTCGGCCTCCGGCTCGGGTAATTATCAGCACCCAGACTCTAAGTGGTCTTAAACAGAGTGATAAAAACCTCCAGAGCACACATTTATTCCCTTATTTAAATTGCCACCAATTTATTGTTTACACCCCCACCATTATGCCGCAGAGCTGGATTCTATCTAGTCAAAAGAGCAATTTTGGCAGCTTCTGGACATCGTTTTTTTTTCGTGGCATGCATATGATACATACAGGGACTTATACTTGTCTAGCCTAAACAAAGCACTTCCCAGACTACCGTAGTTCCCATTCCTCCGTTATTACAAAACTTCCCATAGTGGGCAGAAAAAAGCAATAATAACAGGTTTAATTTGATTCAAATTATCGTAGTTATACGAGTACAGAAGCATAGAACATTTTCTTTCCTCTTTATATGAATTGTTTCCCTTTTAACCGCTATACATTTCATTTAACATAATTATGTCGTGCAATGTTTGTTAAGATTGCGCAAAATTCATAAATTGTGCACGTGATATTCCCGCGCAATCTTAAGAATGAGCGCTCATTCTTCAGAACGCGTGCTCATTCTTAAGAATGCGCGCTCATTCTTAAGAATGCGCGCGCATTCTTAAGATTGCGTGATTTTCAAGAATGGGCACAACAGGCCTACAAATGTACCTCATATGGGTGCATTAGCTTGAGTACAACATGCGTGAGCTATGCTCGGAATTTCCTGGGTAGCGCTGCCAATGTTGCCAAGGCTGGATTTGATTCATCTTGTTGATAGCGAACTCGTTTTTTTATGGAGTGGCTGTTTAAACTTTAAGGGAAGTAAAGTACAAGTCAAACCTTGGACCAACATTATAACTAACATGAAACTTTGGTGGTGAAATAGTCATCTTTACCTTAAATTTGAGAATTTTTTTTTCATAATTGCTCGTAATTGTCTTAGAATTATATTAGAATAAAGAAAACATATCAGTGCCTGAAAATGCTAAACTCTGGAGACCCTTTAGAGACACCCCTCCCCCTTCCCTCATTGCGTCTACATTTGAATGTTGCAAGAACATGTCACATAATACCATGCATGATGTACACCATGTACAAAGAACTAGAGCGTGTCGGAAAAAAAAAATCAAAATTTACGAAGTACATTTAAATCATGTAAATTGCTTCTTTCTTTTTTTTTTGCAAGTGAAAATCGAATGTACACGTTTGTAAACATTGTTACGCTTTTAAAAATTAAGATTTAATCATGTAATTTTTCTCAGTCTCTGTGCATGTCAGCATGTGTACAATGTAATAACATGACCTTTGTCTCAAATGCAGAGCCTGAGGTGGGCATATTGCTTGATTTTGGGTTACCCTATAACTCCGCAGTCCAAGTCAATGTCAACAGTGAGGATGCCCCTGAAGAGGCTACTAAAGTGGCCTTTGAGGAATTGCTTCATGTTCCAGCTGATAAACTGGACGGTAAACTGGCCACTAACCGGGGAGATACAGAACGTGAAGATCAACAGAACAGTGCAAACAATGATACAGCCAGGTGTAGTCAGGACACCGGGACTACTGAAGAATCCCCACTTTGGGCAGATGTAGCAGGTAGGGAACCAGACATTTTTGTTAAAATATGGCACAGGCAGTTATTCTGACAACCCCGAGGCAAGTTCCAATGGGGATCATTTGTTGACTACATAACTTTTTTGATTTGTTGAGTACTGCATTTTACTGCACACGGCTAATTCAAACACAAGTTTCTGCGCTTTACTTGTGGGTTAATTTGCACGATTGGGGTGCACTGAAAAGGCATCTTGCCCAATGACACACACATTGCATCTCCACGGAGTGGACTCGAACCTGCAGCCAACAGAATGAAACATACTCATACCCACAAGATCTTCATGAGTTCAATAGGGCTGTGCATCGGAACCGGGTACCCGAGTACCCGACCGTTAATGTTAGGAACCGGTTCCAGACTATGGGATCGGGTACCCATAACCAACTTGACAAATTACTAAGTTATTTCTCAGACAATGAAAAAGAAAGGTTTTGAAGTCATTTGTGGGGAATTTTCAAAATGAAAACCAGGCCATATGGGAAAACAAAACATATTTCACATTGATGACAATCGCAAAAGCTGCAGTTTACACCGTGAAGCTATATGATTTAGCTCACTGTACACACTTGTATCTTGCTGTATTGCTGCGCTGATGCGGTAGTATTATCGTGCGGACTCAACAGCAACTTCGGAGGTTTGAATTTTGGCATGTTTGGTGTTGGGTTTCTTGAACGGGTACCCGGATACCCATGTTTTTGTTGTTGGTTTTTTCAGTCCTGTACCCGGTTCTTGTACTACCCATCAATGCACACCCTAGAGTTCAATGCACCTGACCACTATAGGCCACAGCACTCTTCATTTGACAGCTCCAAATTGATTGACTGTGCTAGTACATGTACCGGTATGTACATGTACCGGGGGTACATGTTTTTGTGTTTTCAGATAGACAATTAGTCCCATTGATCTCACTTGTATATGTATTTCTCATATTTTTACATAATGCACACGCAGATGAGCACCTGATTGAGAGTGAGCAGTTTGATTTTGACCTGCCAGTGTCACCAGTAGAGAGGTAAGAATCTCACACTTTGTGAAAATCACTGTGGTTTCGGCAGGAGGCTCCACAGAGCAGGAGGGTTAAACATGTTTTCATGTACATGTACGTGTAGTTGTGGATATTTTCCTTGGACTCGCATAAGCTCTCTCATTGATCCAGTTCATTTTGTACACTTACACAAAACTCGCGTCCATTTCTGACCAAACATGTATGCATACAATTGCCAAGATTTGAATTAAATAAAAGAAAAGTTAAGAGTTTGAAACAGTTAGAATGTACATGTTGGAGCAACAGTTACCTGAAACCAGTCCATTCATGTTATTTGGGTCTATATGTGTTGCTAATACTTTTGGGTTTTGTGCATTGAAGCTTGTACATGTACATGTACTTTTGTACTGTGTCACTCTGAAAGTTTACCTCATATTTTATTCTTTACATTGGTTTGACTTGTGGAAGTGCATGTACCGTGTATTAACTGTCAAATCATTTAGTAGTTTTCAAACATGCAACTTCTGGATCAGCTAATTTACTCATTTGTGATACCATCAAGTCACATGAGTCGTTTGTCGGGCATTTTCATTATCACTTCATCACATCTCTAGGTGTTCCCGCTTCATAATTTTTTAACTTAAGATGGTATCACCATGTGGTTTTCACAGCAGTAATGCTGAGATTGTGCTCTTTTCAAATCTTTAATAAAACAAATTTTGACCAGGGTCGACAAACGACTCATTTAGCTTGTTCGCATCACATTTATAACTTCACACTTAAGCCATCAAAAGTTAAAACCACTCAAAGGCTTGGAAAGCTTGGAATCATCCTCTTTTATTTGTTACTTCTTAGTTGCATGCCTGAGTCTTTAATATCAAAAGCATCCATGTGTATCATTTCCTGGCTTCACATTTGAAAGTACAGTACATTCATATTTTGTTGGGCTTAATTCTCTGACAGTGCAAAGGTTGAAGTTGATGATGACGATGAAGTGTTTTTCGGCCCGATCGGTTTGACTGAGGCCTGCATCGCCAAGAAAACACAGCTGAAAAGCCAATCCCCAACCGAGTGCAAACCCCTCAGCCCTCTCAACGTTGAGCAATACGTGGAACTCTTCCTGGAGGCCAACAAAGTGGCCATGGAGCTCACAAGCCGAAAGGAAAGCGACGAGTCGCAAGGGTCTGACAGTCAGGAAAGTAAAGACAAAGAGACTGGTGGGGTTGATGACAAATCGGAACAGTCCTCTGAAACAAAACCCTCCATTGAAGTATCAGATTGTCAGACTGGGGAGAGGGATGGCCTAGCCAACCTGCCTGGGAAAGCAGAAGTTAGGACCTTCAAGAGGCTCGTTCGTAAGGAAATGCGCAGCCCGCGTCGCGGGACCTACACGATATCGGTCAGCCCGGCCAATACGCCCCCGCCGCCGCACTTACCATCCGCCGACGATTGTGTGTCCAAACTGACTAGGGATAAGCCTGAGACGTTGAATTTCAGTGCTGTTGGAAGTCGCAAGCAGCCGTCGCTGAAGGCTCCGCAGTCCAAGTTACCCGTGAAAGGAACCAGGAGATCCAAGCTGCCCACGAAGGGTGGACTGCAGAAAATGATACCATCTCCTAATGTAAGTCCATGGATAAATGCAAAGCATGTCTTGTACAATGGAGAATAGAGATTGTTAAATTATCCTTGCGAGAATCGTTAGAAAACACACCATGGTTTTGGAGGATTTACAGGAGTTAAGAAGGTACATACATGGTAGGGTCCAGTTACTATCTCTTTCATACATGTACACTGTACGTATACATACAACACTTGATATTGATTTTAAAGTTTGCAAACAGTGTTCCTATACATGTAGTTCCTGCCCATTAGTTGATTTGGGAGGAGCCAGGAATGTTCCAACAAAAATCTATATACGTGTAGCTTGCTCTTTAGGGCCCTGCCATTTTCCACTGATTAGAAAAGCATTTTCTTTGAGAAAGAATTTTGAACTACCCAGGACCAACTCTCCGCAGTCATATGTGTACAATGTATTTCAAGGGATCAAAGTCGAAGATGAGGGAAATGGGTTATGCACGTATGTACATGTATACATGTGCAATGCTAAAGATTCAATTCTCCATGTCAAAAACTCCTTTTTAACCCAAGTTTGACGCAAACGTACATTGTACATGTACTGATGAGTGTGACTTGAATACATCCAACAATTTGGGTTCTAAAAGTTAAAATGGCATCATAAATATGTGTATGTTCATTAAATGGAGGGCATCTCTCATCTTCATGAAAAAATCGTTGAAGTTAAGTGCATCACATTGTCCATCTTAAAGTCTCAACTTGTGATTGACTTTTTGAGACTACAACACTTGTAGAAACAGTCAAACCAGCCCCCTCAGCAAGTACATTTACATTAGCAGAAATTCATTTCACAATTGGAATTTTTTCTTCTGCATATGTACACACTGTAGCCATCAAGTGGCATGAGCACCGACAAACTGCTCCGGAAAAAGTTGAGCAGTCCCCCGAAACGCAAACGGCTCAACAGCTGCGAGTCGGAGGATCTGGGCTCGGAAGCCAGCAGTGTTGCATCAGAGACGTCGGAGACTGCAGGCTTGTCGATGGGAGTACCCAAGGGAAAGCGCCCTCAACCAGGGAGCTTTCTCCCCAAGGTCAGTTGCGATTGGTAAATTTACTCTCACAAAGCTTTGGATGTGTGGATAATAATGTAATGCTTATTATAGCACTTTATACCAAAGGTCTCAACGCGCTTTACAATTATTACCCCTGTTCATCAGGAATGAAACTATTTTTCTGCAGCTGCTCGAGATCAGCGCATTATGGTCTCTACCTTCACAGGTACCAATTTGTACTCCTGGGTGGAGAGAGGCAATTGTAGTAAAGTGTCTTGCCCAAGGACACAAGCACCCATGTTCCCCGCCAGGGTTCGAACCCACGCACCTTGGCACATGAATCGAACACCGTAACCATTGGACCACAGCGCTCCGCAAGATAAAAATTTAACCCCAAACATGAACAAAATCTGATTTACTGTGGCTTCAAAGGATTTGGGTTTGGTTATTTTTTATTCGAGAATTAAGAGCAGGGACCAAAAAATCTGAATCTTACATGTACATGAACTTATTGTATCTTATTTAATCAACAGTGGACCAGTGGACTACGGCCGCCAGCAAAAGCTGCAACCCCATCTGCTGAATCACACCAGCAAAAATCAACAGGTTGGGACAGTCAACATTCACTAAATTCCCCTGCTATGCTTTATCACTTTGCACAGGCTAGTTTATACCGATACCAACAGTCAGATCACATCAAATAGTCAAACACAGTTTCGAGTAATAAAAAAGACTAAATTTGACAGCCCTATAGTTCAATTCATTCTGCACTATAACAAGAATTTTGTTTCAACCAAATTTATATAATGATGGTCAGCTGTAAATCAGGTATTACAAATATTTCACTTTGACCATGACTTACTTCTGCACAGCGGCATGCATCAAGGCACCAACGGCCAAGCCCAGCCTGCTGCAGCAAGGCACGCTGCAGCGACGGATGGTGCAGGCCAGCCGACCGCTCAAACTTGTCAAGCCCGGTCAACGAGGGTCCTTGCAGTTGTCCAGCAAGCCGCAGCCGGTCAAGGCAGTGGTCGGAGTGGCAAAAGTGCCGAGTGCCAAAGAAGCCACAAAAGCTACACCTAAGAAAGCAGGTAAATGGTACTGGGTGCAATGCTCAATCCCTTGTTATTGAGGAATGCTAGACTGCTTGAAATTTTGTTACAAATGCGTTTACTATTATTATAAGTTCCAGCACACATAAAAAGTCCTCCAATTTTTATGTTTTTAATAGCGTTACACACGTAGCAAATCTATGGAAAAACTGCATATTAGTCTTTACATGTTGGGAATGAATCACTCAGTACAAAGAAATTGTAAGTTGGTTTATGTAATGTAGTGAGCTTGTCACTAGCCCATGGATAATAGTTGTTGTTTTGATGCTTGGTTGGTTTATTGTGTCTCAGTTCATCACCCGAGGTTCTGTGTGTTCTAGGGTGTAATCTTACCTAAGTTGGGGCCTTATACATTATTCATTTAGTCAGTTGAGGTTCATGCATTCCAATGTGGATGAGGTAATGTCTGGGTCTGGGTGTGTGGTTTTAGTTCATGTGGTGCAATACATAGCTATCATGTAAGGATACTACAGTTTAGAATGTTTCAGAGAAGTGAGAGGTTGATTCAGCATGACCTTTTAAAAAGAAATAAGGGAATAAATAAATGTATGTGCCTAGCTGGTTTTAAACAAGTCCGCTGGTTTTTGCTTTGGGCCTTTACGCTTCGGATCGGGCCATTATCGCGACCATGTCCCAAGCTGGACTTGTTTAATACTGGTTAAGCACATATTTAAAACACAGTCAAAACAAGTCAAAAATTATAAATTTCCAACGATTTTGTTCAACAGTTTTACTTCATGTTTTTTCAAACACCCCTGTGGCTGTGTTATGGTATGTGCCGTAAGTCGCAAGTCGCAAACATCTCCTTGTATGGAGATTGGTGCGCTCATGGTGCGTACTGTTGGATGTGGTGCAGAACGCAGCTGTGCCGGTGTAGTGTGAATGTAGGACTCTCGAAATACAGAGTCCTCGGTAGTGTTGCGCCTGTCTAAGTGTAAATTGTGAACATTCAACCAAAAGGGACCAGATTTCATAGGGGTCTAAATTTCATGCGACACGGACAAGTGTTTAAAACCAGCCAGCCGGTGTTTTATCAACCGTTTAAAACCACCAACGCTCTCGACCAATAGGAATGGGCACACTGTCTTAGGTATTTATTAATATCGGTTATTATACGTGGACAGGTATATGTATCTGTTAAATCACCACCATACCATACCTGACCAAGTTTTGCAACAGTTTCTCCACAATAAATATGAAATTTAAAGCGAAACTTTAAATCTTTCCAAAAATCTGCTATTTGAACCTCGATCACTATCTAGCTGTTTCTTTTAATTTGGTTACTTGCAGCAAGCGTCAGGCAGACACCCAGCCGTTTGCCTAGTACACCAAGTACTCCTGTCCACCAGGACAAGAAGGCTGTCCCCAAACGTCTCCTGAGCAGTGATCAATCTGCCACTAAGCCTGTGGGAAGGTAAAGCGTCCTTATTATTCTTCTTCTTTCGTGTGGTCTGATTGGGACTGCCCAGGTTGTGACGTTAGCAAATCGAAGCCAGGTTCTTCAATCTTGCTTCCTCATTGAGCTCATTTAGGGAGTCCCAGCCGCCTTTAAGTCGGTGGATGGTACACATGGTCAACAAGGTTATCTGCTGTCTGAGGTGCACCGCACTCGCATGTCGCGGTGCTGGAGAGAATTCCAGGCATGCATGGAGGCGTTAAAGCAGCAGTTTTGAGTCTTTTGAGGTGGCACCACTCCTTTTTTGGGAGGTCAAATCCTGTTGGTTTGGTGGAGACCTGCAGGAAGGTATTCAGTTGGCCTTCAGAATGCCTTCGCTGAGGGGCAACTAAAGTCCAGCTGTTCTGTTAAAATAGGATTCACGGCATGTGTCCGAGAACTTGTGAGAAACAATTCATGCTTGAAAAAAATGTACACATACACTGTACTAATTATCCAACCACTGTTTGCTCTTCTTTCCAGGTCACTCAGCACATCGACCATCCCCACGCCTCGGTCTAAACTGATGCCCCCTTCTACGCCATCCCGCTCAGACTCCAAGGTGGTTCCAGCCAGTGCTGGATCAGCACGGCGCCGGTCTGGCATCCCGACACCCTCCAGACGATCCATTGCATCTACCTCGAGGCTCGGTTCCACCAGTAGTACCATTTCTAATCCAAGGTACGTAGCTGCTGAATCTTTCTCCCTTGGATTTCTTCAGAAGAGTGTTTACCCATTAGTAGTGGTGTATGAGGGGCAATCTTACGATTGATAAAAATATGTATTTGAGGCCACTTTCTAAGAAAGTTGACCATTTTGCGTCCGTGCTCATTGACCATTTCAATCCAGTTCAACGTTCTAAACAGTTTGTACCTTTAGTCAGCCAATTGCCACTAGGTCATTTCACACTTCATGTGAATGGGACCAGATATGTCAATTTGACGGCAGCAACTAGTTGTTGCATAAGTTGCCCTGGTATGAAATGCGTTCAACTGAGAATTAGCAGCCCAAGCCACATATTTCTCCACGTTCTCATATAATTTCTAGTGGTGCCAATTCATACATGAACCTGCATACATGTGTACATACACATGGTTCGTTGTGGGGCACCAAACGCAGGGCTGCCAACTTTGAGTAAGAGCCGAGAGTGAGAATTTTGGCGATGGAGCTTGATCAGAATTAATCATTAATGCGAAGCGCAAAGCCCTAACGGCGTGGGTTCAGGGGCCACTTCAGGGCCCCGAAAATGTTTGCATTCTAGACGCTCTGTGGTGCGATCTGAGGCAATTTCTGACCACTTTAACCAATTTCTTTTTAGCAAAAGATAATCATTTAAACATCATTTGAGAAGTCCTGTGAGAGCGTCAGAACAACCTGAAATGCTTGAGTCCCGCGCATTGAAAGAGTTGGCAGCCCTGCAAGCGCACAGAATAACAATAGGGACAATAGATCCCACAGGTCAGTCTTTAGAAATCGGCCTTACACTAGGAAAACGGCATGGAGTTTTAGATTTTAATAGAAACAGAGAACAAAAGAAGGGAAACAATGGTCTTTCCCATTAGGATGGGTGTGCATGCCTAAAACAATTTTGTTGTGTCACTGTTCATATCCTCAGTCCAATGAGATTCCGAGGCCAAAGGACATCCACCACTACCTCCAGTCCCTCGGGCTCACCATTCCCTCACAAGCCTGCTCCACCGACGGCCAAAGAGGGCGCTATCAAGCTGGACCTAGACTCTTCTCCAGCCCGCCCCAAAGAGGTCACTCCACGCAACGGGAGGCCCGCGCTGGAGACCAAGACTAACTTGGTGGGAGAGAGGAAGAGCTCCCCAGTTGTTGGCTTGGTGAGTTCTAAATTGAAACATTACTCCAACTATGCATTGTAAACATTCAAACGTTTATGATTAGGCCAAAAAATGAGTCTTCGGTTTCTGGTACGGAGCTTGCCCCAAAAGTGGTGCGGTGATGCAGGATTTTTGTTTGTTTTGCACCCACTTATATGGTCTCGACCGACACAAACATTTCAAGACAAAAATCAGAGTAAAGAGTAACGTCAGACCATATACAGCGTCAGACCATATACAGCGACATCGTGCATGTGCTGCCAGGCTGGCATTAGTCCGCTCCCTTTAATTGCGCTAATTAAAAAGCCTTTACATGTTCCAGATACACGACCATCGCTCCCTCAGTCTGGCTTACAGATGCACAATTACAGAATTGCAACACCATCTGCCAATGATGCCTGACTAAATTTAGTGCAAAATATATGGGAGCCCAGAGAGGCCACATAAAGCTGATACCCGATCGTAACCCCATCTAAAAACACGTTAAAATTGTGCAACAGCAGGATACCAATCAAACCTGTGAGTTTGGCGGTTTTGAGACATCATCTTACATTGAATTTTTTTTATATTTTGCCCTGCATGGCTATGGCGACGCGTGCGTAATCCAGAAACCGGAGACTTGGTTTTTTTTGCCTTAAGAATGATTCTAGCCCTCAGAATAGAAAGTGCTGCAGTACAATTCATGATCCTCTAATTGTGCAGTGAACATTTCATTCTCCCATATTCTCCCATAGGAATAATGTGATGGAGCAGTCAGCAATGTGAAACGTTTATTCATAAAATACCTGAGACGGTTTACCCATTCCTATTGGTCGAGAGCACGTCACGTGATTGGTTTAAACCGCCAGTAAAACACCGCTGCGTTCTGCGCCACATCGCTCAGTATGCGCAGCGCGCGTTCCAATCTCTATATACTTGTAAGCAGATTTTTAGCACTACTGTATGCACGCAAGGCACATACCATAGACATATGGCCAGTTTCACAAATATGAAGTAAAATTGTTGAACAAAATCGTTTGACTTTTAATTGTTTTGACTTTTAAAAGGTATTTATGAATAGGAATACTGAAATATGTGCTTGGCCGGTTTTAAGGTAGGTTTAAAACCGCTAGGGGACTGGTCGCAGATAATGTGCCTCGTCTTCGGCTTGGGTCACTATCTGTGACCAGGCCTGTAGTCCGTTTTAATGTACAAGTTCTTTAACGGTCAGCACATAACCCTTAGTAAAAACTTCAACACCTTACATCTTTGGAGAATAAATCAACAGTAGCACCACGGATTCACGTATCGTGGATAGTTGCCTTTACCATGTACATGTACAGTGACGTATCATGTGCACAAAGTCCATAGACAATCCTTCACTTCATGGTGCACCCAACAAAATTATGCCCTTTCATTTTAAATCATGAATAAAATACAAATACGAAAGCAGAAATATGTTGTCCTGATTCAGGAGCCATGTTTTTAACTGGCTAGTTTAAAACACTTCTCAGCAGTATTTAAACGGTGGTCCAAAACTCTCCTGATGGGCTCTCGACCTATAGGAATAGGTATAACTGTCCTAAGTATTTAATAACAACAATAATAATAATAATGGGAATTTTGTATAGCGCTTTTAACTAAAATCAAAGCCTTTTCTATTATTATTATCACCCCTGATCATTGGGCTCATATTCCAATTCCAACTCTCTGGGGAGTATACAGCTCGATGCAGCCATTTTGTGAATAGATGATTATATTTGTGTATATTTTTTTCCTTTCAGCTCATTGATATCAAGACCGAAACATCTGAAGAAAAGGTGAATCATAAAATGTAACTTTTGTATTACTAATGATCCAAATGTAGAAGTAAGTGGCCTTTTGATTGTAAAAATATGTAGTTTTCATAAACCGCAAAAAAGCAAGTCCACACTCATTGGAGGGGTCATCATTTTGAATCTGATCGTCTTATGATGACGTCATTTATGTAGACCTTTGGGGAATTTTGTTAGCTACATTTTGATACCCCGTTTGCTACCAAACATTGTAAATCGTCCACGATTGACAACAGTTTATGAAAAATGATGCAGTTTGAAAAGTTGCAAATTTAAAGAGAAATTGCTAAGCGCTAACACACACGCACGTAATTGGCCCCTATCAACTGCACAGTGCCCGAACAAAGCGCGGGTAATTCAATTTCGCGTGCTTCCATGCACACAAGCACATGTGCGATCGGTATTCCCTACCGTTCCTTTCAGCAGTGTAACATTGTCACATAGCAACTTTTGACTGCATGATTTTTCATAAACTGTTGTCGATGTTGGACAATTTACAGTCTTTGGTAGCAAACGGGGTATCAAAATGTAGCTAACAACATTCCCAAAAGGTCTATATAAATGACCTTATCATAAGACGATCAGACTCAAAATTATGACCCCTCCAATGAGTGTGGACTTTTTTGGGCGGTTTTAGGTTTCTTTTTTGCTATAGTCTCACTATCTTTTTCTTTTACTCCGCTTTTTAAAATACTCCAGCTTCCAAAGGCTGCTGTGTGTCAGGGAAGCACCGGTACACGTACCAACAAGGAGAATCTAATTGACCTACTATAAGAAGTCATGCACGTCGGACATTGAACGTACAATGCTATCATGTAAATCTAATAATAACTAGTTTAATAGAGAGGCAGCGAGATGAGTTAATCAATAGTTTCTATTCCTGTGTGGACAGGCTTGTACAAAATGTAAATGGTGCAAATATGTAATTAAAAACAAATACATGTACATGTAGACAGATCGATCTTGTAGTTTTTAAGAGTGAAGAGAAAATTACCATTTTTGTAATGTCGTATCATTGATATCTTTACCAGGATAAGTTTAATGACACTCTGATAAAAAATCACGAAAACAGCAAAACAATAATATAACCAGATTTAGGCCACTTGTCACTGTAGTATCTAAACCGCTTGAGCACTCTATAGTATTTGTGCCTGAACAAAGCCTTTATGAGACATGTACCAGAGTCCTAATTTCTGTACGGAGGTAGACCCGTATTTTATTAAGTTTTGAATTTTTTTTATAACATTTAAACGGATTTTGATGAAACTTGGTTGCCGTGACCCTTGTTTTGGTAGACACAATTCTTCATCGGATTACTGAGGTCAAAGGTTATTTAGGGGTCATTAGAGGTCAGTGGTCAAATATGCTTCAAATGTTTTATAATTTCATGGATTTTAATGTAACTTGGATGGAGTGATCCTTGGGTGGGGGTTCATGTCAACTCCATCAAATTGGAAGTCAAAGGTCATGTAGGGGTCATTGATGAGGTCGTTCACTGAAAAATTGGCTGGGTTAATTTTACCCAAGAAAGGGTGAAAACTGCAACTACCCAAACTTGGGTTGTTCTATAACCAATTGTTTGGGCTAGAATTTATGTTAAATTCAACCAAAAGTTGTAGTCATTCAAGACCAAATCAAATTTGGTCTAGAATGACCACAAGTTTTGGTGGAATTTAGCAGAAAATTCTAACCCAAACAATTGGTTATATAGAACAACCCAAGTTTGGGTAGTTGCAGTTTTCACCCTTTCTTGGGTAAAATTAAACCAGGCAGTTTTTCAGTGTTGATTAAAAATGCAAACAATTTGACTTTTTATGAACACAAAACTAATGGGGAAGAAGGCGACACATGCGGTATCACTTGTATGGATCATCAGTGAATAAAGACAAAGCAGTACAGTTGCTAATCATTTCCAATCTTCTAAGGATGGACAGAGTACATTGTGCCAAACGTTTAAAGCAATTCTCACGATAGGCCTGTCCATTTTCGAACAATCTAGTATTCGATTGCTTGAAATGGCATTTGACCGAATATTCGGATGTTCGAAACTGCCAGCTGCAACTTTGTGCCACGCTGTTCAAAAGTCACACGCACAGCGCACAAGTTAAAATTTGAGTGCGGCGATCAATATGAGCTGTTACTTGGGAGTGTTTTGCGGTAAGTATTTTAACCTGCTAATGGGACTAATGAACCGAAATGAATAATGAAACGTCAACAAAAAGTTACCGTCTACAAAAAATGCAACTGCAACTTTACAACAAAACAACATCACAGTTGTGTGTGTATGTGCAAACAAATTTTGTCTTCTAATATTCCGACCGGTAAAAAGCTATTCGAATATTCACTTGATGATCAATTTTTGGTATATTCAGGACAGCCCTATCTCAAGATTGGTTATTTGCAGATTTGCACTTGGTCATGGATGCGCTGAATTCTACAAACTTACCACTTTATTTGACCTTTCCATAAATCGTCAAACCACATTTAATTTTCAATTTATGTGAGTCACCAATTATGGTTGCCAGCATTGTTATGAAACAAATATCTTGTCATTTTTGTTCTGCCTACAAGATGTACGATCCTTGCTTTACAAGAAATATCAGTTTCTGTTTTCTCCTAACGAATGTTGAGTGTATTATTTTAACAAAAATCCTAGGTTTTGGGCATGTGCAGCCCTAAAAAAACAGACTTAACATTTTGCGACTATTGCACAGGGATGTTAATATGTATAATTTCAAAGAACTGTTTAAACTTTAACAGTTGCCTCAACAACAGTGATGCACTTTTTTGCCTCTGATAAAGCAACTCTAATGTGTATTCAGTATGGTTGCATTTTTTTCATGAATTTCTATTGAACAGTTTTTTTTTTTTTTGCAAAGCTGGGCTTCCTCCTCCTCCCCCCCCCCCCGGATTCGTGCCTGACTGCATCGTAATCATTCCCAATAACAAATCGATGAAGAAAAACATTTTTTTTTTACTAGCAGTCTACATCATATTAGGCACTGCAGGAGGACCCTAAGATAAAAATAATGTTTTTGTTTTAAACTGTTACATATTGAACTTAAATTGCTGTAGTTTTTGGTTGTAGCAGAAAAAAAATCACTATTTGTACAAGGCAGTTCCGTTTGGAATTGGGGGAAAAAGGCTTGTATTTTTTTTATGAATCCTAGAAGTTAAAAGAGTAAAGTTCAATTCAATGATCTGCCATTAAGAAGCGGCAAAAAAATGTGTACAGTATAGGATACACATTGAATAAACCAAGCATTCCAAATGGAAATTAACGACTTTTTATGGGATTGTTTTTTTTTTTCCGGGGGGACGCTTGTGAAGTATTATTTGAATATATATGTATTTTAGGGGTGCAGGTTTTTATTGTCATTAATTAATGTCAATACCACACTTTCAATGGGGGCGCTGTTAAAATCCGGCAATCATCAACACTATACTACAGAATAGAAAAGAAATACCCGGACCCCGTAAACCAGTTGGTTCTGACAAAATTATGTGCACAGGCCGATATTATATAGTGTAATTGACATTATTTTGGGGGAGGGGGGGGGGGGGCCGCACACAAGACGACATACATTTGAGGGCGCTGTCACGCAAGCTATAGACAGGCTTTTCCCATGATATCGCGGAAATTTTAAATTCTAAAATCTGCCCATCCCCGTTTTTGACCTTGTGGTAACAGCTTTTTTTACTGCGTCAAGAACCGGCACAGGGATATATTTTTAGTGTTTCGTTCCGTTTTCGTACCGTTTTTGGATGTTTTTTTCACCTGTTCAACTAACATCATTATCAGTGTGCACCTATGATGGCGCTAGGACTCGGTGGCTTATTATTTGCCACGTACTCTATAACTTTCATCTGCACATTAACATCAGTCACCCAGACTTCCCTCCCAAATGTCAACTTGAAGGATGGCAACTACACATCATTTGAGTACTTTCTCATCACTCCTGGCCATCATCATAAACTTGTCCGCACCCCTTTGGATCTCGTGTGGGCCGTGAAACCAAGATGGCGGCTGTAAGCATGCATGCCCTTTTCGAATTAATGCCACACGGATCATCAGCTGGGCTACACTCCTGCTGTCTGGTGACATTGCTTTGAATCCTGAGCCTTTATTTAAATATCCACGCAGCTCGGGTTGCAATAGACCTGTTAAACGTAACCCAAAGAGTGTGTTTTGCGACTCCTGTGAATCCTGGTATCACGCTAAATGCACAGGAATGAACAATTCAACTTATGACATCCTCAGCAACTCAACATGCGCAACGGATCCTTGGTTTTGCAACGCGTGTCACCTCGCCAACCTACCTTTCTCCAACTCCTCATTCATGTCGTCAACCAGCTCTGAGACTATGACTCCTCCAACGAGTCCCTCAGGTTCAGTGTGTCTGCATGATCTGGACATGAATGCATCAATCAACCACGACAAGGAGCCCAACCCGTGCGATGGAGACCATGATCCATCTGCGAGGGCTACTGGTGATGGCTCTGGTCCAATCCCTTCAAGTTCCTTTGATCCTTGAAATCAAGGAAAGGGATCATCATTGCCCATCTAAACATTGTCTCCCTTGTGGCTCGCATTGACACCATACATGTACGACTGGAGCTAAGGAACAGCCCTGTTGATGTCCTTTGCCTTAATGAGACTCGACTCTCTCCGACCATCAGTTCTGATGAAGTTGTCATCAATGGCTACAAACTATTACGCAAGGACAGAAATCGACATAATGGAGGTGTGGCAAAGTACATCTCGGATAAACTTCATCCTACGACAAGAACTGACATTAATGATGACTCTGTAGAAACTGTCTGGTCAGAAATTCATTTACCTAAGACCAAACCTATTCTTATATGAACCATGTACAGACCATCTGCTTGTATCGATATATGACTAATCTTGAGAATCACTTGACCAACGTCACTGATTAATTTCAGAATCATGATATTGTTGTTACGGGTGATTTAAATCTTGATTTACTTGTAACCAAGACAGCTAATTAGATTGTCAAAAGATTATGTCAGAAATTTCAGTGGTCGTTAACACTGCGACTCGGATCACAGAAACTAGCTCGACTTGTATTGATGTGATAATGGTCTCTAATAAGAACGAAGTTTTCTCGGTTGGTAACATTACTACAGGACTGAGTGCTCATAACCTGATTTATGTTGCTATTAAAGCTTTCCACCCTAAGAAAACTCCTAGTAGTTCTTGTAAGACCAGAATATCTAGTAATTTTGATTCTGATCAATTCCAATAAGATCTTGATGGTGTAAATTGGGACGAACCTTTTACCACTGTTAATCCAGATTCAGCTTGGGATATCTTCAAACAGAAATTCCTTGCCATTTCTGATGAACATGCTCCTGTTGTCTCTGTTAGGATCACGGGCCACTTACCACCATGGTTTAATGATGTTCTGTCTTTATCCAAGGATCGTGATCATCTAAAATCAGTTGCCCAAAGAACCAAACATATCAATGACTGGGCGAAATATCGTAAAGCAAGAAACAAAACCAACAATCTGATTACCCAATCCAAACGTGATTACTACATCAGCTCCATTCGGGAAAATAAACATGATAGTAAAAAAAACATTGGAAAATCATCAAACCGGCTCTTCCTCAAAAGACAAAAGAACCTGTTCATGAATTAAACATTGATGGCTACTGTGTGAAGGATCTCAAATCGGTTGTTAATATTCTCAACGATTTTTTTCACTGGCATAGCCAAGACACTGGCTTCTAAATTGAACTATGCTGGTTCATGTTTCACACCTACTCAGTTTTATGGCGAGTTATGTTTTGACCATATTGATGTTAGTTTTGTGACAGACGAGCTCGCCAGGTTAAAATTGGGCAAACCTACTGGTATTGATAAACTTTTAAAGGTTGGTGCTAAACAAATCTGTATTCCCCTGACTTACATTATCAATCTGACTATAGATCATATGCTAGCATACCCCAAGTATGGCAAAAAGCGATTGTTCATCCTGTATACAAGAGTGGTTGTAAAATCGAATGTAACAATTATCGCCCCATCTCAGTTTTGCCATTCATATCTAAAATTCTTGAGAGGGCTTTACACGCTCAGGTTTATGATCATTTGCATATTAATGACCTTCTTTCACATGTTCAATCCGGATTTAGACCTCAGCGCACTACCCTGACCGCCAATGTTGATGTGTGATTTCAATTTATCTAACTTGGATAAGTGTTACTCAGTTGGCGCTGATTTTTTTTTAGGCCTTACTAAGGCCTTCGATACTGTAGATCACCATGTCCTACTAGCCAAGTTATCTCAGTATGGAGTCCAATGGAAAGAATTAGCATGAATTATCGTGAACAAATTGTTGTTATTGACTCGATGCAAGTAAAAACATAAAACATGAAGTCCCCCAGGGTTTAGTTCTAGGCCCTTTGTTGTTCATCATTTTTATTAATGATTTACCTTATTCTGTTTCTCAATGTAAGATTGTGTTATACGCTGATGACACGGTTATTCTATATGGTTCTGAACATATTTCTGATATTGAAAGCATTCTCAACCATGAAACCATAACAATCTCTGACTGGATGTTCAGGGTGAGTCCAAAAAAGCGGAACCCAAACCCCAAAAAATTATATTTCATATTTAAAAAAATATGTAGCACCAAAGTAATCATGACTCGAAACCCAATTTCATAAGGTACTTTTAGATGAAAAAATGACTGAAATTTGTCAATCCGTTCAAAAAATATCACCATTTAAACAGAATGTCCCTAAGACTTGTCTCGTGCAAAAAAAAAATGCGATTTCAAGAATTGTCGACGCAATTGTCTTCAAATATCACCAGCGATACAATCTCAGTTTAAACGTTAAAAATATTCAACAGAATCCCTTTGCCTCTAATACAAGTAGATTTTATAAATCATATTGTTTGCCTAACCATGGTTGTTGAATAAGATAGTCTGTACTACAGTTGGTGACAGTTGTTGAAACAAGTATTCTGTGTCTTTGTTGTTCCAAACAGTCAAAACACACAATGAATTGCTTTTTTTTGGACGAGACAGGTTTCAGGGTCATGGTGTTTAAATGGTGATATTCTTTGAACGGGTTGAGCAATTTCAGTAATGTCTTTTTCATCTAAAAGTAGCTTATGAAATTGGCTTTCCAGTCATTATTATTTGTGGTGCTACATATTTTTTTTAAATATGAAATATATTTTATGGGGTTTGGGTTCCGCTTTTTTTGACTCGCCCTTTAGGCTATACCCTGAATATCGCAAAATCTAAGACCATGCTCCTTGGATCATCCCAAACCAAAACTAATTCCTCTCATGGTTTCAATATTAGACTAAAAGGTTATGTTTTAGAGACTGTCTCTGAATTTAAATACCTTGGCTTGTGGTATGATTGTAATCTTAAGAGGAACAAACACATAGATGCCGTGTGTAACAAACTAGCCCAAACACTTAGAATACTCAAATGATTACGTTATTGTGTCAATCAATCAATCAACGCTTCATATACTATACAACTCTCTTGTTCTTCCTGACATAGATTATTGCCTCCCAGTTTGGTTTACCACCTCTGAAAAATATCTCAATAAAATTCAGATTCTTCAAAACCGTGCTGCTAGATTAGTTTTGGGTTGCCAAATAAGAGACCTTCATGTCGATGATCTGTTTAACAAACTTGGATGGATGAAGATCAACCAACGTATGATGTACTTTAATGCCACTTTGATGTACAATTGTATTAATCGATTAGCTCCTCTGTACTTGTCCTCAGAGATCCATTCTCATTTAAATGTTCATTCCTACAATACTTGGCCTAATGCCAACAAAAACATTGCCTTTAACTCTGTCAACTCCAACTTTGGCAAACTCCCACTTTGGCAAACTGTGTGTGTGTGTGTGTGCGAGTTTTTTTTTTTTTTCAAAGTTTTTTCACAACCTGTTTTTTTTTTAAGGTCTGCTGGAGGACTCCATGTAATTCTTTTCCATCAAGAATTCATTTATAGGTAAATATATATTACATATATATTTTTTTTACTCTGCAGATTATTTTGTATGAATGTGCAATAAGTGGTTTTAATGCTCTCTCCACTCATCAGTTAGTTTTTTACTCATACTTTGTCTATATGTTTGGTGTAAGTTTTTATGTAAAGTCTTGTCTACTTTTGTAATTTTATTTTCTTTGTCTAATTTTATTTCCATGTAATTTTAATGTGAGGGCTCCTTTGGAAAGCAGTTTTCTTAAACTGAAATGGACTACCTCGTTAAAGATTACAATAAAATAAAATACAATAAAACGACCCCCAAAATGGACAGAGCGCATGCGTACAGGACTAGGTGGAGGGGGCTACCCGATGTTCCCCGAAATCCTAAGGATTAGGGTTAGGGTTAGGATTTCGGTTATATGGCAAGGATTTCGGGGAACATCGGTATTGGGGAACATCCGTATTGGGGAACATAGTTATGCACCCGACTAGAGGAGGTACTTGATATGCTCACGATGCAGTGGAAACCCCTAAGCTTGGCTGTGCAGTGACATGATCATGATCACGTGGGCCACGCCGGCCAAATTTTCACTCGACACTTTTTGCCAACTGCAGTGCAGGAAGTCGATGCCAGTGTGTGATTTTTTGAATGCCGACTTACACAAGGGATTTTGTTACGCTTTTTATGGAAAGGGGACCGAGAGTAACACGACGACTTGAGCGAAATGGCGACTTCTAAAAGCCGACTTAGAAATAACAAATCCGATCGAAAAGCATTGGAGACAATCGGAACTTCAGTCGGACGGCCGACTTCAGCGAAAGTTTGACGAGTTGCACGATGTCGACTGGTCGGAGTTTACTGTGTGTGCGACGCATTTTTAGCCACCCGATTCAGATTATCAATTTCACACTTAGGAGTGACATTAAACAGACAATAATACAGCTGGTCAGGCTAGATTACACATCTATATACAAAGTAATCCAAATAATTATGTCTGCTTATGCCAAAGGATTTCAGTCTACGTAAAAAAAATACAAGCTTTGATGGGCCTTTTTTTCAAATTTTCAGTTACTTGAGTAGACCAAGGCAGGGTGTTGTTATAAATGTACCAAGAAATTTAAAACAATCTACAATTTCCACATTTCTTCTGTTTATGGCAACTGGTTCAATTAGACCTTAATTCTACAAAAGTCAATTATCATTTCCTTACAACAGAACAGGGTAAACACAGAATCAATTCGCTGCGGGCCCGCGGAGCGAGATCCTCCACCGCGTATACATCTTTAGCAGGTATTTGCTGTTTCCCTTCATCGTGGACGTACTACGGTCACTTTCAGATTTTTCAACGGAAATGTCAAACTCAATTTTTATGTGGTACAGTCAACTGGGCGAATCAAAAATAAAGTTGCAACTTAATATGTTCAAATTTAAAAAGATGTTCCACTTAGTGAGTCAGAGGGGCTCGGAATATTCAAGCAGTTTCTGAGCCCCACGCTGTACCATTTCTGGTGCTTATTCGGTACATGAGAAGGTATAGGCTAGTATTAGGTTCATGGAAACTGAGAGTACAAAGTTAAACGACCAGGCTTCTTCCCTTTCGTTTTCCGATAAAATACCTAAACAAAGCATGCAACTCCTCATATTGCACGTCATTAACGACTAATGGGCATTAGAAAAAAATAATGCGATGAAAAATTAAGCTACAGTTTTGTGTGTTTTTGAAAAGAATCTATCCGATTAGTTTTTAATTAATCTCCCGCGGGCAATACGTATCGTACATTACAGTCAGTTTGGTAAATACGCCCATTTAATCCGAATTTTTTTCGTGAATTCAAATCAATCCCCATGAGTATGTTTTTGATGTATACCTTTTCAATTACCAACGTCCGTTGATAATGCGCAAGTTGAACATAAATGCATCGACACGGAAAGGTACTTGGTTGACATGACAACCTTTCATCTGAATAAGTAGCTGAGTCTTTGGAAAAAAAGTCCTGTGTGGTTTGTTTACGAATACAATAATGAGAAAGAGTGCACAAAGTTTCGTCTCTCAAACTCTACCTGCTCGGTCCCGGGGTTCATTGTCGGTCCCAACAGCGGACCAAAATCATGGTTAGCTTTTCGTGTATAGTGTACTAGGTTTCAATGTTTCAACTCTTTCAGTTATATTTATTATATTTTTTTTATAACATTGCATGACGGATGAAAACGATTGTCGCGTTGTAACTTTAAAAAAATCGTTTGTTTTTCGATCCGATTTGAAGTCTCGAGAAATTGCTTTGGAATTCGACTTTGCCAAGGACACCGTCCATATACCATGGAACAGTGGCATAACTAAGAGGGGGAGGGGGTGAGAGGGGAGGGGTGAGGGGGAGGGGGTGGCGGAGCACGCGTCTTAAGCAAAGCCAATACCTCCCCTCCTCGTGTAAACCCAATCAGAATTTGAGGAAGCCAAACAATGAATACCATGTGCGAGTAGTTACTTTTGTGACAGCATACTGCTTGACACCATCATGAGAACGAAGTTGGTCTTTTATTTTATCCATCATTACTCCATTATACTAAACTTACTACCATGTAATTCCTTTTACGTCACGTGAAATTGAGAGCTTATGTTAAAAGGGGTACCGGTATTGTTGCACAACGTATTTAAGGACCAAAATTGTTTGCCCGCCGATCCGACGCAGCTATAGTATAGGCCTACATGTCGAGGAACTTTCAAAACTGAATGTTAGTAATTATCCTATTGCAACTTGCAAAACTTTAGTACAAGTGCAACCGTATGGTTAATTTCTCATCAGTATCAATTGTGAGATCACCATGGAAGATCACTCTAAAGCAATCCCCACTTTGCCTCATAAGGGTGTTCTACCTACTGCAGTATCTACCGCTGCTGGTGGGGACACATTCACGCTTGTTGTCCACGTGATAGTGTTTCTAATCGGCGTACCAGGCAACTGCCTGATTCTCCGAGTCTACTGGACTAAGGCTCACAAGACCAGCACCCATGTCTTCATCATGGCCTTAGCCTGGGCTGACCTGGCCGTCTGCATGCAAAGATGGCACCGCGTTTCAGAAGAAGCTATTCTTTTGGCAGGGGGACATGAGACACCACGCGTTATATTAATCGCCTGGGCATTTACGAATTCGTTTATTGGAGTTTCCGTTCTGATGACCGCGGTCATTGCAGCCGACCGCTACGACTGCGTGTGCCGAGCACGCAATCGATTTTTCACCAAGAAACGGGCACAGGTAACAGTCATAATAACATTTGTGTTTTCGTTTGTCATCAACATCCCAGCCTTTTATTTAGCGTTGTCCACCGACCCTTCAAATGCAGTCGTGAGAATGTTGGTGTTCGCGTTCCAAATTGTGCTTTTCGTGACCGCACTGGTGATGATCGCCGTATGCTATCAACTAGTTTACATGGCCATCCGGAAGCACGTCAAAGTTGGTGTTCACTCTAAAGCTGGGCTGAGCGTCGGGGGTCATGATGGTGAGAGGTGTTGCAGTGACGTTTCAGGCACGGCCCGTTCCGGCGTGTCATGGTCCGTTGAGATGGACGTCAAAACCTCACCACTGAAAATGAAGGGACTGTCTACCATAAAGGGAACGGATGCTTGCTCGTCATCTCGGGCAATTCCAGGTACATCATCGGATAGAAAGGCGAAAGGAGAACAAACTCGAAAGGTCAAAGCGGTTAACCTTCAGCGTAAGACAACGAGGATGTTGTTCATAACCAGTGCAGTGTTCGTACTAACCTGGCTGCCGTATTGGACATACATCGCTGTAGAGTATGCCTTCCTTGGCGGAGCACCAATTCACCCGACTTTTCGACGCATGCTGAAGTCCTTTTCATTTGCCTGTTTGTTCATCAACAACGTTGTGAACCCGTTAATCTACGGAATCGCAAACAGACGTTTTAGACAAGACTGCAAGGAGGTACTTAAGAAACTCCGGTTGTGTTAATTAATCGAAAATGATTGCCTGATGTCGGTTCTTGGTATTCGGTAGGAAAGCGGACGCAAATTGGTAACTGCATCGTTACGGACGTAACATGCAGAGGCCACCGACCAATTTGACAAAAATAGGAAATGAATACCCGGTACAGGCTCAGACATTAATATGTAACATGACCAGTCGACACATTTAAGTGTTAGCCGAAATAATATGAGAGATATGCTGTAAACGACCGTTACATACGTTACATAGGTTTTGACTTGGGCCATGTATACACATTGATAAAAGTCTGAAGTTTCTTTCAAGAAATTTAATGAAACAACTTTGTTTACAAACACTAGACATTTTAATAAAATCTCCTTTGATGCTTTGGAAATGTCATGTTTTTGTTGTTTGGAAATATCATGTTTTTGCATGCGCCACACTGAATAGGTGCCATCTAGTCTCTGTTTGAGCTGCTCTTTCATAGACCATGCCTCGGCACCGTAGAGCAGGATACTTTCGACAGAGGATCGGAAGAAAGCAAGCTTGGTGGATTGAGATTTGTTGGATTTCCAGATAGAGTGGAGTTTGTTGCACGCATTCCAAGCTTGTGCCTTTCGTGTGACAAAGTCCTTCTTGCTGTCAGCTATATATGAACCCAGATATTTGAAGCCTGGCACCTCTTTGAGTTGAGTGCCATCTGTGGAGAGGACAGGAGGGTGGTTTGGTGCCTCGAAAGCGATTGCCTGATGTCGGCTCTTGGTATTCGGTTGGAAAGCGAACGCAAATTGGTAACTGCATCGTTACGGACGTAACACGCAAGGCCACCGACCAATTTGAAAAAAAGGAAATGAATAAACTACTTGCAGTGAAAGGTTCAGACCTTAATGTGTAACATGACCATGCAGTCGATAACTTAGTGTTAGCTGAAGTAATATGACATATGCTGTAAAGGACCGTTATATATACGTTACCGTTACATAAGTTTACACTGTTATATAAGTTTCTTGCAATGATTTAATGAAATAAGTATGTTGTGGTAGATATGTAGCTTCACTCTACACAAACACTAATGACATTTTACAAAAAAAGCTCCTTTGATGGTCAATATCATGACTTTGTTGTTATGGACATAATTACGTGTCAATTTTGCATGCGATAAAAGCACATTGAATCGTGGTATGCTAAGTTCTGTGAAATACTTTTATAAAAAGAACCATTTTGTCTCTGCCTTGAACAAATAAAACGCACATCTCTCGAAAAAAATGTTTTGTTGTCCTCTTTTATGTGATTCCACAATTGAGGTTGTGATGCTGTAATTCCGAAGACAAAATGTTCCACTTTCAGCCGTGTCCATCTTGCACAGAATTGCCCAAAATATTAATTGTGTCGTCACGGCGTATTAGCGCATCATAGAAAACGGCCCTTTAGACGGCATTTCCTTATTAAGGCTGGAGTCAATGAAACTGGTCGCCGTCAAAAGCGGTTTAAAACTGTGTTATATACGAGATCACTGTATTACATGTACTTTGTCACCATTTGTATTTATTTAAAAAAAATCGACACCTCTAGTTAGTATTCACTATAACATTCTCAACGCTGCATATTACATGTCACTTCTAATTGTATCAGTCTCCTTAGAGAATTGTAACATTCTAACCGGAGAGCAATGTAATGTTCTAACAGCTGTTTGGGTCTAAGTTGGTTTGTGTGGTCACGTGCTGCCAAATTTTAGGAAACTGCTCTCTTCTGCACCCCATGTGTTTACACGTTTCTCTTGAAATGTTGTAAAATGAACTGTTTTCTAAAGTGGGCAAAATAACGTGCCACAGGTTTTTGGGTTGTCCGTCGGTTTCCCCTCGGTTGCCCGTTGGTTTGACGTCACACGGCACGTGGTCTATATAATGTATATGTACTTATAAATATACCGTGCATGCTTACCTGTCTCCGAAGTACTTGGCCATGTCTTGCATCCCTATACCATGAGTGCAGTAGCGTACATTATGACCATCCAAGTTACCGCGTTACCACATTTATTTTATCGTGGGAACACAGAAACGCACACCTGATAACACGGATTTCAAAGATTTTTTTTTTAAAATACAAAATTCAATAATTCTTCATCACGGAACCGTATCTTTCAACCATAATGTTATCTTAGATACGCAACATTTAATTATAACGAATCTCTGGAATACGGAATTCATTGAAAACGTTTCACTGAAATGCAGGATTCAATGACAACTTATCGCAATTTTTTGAACATAAAAATGCACTTTAAGTTTTTTTCCCATTGGGTTTCACCCAACCAAAGACTGAACCGAATGAACGGATCGGACGATTGGCTGAAAAGGTAACCTGTCAGTCCAGCCACCATTCGACAACCATAGAACATAATTATTGTTCAAGTATTCTAATTCAAACTTATATTGATACATAATTTAATTCAAAATACCTGTGACAGTTGTGACTCCTTAAAAATCTCATTCTGTAGAAATTGAAATGCGAACTCTTAGCTAATTATAATAGGAGTTAATTATTTTAGAGCAAATACAACATATCTAATCTGTTTCAATTGCATGCTATGTTGTATTAATACCAAGCATTAGTGTTTATTATGAGATAAATGTAATGCAACTTTATTGTAAAGCATACTCGTTATAAGTGTCAGATAGTTAGATCACATATATAAAACATCTATAAACTAATATGCGAGCCCGGGCCCCCGTGTCTATGTCTCTCCGTCCGGCTATGTGTATTTGTACTTCTCACACTAGTACGAATATTTTCGTGAGTCAAAGCTCGTTTTAGGGTTTACTCTCGAGGGTTTCCAATGAATTAGTGTGCAGTAAATTATCGACTGCGAGTCTCTACTCCCTCCCCCCTCTCACTCTTACACCAAGATAACTGGCACTTATCATAAAGTCAAGAGTTAGAACATGTTTTACTAAACAGGGGCCGGTATTTGGGTTTCGTTTCTCTTTTGTACTCAGCCTGTATAGGAAGGTTATTAGTAGGTTCAGAACGCTCACCAATTAACGCCTTTGAAAACAGGTACAACAGACGCCCTTTTCCAAGATGAAGAACCTTTTCCAAGATGAAGACCACATATCAAATAGCTGGACAAAACTGCAAAGAGTTGAGGGGGGACACATTTTCAATACGATTACAGGCATTCCATCAGGGCCAGTAGCTTTGGAGGCATCCAAGGGATATATAATCCAGTAGAAATTTTCTGAACCTAGAAATGTTCTTTCCTATGAACTTTTTTTGTTGATTTGCATTCCCATGGGGTCCTAGAACAAATTCAGCTTGGTTGCCCAAATGGTACGTTTGGGCAACTCTGCTAATTTGCATAAATTCAAAATGGCCGCCGGACGCCATCTTGGAAATTTATCTTTTGAACCACTTGTCCTAGAATGATGTATAATATATCCATTAAGGGGTTTTGTGATGTGTAGAATCCATTTCTGGGGTTATTTTTTTAATTCAAGGTCAAGTTCAGGTGATAATGGCCAGTTCAAGGTCGAATTTGACCTCTTGGTGGACAATGAAAAAAAAATCAACTAAAACTTACACTTTAATAGTTAATGATGCCAAAAATAGATAATCAAACAATATCAGCCCCAATTACCCGTAAAAAATGGTGAGAACTCAAATTTGTGTTATTTTTTTCCATTTCAAGGTCAAGGTCAAGGCTAACTGTCACATTTGTTTTAGATGTTTTGGCACATAAAGGACCCTATACATTGGAGTAAATCTTTGCCGGTGAGTGGGGGAAATTCGACAGGCAGGCTGGAGGGGGGGGGGGGGCTGGACACCACATTACACTAGGGGGCGCCCTTCAAAATATAGATGTAACAATATATTAACATGTATACTCACGCTTACGGTACATCAAAACTGCGCATTTTTAAAGCTTTTTTGCTTTTAGTTAAGAAAGATCACAACGGAGGCACGTGGTATTCCAGTCAACAACAAAAACTATGATCTTGGTGATTTCACTCATGCCAAGACAAAACAACAAACTAGTACTACACTGCTTAGGTTTATCTCCAAGCTAATATCAAACAGTGAAGTCACAAAAACATCACTGAGTCTTTCGCAATCCATACAATATCTAATTACCAAAACACGTAACCAAAAAACACTTGGGTTGGGTGTCAAACTACACCACAAGTTTGGTAGCAGATATCTCATTGACATCTTAAATGAACATGGATACACTGTGTCTTATGATGAGGTGCTGCGGTTCCGCAAGTCGGCGGCCAAGTATGTAAGTGACAATTCTGCAACGTTGCATGGAATGATGGGGCTTAGTCGGACAGTCGGACTCGTATTTGGCTGGTATGACAACTTCGACTTGCTGGTGTCAACTCCAAATGGTCGACGTGAGACACACGCCATGGCAACAGAATTTCAGATGCACCCAGCTGGGATTATCGAGACTGGCAGCACTCAGCTTGGTGTCAGTACTCTCATCATTCCTCGCCTCACGACCAAGCAGTCTAAGTCTGTGGGCAATAACAGGGCCATTCCACTTATGCACTATACTGGTCCGAAGAAAGTGAAGCCCCCTGCAGTACCTACTAGCAAGACTGGGATCAGCTACGCCGACGTGTGCGCTCAGCAGGCCAGTCTGGTGGCTGCCCAAGAGAAGGACACGCAGTGGCTCAACAGCCTGAGTCAGGGGCAAGATGCTATGGAGTGGAATGGTTTCAACAATCAGCTAACCAGGAGCCAGGGCGTACTCAAACCTGGGACCACCTATATGTTTGGTCCTCTGATTGATGCACCACCCTCTCACCCAGACACTATCCTCACAACGCTCACTTACATGCAGAGGTCACTGGTTGATATGGGGATGGCATATGTTCATGTTTGCATGGACATGCAGTTGTATGCAGTAACCAAACAGGTGTGCTGGTATCAGCGTATGCAGTTCAAAAATGTCATCACCCATCCTGGTGGGATGCATATTATACAGTCGTTCATTAGCTGCATCGCGAAGCTGATGAAAGGTTCTG